CCTTTGATCGTTCCAGATTATCAGCTCCATCCCCGTCATTTAGATCACGACTGGGATTTTGTTTCGGGCCAAGATCGCCTGGAAATTCAGCCAAAACAATCCCTGACTCTTCAGCCCATCCCGTCCACGGCACGTAACAAACCTTACGAGCATTCGATCCTCGGAACGCGACTTGCGTATTTGCTTAGCGGCGGATACCTTATATCCACAAGGGGAGTACATAGTCACTTAGCTACAGTACAACCCAGATGGTACAGTACTCCGTAGTGTCCAACTGGAGAGGCAATACACAACTCAAAGAAAGCAAGGATTACGAATAAGCCAGTTACACCATCATCTATGAATCTGTTTGAATCAAAGCCCGAGAATAAGAAAAAAAAATAACACTCTGGCAGGCCAGATGGCAGCAACACATCGTCCCGAGATCCGCCTGGTCCCGATCGCGATCCAGACGCCGTGCATGACACGCAACCACCCGCCGCAGCGGCGCTGAGAGACTTGAGATTTGATTTCAGATTCTTGACCTTGTTGGCGGTTGATTATCAAAATAATCACCCCACGAAGCTCGGCGTTCTCCGTCTCCTCGTGTATTCCTTGCTCCGTTGAGTGGGGAGGTAATATTTCAAGCTTGGTCGCAAGCCGCAGTAGCAAATGCATTGAAATGTGTGAAATCGGGAGTGATCGATCTATGTTTGTACTATGTATTATGAACCATGCCTATTTGATGATATACCATGCTTTGGAGAATTTATATCCAGGCCCTATTATTGTCCTGTCTGCGTATACTAGCTATTACTACTACCTCATACAGATACCACCAAAAGAAGACAAAGACACGATCACTTGAGCCTCTCGTTCTCGTATCGCTGGTCGGCCGCAAGGGGAGCTCTGTAAGCACTGAGCTAGTGCAGCGGCTCGAGAAGAGTCGTTTGGTATCCACAAATTATAGTCCTGTATGGAGTACTCAACGACCGGGAGGAATTCCCTACCTATAGTAGCGTCAATAATAAACAGTGTAGAAAGAGGAAAGCGATCCGGTGAGTGGGGTATACTTCCAAGCGCACCACATCGCTACAGATGATCGACTGTTAGTTTAACTCTTAAGCTTTCTGAAGGAAATAGTCAATTTCAATTATATCTAGTTACAGTATCCTGAAAAAAGAACAGCACATACTACTTAGTGATGTTGCAAACCAACAGAGATATTAAGCTGGCATTGTTATGAGATCAACCCTGGGCCTGATCGGGCGCTCAAGTATCCCCTAAAACCCAATGTGCGATGCGATCGGCCTAAGATCGCGCTCCCACTAACTATCGAAGTTCAACCCAAGGCTTTCCTCCCCCCCCGGTTCGTCTCTCCTTTTCCTGGGACCAAGCGAGGTACTTTGTGAGCCCACTCTGTCGGGTCAGGCCAGTGTTTTTATTTTCCTTGGTCTTGAATTTTGGGGAAGGCCCACGGCGGGTTGTTAGTCGTTGATTTCTACATGGATCTTCCCTGTTCGGCTCCAGTCGATCAGATTCAAGGCGTCCCCGAAAATGTCGGTCAGAACTCAAGCACGAGACTAGTTATGATACAGTAATGTAATCCGCTTTTCTCCAGAAATAGGTTTTACATACCAGACATGACAAGCATTGACGATCGTGACGATTGTTCTTACTACTATGATTTAATTACACTTCCCCAAGCGGGTGACCACGAGACTAGCCCTCCGTTATTCAACCTTCTCGTCGCTTAGTTTGACCTCAAAACTTGCCGCTTTTCTCGGCTTTTCATAGCAAAGACCCGCAACTTCCAAATCATCACCATTATCGTGGAGATTGCAAGGGCTTTAAATCGGTAGATCTGAATTTTACCGGGCTCTCGGGCCTCCCGCTTTTCCGTTCTGGGCCCGATCGTGACGGTTTCGTGTGGTGGAGTCTGCGCTTTGACTTCGTTGGGGCTTCTTTAGTTCTTCTGGCCTTCTTTACGTTACTTTTGCGGGCTCGGGGGGTTGCTTAATTTGGTCGCACTATTGATTATACGAACCGGTAAACGGAGCCCGTATTCAATTTAGGCGCGGTACACGAAGTATGGGGCAGTCAGTATTTACATATCTACTTCCCGTTGTAGATATTCCGTACGGAGCATGGCCTTTAAAGGAGATTAGCTCTCGTGTGCTTCGATGAAATAGCGTGTAATCCCATTTTAGATCATTTTTCTCACCCGGATCTATCCGGAAGGAAACCAAATTATCGAGCCCGAGACAATGTGTTCAGTTGCCTGGATGCCTCGTACGGTAAGAGGGGGCTCGTCTGATTTTATGGAGCCACTATGCTGTCGCATCCTGCTCCGTGCACCCCTATACTTGGTTATATCAAATCCGCCTCCCGATCCCCTCGATTACCTACGCACCGGTACCACTAATTAGTGGGTTGGCAACGTACGCGGGGCATAAAGTAACCCGGGGATAAAACAACCAGTCGCAGCTCACAGGCTCGCTTATTCTGAGTTCCGATTGCCCCGTCACGGCCGATCTCACTGGTCGTTCCACAGCACGCTGGTCACTAGCGGCGGCTGAGGTCCGTGGGTCACCACCCGCAGACACGGACGCAGTTGGAGAATTGGGCAAAAAGTCTATCTGGCGGCCTGGGATCCTGGGGCCAATCGAGTATCCAAGTCACTAGTGGCGCCCGTCGTGGAGATTGAATCGATGTGCCCGAACTGCTGGGATGACTATTGATTTGGCTATTATTATTAGCATTCTGAGAGGGTTCCCTTCACGGACCGAGAAGAATAATAGACGAGAAGCTAGCAAAGATCGAAATAATAGGAGCTATCCCTAGATGGGTTTATGTTTGATGGGTTTACTGGGTCCCCGTATACTACTGTACCGGCCAACCTTGGTCAAATAATACGGGAAACCGATCGATCGAGTATCCCGTAGATGTGGATCTCAACATCCCATGCCGAGTCATTCTTATTTCTATTTCCTTCTGTATGCAGTAGTCGGGGATTCGGGGAACACCACCTATGGGGGAGACTACTGTAGGAAGTGTAATAGTCTCACCGGTTATGCTAGGGACTAGAAAATGCTGCAGCTGCAGGAGGGGAGGCGTTCATCTCCTCCGAGATCGACTGCCTCCTGCAGCTGTCCGACACTGCATTCTATTGCATCGAGTTTAACAGATCTCCCTTGCCCATGGCACGCATGGTGCATACGACCCCTAATATCGTCGGCTGTGCGATCGTCGACTGTCGAATCTCGTCACCAGTTACTGACTCACTGCATTGTAGGCCCTGAACTTTGCATGTCGTGGCAGTGTGGCACGACAGGAAAGAGTCATAGCACTGCATCACACCTAGGCTTGGATCTTCACAGTGCATGAACGGATATGCACTAGGGGGAAAATCTTACATTTGGTTAGGGCTCCGCTCGGCTGACGTGGGATCTGAGATCGGCTACGCACACAAACCCACGCGCAGGATGCATCATCTGGCATGGCGGTGTGTTTCTTTTTTTTCCTTTTTTATTTTCCCCGGTATGTATATGTACTCCGTACGATCTCCGTGATACGTACGTACCAGTATGGATTTTCTGGCTAGGTTCGTTTTTTTCGGGTTCTCTGTGCCTTTCTTGACACTCGTGTCAAACCTACCAGATGGCCCGATCGTGGGCGGGTTGGGCCGCGTCACTAGTTCGCGGACAGTATCCATCGTAACGGAGGAATGCCAGTAGAAGTGTTTCTCTTCCCATGAGCTGGCCTCTCGGTCAAAGCCGTGCCTGTAAATAGGGTTCCATCCACAATTGACACGAACTGTAGGCCAGCAAATAGTTCGTCCTAGGTAGCATTCCCCAATACTACAGTGTTGGTCGGAAGACGGGCCGAGAGATCCACTTCATAAGTGAGTCTGCATGTTAACGCGCTGGAAGATTCCTCCGTATTAATATTATCACTTTTTATTGGTCAGAAATCCATAGCGGTTGTTTTTTTCTCTATGTATTGTGCTGGTCTTGGTGCGGCTCGTCGGTATGTTTAGGGGAATATCTAGTGTGCTTGAAATGTGGCTCTTCTAATAATACTCTGGCCCTCTCTAATTTAGATTGGGTGCATCGTTAGTACATTAGTATTATACACGGAGTACACCTGGTTTGGGACTCCTATTGTCTCACGTTTACCACCTATATCCAATGGTGCTGACTCGAGAAATATCCTTGAATCTCAGAGTTTGAACCACAGAATAACAATGCTAGCGATGGAAAAAGGGTCTTACACATCCCCACATGCGACCTGGATCGACTTCGGGCTACCGATCCTTCCTGCAAGGCACCGATTTGGCAAATCGTCCTTTCTGGGGTCCTTCCATGTGTGGTCCACACTCGGTAGAACTTCGATGTTGGCCAAAGCTATGTGAATTTCTCCGCGGAGACAGAACTTGATGACCGGCTTTCCATTTCAAATCTTTCGCATACAGTTGTTCGGTGTATATTAGTTACTACTTACCGCCGAGATAACCCCTGACTAAGCGTACGGCGTTGGTTCGGCTTCATCGGATGCGACGGAACGTTCCGGGCAGATCTATCGAGAAATAGACCAATGACAATATAAAGTGATGTCTCGGAGGAGTTTAGATCTATCCGGCCGAGCTTGCAACCCCCGATGGAGCACGTGGAGTGTTTTAATCTACTTGAATTCATGGAGTGCTCCGTCGCGACACATGATGTCGTCGTTATGATATAATATAGCCGACAGTGCCGTGAGACATGTTCGATTAATCTACTTGAGTCCCTGGCAGCAACGGGGCTTTTTGTAGATACTGTTGGATACCATAGCGTCAATATTACTGGTGATAGTAGCCTACCACTGGTATGCTATGCGGTGGACCGGTATCAGACCGAACACATAAATAATTCTCGAACAACCATGTGACATTCTCTTGTACGACACAACACATCACCTATCAATTAGACTGTCCTCTTGTACACTCACATGTAGGCTAAATAGGCACATGACAAGCTCATCTACCGCCAAACTGCCTTCGCAATCGAATTGATATAATCAATCCCTTCCTTGCGCCAGGTGTCGGCCTCCATGTAGCTGGTTATATTAGCACTGAACAGTAAATCAACCGGCTTATCCTTTCCGTATGCCTCCCAATGGATGGACTTGTTCACAACGCCAGAATTGGGATTCAAGTCGTGAATGAACGAGGCCCACATGCTCGTCATCATAGTGCTAAGATCGATATAAGACTGTGGCACACCTGCAAAAGGCTTTCCGTAGTGATATCCGAGTCCATCGATGTTGTGGAATACGAAAGAGACTTCTTCGAAATGCGTTGCTCCCTCGATGAGCGGGACGTCAGCAGAGTGCACGTCAAATCGGTAACAGTAGGCCGGCGTCGAGGTCTCGGACCATGCCTCGCATTGTCGGCGCCGATTCGCGTGCATGGTAAAGTCACCAGCGAAGGCGCTAGTTCGTCGCCATTCATAGCCCATTGAGGGTACGCGCTGGTCACCAAGGAATGCTGGAATACCCTGCGAGGGGTCGTCGGGGTAGAGTTCCAAGATGCGGTTAGCCATGGAGGCAGGCAATTGCTTGCCTATTGATCCATCTAAGCTGAGATTAGTTATGAACTGGAGCAAACATTGTGTGCAGTCGGCTTACCTGTGAGATACTCATACCACTGCTCGGTGGTGTTGATTCCCGTGGGCCCAAATGCAGTTCCCTCGTCCATGTTCGTTCCGGAGATAATGGGCACTCTGACAAATTCGTGGTTGTTCAACTGTACACTGCCATAGTCGCGCATGAAATCTCCATCAACTACGGGCGAGAAATTGTAATCAGAGGAGCCGCCAGTCCCGTTCAGAACCGAGTTGAGTGTTTCGAAAGGAACTTCGCGCAAGCACTGGAGCGAGTCCGCTGCGTCGGCGCAATTGACACTAGCAGCCAGGGTATCGTAAGAGGACTGATAAGTCGTGAAGTTACCAGCACTAGCTGAGATGGAACCTCCCGATTCCATGATACCACCCCGGAACAATTTATCATCTCGGCCTCCATATGCGGTCAATTGATAGCCCACTGACATGCCACCGGCCGACTCGCCCCAGATTGTGACCTTGGTAGGATCGCCGCCAAAGGCAGCGATATTCTCCTGAATCCAATGAAGTGCCAATCTCTGGTCTCGCAGACCGAGATTGGTGTTGCCACTGCCGGAGACTTCGCTTGAGCTGATGAATCCCCAGGCGGACAGTCTGTAGTTGAGAGTGACGGCAATGAATGGTTTACCTAAACACCGATTGAAGTTAGTTTCCAGAGCTGAAGATAATGAAATGTCTTTGTCATAAAGTACCAATTTTGTATGAGTTCTCAACGATGGCAGACATGTTGTACCGCTGGTCTCTCCCCGATCCCATCCAGAAGCCACCACCATGAATCCAGACTCCTACCGGGAGCTTGGAGTTTGACTTGACAGACGAGTCTCGGATGACGTTCAAGGTCAGACAGGCTTCGGATTGGGGGTACCAGATAGAGTCGGACTAGCACCATGTCAGCGAATTTCAGTTGTAGAATACGGAAACTAGACTTACCCCATATCCAACACAGATATCAGAATACTCTGTCGCATCGCGTGCCCCATTCCAAGTCTCGTTCAATGACTGTGGCGCGGTGAACCGTAGGTTACCCACAGGCTGCTGGGCATAGGGCATACCCAAGAAGAAGTCCTGGTCATAAGTTGTACTATGCACACCAGTATAAGTTCCATTGCGAACACGGACACTGGGAGCAGAACTTCCGCTGGGAGCTGCATGGACCATTGCCCACACAGCGAGAAAGCCAGTCGCAATAGCGAACATAGTAAGTTCCTGGCAATGAATTTATCCTGAAACTACACAAACATCGACCATTCTCCTCGGACCTATGGCCAAATATATATACCATCACTGAGAAATCCGGGGATATTTTACATCATGCGGGGAAGCCAACGGGCCCCACACCCAAATTGTTCACGATCAGCGCTCCCTTCACACAAGAATGATGCAAGTCGGTCAAATTCTGGCCCCGAAAACGGGCAAGATATGCCGTGAAGGATTGCCGTTGTCTTTCTAGAATATTTTAAGCTTCGACTCGCGAGACTGTCGGCTTCGCTATAGGCCCGATGTCCAAGTATAGAAGAAGAGGCGTCCCTTCTGCGGGACAGGTGAGTTAGACCCGCTTACGACGGCACAGAAATACCCACTGGAGTGATAGAATGCGGAGAAATAATCTGGAAGCCGCTTAATTCAGGCGGATGAATGCCTGGATTGGTGATAGGGTGGTCATCCTAGTGGCTATAAAAGTTAGTGGAAGACCGAGGTTTATCCGGAGAGGGGTTTCTTGATTTCATTGCAACCGCCGAGGTACAGATTAATAATTGGCAGCTGCAACGGTGAGAAAAAAACAAGTTTTGTTGTTGAGCGATGGTGCTGAAGTCATCTGGTGGGTGTCTATAAGGATTTGGGCATCCTTGGGATGCCGAGGATCCAGGGTGATCAGCTATTTGAGGAATTAGCTGACAGGGATTCTTGTAAGCAAGTACAGGCGTCTAACTTGGCTTTGTGGGGTCAAGACAGCCCTGCGGGGGTTGTGCTTGCATGCATGAGAAGAATAACTTATGAAGCCGGCTGTCTGAGACACGGTGATTGTACAAGACGGGTACTGATTGTGACCATTAACAAGCATTGGGATGACAGTTTAAAAATCAAGCTTTATCTACCTTTCAATAGATTGGTTTACAATGAGATGGACCGTTCTGTCTATGTTCTTATTTAACTCAGCGTCTGTGGATATATAGCAACCATTCAAGACGAATATCTCCCAGATTCTCTCTTTTATTTCATGACTGATGAATTGATGGATATCCAGGGATTATGCCGAGTCTGTATTGAGCGAGGAAGAGCAAGATGACTTCTTTGCTGGCCCATCGCTTCTCTACTCAAATCTTGACTGACAAACTCCTTGGTTGCCTTGATTTATCGTAGACTCGAGGGGAGCTTTGGAGGTCAATCCTCAATCTCTTCACAGGAAAACCAAAACGCAGGCTAAGAGCAACTTTGAAGGCAATCAAAGCACCCGACAGATACGGATACTGGGCCACAACTTGCAGTGAAGCCCAGAGTGATGGAAGAGAATTTGCACTTAAGGTCGAATTTAGAAGGCGAAGGTCGTTTTGGCAGATGTCTCTTTATTTATGGAGAATGAAGAAGAATACGAGCTATCCATGTCGTCCGTATAACAATCGCGCCACATATCGCGTGGCGCCAAAAAGGAGTTCAGCCGCTCCTTGGCCAATCTTTAACAATGGGTAATTCTCTAGTCCGATTGGACTGGGCTTCAATTTACCACTGACCCTGAAGCTCCCGTTGGAATTGGAATAAATTCTGAGTTACTCAACCAATCCAAGTGCCCACGATACGAGCAGGTGACTGCATCCCAACAGGCATCTACAATCTTTCTAGGAATGATCTGCAAATGGGGGACACAAGCGGAAACCGCGACGTGGAAAATGTATATGACAAGCCCTTTCTTAGCTCAGAGAACTTTGGCGTTATGCGTGTGACATACTACTGACTTTCAAATTCCTCGAGTGCCAAAGAATTCGCTATCTGATTAATTAGGGGGACCATCGTGGCAGCCGGAGAAGATTAGGCTTTATCATCCCGCCCAAGTGAGCAACAAACCGCGAACCCTGCAGGATAAAGTTGCACATCTTTTACCCTACATAGTAAGGATCAGAGATGACAAGGGCCCTTAATATCCAGTTGGAAAGTGGTGATGCTCAGCCCCGAAGATTAAGATGCATTAAGAATACGAGGTCTGAGTCCTTATGATGCACCTCCCCTCCACCATTGCCCCCTTTCACTCGTTTACAGATACATAAAGACGGCTCAGTGGACACCCGCGAGGGAAACCAATATAGCTTAATTCTACCGTTTTTTATCTATCACTTACATTAATTTCCAGATGGACCTAACAGCGATTCTCCTAGCGCTACATATCCTATCGGTGCTGCCGTCTGCGAATGCATGGACATTCGTTTGGCGCAATGCATCGGACAACGCATTTGTGGAACATGACCAGCAACCGATGTCATGTACTCAAATAAACAACGCACAAGGAGAGATATTCGAGTGGGACTCTGAAGAAGGACCTTTCGCTATCTCTCTATATGCCAACACAGACTGCTCGGGTCCACCGGGAGGCTATGCCACACATATCTTCAACAAGAACGCGAGCAAGCCGATTCTTTCATTCAAAGTCGATTCAACCGCTACAACGACGACCTCTTCGACAACTACCACATCGACATCTAGTTCGAGCACTTCAAGTAATACTCAAACACCGACAGCTGCTCCCACGACTGCGTCTCCCTCCCCATCGCCTTCTTCGTCTGGCACTACACTATCCGGCGGAGCTATTGCGGGTATTGTAATTGGAGTAGTCGCAGGTGTTGCCATAATCGGAGGGTTCTTGTTCTTCATGGGTCGACAGAAGCGCCAAAAATCGACCCCTGATACTGGCCCTAGTCTGGGTTACACAGATCCCTCGTACAGGTCCCCCTCGTCGTACAATTCACCGTCGTCGATGGGCCCCGGCTTGTCGTCAGAGGGGCAAAAGCCACCGCACGCTCGCTCTGCACCGAGTTCAGGTACGGGGCCTATGCGGGTGGTCGAGCTTGAGGGTGATACCACGGCGGCTGAGTTGAGCAATGCTCATGTGGTTAATGAAATGGAGAGTCCTGTCAATGTCAAGGGGCCACTATATTGAGTACGGGACACGGTCCGATCAAGCGAGAAGTGGTGGATTCATAGGAACCCGTGCTGATTCTGTCTGGAACAGATCGTGTATTAACGGATTTCTTTTATGATGTTTGTTATACCCAAGCGATGACCAAAAATCGAGCGATTACCAAGTGCCTCCCTGATGCAACGATAGAAGCCACTGATAAATAGATAGATGTAAAAGGTTAACATGAGGGAACTGGGTTGTTGAACGGAATTTCAAATGTGTAGCCTAGAGGGCTGCTTCTTGTTGCCCACCACGGACTATATGCAAAAATCGATTTCATCATCTCTCTAGTGTTACCGCCAGAAAGAAAATTCTCCAGGCTGTCTATCAGCCCATGCAAATACGAAATGCTTCTGTCTAATTCTTTTTGCCCCGCAGGAGCTCCCAACCGATGCTGCCATGCTTGCCTTCCTTGGCAGTCACCTCCTCAACCGCCTTGACAAGATCGTAAGTGATCTCTTCAGAAACAACGCTGTCATGCTTATAGCTCGGATGCTTGGCCACGAACTCGCGGATCCACTTCGCACCCGTCCAAAGCGTGCCGTCCGCACGTTTCCGGATCAGGTCCAGGTAGCTGGCAAGGAAGCAACGTGTCTCGACATCAACGTTGACGCTGTTGAGATATGACTCAACCAGGGGAATCAGACCGGGGAATCCGTCAGGGCAGCCATTCACAATCTCGGCGATAGTCATCAGCTCGTACTCTGTTTCCACAGGGCCAAGAGGCGGCGATGGTGGGGGTGTGTTGACTGCCGACGATGTAGTGGAAGAGAACGTGCTGCCATGAGAAGAGTGCTGCGCAGCGTGTCTGGGGGCGCGGCGTCCGAAGGGATCCTTGCGGAAGTAGAATTTGCTATCGAGCACGGCATTGCGGGCATGAGCCGTTTCCATGTTCTCGGTTGTGCGCGGAATGGGTAGATAGAAGTTGAGGTCGAAGCTGAGAATAGCACGAGTGATGAGGACGATAAAGATGCTGAACGCTGCGTTCTCAAAGTCGGTGATCTGGATTTCCATCGACCGGAACTCAACGCGCCAGCCAATGTCATCCTTCTCGGATGGTGGCGGCTTGAATCGCATGTGTTGCCAATTGGTAGATTGGAGATTCTCGAAATGATCTCCCTTGTGCAAGTCGAGCTCTTCCAGATCCTCCGAGAAGATGACGAGTGGGTCGCGAATGAAGAGGTGTGCGAAGTGGGTGGCAAGCATATCATCCATGCCTCCCTCTATTAATCGGTTCTTAATATCCTCGTCAACGACGAGATCAGGGTCCAGGTATTCCTTGCGCAACCGAGGATCTTGGGAAATATAAGTAGAGTTGGAAGCATATCGAGACTTGGGAATTCTCCATCGGTCATTTTTAAGAGGCTAAGTTGAAGTCAGTTAGCAAGGACAGGTAAAGAAAACGCCTTGTATATCACTCACAGCTTCACCAAGCTCTTCAGGGGTTCTGTCATCCACTGCTGCACCAATCTGATTCCAACGCACATCCGTGTCAACCAGGAATCCCTTGTAGATGGGCGTGGCGGCAGTGAGAGCCAGAAGAATGGGTCCAAGAGGACTCAGTTGATCATAAAGTTTCCGGCCTTCAGTCATATTCTTGGCCTGGAAGGTAATCTGCAAGCAACAGCTGCCCATACCAAAGGCCATTGCGTCCATATAAACGTGATCATCTTTGGCGGCGCCATTGCGAACATCGGCATCCTCCGGCCACTGGTGAAGATCATAATTGACGGTAGGATCTTTGAACGGGGAAGGAGTATTCTGGTCCTTGAAGACTGGCACATTCAGCTCAACCTTGCGCCCTCTTCGTGACCGAATGTTGGCCGCTAGAGTCGGGAAACGGATGTGTGGGTTGGCAATCTCGTCCGGCACAAATTGTGAGCGCAGAGCAGGCCCAGACGGGGGGTAGTAAGGCTGGATGTAATCGTCCTTTGTGCCCAGTCGCGGGAAGGTCGTAAGGGTAATCGGGGATTCGTTAGGGGCCATGTGTGCCTTTGCGACTTCTCGTCTCCACTTCATGTTGGATTCTACCTTCAGCAGGTCCTTGAATCCGATACCCCAAGGTTCTCCCGGAGTGGCTTCAAGCATGAAACGGCCGAACTCGGGATGGAAGTGCGGAGGTTTCTCTCCCTCGCTGATAGACAATATGAGAAAGCAGTCCCAATTTCCTATTTATAACCAGTCCAAACTTACTGCTCTCCACGTTCTCCATCTCCACCGGAGCCTGCCGTCCAAAGAGCCTCATCACGAGCGAGGGACTTGAGAATTTCGGCCTGGGCGAGAGACAGTCGGGCCTTCTTGGCTTCGTCATCGAGGGCTACCACGAGGTATTCGACCTATAATAATTAAGACATGAAAAGTAAGCTTCTCTGAGACCTGGGCCAAGTTGAAAATTGAGCCGACCTACCTCATCACCCCAAAGAAGGGCATCTCGCTCTTTGCCCTTGGCTCGTCGCCAATTTGCCAACAGTTGCTATACAATCCGTTAGCTCTTGCACACACAACGAAAGTGATCCATGACGTTTGAGCAACGATGCGCGCTCCTTTTCCATACCTCAATTCCCCACTGTCGGACTTGGTCCGCCTTCTTCTTGGCCTCCGGCCATTCCAAGGCGGTTCCCAGCGCTCTTTAGAAAGGCCTGTTAGATATGCTTCTTTCGCGTTCAGATCCCCAGTCTCAACATCGAAGCAGCACCTACAAAAGACCCATTGTGCTGGTATGGTAGTGTCAATCGTCGTAATGCCCCTCCAATTAGTCCGGCAGTTCCCCAATCACGGCAATGCGGGTAAAGATGTAAGTAGGAATCTCGACTAAAGACCGAGATGAAGAGGAGCCCGCGGGCAATGCGGGAGGATAGTTGTTGACCCGAAGAGAGATTTAAAGAAGAGAAGAACAACGGCGCATAGTCCCCGCGTTCCGCCCGATTCTTTTCAGTTCTCGCATGAAGAGGGGAATTTTCAGACGCCGCAACGCTTCCCGGCGGGGCTCAGGCCTGGGCAGATTGCGGCGATAACGGCGGATTTCTAAGCAGTCAGGTGATGGTTCCGCGTTTACTGGAATAATGGAAGTACAAAAGTATATGATCTTCAATTTCTCTATACTTTTCCAGGATTGTTGAAGAGATTTACTTTGGTTATATACTCAACTTCCAGGCCTCGGACTCGGGGCTATGGAATCCTGGTCAGAAATCCTGCAGTCAGGCACTGGCGCATAGCGCGCCACACTATTATCCAGTGCCTGTCGGAGACAGATCCCGAATGTCCAACACATGCACAGGTACCCCCCGCAGAGGAGCTCGCTTGGATCTGTAAGCCACCAAATATGCCAATACGAAGGGAAAAAGCTACTATAGGGACATGGAGATTCTAAAGAGCCCGTCCAAGCTGCTGACAAATAGGAAGGGGATCAACATCCACCATACCCAAGCTGTGATATCCACAAGTTGATGTGCCCCCGCGATTAGTATGACCATCGACTCCATAGCCCATGGCCTGGAGAAAGAAAGAGCTGTATTCATTACTCTCACATAAGAGGATTATGTCAAGTCTATCCAGGATACGTATGGCTGACCAATCGGCTGTAAGACAGTCGCATTTCTTTCTGGCTTGGGCATTTGCGGAGACCATAAGTGTATCGTGCAGCCTTAGATCTTACCAGCAAAAGTCGACGTGGAGCTGCTCCAAGATCGACTCGTAAAGATCGTAGTGGGCAGCCATGATGACCTACTAGAGTAAAGGAAAAGACTGGCTAGAATTCCGGGTGGTTCCCAAACGCCATAAAAGGCGGTCCATGAGCAGTCTCGGTATAACGTCTATGTACATAACCTGCTGCTTTTCCAGCAGTCCTGACCGTGCAAACACATATCACAAAATTGACAAGCTTAGTTACTGCGAGCGCCGTCCTTGGAGGCGCGGAGCTCGTCCATCTTAGCCACGCGCTTCTTGAACTCCTCGTATTGGCACTTCTCGTAGGAGTGTCGCTCGTCCTAATCCAGAGAGAGAATTGACATCGGTCAGCGGTTAATTCCATCAAAAGCGAGGTGTGGAGGAAAGGTAGAAGCCCAGCAGGAACGCGGTCCGTCGGGGTAAAATGCGTACCTCGCACTTCCAGGGAAGGTAGTATTCGGCTTGCCGGCAGCGGTTCAACGGGATCAGGAGGTGTGCGCAGGAGTCGCGATATTGCATGGGAAGACGGGCCTCCGACATTTCCTTGCGGGTGGCTGGACAGCATCAAGTTAGCTTCAGGTCATCAAGATCCAGGTGCGGATGATTGGCTCAATTGAACCGGGCAATCGTACCCGAGGTCTCCCCAAGACCCACGGCGTTCTTGACCGACTCGACGACAGTCATTGTGAAGGTATTCGGGGAATGGAAAAGGTGGGGAGGAGGAAGGACAGGGCAAAGACGGCGAGGGTATGCGGTTTGCACCGTTTCGCTATGTTCCCTTTGCTTCCCGATGCAAGTCACATGACCGAAAGTCTGGTGATCTACGTCACGTGATTATCTTCCGAAAGCGGTTTAGCCCTCAAAATCCACTTTACGCGGTCCCTTCGCGTCTCTGCGCGTAACTGCGATGCCACCCTAGCTCCACCCAGCAAATCGTGTCGCTACACCTTTGGACCAGCTTTGAGCGTGTGAAATGTGTCGAAAGTCGATGCATTCTTGATTCAATCGACTTGTGGATCCTTAAGGCGGTTTCGGGCGCCTACGTGCGTGCCACAATCGCTGCTCGGAAACGTACTGGTTTGCCGCGAGCCCTCGGCGACAGCTCACTATGGCGGGGATGGAGTCGATTTATTCTGCCACCTACAGCAGTGTACGTATCTTATCGGAGATGATCACTCTTTTTATTGCTTCTCGGACAACTCTTCCTCAGTGTCATTTGTCTCAGTCTTTACTAATGTGTGTCGCTCCTCCTAGGTCCCGGTCTACGAGTTCAAGATCGATGGCGACAGTGTGATGCGACGGAGAGGAGATGACTGGGTCAACGCAACTCACATCCTCAAAGCTGCAGGCTTTGATAAGCCAGCAAGAACCAGAATCCTCGAACGTGAAGTGCAGAAGGGTGTGCATGAGAAAGTGCAAGGTGGTTACGGAAAATACCAGGGTATGTGATACCGAGGAAAAGTGACGCAGAAGTGAGATATTGTTAGCTGACAAGATGCCCTGCCGCAGGAACATGGATACCACTCCCAGATGGCCGCATGCTTGCGGAGCGGAACAACATATTCACCAAATTAGCTCCTATCTTCGAGTATGTCGCTGGAGATCGCAGTCCTCCCCCAGCTCCGAAGCACACTTCCGCTTCTTCGAAACCTCGAGCCCCTCGCAAATCTACCAACCGTGCTGCGGCGCCTGTGGCGCCTGCAGAAGTTTTCAATGTTGTCCAGCCTCAGCGGAGCATGGGCCCCCCGAGTCTACCCCATGAACAATATGAGATGAGCACCGGGTTCGATGACAACGAGTCAATCGAGCAGGCTACCATTGAATCGTCCTCCATGGTTGCAGATGAGGACATGATTCAGATGTCGCAGCATACAGGTCGTAAACGCAAGCGGGGACTGAATGATGCAGCCGTCATGTCCATTACTGAGCAGGAGCATATCATCTATGGTGACCAGCTCCTAGACTATTTCATGACAGTGGGCGACGCCTCTCAGGCGACACGTATTCAGCCCCCAGAACCACCTGCCCACTTCCAGGTTGATCGTTCTATTGACGATTCGGGCAACACAGCCCTGCACTGGGCTTGCTCAATGGGTGATTTGGAGATTATTCAGGACCTCCTTCGCCGAGGGGCAGATGTCAAGGCTCTGTCGGTCCACGAAGAAACCCCTCTTGTGCGAGCTGTTTTGTTCACCAATAACTATGAGAAGAGAACATTCCCTGCTGTGCTAGATTTACTCTTGGATACCATCTCCTTCCGGGACTGGTTTGGAGCAACCTTGTTTCATCACATTGCGGAGACCACCAGAAGTAAGGGCAAGTGGAAGAGTTCAAAGTATTACTGCGAGGTTACACTTGATAAGCTGTGCAAATCATGTTCGCAGGACGAGATTGATCTCTTGCTGTCTTGCCAGGACGACAACGGTGACACTGCTGCCTTGGTGGCTGCGCGCAACGGCGCTTTCCGTCTGGTCAACATGCTCCTCACCCACTGTCCTCGTGCTGGCGACCTTATGAACAAGAAGGGAGAGACAGCCACCAGCATTATTCAACGCTTCTCCCAACGCTCACAGCACACAGACCACGACATCCCGCCAGCACCATCCTCCGTCACCATGGCCAATGATCACGTCGACGGTCTTGGAGGCACACTGATGCCTTCAGACCATCAATCCGTCGCTCCACCTGTCGACTCTGCGGTCACATCAGAACTTCTCTCGAAGATCGGCACCATCATGTCTGAAGCTAACAAGAAACTTGCTGTCACTTACGGCAACTCCAAGCTCAATCAGCAAGACTCCACCGACGTGGCGAACCCGGAAGCCCTCTACGAGCAACTAGAGTCTGACCGCCAGAAGATCCAAAAACAAGTGGCTACTCTCACCGTTAGCGAGTCGGAGTACGAACCTAGCGAGATCCAGCTTGGCCGATACGAGAAGGTACGGACCAACTACGAATCTCTTCTCGAGCAATTGCAATACGCCCGCCTTTCATCGCAGTTGAACCATGGAGTTCCCTTCGAGACTCCGAAGGTCGATTCATCTTCTCTCAGCCAGGAGGAGCTTGTGGAACGCTTCAACCTGGCGCGTTCTCTGGTCACCGCCCAAAAGACGCGTCGTAACGCGGTCAAAGATCTCGCGCAGCAAACTGCCGATGCTGGCGTGAGTACCAAGGTTGATGTTCACCGAAGGCTCGTGGCCCTGGCAACCGGCGTCAAGGAAGAAGAGCTCGATCCGATGGCAGCAGAGTTGGCTGAGACTCTCGAATTCGACCGCACGAATGGCAAAGGCCCGTCTCCCGAGTTGGACAGTAAACAGCTGCCACCTCACAATGACTCGGTCACCATGCATCCTCGAGTCGGTGCTCCAGTCATGGATGGTTAATTTATCTCGATCATCAGCCGCTCGCACCCCATCTTCTGTACTCTTAACGACTTTCATTCTTATTTGTTTTCTTTTCGACTTCTGGCATACCACTGTCTCCCTGCTAGAGAGATAAGGGCTCCGTAGCCAGCAGATACCCCAACGTTTCCTTTCCGTGTCGTGTCTATGTTCTTTCTTTTTCTTCCCCTATCCGCCGAACCACTTCTGTAGTGGGAGGACAGGGCCTGTATCATTTCTGGAATGACTGCATATTTTTTGATTCGCAACTCGTCGGTGATGGCCGCTACTTCCATACGATGGGTTTTCTTGTCTGTATAGACAATTGTTTGTGTACATAGGAAACCAATCAACTGCTTTGTGCGAGTAGCCATATTCGTCTGAATACACCTCGTAATTTCGGGATACATAGCTAAACTCCACCCTTGAGCTGTAATTCCGAGGAATATTATCCTCCATGCCCAGGCATGTGCGAATGCAAATCCCACCTTCCAATCTCTGGGAGACACTACAGGACTATTCTGACCTATCGCATTGCACAAGTAAAGCTGGGAATCAAGGTAGCCTCGGCCTCCAGCTCATGTGGCGAAAACAATCTTAGATCCATGTAAGATGCCAATGTTCACTAATCTATATCTACTGATACTATCTTGACGCGAGCCATATTCTCAGCCATGATTGGCGGAACAAGGCACTATTCTACTCGACACAAGCTGGATAAACCTCTCAGCCACCAAGTCCAGTTTCCAGTCTAGCGGGATATGCAAGTCACTCGATCATGTTCAGCCCTGGGAGAAAGGCTTGAGCACACCTTGCGAGTTGCCACGGAGAGCCTCACCAACATGGACAAACCATACCTATTGGCTGAGGGCGGGAGCTTGGCAACAGCGCCGGGCGGCTCTAGGGCCGCTGTGAGACGCCGGGAGCAAGTTGACTGGACATTGTTATGATTGACTAGCCACTTGGGGGCTGACGCTAGTCGGCGTCTCCTGACCAATGGATGAGCCCGAGATGTGACGAGGCCAGAACCTTTTGGCAGCGGTCGGGCGCTGAGACCGCCCCATTGGTGTGTTTCGGGAGGCGGAACTGTTTGTTCTTTGTTCATCCCCCCGCTGGAATGGCAGTGATTGCTCGCGTGTGAGTGGAGCTGGAGGAGAATCGGATTGTGCTGAAAACCCGTCATATCCGGGAGAAACGGTTGATACTGTTATAGTACTGTAAATGAAAAGACTGGAACACTGTTATACAAATAAAAAGCCAAGCAAATGTCCAGCCATCGAAGAACTCCACGACCTGTCGAAATTAAGATATTGGCCAATCATGTGTCCACACTAGTCCCAATCTAGTTTAGTGGATTCTCGTGCCTGACAGCATTGATCTATGCCTCAGGCCCCAAGGCCCCAAGGCACGACCGGTTCTCCCCACATCCTCGCCCTCGCTCTCTTCCTCTTCTTTCACCTCCCCCATCCTCTCTTCTCCCCCCCCCACGGATCTTAATCTTCACTTCTTTCTTTTTCTTTCCCTGCATTCTTTCATTACCAGCTCATGTTGATTGGGAAAAGTTTCAGAAAATCATCCTCCTCCAAAAAAAAGATACTGCAAATAGTCTTTCCGATTCGTTCCGCCCCTGAGAGATTCGCAGAGAAAAGGTTGCTCGCGTTTGGCCGAGACCCGAAAGTCCGATATTCACCCTTCGATTCGCCTTCGATCTCCTCTTCTCCCCCCACACTACGGGTCTTCTTTTGCATCGATCATCGTGCTAGGGGTTCTATTTTGCTTCGTCTCGCCGTTACTGTCCGCCGGTTCTTGAACCTGCCTCTTCGGTCGTGACTCGCACTTGGTTGTGTTTTTCTCAACCTCCCGAGTCCTTGTGCCCCCAGTGACCGCGTCGAACTTTCTTTTCTCTCTAGCTGGGACTTGCAGAGCATCTCCCACCGTCTTCTTTTTTGCTTCTCGATCTCGTGTGAGAGACCTTGATATTCTCATAATTGCCTCTTTGGTGTCTTTGCATCGCTTTTTTTTTCTTTTTCCGTGGCTTCCATCCTTTTACCGTTCCCTCGGCTTCTGGACCCTTCCAATCCTCGGTAAACGAAGCACTCGCACCGTTCTGTACAGCTTGATAATATTGGCATCTTGCATCTGCGGTCTTCCTCCTTCAGCCCGCCTGCCGTTCGCTCTTCACTGCATATTTTCGCTTGTGGTACGCGACCCACTATCTCGACCGTCTCTTCAGCGCTGCATCTTGCTTACTTGACATCTCCGACACAGACCTCGCGACTGTGTTCCCACGATCCCTTCATTCGATCTTACCGAAACTTCATTGACTCGATCTTGATTTTCGGGTTGACACCTTTCTGTCTTAGAACTCCAATAATCTCCTAATCACCTCCGCGGCAAAAAAAAGAAGCTCGAAGCTTTGCGGTTGATCCCAAACGCTCGCCTCACACTGTCACGGAGAACTGAACGCGACTTGACGTTTCCACTCTCAGCTCCTTGCACATATACCCCCTTGACCTGCCATCCTCTTCTGACACTCCACGAAAACTATGAGTATGGACGCTGGCGGTCTTACTCAAATGACCTACAACAACAACTTCAATAATGGCACTTCCCTCGGTGTGCCGGGCTCTGGCTTCGCTTCGCGGGGGAAGGGCTCTCACATCAAGCGCCTGAGCGTGCCTCCCCAGGTCGCCACTATTGATGAATCCCAGGCTACTGCTCCCTTGGCAACTCCGCGCACTAGCCGTTCGCATCTTTTGGCCGGGCTCCGAACTGCCCCCCGGTCTGCCACGATCCCCTCGCAACATCAGCAGCAACAACTCCACCAGCAGCGCGGCGGTATGGACAGCTCCCGATATGGTGGCTATACCAGCCGCGGTAACGACCGTGTCCCACAAACTGCAACGGGAGCCGGATTCCCGCAGCATGCTTACGCTCAAACCCAGGGGATGAATGCACATCACGCTCGTCCCGTGTACACTATGCCTGAGCAGGTTCTCGCACCTCCAACTCTGGACATGGGTGGTGATAACGGTATCGATGAGAACCTGTACGCCGAGTTGATGTCGACCAACCTCTTTCTGGCCGCGCAGCAGCAGCGCCTGCAGCAACAGCTGATCAGCGTTACCGCTGCGGCTCAGCAATTCCAGGGCCTCAATTTGGGAGGAATGACCCTTCCTCAACAGCAGCCCATCCCCGCGCTTGCGATGGGCTCTGGCATGGGATTCTATCAGCAGCAGCTTCAACAGGGCGTGCAGCCGATCGTTCAGCCTGTCCCCGGACAGCCTGGCTGGTTCTCAGTCTACAATCCTCTCACCGGTCAACAGAGCTATGTCATGGACAACAGCTTCCAGGATGATGGCCTGTCCCATGGCTATGCCGAGAACTATTCGTCTGGCCAACAGGTTCCCCAGTTCCGTGCTGAGATCTCCCCGCCAGCTGAATCCGTTCCGTCGCCAATGCCGTCCTCCCAGCCGGTCTCCCCTCCTAGCGGCACCCCTTCTCCTCCCACCGAGTCTTCTGCTTTCCGTCGCAACAACCGCAAGTTGTTCAACCCTACGCTCAAGACCAACATCGACACTACCAAGGCGAACATCGGGCCTGGTCCTCGATCTGCTGTTCTTCCTCCTACCCCCGCCACTGGAACTTTTGGTCCTGGCCAGGCTCGTGCTGGTGAGCACCCTATTCGTCAGCCCCGTGGGCCGCCATCGCTGGAGGACCTCGTGGCCAAGCCGACTTCTAAGCATGAGGGAAGCAAGAACTTTGCAACTCGCCAGCGGCGCCGGGCCGTGCACAACCTAGTTCGCGCTGGAATTGAGCGTCGAGGTGATACTCGTAGCTTCGGATACAGCAGTGGCGGCACCAACACCCCCGCTAGTGAGAAGGAGTTCACCTTCTCCGATGGCGACGATGCTACGGTGCGCAGTGGCAGCCTCTCTAGCAAGCCCAGCCTGGGTAGTCTTCGGGCTGCTGCCAACGGTGCTATTGGATCTGAGCGCAAGGAAAAGACCGGCCGGGAGCGCAGATCCCCCGACAGCCCCTTCCACAGCGCCACTCCAACCAGCGAGGACGGCTACTTTGGGTCCAAGTTCTCGGACACTGTCTCATCACCGACGTCTGGCACTACCTCTCCCTCCGTAGCGGCTGTCGTTGCGGGCCAGGGGCAGGTTGCGCAAGCACCTGAACGCCGTAAGACGCCAATGCTTGTGTTGTCCAGCGCTGAAAAGCGCAAGACCCCTTTGATGTAATGCCGACTCCATCATGTGACAGCGACGTATGACCTTTTTCTTGTCTCTTTTTTCCTTTCCCTCTTCATCTTCATTTCATTGGGTGGGCCTTTATGTTTTCTTCCATCGCTTGTTTTTGCCGATGGCCCCTTATCCTTCTATTCGCTCCTTATTCCTCTATCTTGACCACCCGTGTCAGACTTTATGTGTGTGTGATGAAAGACCTGGATCAGTCTGCAATGACTTTTTTTTTCTCTTCTTGCTGGCTCCTACCAAGTTCTTTCACTCTTTTTCACTTCTTGCTGTTCAGTTTTCCCCCTCTGTCATCGAGGCTGGAGCTGACGAATCACATCCATTTTTACTTGCTGGTCTGTGGATCGCGAGTTCGAGGTTGGATTGACAGCGTCGCCTTGGCCTGTCGTCTCTCTTTTTGTCTTTTCGGGCCTCTGACGTACATCCGGTTATGTACAGTCTACCCTCAGGTACCTAAGTAAAGGGCCTTTTAGTGCAATCAATCAATACATAGCTCTGCAGCTAATATCGTTCCGTGTAAATTTCAAAACATAAAGTCTCCAAATTGGAGACAGGAGTTTCCCGAAGCAAGGGTCTTCGGGCGGATATGAGTATTGGCGTTTTGCACAAGCTGAGAGCCATAAGATGTAACGAGGTGATGCTATTTGTCTCCCTCCGAATCCTATATTGCCTGTGAAAAATTAATCATCTAAGAAGTGTGCATAGCTAGTGATTTGCTACCTGTAATATATTCGGCGTGTGTTTTCCAACATGGTAGGCCTACTTTCGATTCTGTGTCCTCCGTATTTGGTATGCTGAGCACCTCGGCTATGATGTCCTATAATTCGACGAGGACGCAGGAAAGGTTCCGAGGTGTGCGGAGACATCATAATATTGAGACAGTCTTCAAGAAAAAAAATCTAGCTGCCGTGAATCAAAGCCCAGCCATAAATATTCTCCAAGCTTTGGACAATTCATCCGCTGGGATACTCTGTGTCAACTTCAAGATAGTGTCGCGCCGTTCGGTCCGAGCATCTCAACACAGTAACAACCTTTCCTGAGGTATTTGCGCCTTTTCCACCATAAACTCGCGAGTACAGGTCATTATTCTCCCACATGAATGGTAACCATGGTGGACGTCTATTGGAGAATGCAATGAGGTCTTGGGCAAACTGAATGGCAACTGCACGTTGGGGTTGTGACAGCGACTCATTGTAGTTCTGGAAAAGAAAGGCAACATCAAGGATGTGATTTGCGGACCCTCTCCACGGACCGTCCCAGGGATTGGGCTCGTTGAAATTGTAAATGAAGGCATGGCCGGACCAGCAGTGTCCATAATGGAGCACGGGTAGGAAGAAGCAGATGTCATTAGCGAACCCAAGTATACTTATGAATGCTTCTTCATCGGAAGTATTCTGGCTGATGGAATACGCGTCGAGGACCTGGTCTGCTTTACCTGCCGAGCCCAGAGACCGCGCCAATGATTCTCTGGAGGCGGATACGATGCCATTTTTGTCTCGGGTGAGCATCGTGGATAGAATGCTAGCCTAATGACTTGTTAAATTTATTTCGTTTTCTTTTCGGCAGCAAGGATTCGTACATCCGTCTGGCAATCGCCAATCATAATTTCTTCACACCACTTACGGCCTGGAAGGTTGAGCAGGCCAGCAGTTCCTCGATAAATCTCAGAATATGTATGACGTTTTACACCTGTTTCACCCCCTATCACTGGAAGCAGGGCCCTATCACTGGAAGCAGGGGGTCACTGGGACGAATAGCCTGGAGCAGCTTCCTAGTATCCATATTTACTAGCGTGCTGACTCCGTGGGAGGCTGGAATTGAGGCTAGTCCCAGTCGATCAATGATAGCTTGGTAAGTAAGCTCCATCGCCTGCTCAGGAAGCGGTTGCATGAGGAGATTTGTACCACTCATGCTGACCATTCGTTTGAACAGGGGTATTTCTGATTCAAGATGATGTGTTGCAGAAACTGAAAGGCATTAGACTCAGCTTACGCGGTATAGAAATGGTGCATGGATGTAGCGGACCTCCACCAGCGCTCTCGCCGACGAGTGTTGTGTTGTCGGGATCACCTCCGAACCCAGAAATATGTTGCTTGATCCATAGCAAGGCCGTGCGTTGATCATGGAGCCCATTGTTGGGCTTGTATCCATGGGAGACGAGCTCATTGGATGTTAGGAACCCAAAAGCCCCAAGGCGATAGCTGCAATTAGCCGTTAGTGACGACAGTAATAATTTGTACATAGGCGGTAGCACAGATTATACGTACTTGATGTTCACCCCGATGACAGGCTGGCCGCCTCTCACTGAAAGGTCAACAACACGCCGGAAATCATACTGGGGCCACGAATTGGCCCCAATCCCGTAACCACCGCCATGGAGAAAAACGATAACAGGCAGGTTAGCTCCCGGAGAGACATCCGTTGGGGCTGTAATGTTCAAATTCAGACATTCAGTATCCGACTTCTGGATATCCGGGACTGGAAGTGCTTTCTGAATGTGGCCGAATTCAATTTCGATACTCCGTGGTGGCAAGGGAGCTGTCAGACCAGGATAATCAAAATCTGCTCACTGTCACTGTATTAGGCTATCATACCCTTGAACCGTCGCATCAACAATACCGTTGATAAATCCTTCGGACATAAGAGGCGGAGCCCATTTGCTAGCCAAAATAGCATAACGGAGACCAAGGAACTGTTGGGTAGACAATGAGGTCAGACCCCGTATGATCCCAAGGGACGGGTGGGGGAAGTTGAAGGTGCCCCCCATAATCAAATAGGTGCTCTTGCAAGGATACAGGAGTCACCTGAAATGTACTCAAGAATTCATCCTTATGCACTTCTGACCCTCGTCCAGCGTCCCACCTGGCAAGTGGGGGCTCTTTGGCAGATGGGGTGTCAGGCATTAGGGATACCTGGTATCAAATTGGCAGAGGAGTTATACCGGTATTATCAATGCGGGTTGCTCTTAACATCGCATTATACCCCCTCCATTGTCGTCTTTATGTATCGCAAAAATGAACCGCAAGAATGACTGTCGATGAAATCGTACTCAATGGTGGTCAATGGAGCAATGAAGCTTGGGACAATGATTGACCTGGTATTTATAACTGACATCCTCTCTTTTTATCTTCAAAATTCTCAAAATGTTTTACGGATTCCAGCCAAAGGCATCTCTTACCTGTTCCACGGGCAAGTCCCCTCGGAGCTTGTACTGTATCAGGTTAAACTACGCTTCATCTATAAACACATCGGCAGCAGTAGCTACTCGTGGCTGTCATGGCCCGAGGTGCGTAAGTAGTCAAAATCAAGAAATCCTCCGTTTACCCCTCTCGCCCGCCTCTTCTTTGGCACAAGATATAACAAGCTCCGCAAGATGATTGAGAATATGCTCCATATTCCATAGGAGCGGGGTATTTGGACATACAGCTGCAACCAACTTAAACGCGTTAGCTTAGCCTTGCGGCGTAAGGTGGAGCCTAACCATAATTTAAGTTGCGCAGATCCACCTCCCCGATTACAGACTTTGAAATCGCTACTGCGATGGGTTCCGACCTTTTCTAGCTGTCAAGTTCTCGAAAATTGTGTGCAAAATAGAGTTTTGCAGCCTTAGAAAGGATTCGAGGCACTGCCATGGCGTATATAGGAACCTACCACTATCTTAATAGGAAGGCTACTGGTAACACTACTGCACAAATAGATTTAATAAAATCGTTTTTGATATCGGACAGAGCTAACTGGAAGCCCGGCCTCCTGGTTAGACCATTTATAGGAGGATCCAGCACGAATTAGTGGCATAGCGGGTGGTTCAATTGGGCAGGTAGGCGGGATATGCGATTTTGAAATCGGTGTTCCGCACGGCCTGGTGTTCCCGTTGGCCGTGAAGTACGTTGACGAAGTTGCCAGCTAGGGGCAGTATAGCAATTCAGACTTACTGATATATATCCTATTGGTGCACAGTATGATCCACTAGGCAACATTTCTGACTAAATTCCGAGACATTCTCCTTGGAAAAATGCAATTTCAAGACTCGAGTTTGAATATACCATCCTTACTGGCTGTGGCGCCTGTGCTCCACATTAACTTTATGGTCCCAATCTCTTACAGATTTGATGGAATCGCAGCCAGCCCGCTGAATCCACGATAGCCAACAAACATCTCCGCCGGGTCCCATTTTTGGCGGATGGCGAGAAATCTCTCTAGCGCGGTTTCGGAAAGCACCTGGAGAGCTAGCTGTAAGCATTGTGATAAAATAACCGATGAAACATGAAGTGTTCAAGTCCTTACCGGGGTGAATCTCTGATTTACATCGAAATCAGCAATATACTGCCCGCATGATACTTTGGAGGCGCAAGCATATGTCCGGCGCATCCAATGTCTCATGCGATCATCCCATGAAGGGTCAGTCCAGCAAGTCATCGAGGCAATATAATAATGCTGTGGAAGACTGATGGCTTGGTTGTTCTCATCCGGAAAATAATCTCCTATGTAGATACATCCAATTGAACGGCGTGTGGGCAGATCATACAGAGCCGGTTTGATTGTGGCGATCAGCTAGTTAAGAGCACACAGCAAGTTAGCTAAAAGTCTTCTCCATTCTCTGTAACACCGACAGGGCAAAATCAACTTATCCCTACCTCGTCTCTCGTTACGCCTGGACGATCCAAGATGCTGTCACACTGCCATCTCTCCCCATTCCCCGAAGGATTCAGTTTGTCCTGGGCCTCAAATAATTCGCTCCAACTTCGTTCGCATGTCGGCGTTATCGACACCAGATGCTGCTTTAAAGCCAGCGGCAGAGTTGTCCAGGGAGTTAACAAAGACTGCGCTTCGGCCATCGTGTCGACAAAAGCTATCGCACTGGCCGCTAGGAAGACCCGGGTATCTCCCACCTCTTGGCCAAGATCCGGTTCGTCGCGGTCTGGCCGGAAGGTCGCGAAGGCTATTTCAACCCCGTGCTTGGGAGTACTGTCGCTCAGTTCAAATAGAGCACGAAGGACAGCAGTGAAGGATTGAGTACAATCAAAGACTGCGACCGTCTCCCACAATCGACGCGTCGGAATTGTTTTCCCCCAGATCCTCGTTACGACACCAAAAAATCCCTGGCCACTGCCTCGCGCAGCCCAAAATAGGTCGGCATTTTCCGTCTTGCTTGCCTGCACAATCTGGCCCTCCGCAGTCACAATTTCCATACGTTCAACCCAACTGTCAGAGGTACATCCCCATCCACGCATGAACCAGCCTTGCCCGCCGGCGAGTAGGAATCCTCCTGCCGCAACGGTTGGCGAGTGTCCGAAGGGGAAAAATCTGCCTTCAGCCGTCAAGGTGTCGGCAAGCTCTTTTGATCGAACTCCTGGTGGAAATTCTACCAACTGAGTCAGGCTATCATACTTGATTCCCTGATTGAGGTGGCTGGTGTCAATCAAGACACCACCTTGTATCAGCGAGCAGCAGGGGAACAAATGACCGCCAGATCGCACCCCAGCCTTTAAGTTGCTGATGCGCGCTTGGTTGATAATCTCTGCTACCTCAAAAGTCGATTGAGGGCTGTAGATTACCGCGGGCTTCGTCGGGGGTACTCGGGCGTGGAAAAATCGGGTTCGTAGTGTTTCATATTCAGAGGACCCTACGGTCACAGCCTTGCACTTCATCATAGCGCAAGATGCACAAATTCTTAATAACAGCTAGACATCTCGGATAAATCTTATTTTTCACTTAGTTATTTCACAACACTTATATGTGAGTATGGGTGGGTGGCGACTGGAAAGGGCAGACTCTCTCACCCCACATGGGCATCCAGGAACCCCCGAATTGACAAAACATAGTACCTGTGTCTAACATGATGGTATCTTCCCCCGCATGTTTACCCCACAAAGATACGCTTGTGGAAGCTTGCCAAGAAGGTTTTCCACTATATATACACCTCAACTACAAGTTATATAGTTTTACCGAGCATTTAAACTCATTCGTCATGGATGGACTATTCCTATTCCTCTTCCGACTCCTTTCGCATCAATGTATAGTTCTAGGAGGATTCATCATCCTCGCTTGGAGCCTTTTATTTGTTGCAAAGATAGTATTCCATCCTCTTCGAGATATTCCAGGTCCATTGTGGGCCCGATTCTCTAGGGTTTGGTACTTGCGTACAGTGAACAAAGGACACTTTGAGAAGAGGAATATTGCTCTCCATCGAGCACATGGTGCGAACACTGCATTTTCTATCATATTGAAACCAGTTTTTGCGGCTTATGCTTATTTCATATCTGTAGGACCAATTGTCCGAATAGCTCCCGGGCAATATAGCTTGGATGACGCTGGGGCAGTTCGCATAATCTACTCACCTTCTTCGTCTTTCATCAAGGTATTTGGCATGTTCCAAACCAATGACATGTTGGCTAGAGCCAGAAATAATAGTAATTTTCTAGGCACCGTGGTACTCTGCAAGCTCAAATCCTAACCCCGAATCTCATGATCTGTTCACCGATAGGGATTCGCGACGCCATAGTGCCAATCGACGAAAGGTTGCATCATTGTACAGTATGACTAGACTTGTCCAGATGGAATCGTGCGTCACAGAGTGTACTGCCCTCTTGATGGAGAGGCTTACTAGGTTTTGTGTATCCGGTGAGCCGTTCAACTTGCAGCGTTGGATGCAGTACTATGCCTTTGATGTGATTGGTCTCATTACGGTATGAATCACGATATGGGTCTTGAACATGCTGGGGATGACATACTGATGTGGAACGAAGGTCAACAAGCGATTCGGTTTCTTGGATAATGCCACCGACCAGAACTCATTAATTGCTTCCCTACATTATTATCTCGTCTATGCTGCCAATGTTGGTATTTACGCAGAGTGGCATCCTATAATAGCCAGGATCATGGCATTTCTCCCAGCGTCCGGAATAAAGCACTTGCAATCCTTCACAGCACAACAGATATCCGAAGGCAAGAAGAACTTCTTGAAGACACAGAAACCGCAATCCTCGTCCGAATCCTTTCTGCAGACGCTCATACGGTTGAATACCCAGAATCCGGATAAATTCAGCTTGGCAGACATCTTCACAACTTGTATAACCAACATTGGGGCCGGCTCTGATACAACCTCCATCTCTCTTACAGCCATCTTATACAATCTCCTCAAACATCCGAATGTCTACCAGAAGGTTACTATTCATTCATGAATCTATTGTATTGCATGCTAACTCCTATTTCACATAGCTCCACGAGGAAATTAAGCAGGCTGATAACCAGGGTAAACTCTCTTCACCTGCCATCTCCTTCCGAGAGTCTCAGAGTCTACCATACTTCCAAGCGTGTGTAAAGGAGGGCTTGCGTTTACACCCTGCAACTGGATTACCTCTTTCTCGCGTTGTTCCAAAGGGTGGAGCCACATTATGTGGTAGATTCTTCCCTCAAGGCGTAGGTTACCTTACGTTAAGTCTCACACGAAATATGCTGATATTATCTTCCTGTAGGAGATTGTTGGCGTCAATGCATGGGTTATCCATCGAAACAAATCAATATATGGAATGGATGCAGATTTTTATCGCCCAGAGAGGTGGATAGAGAGTCCTGAGCGATCATCTGAGATGGAGCGTAATTTTCTAGCTGTAAGTTGCGATCATCTTATCACTATTCCTACTATAGGATCATGGAACAGAAGCTGATCAGTAGCGGGGACGTCAGTTCGGCGCTGGAGCACGAACATGTATTGGCAAGAACATTAGCTTGATGGAAATTGGGAAATTGATTCCAGAACTTATTAGACGCTTTGACTTTGAGCTGGTTGATGAAGGGGTACCTCTGGATACTCAGAATGTGTGGTTCGTCAAGCAGACGAATATTCAGTGCCGGGTCAGATTACGGGGGAAAGGCAAGAACCCGAGCAACGACCGTGGATGCTGACCGCAAAACATGAAGATAATTTTCAATATGCCCCAATGCTATCCAAATGACGCTGTTTTATTGTCGCTGGAACCCTTTTCTACCATCTCAAATTGTAGAACCATGTATGGCCCTGTACGATGGACATAACATATGTATTTTACGACTCTCGTCTATAAGATGAAACTGGGAAATTATAGTAGGTTAATTAAATTATAAAGGAGTAGTCAACCATAGAGGGTAAATTATCCTGCGTTACGACCCCGGAAGGGGGTCAGGGGGGGGGGGGGGGGGATCCTCCTAGGTGAAGGGTCCGGGGGCCGTAGACCCCTAGTAGAAAGCCTGAAAGATAGCTAGACTAGAAGCTCTATTATATACTATAACCTTATTATTTCTAGCTCAGTCTACTTCCTTAGGGCTTTATTAATAATCTCTGTCTCCTAGATGGATAGTGGTAGTTGAAGGGGTTGATTCTTATCGGATACTTGTTTAGCAGTCTCTGCCCTTTCGTGCCTTGCAAATAACAATGAGCTTAAATTTTGCAATACCCAATCCATCGGTCATATAATAAGTTGAACGAGTAGCAACTGGCATATAAAGTTGGAAGAACCACGCGGAAGAGATGAGATTTGAAGAAGGACTAGGGAACGTAGTACAACAGATATAATGCGGTGACAAATAAAAGGTAAGGTGTCTCCAGTAAAACAGGCATCAGAGCTTCGTCGACGCTGGTGGAGGTTCTACTCCATCACCCTCAGGCGACTTATTGACTGGAGTAATTTCCCAGCCTCTCCCTCGGTATCTTGCGGGCCAGATGCCACTCCGCCCTGGTGCCAGGATTCCGTTTGGATCCAGGCAGTCCTTCAGCTTTTCGTTGAAGTTCATGAGCGCGTTATTGTTCCACGAGTAAGTTCCCGCGACCTGGTCACTCAGTAGTAGATGGGTACGATACTCACCGTATCCCTTCTGGGCAGCTTCGTCAATGAGAGATCTCATTACCTCCAGTGCATTGGATCGCTGCTTGGGATCATCACGGTCATACACACATTCCCCAATCAGGTGGAGCTCGCGGAGTCCAACGACGAAGTCAAGGAAGAAATCCAGCCCAGACGCAGTCCAGTGTTTCTTGGCCATCTGCCATAACCGTAGCGCATCTACACCTCGAGTAGGCGCCACGGGACTAAAAGCAACATGCCCGCCATTCGGCCACCAGTTAACCCAAGCAAGCTCTTCAAGGTCCGGCTCTCCGCTCGAAATTTTGTCGCGAGACCAGAAATAGTCGCTAGGTGGTAATGTGGCCGGGTCGACCCTTCGGGCACCCGGTACTTTCATGAATTCGCGGTGGATGATATCGAGCTTGAGCTGGCGAATTTCCTTCGGGCCGTAACATGTACCGAAATATAACCAGGTAGATTCGCCATAAGGGTGAGCTTTCATGTACTCGGACATCTTCTCACTGGGAAAAGCACCCTCTCCCTTGTAAAATGCCGTTCGGGGTTTTCCAGACAGTGCCAGAATTTGTAGCGCATGACGGATATTTGCTGCATTGTCCAAGATCATAGCAATTCGCAGAGGACGGACAATCTCGACAAGTTGTTCCAAATCGCCCTCTTTCTCGAAGGTATACAGCTGCAATGGAATTATTAATACGGGACTGGCAACGTCATTAGGTTATCAGGTAACTCACAAAGCTCTCATGACCACCTGGATCCGGCATCAGGCCAAATCCCATTTTAGTGACGATGCCGTAGTTTGATTGAGAGAATATGCCACTGGAGAGAAGTGTATCAGGAACCAGTAAATATATTCTGGGAGCCGAACTTACTCGATGAAAGGACCAAAGCCGTAAGGAAATACCTGCCAAGTATTGTTCCCCGGCAGGGCACCCATCCCAGTCCGAACTACCTCACCGGTCGGCGTGACAACTTCAAGCCCAGAATGCATTGCCCAATGATCCCCGTATGGTGTATACCCGACTCCATGATCAAGGGCATTGCCTAGCACCGATCCACCTCCGAGGTCAGGAACGTCAATCCAGAGGTGCTTGTAGCCACGCCTCTTGATTTCCTCATATAGTGCGTAATAGGAAACGCCTGGTTCGACCAGGCACGTACAGTCCTCTGGATTGATATCGAGGATCCTATTCATACGTTTCCCAAGGTCGACCACAACAGCGCCACGAACGCGTGGTGCAGCACCGCCATAGCCAACTGTTATAATTGCTGGTCAGAGGGCGTTATCAAGTTAGCAAGAGGCTTCGACGTACAGTTTCGTCCCATGGAAATGGGGTGCAAGGGGATGAGATATTTGTTTGCCCAATGAACAATTTTCTGTACCTCATCTGTACTAGCCGGGTAGACAACGGCAGAAGCAACGAGATCTTCCTCATCTGTAATAGCCATTCCGTCATGTGTATTGGGGGCTGATTAAAAGCCGCCTGTTAAAAAGCTGTTCACTATCTCTATAAGAAAGGCCGCTTACGCTCCATGTACCTATTTGAAATTTAGTATTCTGTTCATCAATTGTGTCTTGGAGTCGGAGCATATATTACCAGCCATCATCAAGAGGTTTGTCATTAATTTCAACATTCTCATTACCTATTTCCCTGGACAACTCATCGATAGCTAGGAAAAACTGCGATCGCTCGATTCCTTGTGGTACCGCGGGCAAACGTTGTCTAGGTCGGAGTGGCTTGGTCGCAATGTCTTGTATGAGAGCTTTCGCGCGATGCGCCTTATGCAATAGGCGCGATGGCACACCATTGTGCTTTTGTTCGAGCGTGGGTATGGGAGCGAGTTTGTCGGAGGACATGATCAAGACCGTTTGGGCTCGGAAGACGGGCCAGGGCACAGAATGTTGGGCCTTTTATACTCAAGGATTACGTGGAATAAGAACAAAGCTTTCAACACTAAAGCCTATTGTGTTGAATCCAGTCCACTTAGAACTCCGATGTGCATAGCTTATGGAGTCAACACATAATTGCCTTGCTATCACAAAGGTGGGGTGCTGCGGGAAAGCTACCATTTCCCCCCACATGCCCAGTTTAAATGTATCTCCGTCGTCTCTTGAAATATCAAGCTTCAGTATCAAGAGGTCTGGTATTGATCAGTATCTTTCTTTCAAGATCTCACTGTATTACTCAGAATGTCTCAGCCAGTTGCCATCATTACTGGGGCGTCGTCGGGCATGGGGCTTGCCGTCACGAAACATCTGGTTGCACAAGGATGGAGAGTCGCTATGGCCGATATTGATGAAGATACTGGACGAAAAGTTTCGGCTGAGCTCGGAGACCAAGTCTTATTTTGCCTCACGGATGTCAGTTCCTACTCGCAGCAAGCAGACCTATTTAGAAAGGCCTTTTTGTGGGGAGAGAATAGGCTGGATCTTTTTGCCGCAAATGCTGGCATTGCGGACACGCAATTCCTCCAAGAAAACGACTACAACTATGACGAAAAAGGCCTCCCGCTGGCATTGAACCTCAAAGCCTTGGATGTGAATTTCACAGCTGTCATACAAGGGATATGGCTCTTCAAACACTACGCCCGACAAAACAAAATTCCAGGTGGGAAAGTTGTGATTACGTCCTCAAGTGCAGGGCTATATCCTATGGAAACGAACCCTGTATATACGGCCTCCAAACATGGTCTAGTCGGGCTTACCCGAGCCCTGGGACCGGCACTCCTTCGGCAGAATATTCAGATAAACGCCATCTGTCCAGGCTTTGTACCGACTGCTCTGTGCCCGAAAGAGATGCTCGATCGCTTTCCAAAGGAGCATATCACTCCAATGTCGACTGTCATCAAAGCATACGATGCATTTCTCGGGGATCATTCCCTTCACGGACAGACCGTTGAGCTAAGTCTGGATCAGCTATATTTTCGCACCAAGCCCGACTATCCAAACGAAAGCCAACGCTGGCTGGGGGAAGATTCAGCCAGTTTCTGGGAGGAAGCTTATACCACACCCGTGTCTTGATGACGCCGAGAAAGCATGGTTATAGCGGATATCTATCTTTCCACGGAACGGATCCAAGCCTTGTTGCTGCGGACAAACAGTAGGCTTAGAGATATACGCATTTGCCTGGACTATTTGAGATGCTGTGACAGCCAAGTCTGTTTAGTTATTTTTGAGTTAGAGAACACGAATGTTGGCCTAACCTTCAACTCCACCAGCTTCTAACTCCCAATCTCAAAGGCCCTCACGGTGGCCATCTGCACGATAAATGGGCACATCCAGAACGTATAGAATACAAACTAACAGTCGATCTTCAGTGGAATTACTACGATGCGCCGTTAGCCTTAGAATTTGCAAGTGAAAGAGACTCACTATACTTGGATTTTAAAGCGAACGAAGTGAATTAGGTGTCCCTTCACTAACACATGATAATGTACGGTTTCGCGGCAACGAAGACTTTTCTCACTTAGTACTGGTAGCTATCAGGAATAACTAGGACTTTCTGTAGGTGTGTGTGAATTTAAATGTTATTAAATTGTCTTGTAAATTCTCATACCTAAGTGAACCGTCATTTGTGAAAACCTTTCTTTCAGTCGCAGATCCAGTAGTTGAAATACACATAACTAAGTAGCATTATCCCTACGCCGTCATGGCAAGTAACTCATACGAAAGCAGGAAGCTGGATATCCTCGTTAGAGGCTAGTTATTTGCTGTGCAGAGATGGTGCAATAAACTGTAGGGCGATGAAGACCGCTGACACCACAGGGAAGGTGACTTCACAGCCGATCATAGTAGCATTACTATATCTGGATCGGCCCTCTGTTGTACAAGGATTCTCAGAATCACCTTGAATAGTAAGGACTGAGACTCTCTTTTTCTGCCCCAGGGCCTAGTAAATCACTGATTAGGATAGGCACTTCAATTTAACTTAATCAAGGACCCCCTCGCAATGACATTATATAGTATTACATCTCTCCCTCTAAAAGAATACCTTCTATGCTTTTGATACTAGGAAACTTTTAAATAGTTACTATACTAGAAAAAGGGTACACCATAGCGGACCGTAACCTTCTGGTGGAGGCTGAATAGATAATCTGCACCAAAGCCTTAGTAGTACAGCCAAGAAAGAGAGCCTCAACGTGTACCACGAGTCAAGATAATTACAGGAATCTCTGTATCAACGAAGTTACATATGAGGGCACTATTGAAACATGGAGGAGGTAGCGGCGAGAAATTGTAAGAATGAACAACTACATTCGCCTTACCAGGAGGAAAAGTGATGTGCAAAATCAAAAGGGAATAACAGGGAGTGTCGTGATAACTTCTCCCTCGTTTATCCAGTTATCTAGTGGCCAGTAAAATTCGACCGGAGACTGCAACACACAAAGGACCGACCCTGTGTGCTTAAGCAGAGTCCGAGAGTTTGGTAGAACAAATCAGGGCTAAGATAGCGGAGACGCAAAGACGTGATCTACTCTGTGGGAACTCCGTGTTTTGTATTCAAGTGCTCAAAGTGTGGGGTGAATCCGGGGAAATCTCCTAGCGAGATTCACTGGCTCAGCAATCAAGGGCTACGTATGTGAGATTAGACTCGCTCCGCGGGGAAGCACCTCAAGTAGACCACCCGATTTTCAACCCGGCATGGCCTTAGTGCCTGCTGGCAGCTCCCACTTCACCCCACATGGGCATTCATAACTAATTTGTGACATTGTTAAGCAGGATAATTGCGTAACAGGACTTTACGACTCTCGAGTCGAATAGCGCCTACCTATAGTTTATCCCATCCTGTTCAACAGCATACACGTGGATTCCACTACTGGGCTTATTGGGGCATGATGAATCGATGACACTGCTCAGGAGCAGAGTGGTAGAGGAAGAGAAATTTGTTTTCTTGAATTACTCATCCCATGTAATCTACCTATCGCCAAGATCTCTAGCCTAATTTTAATCTTGACCCACAGGTTGATCAGTGCTGTCGCGTGTGGAGTCGTAGACTCCGGAATATCCTTCTCCACATGAGCTGTGTCATTATCCCCGCGTGTTGTATATTGAAAAACCTATATATTCATCTCCAGGATTCGGGTTTGGGTGGAGTTCGAGTGATCTGCCCTACCAATTTCTAGCCTCGTTTATTCCTTGTAACTACAACACCTTTATCCAAGCATTTCTCCGACCATGGGCTTGGGTGTACTGGAGAACTCTTCGGGCTTGCGACGAGTTCCTGGAACTGTTACTCTAGCTGAGATTGACCACCAGAACACTGGAAATGCTGGACGACTCAAAAGAGGCACTAGACGCGACAAAAATATCATCCTCACGCCGCAACCGTCGAACGATCCAAACGATCCGTTGAATTGGCCGTACTACAAGAAAGTCACAATCGTTGCAATTATGGTTTTTGGGGCATGTCTGAACGCTGCGACAATCGGGCCTCTCCTCAGTGCCAGCATTGTGGTTCTTTCAGAGGAATTCAAAAGGCCTCTGACTGACATCACGCTTCTGACAGGTTACAACATGGTCGTTGCTGGGGCTTCTTGTCCATTGGCCTCGGCGTTGGCTACTAAATATGGGAAGCGACCGGTTTTTCTCGCCTCGTCACTTGCATGCGTTATCGGGAGCATTATAGGCTCGGCCAGCAAAACATACCATACCCTCCTTGCAGGTCGCATTATTCAGGGCTTTGCAATTGCCGCATACGAGTCTCTCACCTTCACCATGATTGGCGACTTATTCTACGTCCATCAACGTGGGCTCTGGGTCAATGTCATTTCTTTCACTCTCACGGCTGTGTCCAATATGAGTTCTATCATTTCTGGGCCTGTTACGAATAACCTGGGCTGGCATTACCTTTTCTACCTCCTGGTGGCTTGCTCAGGGTTCCAAACGCTCTTACTCCTTTTATTCGCCCCGGAAACTTGCTACATAAGGGATCCTTGCTTTAACGAACACCTCGCCACCGGCAATGAGAAATTCGATGTGAAGGGAACTACAGTAGTAGAACATGTCGAGTCAGCATCACAACTGACTACACGTCCACCTCCTGCGAAGACCTTCTGGCAAGAAATGGCCATTTACACGGGAACATACAGCGAAGAGAGCTTTATTAAGCTCTTGCTAGGTCCATTTCTGTGCCTCACTAACCTGTTCGCGTTGTGGACTGTCGTAATAACCGGTGTCATTACCTCAACCTACGTCGCCATATCCTACATCGTGGCGCAGATATTCTCTCCGCCGCCTTATTCGCTGTCAACCGCTCAAGTTGGGTACCTGTCCACAGGCCCATTCCTTGGCGGCGTCATTGGCTGTACTCTAGTTGCACAGACATCAGACCGTCTAACCATCTGGATGGCAAAACGCAACAACGGTATCTACGAGCCAGAGTTCCGGCTTCCGTTGATTATCTTTGCATTTATCTGCACCGGTGGGCTGTTCGGTTTTGGTGTTGTAGCACAGGCACAAGGAAATGTCTATCTGATCGATTTCATGTGGGGGATGACGCTGGTTGGAATCGCCTTTGCTGTTGGACCTTGCTCGGCTTACGCGATCGATGCATTCCGCGATATGAGCAATGAGATTTTCGTGGCAAATGTCATGTTTAAAAACTTTTTGTTCTTTGGTTACAGCTACTTCATCAACGACTGGATCACGAAGGATGGGGTGGCCAGTCCGTTCTATGTATTTGGCGGTATTAGTGCAGGATTGATTGTGACGGCACTTCCTGTCTATCTGTTCGGGAAAAAGTACAGGAGTATGTGGTCTCAGTACAACATTATGGAGATGCTGAAGATTCAGACACATGCCGAAATGTAGAATTTCCTAGTCTGTTTGGAGACCAATGGAGGTCTTGGACTGGGAGATGTTAGTGAATAAATAACGTTGGAGGGCAAAGATAATGAGTTCTTCTCACACTTTCCAAGTCAATGTTAAATTGTCAATAGTTACTGTACATGAAAATGATACGTTACCTTCTGTGTGGCACTGTGTGTTTGATTGTCCGCAGGTTGGGTTGCAAATATTTCCCGAAGAACCCTCCTTCCTTCCCCACATAGATTGTGCTCGGTTCAAACCGGCAATTAAGGTAGGCCCGAGCATCATATCTTGACATGGATTTTCAATAACCTCAGAGAAGCGGGGAAATACATCTTGTAACTGATGTCCTTTTTACCTGAAAGATCATACTCTCTACTGTTGTAAACCTGTGCCACCCATTAAGGCAATAACTATAGAGAACTAAGGCAAGAGTGATATTTGTTGTTTATGAAAAGGGAAAATGACCATTCTTTTCAATGCCCATATCATTATCCTCGGCGCCGGATCATGTGGCCTGCTATTTGCTCTCAAAATAAAGCTTGCAGGTCTGCTTACGAAACGATCTGATGGAGTTAGAGGAACAGCTTAGGGCATGTCACTACGGCACACCTGCAACATGCGAGTTCACCCGCGCTGGTATTATGGGGTGGATATCTCAAGAAGTCTTCCACCCACAGAGTGTATGCAGGAGGACGGAAGTGGGACGCAAATCGTCGGTCTGAACAACGAAGTTGAGCGCCAGCATGAATCGAATGTTCTGCTTCAGGTTGGATTGTGCTACTATGGGAGACAATATCTGAGATTCTAGAGGAGTATAGACTGGAAATTGCAAGATGTTCGTTACTTCCCAACGAGCGAAATGATCATCTCTTAGGCACCGATCACGTAGATGTAATGTATTCAGGTTATGTAGCCAGGCTCAAGTGTGTAAGCAAAGCCTTCGTCAATAACGACACCAAAATAAACTAATCTATCGATATGAAGTACAATCATAAAGCCTGAGTACCGCTTCCCCAGAACCTATCGAAGCCGATGTCACTTTAGTGATCTATGTTGCCAATAGTCACAGTTTTGAGGGTCTGATACTCGGCCATGCCATACTTGCTGCCTTCAAGACCATATCCACTCCCCTTGATTCCTCCAAACGGCGCCTCCACTGCACTCACCTTGCCTGTATTAACACCACACATGCCAAGCTGGAGTTTCTGCGCAAGACGCATCACCCGCCCGATATCTCTCGAGTAGAGATAACCCGCAAGACCAAACTCAGTATTGTTTGCCAACCTCACCACCTCCTCTTCACTCTCGAAAGCAAATATCGGTGCTAATGGGCCAAAAGTTTCTTCTTGTGAAACTTTCATTTCTTCTGCCACCCCAGTGAGCACAGTCGGCTCAATAAAGAACCCGTTTTCGAGTCCTTCAGGAATCGTGCCCCCAGTTCGCACCTCAGCACCCTTGCCAACAGCGTCGGCAATATGATCTTGTACCTTTTGCACAGCGGATTTGTTGATTAGAGGGCCCTGTGTCGAATTTACCTCAAGGCCGGGACCACATTTGAGCTGCTTGACTTTTGTAACGAGCTTCTGCGTAAACTCCTCGATGACACTCTTTTGCACATAAAACCGATTTGTACACACACAAGTCTGCCCAGAACACCGGAATTTTGAAGCCATAGCCCCCTCGACAGCGAGATCAAGATCTGCGTCTTCAAAGACAATAAAGGGAGCATTGCCACCAAGCTCGAGACTGACCTTTTTCAGTGTACCCGCAGCCAGCTTTGCCAATCCTTTCCCAACACCCGTGGACCCAGTAAAACTTATCTTCTTTATCAGTGGATTGACCGCCAACTCAGAGCTAACAGCTCTATCCCTAGTCGGAACGACCTGAACGACATTTGTAGGGAAGCCAGCGTCAACCATTAATTTTGCGAATGCTAATGCTGTGAATGGGGTTTCCGACGGAGGTTTAATAACGACCGCACATCCCGCCCCCAATGCGGGCGCGATTTTCCGTGTTATCATGGCGGCAGGGAAATTCCATGGAGTGATAATCCCACATACACCCACGGGTTCTTTGACGTCATGACCACAGTGTTCAATGTCGAAGATGGGATAAAGTCACCGTAGGCACGGGGTGCTTCGGCCGCGAACCAGGTGATAAAGCTGGCAGCGTGGGCAATTTCCGCCCGAGATTCGGCAATAGTCTTGCCATTTTCAAGACAGAGAATGATTGATACTATGGTCGATCGATTAGCTGGAACCAATGATGGGGTTTTGAGGGAGCGTAAAAGTACAATCATATATATTGGCCATGACCATATCGTGCCACTTTCTGAGTAATGAGCCGCGGGAAGCGGCCGTTGTCTCGGTGAAGTATTTCGGCTGGGCATTGTATGCGCTCTGGATGGCTGTTTGCATGGCGGCCATGTCGCAGTTTGCGGTAGTGCCTAAAATTGTGCCAGTGGAGGGCTCTAAAAAATTATTATACGGTTAGCTAAAGAGAGTGCTCTTTCCTTTCCTTTCACCTTTAAGTGTCGCAGGAAGAGAGGTCTAACCATAGACATTGAATGTCTCGCTTGCTTTCACCCATTTCCCGTCTATGAAGGCCGAATTCTGAATGAATAGGCCGGGTTCTTTCAGGTCACTGATGGCTTCGGTGGGAGAAAGCATTCTGGAGGCTTGAGAACAACAATATGTAATCAGATGCTAATTGAGAAGGAAGAGCTAGGCGGAGCCTCGGTGTCTTATTATGTACTTCAATGTCGGGACAAACAGTCCCTCCGTATATAGTCTTTATAGGTGTCAGGGATTATATGCCCAGTGGAGCCCCTCCCACTCACAACTATTTTGATAATAGTTAAGAATTAAGCAGGGAAGTATTGATCTAGGTACCCAGCGACAGTCTCTTTGGTGAACTCGCAAACTCGAAGCCCACATACCCCACATAAAGACCTTGCGACTTATCAATTTTCATCCACATTATTCGACAAAATCGCACTCTCTCAGGAAGCATTCTAGTCCAGAAGTTATATATGAGAATTTGCTGCGTGTTCGGTCAATGATATGATATTTTCTTGACGATAAAAGGAGCTACTGTGACTTTATCCGAGTATTCAAGGCTGACGCAATGAAAACTTGCTGAGAACTCATCCACACTTTAAACCTGCTATATTTTTATTGTCAATAGATTGAATATTTAAAATATTGAATAGTAAGGACTCTGTTAAAATTTCAGTGTCAAAATAAATCGTCCTTACTAAATGTCAACCCGCAAACCGTATTCTGTTTGAGGCGTGTACGCACGGGCACTGGCGCATGAAATGATTCGGGTCATAGGACTTTGTACCCACTAAGCTGTGCTGGGATGACAGCCCCGCAGTGTATTAACGTGGCAGAAGTGCAAACAAGACAATTTCATAAAAATGTCAACTTGGCATCGTCCTAACCGAATGAAGGCGTGGGTAGTATCCTCGTCTCCATAGTCTCCTTAGCTTTGGACAAAGGACGAGGGCCGAGCACCTCACCCCACACCCGTGTTGATCGTTGTTAAGACTCAGGGAGAGAACATAGTATGAGAATACATCCTTGAGTTGCTTGTTTGCCTTATCTTTACCGCAGCCGCCTTCCCCCACATGCTGCTTCAGTAACTTTAAGGTAATTGGCCCCAGGAAAGATTGTTAACAAGGCCCTTCCACTCTCTCCTCCTTCGTCTTTATACTAGAACAAGATATGTCTACATTCAAAAAAAGTCAGATTGTTGGCATCATTGGCCCTGCTGGATTTGGAGGCTCATACCTTTGTGTTGAGCTCATCCGTAGGGGACACTCGGTCATTGGACTCTCACGCAACCCTGAGTCCTTTGGTACATGCCCTGGTTATACGCCTAGAAAGTTAGACCTTGAGGCAGCTAGTATTGGCGACCTTGCAAACTATTTCCGCGACATAGAGGTGCTAGTGAGCCAATACGGGCCTCACACGCAAGGAGCAGATGCACTTCGCTACAGTAAGCAAAGACTCATTTTTCTTCAACCTTGAAATTCATATCTAATAACACCTTATTCAACAGTGCCGTACGTGGAGGTTGTAAGGAAACTGATTCTCGCTGTTAAACTCGCAAACATCAAATACTTTGTGTTTGTGGGAGGTGCCGGCAGCCTTGTGGTTCCTGGAACGCACGAGTCTTTATCAGACCACCCGAACTTCTTCTACGCCTATCGCCGACAAATGGCAGAAAGCGATTCTCATGTGCGGTATATGGAGGAGCGTCTTGGTCCAATCGGGGACGCCTTGCGTTCATACCGGAATGCTCGTCTCGCCGAAAGGTCCGGCCAAGCCACCGCAGCTGACTTGGAGCTGATACGAACGTATGAAGATAATATCCGGAAGAATGATCGAGCGTCTGAATATATCAAGGCTGGGAGAGCTAGCCTCTTGTTCTTCGAGGGGAACACTTCCTTCTCGTGGACGTTTGTTTCGCCCAGCCCTCTATACCGACCGGGGCCGCGCACTGGAACCTATGAAATTGCCATTGACTACGTCCCACTAAAAGGTGTCCAAGAAGGGGAAGACATCTTGGATGGTCGTTTGACCGGCATATCGGCCGCAGACTTGGCAGTGGCTATTGTGGACGAAATTGAGTCTCCGAAACTTAGGCACAAGCACTGGACTGCCTCTGCCGACCTTTCTGACGACACAGTGTATCCTAGCTATGTAACTGCTAAAGACATTTGATTGAGAGCTCATAGTTGGGAGTGTATAATCAATGAATTTAAATTCAGAACCTGCGATATACAGTATACAGAGAGGCTCGGGAAGTAGTCTATGTCGGGTCCATGATTTCAGTGGCGCAAGGATACAGTGTGCGGGCGACAGAGGTGAATCTTATGTCTGCGGCAGGCCCTTCATTGATCAGACAGAATTTAATGGTGAAAGAGGAAGGGGTATTGGTCTCACAGATATCAAGCAGCTTGCACTCATTCCTCTTGTATCTTTCGCTGCACCTTCTCTGCAATGCAAATCGACCACATAGCCAACTGTTGCAGCTCTTTTTGCCACCACCGGATTCCACAGAGGATCAAACATCAAACCCAGAGGTAGGGGAAGGTTGTCCTCTTCAGAAAAAGGGCTGCGGTATCTAATCTGCGTCGTGACAGGGAAATGAGCAAAATGCGTACTCGATGTTTCGTCAGACAAAATATCATGGGCTTCATATAATGCTTCCCCGCCTGCCAGCCAACATGATTCTGAAGGTTCTGAACTACCTCGGGTAGAGGGCTGATATGGCCAAATCACAAGTGGTTCTTTTTGTACTGACTCATCCTCCCCTGGGAGAGGGTGCGGCGTCGAGGTTGGTAATCTCATACAGTTGGTAGATAGAGCCTGTGAATCAAGTGTAGTAAAGTCAAGCACTGCGATTGCCTTTTGGATTCCGTCATCGTCATCGAAAGTAGCTGGAGGTGTGGCAAGCTTGCTGACTGGCGATGGACAGTAGGCTGCTGTGCCAGTGGCTCCTTGTTCCTCGGATGGTGTTTGGTCGGAATCCTGTGTATCTGTATGAGAGCTCATAGGCTGCCCTGGGAGAATCTTCAATGCCGATGAACTCGGTGCATTGTTATCGGGTACAACTCTTGGAGTGTATAGTGATTCGTGGGCGGCCTTTTCATGGCGGACGACCACATCTCTACCAGTAAGTAGTTAGATATGACTTGAGTAGCTTTGGGTAACTAATTTCCCGTATGAATGGCGACGAAGTGAGAATCTTACGCTCTACTGTAGTCTTTAGGACAATACCGACATTGGAAAGGCCGCTCTTGTGTATCTGTTTGGGAAATCAGCTTTTTCATTCAGTTTGATCTGAAGGGAACAATAACTAACGACGACCACGCTGATGGCGAACACGATGTTCACTCCGCTTGAATGTCTTCCTACAGACGGTGCAGACATGCTTCCGAGGCCCCGGCGCACCTGTCCTCAACATATTTGGTGAATTATCCATGGATAACATGTAACGGGAGAGTTACGGACGTTTCCAATCAAGCACACACAATAACCTCGAGCCAGAGAAAGAGTCATTATGAAGGATGAATTTTACAACATAGCCATTAGATATCAGACACAATAATCGTATGACAAAGACTATGTCATCAGAACTGACCTTTGCGATAAAGCTATGCTCCGTGCAGAACCGTTTTGGGGGCGCGACAATACCCCACATGGCTGTGTGGGGTGACTGTTTGGCTAAAACCGATCTCAACTCTCAACACGGAGATACATTGCACATTGACGCCCAAAAGGGTTTGCAGCATAGAGATATCGAAACAAAACGTAATTTTAGTTTTTACAGCATCTACGGTGCTCCGTTTGACTATGTGAGGATCTGACGTGCATTTTCCAACTAGAGACCATAGTCAGTGTTTCTGCTGAACATCATCACTGTCTTTACGGTGATCTCGTAACGTAGTTAAAATGCCAGTTGTTAGTGTGGTTATCAAATGTTAGTTTTTTGGTAGATAAAGGAACTTACATCTATTAGGCAGTTGCCAATCATGATTGCTTCACACCGTCTTCATCCTGGAAAGTCGAGTGAGCCAGTGATGTCTTGATAAATCCCAGCATGTGGTACTTAACACCCGTATCCCCTCGTCCGCTGAAAGCACGGAAGAGAGTATCGCCAGTGGGAAATAGCTTGAAGGAATTACGAGCATTTATTTGTATGAGAGCGTGCATAATCGTGCCCAAGCTGGTAAAAAGGCTAAGCCAAGTGGACCAGGAATCCCTTTTCTTGTAGCTTCCTTCGCCTCATTAGGAAGTGGTAGCATCAGAAGGATTATGCTACTCATACTAAACGCTCATTTGAACTCTAGCACTTGCAACTGAAGACGAGGTGTTGCAGACACTGAGATGGAAGCTTTAATTAGGCCTTACTAGCTGTGGCGAGGGATAGACCGTAAATCCCTCCACTAACTAGCACTCTTTTCAGCAAGGGTTATATTATTAAGATCAACTTCAAACCCAGGACAATGTTTTCAATCGATAGTAAGGCGGTATACTGGTCATTTAGCCCGTTTTTGGGATTGTATTGGTGGTCAATCAGCTTACTAGATGTTAGGTACATAAATATCTCGAGGCGATAGCTTGATGCATCCTTTAATAAGAGCCCCTTAGTAACACAGAGACCTATACTTGATATTAGTCCCAAATTGTAGGCTGTTCCCTTTTTGCTGAAAAGTCAATAATACGCCAGATATCGTTTTGAGGCCATGAATTAGCGCCAATTGCCAATCTTCCTCCATGAAGATAGATGATCACAGTCAGGCTAGTTCTAGCAGAGACAACCTTGGGCCCCATGAAATTCAAATCCAAGTATTCTGGGGAAACCAGAGGTGCTTCTTTCAACTTCTTTTAGCATTTCCATTAGCCTATTTTCCTATCCGCCACATTCCGTGACGGGCTTTGAGCCCGACAACAAGAGGGCAGTTGATAAAGTCCCTTTTCGCATATATTCGCACACGAGGCCTTTATGGGTATATGATCAGTACCGGGAGTGCACGGCTCGCTCGGGAACTACGTTACCAGCACGAGCAGGATTGGACACAAGGGAAACACTAATGAGAAACGGCGGCCCCATAGCTGGCTTTCCCCAAAGTCGCCCCCCGCGAGTCTCCGCATTTTCCCAAACCCACGGGTCGCGCCTTCTTTCGCCTACAACTTCTTTCTACTCGAATCTTCTCCCACACCTTCCTGTTTTACGGACTCATGATGAGGAATGTCGATGTTGCGGCTCGTAAGTGTGCCAAGTGCCATCGCGTCTTTTCTAAAGTTGAGCACTTGAGACGCCATCAACGATCACGTGAGTGTCTCTTTTGAAACCATTCCGCAAGACGACACGCTGAGAATTTTTCCTTCTGGAAGATACGGGGGAGCGACCTTTCAAGTGCCAATCCTGCGGAAGAACTTACGCTAGAAGGTGCGCATTTTTATCCTTGTAGCCATCCGTCTTTACCCTGACGCGATCGTTCATAGTGATGTTCTGAATCGGCATATCCGCAACCATCATTTAGCATCCCCGCAGGACGGGGAGAGTGCAGTTGTTCCACAAAGCGAGCCTGTGATGGATGAGTTGCTAGAGACGACCAATCCTCCGCTAGATGCTAGTTCCGGAGAGATGAACACAGGAAGGGGGAACCTGCCGTCCAACACGCCTTCCTCGTTGCAGCGCAACACGCCGCCTGAGTGTCCGACTCCACAGGATCTTAGTGTTCATGACCCAGGCAATGATGATTGGAATGGCATGCATCTTGACGATGACATGCAGGGACTACAACTTCCCTGTACCGAGGGGCTACCCGGATCCCTCGAAGATATTGGCGCCGTGGGAGTAACAGACGACCAGCATCCGCCGCAACTCGCGGCTTCTCAAAGTCCTGGACGAGGATTTACTCCATTTAATCCACATATCGACGTGTCTCTGGGAATGACGCAGCCATCCATCACCTGTGGCACCTTTGATATCATACCTCATCTGGATTTTGGCTCCGTTTTGTTGGATGATTTGCTTTTGACACCACCATCGTCCCGAGATCACAGACTCCATCACCACCAAAAAGATAATATTTCAAAGGAGCAGTTTGAGCAGGTGCGACGGCTCTGGCCCACAAGACGTCGGAAAGTCACCCTCTCCCCGTCCCCTGTGTGCTGGGATGACATTCTTCTCCACCCCGAAGATAATATCTTCTCTTCGACTGAATTGAAATCCATAGCAAGCCTTGAGTCCTCACCTGCGACCGGGTCACCCTGGGGACTTACTGAGGCTTGCCGGCACCGCCTGGCTCAAAGTATGATCAGCCATGCGCCTCACAGCGCGAATCAAACAAATGGTCTCGACGATCATGGGCCATGGAACGGTGAACCACCACCCACTGATATTCTAGACCTGTGCCTGGATCTCTACTTTGGTCAATTCCATGTTCATCTACCTTTTGTTCATCCGGGGACATTCAAAGCTTGCGATACGCCCAGTATCCTGCTGTTTCCTATGTGCTTGGTGGGTATGATGATCCTTAACAGAAAGACAGCTCACAAATTGATTGCCAACCATCTACCGGTGAGTTCTTATTCCGGCTCACTCTGGATTAAAGTATACTGAATTGTTTGAGTTCTACAGGGCGCCATTGACCACTGTAGAGCTGAGCTGAAATCCCAAACTCTCCGCCACTGCCCAGGCCCGGAGTTATTGACTGTCCTGGGTAGCGCTTGCCTCCTTTTATTTATTGCCGCCTCGACGGCTGTGAGTTCATTCGCACCCTACAACTCCTCCTTTACTGACGCGTGATTAGGAAATAGCCTTTGAAGACCGACGGCAGTCGCTTTATGAAGAAGCAGTATCTGTCAGATTGTCCCACCTGCTGCCAATCAAACCATTCAACCCGTTGCAGACTAACATTAATTTGCCCTAGATGGCTAAAGATAGGGGACTTTTCGACTCGCGTAGTTACAGCTACACTCTCATTCAAGCTGTGGGAGATGAGAACATCATGTGGAAAGCGTGGGCTCGGATCCAATCCGCTCAACGGTAGGCAATTGTAATGGTGGCTAAGTAAACCTCTAACATTGAATTAGTCTTACGGCCTGCCTGATTTTGGCTGATGTATACTCGGCACACATGCTGAATGTTGCGCCTATCCTTTCACCTGAGAAGGTGTATATGCCGCTTATATGCCGTGATTCCTTGTTCACAGTGTATTCCTCACATAAGTGGAAAGCCCTCATTGCGGTCGAGGACCCATGGAGACAGCCGCTCTCTGTGGTACCTGATATACAGAATCTTCCATCAGGGCTCACTGGACTGGGACTTCAAACAGCTCTTACATTAATATGGCTCCGTATGCTCAAACCTCGCCCCCAAACGCAAGGCCGCGCGGCCCTTGTGTTTGAGCCCTGGACGCCCAACGGTACCCTATCGTGTGAAGACACGGAGACCGGCAATGCACCTTCTATTGGATCTTGTCTGGCTTCGGCTTTTGAGGTTTACCGGTCGGAGCTCAAGGACGGAAATGCGAACTCACTGATCCTATGGCATTACTTATGTCTTCGTCTCACGAGTGACCTTGGTGTTATCGAGGATGCGGCCGGTCGGAATGGCCCTGAAGCTGCAATGGTAGCCCTTGAACGACTGAGGCTATGGGCCAACTCCCCTAGTGCTCGCCGTGCCTGCCTACACGCGGCTCAGATGTTCGTGACCATCAATAATCATCGTGTCTCTGATGGATTGATGCTTCATTCGGAAATGGCGTTATTTAATGCAGCACTTGTCATGGGGTTTTATTTACTCACGGCTCCTAACTTCAAATCGAGCGATGGCCCGTGTTATGACATCCTTGAGGAGGTGGACTGGATGCATCTGGGGGCATTGGGGTTGGAGTCACAGCCTCCGGACGAAGCCGTTTCTTCAGTCTCGGCAGCTGCTGGATTCATCCAGAATGGTGGTCCAGTTTCCTTCCACGGTGCAGAATATTGCAGTAAATACGGTGCGGCCCGGAGGTCGTTTATGAATGTTGCTTCTCAACTTGAAGAAGTGGGTAAATGGAATGTCCAGGAGTATTGCAACGTGCTGCATATAATCAGTGACACCCTGTTGACACCTGATGGTCAGAATGCCAGATTATGATCACCGATTGGAAGTTGCAAACCCCTGTCAACGTATACTGTCTAACTACGGCGCTAGCTGATGGATCATTGAATCTATATATCTATTCCTCCACTTATCGTACTAAATTTCTTAGAGCACGTTGCCGCGGTGCAATATATCGTTCTTAACTTGGACAGGGAGGTTTGAATGTGAAACAGAGACTGAAAAAGCTCGGTAGCACTAGAGTCTGCATAGGAACACTACCTACCATATGCACCCAAAGTGGCACATATTTACTTGTAGTTGAGCTTCTCAATGCTGGATCATGACCATATTTTTCATGCCCGAAGACATCCATGTGGGGTGCAACCCACTATTGTCCCATTCCCCACCCATGAGAGTATCAAGACATTATGTTGTATCCTCTTGTCCAAAACAACGTGCTCGACGGTCCGAGTCAACCCCGCTCAGGCTATTACCCCAACATAGGTTGAAGCGTGGATCTGGGGCTTCTCTCCAGCTACCATATATATTCCAACTCCCTGCCCCTGCATCGAGCAAAGCCTTGAGCAAGCCCACATCTATCAAACCGGGCATTCGCGATTCTATCATCATTCTAGATGACGATTCCTTTCACTCTGATTGTCGGCGCTGGCCCTAGCGGCCTGCTGCTAGCACTAATGCTCGGCAAAAAGGGCATACCTGTGCGACTTCTCGAAGCCGCAGAATCCCTCGATGATCGTCCACGCGCCACCCATTACTCTCCGCCAGCCGTCTACGAATTGCGCCGTGCTGGGGTGCTAGAGGATATGAAAGCCGAAGGCGCATTCATACCAAATGGAGCATGCTGGCGAAAGCTTAATGGCGAGTTTCTGAGTGGAGTCCGAGCTGCTGGAAGCAATGAACCGACTCCAACTCCAATGACCTGCTTTCCACTCAATAAGCTGAACCTTGTTCTCCAACGTCAAGTCGACAAACTACCCCATGTGGAGATACACTATTCTCATAAAGTCACTGGGCTTGGCCAAGATGAAGCCAAGGCATGGGTGGACGTGGAAACACCCGATGGCCCGCAGAGATTGGAGGCGCAGTATATTGTTGGGTGTGACGGTGCCAATAGTCAGGTCCGCCGTTCTCTGTTTGGAGATTGGGAGTTTCCCGGTTTTACATGGGAGCAGCAAATTGTTGCTACAAACGTACGTATATGCACGACGCATTGGAAAAAAGACAAAGTCCGCTGATGAAAGTCTAGACCTATTATCCATTCGAGAAACATGGATTTGATTGGGATTCCAACTTCATCATTCACCCAGAACACTGGTATATGGCTGCGCGGATCAGCAATGATGGACTATGGCGTGTCACCTATGGCGAGGTGCCAGGCCTCAGCTTAGATGAGCTTAAGGCCAGACAACCAATGAAGTTCAAGACACTCTTACCGGGTAATCCTGACCCTAAGGATTACAAAGTTGTCAGCTTTAGTCCTTATAAGGTCCACCAGCGCCTTTCGAAAAAAATGAGGGTCGGACGGTTTGTATTGGCTGCTGATGCTGCGCATTGTAAGTGATACCTTGGTTAAGCACTGCGTTCCTTTCCTCATGTTGGCCTATAAGACTAATCTCCGTTATAGTATGTAACCCCTTCGGAGGCCTGGGATTGACAGGCGGAATTGTGGATGTTGGAGGACTCTCTGACTGTCTTGAAGGTATATATTCAGGCCAAGCGGACGATACCATCTTAGACATATATGACACTGTTCGCCGGGCAAAGTATAATGAGATTGTGGACCCAGTTTCGACTGGTAATCTTCGCCTTCTATTTGAGCAAAATCCGGAAACAGCTCTTGAGGAGAGCGAGTTTCTGAAAATGTGCAAGAGGGCGGAGACAGACCCAGAGGTTGGTGCTTTGCAGAGGAGAGCAGGCGATGCTCTGCAATATGACTTCAGACAACACTATCGGAAATGAGAGGTCGTTCACACTATTTCTTTAATAGCCCTTGATATTTGCTTATTATCCATAACCGGGTAACTTGAGAAGTAGCAATACAACTCTATTACTATTAGCTCGTAATCTCCCATGAACAAAAAGCCCCGTTCCCGCACCCTCTCCCTCTTTTTTACCATTCTAATTGCCTTTGTTGGTGAAGCCTTCTTGAGGCTTCCTTAAATTACTGCCGTAGCATGCATATTAATACCAAAGCATGCCCACCGGGTCCTGATTCTAGACCATCATACCATGTGCAACCCAAACCCATCGCACGGAATTCAAAAATGGGCATAGGCTGCCGGAGGAGACGCGTGCAAGTAGGTAGCGGAAGATCATTGCACTCATGGTTTGCATGGGCCTTCTACCAATGCCTTAGTTGTCCGATTCTCCGATGACTTCTTTTACAAGAATATCGACGAGGTGTGGTGTCATCGTCCGGTATCATCCATCTGCTAAACGTGTGGGGAAATACTTACGATGTGCGCAAAACAATAACCAGAATACTGGTCGGGGTATTTATTTGTATGTAGGACACCAAGCCTTTCAAACCAACCATCTAACCTCCTAGTAGAAAAGCTATAGACAATAAAGCTTGCTACATAGAAACTCAATATTGTGGCCTATACAAAATTTCTGGTGGCAAGTAATCACCACTAAGGGGTCTGTACTAGCTAATGAAGGAATATTAGCCGATGTTAGGTGAATATTTTCCATAAGTGTGCGGGGAAAGTCCACCACATGGCCGGGTGATGACGGCACGTCGTTACCGTTCTAGCACCGGATAGATCCTCGTACAGAATGCAGCGAAATAGTTTTGAATTTAGCGCAGGGTATCCCAGCGGATGACCTTTAGTAGTCTTGGGGAATTTTCATAGCGGGCTATTATTAACCAGTGAAACAGGATACTCATAGGTAGCCAATTCTTTTCCCTTGTGTTCTCTTGTTTTGTATTGACACCTCACCTTGCATTCTTTTAGTTATCTTGTGGATGATCACTCCATGATAAGCACTGTTTGCTCCTGTTCGCCCCATACACATGCAAGGGTCTCAAGGTGAAAAGAATATTGTTTCCCTGTAGACTGTACGATATTTTGGCGTGGTTTTGGCTTCATGTTAACCTTTGCCAAATCCCCCACATGGTCGTGTATGTGGGGTATGACCCAACCCGAAGCGTGGTTGCCTTCACCAGCTGCACAGCCTCGCCGCAGGTGTTAGGAAAGATGACTATATCGTTTTTCATTACCTCTCGCCGTAGAAGATGTCGCACGATATGGATATTTGACCGGCTAACCTTTTGCCTTGATATTACATCTTTGGTTACTTTGTGGGGGCCTCCCTTAGTCTGGCGATGGGCAACTCATCAAAAAGTCCCCGAGCAACGCAAGGATCGTCCCGAAAACATATTGGCACTGAAAGGAAAGTTTTCAAAGTGTGTGAATATTGTGGCCACCACAGACCCGGTTCTTGTTAGTGCTTGCCCCGTTGATCTTGGTGTAACCCACACTACGCTGATCCGAAAGTATAGATACGCGAGACCGGCCGTTCCCTTGCTGTTATTGCTCTAAAAGCTATTTTAGAGCGTAAGTTCCGACACATTATCATTGATGCGTCCCCCAAAAAGTCTGGAACCCTTCCAATCTGACAGGTTGCTGTGTCTAGAGCTCTAGTCGTCCGACACGAGAATTCCACCCAGAAAAAGGAACACGCCTCACGACTTATACCCGATAAAGACACAATGGGAGTTTCAATCCCCGGAGAGGCGTCAGAAAAAACTCATAGCCCTCGCAGAGATACACCAGTCCCGAGCCAGAAACATGTAGGGGACAGCGCCACGCCCTCGACGTTTCCGTCTAGCCCAAATGAGAGGATCCGATGGGCCCTTGAAGTACTGGATTTTACCACTCTTCATTCAGAGGCACTTTCAGCCGACCATATGCCACCCCAGCACCCAAAAGAACCGGTACGCCTGGATACCGGGTATTTGACACCTGAGAGTTCAGCATCTTCGCAGAAATCAAATATCAAGTCATCTAAAAGAAGAAGAGGCTATGATAAAAAGTCTACAATGCAACCTTCTCGGTCTTCATCTGCAAGAAAAATCATACACCATAATTCTTTGTCTAATGACCTTCCTCTTCCCATTGGAGCGGTCTTTGATCCCTTGTGGAATCCGGTTATCACGAGGAGGGCCGCGGTCAATGGCTATGCGACGGATTTGCATCGGGAAATGCTGCGGAACGCGGGACTATTGGATGAGACTTTTAATTCGCTTGATATCTTTGGGTGAGTAAAATCAAACTGCGGGGTTTATTTCCAAGGACTAGAAGGGGGCAAATGATATTGGGGCCGTTCTTTTTGTTGCGAGCAGAGCATCCTTATCCTTTTGTTTTACTGTCCTGATAGAGAATTACTACGAATTAAAACCTGCCCTTGGCTATTTTTTGGCCACCCGTGGTATTAATGCAGTCGACTGGCTCCTGAGGTACATTTAGTGAAAATCTCCAACAACGGGCATCTAGCCAGTAGGCCGGGAATTCGACCACAGAAAATAAACTTAGTCACCAATATGTCATGCTGAAAAGTTACATACTAGATTATTGTGTATAAGTTGTCACTTTTTCCGGTACAAACTCAGCATGGGCTTCTCGATGCCACCTGGAACATTAAGTGGGGTGTCAATACCGGCTTCAGTTGAGGGGAAGTACATATAGTGCCATGCATTCCGATCCAACTGACCTGTTGCAAAACAGCGCTAACCACACCAGATACCAAGCTATTATTACAGCCATATACTAAAATGGCCGAATTTGAAAATAATGTCGCATTTATTGGTATAATACGTCGATTTACTACATGGACAGGATGATGCTGAACCTGACGTAGGCTTGGGCGCCATGGGATACGCCATGGCCAAGAATATCCGCCAAAAGATGTCCCCGACGGGAAATCTGTACATTTTCGATGTCTTTCGCACGGCATGCGAGAGGTTCTACCATGAGATGCAAGTTACCGGCCCAGTCATCATTGTAGGCTCGCCTCGGGAGGCCGCTGAATTCGCCGATACCGTGATCTCCATTGTCCCTGGAGCCGACGACGTACGACAGGTGTATCTTGACGCGGTAACAGGCATCATCGCTGCGCGGAGGAACCCTGAAAGAGTCCTTCTGGAATGCAGTACTATTGACTCGAAGTCTACTCAAGCTGTGGGGGAGGCACTCCTGGTCGGAAAGTTGGGAACATATGTCGACACGCCTGTCTCGGTAAGTTTGCGACCACGCCATGCTGAGGATCCCACTAACGAATAAATGATGCTTCTAGGGTGGAGTCCCTGGTGCAGAGTCAGGAACACTATCCTTCCTCATCGGACACGGTAAACCTTCGGATACCAACAGTGTCTCGCACCGTCTGCACAAAGTGGCATCGATGATGGGCGATCCAAAAAAGTTCTTCTACTGCGGAGGCCTCGGCGCGGGATTGGCGGCCAAAATCAGCAATAATTATCTATCTTGTTCCATTTTGCTTGCGGTTGCCGAGGCTATGGCGATTGGGACAAGGTTAGGCGTTGATGAGAAGCTTTTGCACGAGGTGATTCACCACTCGACTGGCCAGAATTTCATGGCCGACAACGTGCAGCCTGTTCCGGGAGTTGTGACACATGCCCCTAGCAGCAACAACTATCGATTGGGATTCAAGACGCAGATGATGATCAAGGATCTGGGGTTGGGTGTGCAGGCTGGGTATGCGACAGGGATTACGCCAACCATTGCAGAGGCTGCTCTTCGTGTATACGAAAAGGCGGCTGTCGATCCAAGGTGCATTGTAAGTACTAATCTGTACCCTGTGTCTGGCAAAGGGTCCTAGAGGCTAATCGTGGCACCTGATATATAGGATCGTGACGGATCATCTGTTTATCTTCATATCACAAATCCTACTCGCAAGTCTCCCGAATAGGACCCTGTGCAAGACACCTAGGGATTATGAGCTATGTTGAAACGCAGCGGAATACGTGAGGTAGGAAAAATGATCTCCTGCGTACGCTAGTGATTTGTTTAAGCCCATCCAAACTGCCAGTTAGGAACCTTTTCAGAAATTTAGACCTATTATACATCTCATTGGTGCACCCGTATGATTCACTTCGCTCCTCTGTTTCCCATAAGCTGGGATGCGGATGTTAGTCCTTCATAGTCGGATGATAGCCTATGGTTCCTCCAGTTATTTAATGATGAATAGATACAGTCCGTTGTCTCAGTAGGAACAAAGTAACAATAGTAAAATACAAAATTGAAGACTAGGGCTGCTCATACGATCGCAAACCACCGGTTAAGTGGGGTGCATGATGCCCCCCACCCCCCTCACCACCACTATCCGCCATCCTTCATTGATCAAAATCTAACAAGAACTGCCAGGTTCTACGTAGCCCAAGTGAAGACCGAAAGACCACACACAATGTCAGATTCCAAAATCAACCTACCAGTCACAGATGCATTCGTTCATGTCCAGCTCCTCAACGGAGGAAGCATGACTGCAGAATGCCATAAGATTCACGCGGATGAGCCAGCAGACAAATTCCGGCTATATAATTGGGCTTTTTATATCCATCATCCACTCTTTCAGCGACGCATCATCTGGGACTTGGGGTTAACATCGGTGGGTTTAGTTTCCTAAGATAGGCTATGGTGACGACTCACAAGTGTACTGGTCGGAAGGCTCTGGACGATTATCCACCGGCTATTGCAAATGGGGCACTAAAAGAAGCTCAATTCGAGGCTCCTCATGAATCAATTCCGGACCAAATCAAACGCAGAAACGGAGTCACAGCGGGTGAAATCGACGCCATCATTTTCAGGTGTGAACAGACAACAAGCTCTCTTTTTTGACAATGCTCTGATCCCCGTTCTAGCCATGCCCATTTCGATCACTGCCGGCCGACCCGTCGGACGTTCCCAAATGGAATAGCTTTTTTTGGCCCCGGCACGTCGGAGTATTGTAGTCCAGGTCACCTAGCGGACCCATCCTCGATCTGGGATGGACGATTCTTCGATCCGGAACAGGCAACGGAGCGCTGGGAGACGCTACAAGGCCCCTGGGTGCCCTTTGGACCGTTCACCCACGCTATGGACTTCTTCAAAGATGGGAGTTTTTGGATCATTCAAGCCCCCGGCCACATGCCGGGTAACCTGTGTGCCTGCGCCAGGCTTGAAATGGGTGAATGGTTGGTGCTCGGCTCTGATTGTTGCCACTCACGGTATATGCTGCATTATATCCTCTTGGGGTGATAAACTAATTTTCATATAGCGCACTGTTTGATGGAACTAAGGAGTTTGGGACTTTCAAACTCCCTGACGGATCTACGTTCTGTCTCCACACGGATGTCTCTGCTGCGAAGGACACCCTGGCACGAATGAGGGTAATGGAGAGCTTGGGGAGTCACATTGCACTTGCCCATGACACTACTTGGATGGAGAAGGAAACTGACCAAGTTTTGATATCGTTACTAGACGAAGCATTCCTAAGGGACATGCGTGTCGCGTTGAGGCAGCAAGCACCCTTCTAGGGTGAAGGCTTATCCGTGTATATGGAGTGATTTATTTTGCGATTCCAGAACTATGAAGAGCCAATTCTGATCAAGCTGCTGGTGTATACAATAGATCTTGTCCCATTGTGCTCCTTAAACAACGCTAAGAATAGGACAAAATATCTGTATGGCTCAACGGCTCCAAATCTTCATAGATGAAGGAACCAAAGCATAAGAGCGATGATGGAGCCACTTTTAAGCATTTTTGATAGAAACATGGGAGTCAAGTTCCAGTAAAAACTCCGTAAAAGCCCTTAAACAATGCTCAGCCTTATCAACATAGATTTCATGCCCAGCCCCATGAATAACAACGAGCTTCGACCCCTTCAACTGTTTCGCAATCTGGAGCTGCTCCTCCAGCCCAGTAGCAGCGCTCTTCGCTGGTGCAAGGATCAAGGTCGGTACTGAGATCTGTGGTAAAAGAGGCCGCGTGTCCAACGATGACAGAAACTCGGCATATCCGGCAAGTCCCTCGCTGGAACTCGTTCCGATCTGTGAGATCCACCACGCTTCGTACTTGGGATCTGTTGCCGAGAGTGTGCCGGGGATACGGGCAAGACACTCACCCCAACCTTTGGAGCCGAGCTTGCGACAAGCCTCCGGCCAGCTGGAGAGGCCGAAGGAGAAGAGATCAAGGGCTGCTTGCGGAAGATATGTTGGACTCGAGCAGACAGTCAAACTGAGTAATCGATGCGGAAATCCCACTGCGAATGCTTCCCCCAGCATACCGGAGGTGCTTTCCCCGAGGAAGTGAACTTTGTCAAGTCCTAACTGGTCGAGCGTATCGAGGATCTCGGTCAATATTGTTTCGAGGGTATATGCATAGTTGTCACTCAGTTTTGGCGTGGATGATCTGCCATGGCCTCTGGTGTCACGGCGAATTATGCGATAACTGCGAGCAAGGGATGGAATCCAGTGATACCAGAAACCGGAATGTCTTGCGAAGCCGCCTTGTATCAAGATTGTCTCTGGAGTCACCCAGGGGTCGGTGTAATCATCCACAAGCACATGGGTTGTCTGCCCATTTGGGTGCGTGATGAGGCGTGAGATGGAATTTGCCGGTAATTCCATGTTGTGCAAAAGTATATTCTGTAGGAAAGATGGAAAGGCCCGTTTGCAGTCAGCTGATACCATAGGACTAGTCCAAAACTATCGATAAATCTGGACTGCGTACCTATGTCCCCTCACCCCATATATAGTGGGGAGGGGGGAGATAGGAACCCCATCCGAAAGCCCCTCCGCATGCTACCCCCTCTACCCCAACCAGCTGTAACGAGGGTTGATAGCCCGTTGATGTAATTGGCACCCCACAATTCGTCGTGTCAGATAGTTCTATGGGCTCCTTCTGAGAGGAATATCGTCTGGTTGATGCAGTTTACCCCCACATTAGACTCCCGGGGCAGTCAAGCGTTTAGCAACCCATCCCAATAGCTGCCTTACTAGGGTTATGACCTTCGCCCAGCTGTCGGTTGTCTTCGGATCGCTCCCAATACAAAATTTAGATATTCAAAAAATTTATATCTCTTCACAGTAATTACCAGCGCTGCATCTAGAATCGGGCTGGCCCTGACGTGAGACTCTCGTCGTCAAGCCGCCTAGACTTATTCGCAGCTAACACAAGCATTATAGACACCCAGTTTCTCTTCAACACCAAAGAGCAGTTCGACGAACATAGCCTACTTGAACTTCCTGATCGCCGAATACTACATGTACACCCCACAGCTAGGATTAGGCGATGAATCCGCCAATTTCTAGGAGGAGGCATACACGAAGGCTGTGTTGTAAGTTACATCAATTTTGTGTGTTAAATAATGTTTACAAAATAGATGATATGAACTCGACCAAAAGTGTGAAAATATCTCCGCCTTCGAGTCAGTACATGATAAAATGCTACCTATCTCCCAGCCTTTTCATTTGCCGCGCGCAACCATGCCCTCAACGTTGACCTTTATGTTCCCCAGCATATAGCCTTCCTTTTTGGCATTTTCCCATTCAGTTCTGAGAGTATTTTCGACCCGCGAGCTACGCGGGACGAAGCGTAACTTGCTAGGCTTTGGAAGCGTATTCGCTCCATTCTCATAGGCCGAATCAGAAACATCGACCACCCCAGTCTTACCATTCTCAAGGGGTGGCAGGATTTCAAAAGCCCAAATAATGCAAGCTATGGTGATGAAGAGACTGTTTTCCGCCAGATGCATACCAGGACAAATCCGTCGACCGGCTCCGAAGTCGAAGTGGTCTCGTTCATATGGATCAGGGTGGGCAGAGTATGCACCCGCTTTGAGAGGATGGTTCAAGTAACGGTCTGGAATGAATGCCTCGGGATCCTTGTATCGTGCTGGATCGAAGTGCAGTGCATATTGATTGATCACAATGACGGAATTTGCTGGAATGAAGTAGTCCTTGTATATGATGTCGTTCGTGCTGTAGTGGGGGCTTCCGATACTAATTCATTGTATTAATAATAGGAATTGAACTTCAAGGGTGAGGCACTTTACTTGGTGACCGGCCGAATTCGAAGGACTTCCTTAACACAGGCTCGGATATATGGCAGGTCATGCTCATCATCAAAGGTCGGCATTCGGTTCTCGCCAACCACGCGCCGGACTTCGGCGTATGCCTTGGCTTGGGCCTCTGGATATGCTGCAAAATATTTGACACACGAGTTAAGCGCTGAGGAAGTTGTCTCGGAGCCTGCTTCAATCATTGCTGCAGCTTGTTGTTAGGGGTAATCCTATTCCGTGCAGGATGCAACTCACTTCCCGCAACAAAGCTAGCTTGTAGCTCGCTGATACCGTTCTTTTCATAATCAGTCTCGATGAACTGTTTAACGAAGCACTCCGGGGCTCGCTTTGAGTCAATTTGTTCCTTGAGTGTAGCCCAGTATCGCATCCAAATGGCTGCCTGGCGGTGGAACGACTGTAAGGCTGACTTCCTCCACCATTGCATCCACGTTGGAAGTTTGGCGAGAAGGGGGAATGTTTCGGCAACGTGCTTTCCTGGTTGTGCGGCCTCACTGAATTCCTGCATGAGACCGTATATCTCGTGGATATCTTCGCAATCCTGGGGGCCTATCAGGAACAGTCTTTCAGAAAGAATGGAAAGAATTACATACCCACACAGGTACCCGTCGGCCGTAAGTTGAAGTCATCACCACTGTAAGGCTTTTGTAAGCAGGATCTTTCCAGGGGATTCTGGCCAGATGCACTCACCGGAGGTAGTATATCTACGAATATGCATGTAGAAGTTTTTTTGGTTCGCATTGTCAGTTAGGATATCCCAGAGCAGCTGTTTTGCTTCAAATAGTTGAGATGGCATGAACGTATTTGATGACTTGGGTGTCAGAAGCTTGTGCACAATTGCCCGAAGTTTCCTCCAATCAGGCGAGTAGGGCATGAGGAGGAATCTGACCGAACACAAATTACCAAACTTGAATCAATACTGGATAATAATAATCTACTCACCTCATCCCACCAGATAGAAGGTCCGAAACGACCGGGCTTGGTGCACGCGACGAGGTGTGCTGTGACTGCTTGTCGAAGATCTCCTTGACGGCTGCTGGGCTGTTCACGTATATCCATTCCTCGCGCCCCAAGTGGGTCTTGAAGAGTTCTCCATGTTTGGAAGCCCATTTCTGAAGCTGCCGCTGAGGTTGGGGCCCCATTTGAGCACCAGTTCCAGCAAACGGCACATCTTGAAGCCCTTTAGGAGCCCTCGTCTTGGCACGGCAAGCTATGAAAAGGTGCACGATGCCATATGCAGCAACGGCGAGCACGAATGCAAAAGTAATAACTGCCATGATAAAGAATCAAGCGTTACAATATCCTTGCAATTGAAAAGGCGGCTGTTGGATGAAGTCGCTGTCCTTGCATGATTCATATAACAGCTGCCTTCACCCCACATGATTTTCCCCCACCCAAACGAAAGCGGTTGATGCGATATACGAAGCACAGAGATATACAGTCTGTTTGCCTTAACAGTCGGTTCATACTCACAGATCACTGTCCGAACATGATGCATAATACGCTCCCACCTCCTTCTGCTGGCCAAAACTACGTCTCCGTGACCCCGATCAACGGAGGCAAAATCACCCTACCGGAAAAGTCGTTTGTTTTTCCAAGTGACCCCGAGGCCGTTGTTACCGTTCCATCTCTAAGCTTCCTAATAGCACATCCAGGTGTTGATGGAAGACGCCGACCCAGGTACCTGCTCTTCGACCTAGGTCTCCGAGGTAGATTGCAAGACTATATGAAAGACCAACAATCACATTTAAGTTCGCGCGTCCCTTACGAACTTGGTCCTAGTGTTGCTCAATCCCTGGGCAATAGCGGTCTGAATCCAGACCATATCGACACCGTGATCCTCAGCCACCTCCACTACGACCACCACGGGGATCCAGGCGACTTTCCTCGTGCGCAGTTCTTCGTGGGACCCGGCTCGCTGAAGCTCCTTAGCGACGGCCTGGGAATAAACGCCTCACACCAAGTATTTGATCCAGATTTATTCCATGGAGTTTCACGGGTGAGCGAACTGCCGAGCCCTAGCACACCTTTATGGCAACCGCTTGGTCCCTTCAAAGCCACGCTTGACTTACTACACGATGGATCCATCTACGTCATTGATGCGCCGGGTCATCTCCCAGGACACATCAACCTTCTTTGTCGTCTTGGTCCCAAGGAATGGATGTATTTAGGCGGTGATAGTTGTCACGATTTGCGCTTGCTTAGTGGGGAGAGAGAGATTGCTACGTGGGTGGATGCGCATGGCCACAGGGGCTGCATTCATGTGGACAAAGACCGAGCTGAAGAGACTCTTTCGAGAATTTGGAGCCTTCAACAGATGACCGAGGTGGCGGTGGAGGTTGTAATGGCACATGATGTACACTGGTGGGAAACGAACCAATATCGCGCTTTGCCGGCACTCGGACATTAGGCGAATTGTCTCACTCGGATCAATGTTGAGCAAAGGTGCAAAGCTTCTGTATTTATTATGACCTTGGAGGGGTAGAATTTCATAAACCATACTTGATGGCGATAGAATCGCCATTGTAAGGAAGCAGAAAAAGCAGTTCTATTGTGTCTCCCTATCTAGGAAACTAAGAGCTCGAGAAGGAAAGGGGGAAAGGAACGGCCCTGTAACCTGTATAGGCCAGCAAGGGCCGATGCTGGAAACAGCCGGCAACGGTGATGGAGGGAAGATTCTATAGGGAGATTCCATCAATACTGGTTATACAAATAATTGACTGAGAAATCTGTTTGACTTGGCAAGATGACGACTGCGGTTGAAATTACTACAACCTACTTCGACCCTCCTAGTCTATCTTTCCAGTCCTCATTGCCTCCAATATACCGAAAAATGACTCTGGAATCTCTGTTCCGACATGCTTCGTCCACACTTGCTCCATCATACACGGACAGGCCGGGATCCCCAAGACGCAATTCAGCGCCAACCCTTTTCGCCATCTCAACAGCAAGGTTGAAGTCTTTCTTCATCAACTGTACCTTGAATCCTCCTTGATAGTCATTGCTAGCCGGAGCGTTCGGGCAGACTCCCGGTACGGGATTCCACTTGTCGTTTATCGTGCTCTGGGCTGTGCTAGTCGCAAATATCCCGGACAGGAGGACTGGGTTCATCCCACACTTGATACCAATATTCATGGCCTCAGCTGTGGCAATGGCAATGAGGCCGGAGCAGTAATTATTGCATAGTTTTGCCGTCAGACCGAGAGCGAACCCGCCGCAGGGGAATATCGACGACCCCATCGCTCCCAGTAATTCTTTTAGTAGCGGCAGGTTCGGATCATCCTCCTTGCAGCCGAGCATGAATGTTAAACTTCCAGCAGCCGCGCCCAGAGACCCTCCAGACACAGGGGCATCGTAGAAGGATGCCGTTGCGGACTTATTACGGATAGCCCCGTGAACATCGATTGAGGTCTTTGTGTCGATCGTGGAACAGTCGACCAGAATCTTCCCGTCTATTGCCGCGGATAGCACCCCTGTTCTTTCTTCGAGATAAACGGCCCTTACGTGCCTTCCTTCCGGGACAATCGTAAAAAGGATGTCCTGTTAGGTCACCGGTTAGCCCCGTATCCTGGTCAGTAGTATTCTCGACCTTACCGATTTCTCTGCAACTTCACGGGCACTCGAACAAACCAACACAAGTTCGGGAGATTCATTCTTGAGTTTGCTAAGGGCCTCTTCGGAGACATCATAAACATGCAGCTTTGTTCCTTCCTCAAGTTTCTTCAAAAGATTCAAGGCCATGGGATATCCCATCACACCCAGACCGATGAATCCAAGCACACGTGGCGACATTTTTTTGGTTACTTCTCGATGAGTACAGATATTTTTCCAGACTTTGTGTATTCTTGCAAACAAAGGGGTATATGAAGCTGTCGTGGTACAGGTAACTTAGGTGGGGTGGTTTGTATGTGGGGGAGCGAGCCGCTGAAACCCCATTTCATCCCACGAAATAATGAGATATAAGTAGGCAAATCGTTGTCTTTGTCTATATCTTGAGCTACTAGTATTCATCTTGACTTACATAAAAAATGACGGATAAATCCCCCAGCTCCCTTGGCGACGCCCACAAGAGGCTCTTTGACGAGGGCCTCAAGATCCGATACGAAGTCGCTGGCAAGGCCTACGTCGACCGGTCTTTATCGTCAGCTTCCTCCTTCACCCAGCCCATGCAGGACCTCGTCACTGAGGCATGCTGGGGCTCGGTATGGGCTAGACCCGGTCTCGATCGCAAGCAAAGGTCTTTGCTGAATATCGGGATGCTTTGCGCCCTTAACCGTGGTGCAGAGTTGGCAGTTCATGTACGCGGTGGGGTTAACAACGGATTGTCTGAGCTTGAGATTCGCGAGGCATTGCTCCAAGTGGCTATATATGTTGGTATGCCTGCTGGGCTGGAGGGATTTCGCATTGCAGAAAAGGTGATACGGGAGATCCAAGAGGAAAAGGCTAAAAGCACCCAGTGAAGGTGAGGATACTTTTGCTCTTCCTTTTCCTACGTAACTGACCTGTGTAAAGAACGCTAGATCGGGCCTGGGGTTATTGACTGACTGCTTGGCTACTTCCGTTTCTTTATCTTAGTCGCACTCCTCAATGCCGTTATCTCATACAAACCGATGTTTGAGCGATGAAAAAGAATTGAAGCTCGAGAGCGCTTCAATCTGCCGCTACTAAATAGCAATGGCGCGATCACTTCCTAGACAGCTGCTTTACCGTCGCTTAGATTACATATTCTTTATCTAGTATGCCAAAAGGCGAATCTAATTCGCTCAGAAATAGTCAGAAAACCCAGTAACATGCGATGCACAGACTAAACGCCATACAAACAAGGTACTTGAAATAAGGAATAGAATAAATGGCAAACACAACACGTCCTGAAATAGCACACTTTCCTTGCTGTTAAACAACAACGACAACAGAGTCGATTGATATCGGGACCAATAGTGCGAAAATCAAAATTCCCAATGTGAGTCGTCAAATGGAAGAAATGAAGAAGATCAAGACACGTAATGATGGGAGGGGCTTCGATGATTATGGTCGTGAATCGTGGGAATCGTAGCTTTTCTATGTATGACTGGACAACCGGGACATGGACGTTGCTTAGCCGTGGTAGATGAGTGGATATAGACTTTGTCGGTGAGGGAGGAAAAGGGGTGGCGAAGGTAAGGATGTGGAGAGGGGGAGTGAAGTAGTTGGGATTAGGGGAGAGGAAGGAGGATAAGGGTATGTAGTAGTGAGTGGGTGCTGTTCAGCTCCTCAACACGATATGAACTCAGGATAATGGGAATATGTCGACAGATAATAGCGGCAAACAATGCCGAGGGATGTCAGGAAACGACACATCTTTACTTGTTGCATGATATCAAAGACATAGTCACGAGTATGGTGGTCTGGGCGCAAGATGTTCAAGGTGCTTGACCATTACCATACAGTCAGAGCCAACCCCGAATGCAAAGCTTCTGCGGGAGGACTAGAAACTAAACAATCCACTCCTCTTTTTACCCAAAGGGTATACCACCAGGGCGGCAAGAAACAGGCCCACAGTCGTTCCAATAGCTACCTGAACCATGCCGTACCCAATATCAAAGACAACGCCATAGCTCTGGTTCCGCGCTTCAGCCGCAGAAAGGTTCTTGGCCGCATCAACGAATCCCTGCGTACCATTAGCGACTACTCCGTAGGGTGACCGGGTCATCTCCTCTGCAGAGGTGATTCCCGAAATCAGTGATCCACTAGCGGCGAGGCCGGAGGGCACAAGCACGAATATCGCTGGTAACATTGCAGCTGCGGCGAGACCGTGACGGACTCGACTGTAGACGTTGCCCATGACGCCGATGACGAAGGCGCCCAGCGCGTTCGAGACTTGCGTGTTTGAGTCGAAACGCTTGGAGCTGAAGTAGCTGACGACGTATCCGGCTAGAGAAATGATCATCATCACGGGGATTTGTTTCCACTTGGCGTGGTTGACGATGGCGAGACATGCTGTGAAGAGGAGGACGAAGGGGAAGCGCTGGAGGTATTCGTTGTTGATTGGGCTGGCGGGGCATGTATAGTCTGCTGATGCTTGGGAGTCGAGGAGGCCATAGACAGCGGTGCCGATGGTAATACCGAAGCCGAGGAAGAGTGAGTATATGATGGCATAGACCATGCGTACAGATCCAGCAACGATGCTGCGGGATTGGAGCTCGAGGCTGGCGCAGAGAACGGTGTAGCCGGGGAGGATGAGTGCAATTGCTGCTTGTGCTAGGGCAGAGAAGCAGAAAAGCGGCTCGCCTTGGTATCTTATGCTTCCAAAAGCGCGGGCGAGGAAGGAAGTAAGTACTGCTGCCGAGATCTCGAAGACGTTGGAGTAGAGACTCGATTTTGGGTAGAGGATGAGCTGTAACACGCCCAGGAGACATCCTAGTAAAAAGGCGATCGGCATATCGATTGGTCGGGCATTAAAGGCAAAAGGACCAACCGATGCACTTGCGCACCCGTGTGCGAAGATGAGAAATAGTATGTGAAACTTGTTGTGCCTTTTCATTGTCTCGTCGAGTCGCTGGATTGCTTCTTCCACACCAATCACATCGTGTATCACCTCCTTGTAAATCTCGTGTACATCGGCCAATTTACCCAGGTCAATGCCTTGGTTTGACCGGACAACTCTAACCTCTGTTGTATGCGTGGAGGTGTCGTCAAATGAGATAATCATACATCCCGGGATGTATAAGAATTGACCGTCAATCTCTAAAACACGCGCCGTCATCCGCATGTATTCCTCCAAACGGTGAGTGGGAGCGCCATATTTCATCAAGGCCCGACAGAGCCTAATAAGATAACGCTGTCGAGAGAGAAGCTCCGCAATATGCACAGTGATACGGATCTCGTCTTCCAATTTGTGTTTCGCCCATCGACGTATTCCAGACGCCCCCGCAACCGCACCGCTGCTGCGGGAGCGCCTCAGCATACTAATTGGCGAGACATTTTTGAGAGAGCCTGTGAGCGAGGTGCTGGATTGGCTGGGTGATTTCTCATACCACTTCCTGGGTCGGTGTGGTTTCCAGACAGGATCTGGGGAATACCCGCGTCCGCTGCAATCGTCGGAGACGCTGCCTTGCCGGGAATGTTCATACCGGCCGCGTCCGTATGGGGAGTTAGGGTAGTTGTGATGGTGATACCCGCTATACTGCTGGTCGTAGAGCTTCAATATTGAAGATAGGATACCGTTCCTATAATGCTTGGGCCGCTCAAGGAAGCTCTCCGAGCGCCGGCCTTCAGAGGGGGTAACCTGCCCAGAGAGCGGACCAGGCGAGGGAGCTTGAACGCCGGTAATAAATGAAGAAAAGTCTCGTCGGGACATTTGGCGCACGATGTACTGCGCTTCGGCTGTGCGCGTTGTAGATCGCCCGTCTATATCGTCCGCTTCCTCTTCATCGGTCAACGTGATAGTTGCTGCGGCGAAGTCGTCAAAGAGTTGATGTTTCTCGGCGATGCTTATCATAGAGAGTTCATTGTCTTCCTTCGAAGAAATCACCTTCTCGGTAGGAGTAGGAGCAATCGATGTCACCAAGTTGGTTCGAGGATCAGGCTTCGGGGATTTTTGGTACCGGCCCAGAAGGGATGCAAGTCGCTGGGCCCTTTTGCGGGCATAGCATATTGCTCGCCCCTTGTCAGCCGTACTTCCTTTTGCCCCGCGACTGATCTCATTGTTCCCTATGATAGTTGAGCTGGTCTCGCTGCTGATCGCCAGGCCAGTGACATAGGCTGACGCGCCTGCTGGCTTATCTTCCACCGAAGGCCTCCATAGAGAGTCCAAGGTCTTCTTTTCCTGAATAAATGGAATGTTCGCAGTGGGGGCGGGTCTTTGAGGGAGCTGTGAGCTTCCCCTACGGTCCAGTCGGCATTTGGCCGTCGCTCCACCACCAGTGGGCTCCTTCGGCTCGGGATCAGCCAAGGTGAACTGCACACGATTGGTGCTGTGGAGAATGCCGGCATTCCGATACCTGCCCTGAGCGCCCACGTCATTGGATCTTTCTGGCAAAGACTGCGGGCCTGCAGGACTAACAGCTTCGCTATACGCAGGCAATGGGCATCTCTGCGAGCTTGAAGATGTTTTGGTGGATGCTGCCATGGCATCAGAAGTATGGGAACGGCGGGAAACTGGGAGGTCGAAGTATCCCCCCGCCATTCTTGGGCGGACACTTTGGCTCGTAACTCCCTCGCAGAAGCTTCCTCCCAGGTTTCCCTTTGATTTTGTTGCTTGAAAATATGAAACAGCAGACTCCCACTTTTATCGACCAGTAGCCAAGCTAAGAATAGCACCGTCGAAACGAGGTGATCGTTGATAGGGTGTTCGCCTAGTAACAGTCAACTATGTGAAATCATATCGCCAACTGGCGAGGTCTGTAAAGAAAGCAGGGCATTTTTTTGTTTGCTTCATGAGATCATATATGCAAGACTTGATGGATAATCTAACAAGTGACTAACCTTGTTTCAAACGGATGTTGTCATTCAGAAACGTTGGCCACTCAAGGGTTGGCACTATCCCACTCGCCCGCGGGACCTTTAATTTCCCTTCAAAGCGCCGATCAGAAGGAGACCCGCAGTCAGGAATGATGAATTATGTCATGAATGCATAACCAGTGATAGCGCAATTTAGGATCGGAAAATAACGATATCTGGCGCTGGAGGAACGATGGGGACAGAGGGGAAGGGAAATGAACCCGTAGTATGGCCTCGAGAGTGAAGGACCGCAGCCTGGCGGGGAAGCTGATATAAAAGGATCGTGAACAACCCGGACCCCGCGTGTGCTCATACTATTTACACAGATAGAGACAGGTCCCAAAGACGGTGCCGTTGAGCTAGGCAACACACAGGCCACATGAGGGTATGAAACTCTGACAGCCCAGAAGCCCAGACGACCAAACCGAGGAGACTGACAGAAAGAGGGTCGGAAGTACCTCGGGCAGTGGGAGGGCCAGGAAATGATTTCAATGTGTAGCCATCCAGTAAGAGCAGCGAGAGGCTAGGAAGACCCTCCTGTGCTGGGATTTCCCAGTGGTCTGCCAATGTATATTCCCAGTCCGCACCTGTTGATTCGCCACGATGAAAAATCGCCGAGCTTGATTCGGTGTTTGGCTGAGAGCATAGAGGCTCCGTGGTCATTATGAAGCTAGGATATCTTTCTTGTAAGACATTTCAATGCCTCATGGTGTGAGGAACGAGTCATCTTGGAATGATAATGAGTCGGCCATGCTTTTACTGTATGCTCCGATGGCCAAAGAGAACCCCATTCGAGGAAGAGCCAGCTTCCGTTGCCACAAGCTGATCGACAGGCATTGGGGCTTATCGAAGCTTTCCGGATCAGCATAGTGCCGGTGCAAAAGGAGAAAGAATATAGAAAATCGAAAAAATGAAAAATGGATTCAATCTTCCTCACAGGCCAGAAAGGGGCCCAAGGATGTCCGAGCTCCATTGGCAAAGGAACTAGCAGCGATTCCCGGTTCCACGGAGGAAGGTACACAAGTCACAAGAGCCTATTGCAGCTTAGACCCGCTGTTTGTGTAGGGATTTGGCGGAGTGAGCCGAATTGAATGTTGTAATGATGGTGGTGGAGGTGAGTTGATGTGGTGGTAGCGATGATGAGTGTTGTTGTTGAGAAAAGGTTTCCAAGTGACCATTCTGGAAGACCCGGCGCTAAGCGACTGGCCCACCGAGAACATAAGCATAATTCCCTCAGAGCTACGGCTTACGAGTCAGATCCTCCCATTCTATAATAAATTAGTAAATTTAGTCATTCAACAATCATCTCTTGAGTCGATTCGACCAAAGCCTCAACGTGGAGTGTATCATTGACTGGAGCAAACTAGCGAACCGCTTCTTTGTCGATCATCGAGGCTGTTATGATAGATAGCAAGCCAAGTAGTTAGTTTGATCAATTTCACTAGGGCCTATTGCTAAGACCTATCACATCTCTTCGTTCTGTCTATCCCGTTACAAATTGGCCCAGTCCATCCCCATTTAGTGCCATCCATGACTCATGAGGACAACCACACATCACACTAAGCCCCCAAGGGAAATCACCCGACGGGAGATGTGGCTTTATGCAAGATACGTCGTTCCTGATCGACCAAAACAACTCCACTACTGCAGGATATCGCCATCGGAAGGAATCTCGCCCTTCCTTTGACGCGGAGGCAAGTATCCTGAACCGCCCGTCTACAAACTTAGCCAAGGCACGAGTCCATCACAAGCTATGTGGATGGGAGATACCAGACAGGTCGCACAATTTTCTGGGGAAAAAATTGTTTGCTTTTCTCCTTCCTGTTGCGACTGTTGTTTCTACACAATATCTACAAAAGTACTTTGTGTTTAGGCGTACCTCGACTGGACTGGTATCTCGGCCACTGCCAAACCGTTGCAAAAATCAAATTCAAATCCAACACAAAAGTACCCATGCATATGCACATGCTCTGAGCTTGACCATATCCTCCTACTGCCATCCTTCATGATGTCAGCCGGTGTCTCAAAGTAGGAATCCTTGCGCGTCATTGTGTTACCCACCACAGCAAGGACAAGTACAAAAGACAGCAACTGACCTGCAGCAGGATGAAAGGTCACGGCCCTGTACGCCGTTGTCCTTGGGTCAAATCCTGGAAGAATTAAGCTTCCCGTGGCTTTGGATCACTCTAGCCCTGACTAACGGTCTATCACAGGCAGACGAATTGCAGATCGGCTCGCCATTTCTACTAGGATCACCATTGAATACCCATGTACTCCATATTGCCTCCTACCTACTGTGGATTGGTTCAGACTGGCCATGCAAGCAGATAGATAGCAATGCGAGCCGTGGATGATGTGTCCCGAGGTCAAGTAATCTTCGGGATGCCGACTCCCTGCGTCCGCATGGGCCTCTCGCCCTATCGTTGTCTACACCTTGTCTCCATAGTACCTTGATGCCTCAATTCAAAGCAGTATAATTCTCTTCCATCGACCTAACAAATTCCAAATTTCAACAAGAAAAAATGAAAGACCAAAAACACCAAACCTTAGAATGCACCTCTCCACCTCTCTTTCCATCCTCGCTGCAGCGATGCGACCGCACCACCGCGCCGTGCCACCCTCTCCCCTCCCTCGGCGTCGCACAGCACATAACCCACCATCCCAGGCCTACCGAGGATGGTCGTGCAACGTGCAAAGACGCAGGGACCAATACCTAATCTTCTGCCCGTAGAGCCGGCTCGTCGCGCCCGTCATCCGTGATACGCATGTCCGACAGCTGCCACCAGAGCTGGAAACAGGAACCGTGGGTGAAGGGAGTGAAATGGGGATGGTAGGGTCATTGTTCATCCATTGGGATATTTTTGGTCTGATCTGACTGCCCTAGTGCTGACATATGCTATCTTGGATTATATTTTGGATTATTTTGATCTCACTGATAAACCAGCTTTTCCATAGATCGGTCAAAGTTAGGTTACTTTGCGGAAGTGAACCATGGGTGGATGGCGTGAATAAACCCAGCGATCTATGAACCGATCTGAGAGGTTTATGAGCAAAATAAAAAATGATTATAGTAATAGTCGCGGTCATGATAAGCAGCCTTGTCTCGGAAGAGACGAAAAACATGGAACTCAAGTGCGTGGCTGCTGATAATGCCTTCATCTGGGCGTAGTATCTCCGAACTTCTCGCGGTGGATCTTGCATGTAAGTTGGGAACATTCTTATCATATTCCCAATTATTGTAGTCACCCTAGCATTGCAAGAGGTATACAGTCGTACTCGAGCGTCGGATCCATGTGGATCAAGACTTTTGGTCGAGCCGAGCTCAACTACCTCTATGGGCTCAGTTACTAGGCATTAACATAACCTCCACTTATATTCCGTTGGCCGGTTTGGCTTACGAGATGTCGACTCTGAAATCCGGTGATCCATATGATATCTCTAACTAGAAGTTCCAAATCCAGGCCGGCTTGTCTAGGCCCTCTTGCTTACTGTAATGAAAGCTGATTCACTAAGGTTGAATGAACCCTTGTACGCAATTACTAGGTTATGAGAGGTATAATTAGCAATGGCCTCTAGCATCCATTCTAGGTACAAGATAGCTTACTTCATACTGTTCTCCTAATTAAGTTATGTAATTTAGTAGCGAGGCAAAGCTTCGTATCTCCCAATGTCGTTGATGTCGTTATGAAGACATCATAAACATCCCCACTACAATTCTCATTGTACAATCCATCCAACGCATCAAGATCAAGACGAAACCCCTCCCAAAACTACTCCCTTGCGTCATACGTACCCTAAAAATAACCCTCCCCATACCCCTTATCACAAGTAATACCACTCCTTCCCCTATGTTTACCTCATACAAGAAACCCAACCCGCCAAACACAGCCCCCAAAGGACGTTGTATCCGGTACACAATACCCTCTTCCATCGGCAATGCCGATACCTAGCGCACCCGAATCTTGCCACTTACCTAACAATCTTGCAAACCGGATCTGCCGTCCAACCAACTGACCTCATGTCTAACGTGAAACCTTTGTCAACCTGAGTGGGAGAGTTCACGGGTCGAGCTCGAGGGTAAGCTGGTACGGGGGTAGAGACACTTGACACTTTGACGTTTTCTGCAGGGTATTTCTATTGCATCATTGTGTTTTTCTGGGGTTGAGGTTTTTTTTTCCCCACGTGGGGGTGTGTATTGTAGGACTTAGTTATCCCGGATTTAGGTAGTGCTGGTGATGCAGGTGTAGGTAGAGATATAATTCGGTTGTGGTGGTTGGATTGGTAGTATCCATGGAGATGCGTATGTTTGGAGCATATCCCTTGCGTAAATAGGTAGCTGTGTTGTCTAGATTATTTAGAATATGCTCTCGACCTGAACATCGGAGATATATGCATCAAGTTGCATGGCGCAGGTATACCTGCAGGTGATGTGTTTCTTATCTTCACTTCCCAGGTTGAGAAGGAAGCTGCCTGGCCCCATCAATGACAAGTTAAAAGATCAGTCTCTTTAATAAGCAAGGCATAGAATGGTAGTCTGTGGCCAAGGGTCCACGGATATAGTGCTATATCTACTCGAATATTGAATTATCTAATTTGATGCAACGTACAATAGTGAAGGCTGATAGCTACTTTCGTAGATACAGTAAACTCCCGTTTTCGGCACTCCCAGGTTAGGCACACATTTTTATTAGGCACCAAAATCTGTTGGATGGACCCACTTCTTAGAGTTTTCCCATATATAAGAGGCCAACCGGCACACCTTTTTGTCTGGCACACAAAATTCTCTTCAATTTTTGCTTAGTCATATAAACCGACCAATCAGAATGCAGGATTTTTCCCCTTCCAACCCTTCCACCCCTTCTTCGGTCGCTCTTTCAGCTAAACTGGCTATACCAAAACAACCCAACAAAGGCATATCCGATGCTCAGAAAAAAGCATTACGTATCTATGCATCGGAGACACGCCCTAAACCTACTCAGAGAGAATGCGCTGAGTGGTTTTCATCTCAATTTAATCGTCATATCAACCGTGCGACCGTCTCCAAGATTCTTTCATCCAAATACGAGTACCTTGATACTGGTTTAGCTGGTCAGAACAAACGCCCGTTAGCATCTCGGTGGCCTCTATTAGATGAGGCCCTATATATCTGGCAGCAGCGTCACGAGAATGCCGGTTTTCCTATAACAGGCCCATTGATTCAGAGCAAAGCCGTCGAATATTGGAAGAAAATACCCCAGTATAAAGATCTCGACCCGCCACTTTTCTCTGAAGGGTGGCTATCACGGTTCAAACAGCGCCATTCGATCCGATATCATACCTCCTATGGCGAATCTGCATCGGTTCCGGCTTCGATGTATTCCGACATGGAAGCTATTCGGGCTATCTGCGACCAATATCAGCCAAACGATGTCTATAATATAGATAAAACAGGTCTATTCTGGCGTCGAATGCCAAATGGGGGTCTATCGAGTAAGGGTAGTCCTGGTTATAAAAAAGACAAGACCAGGATTACTCTCGCAGTAACGACCAATGCTACTGGTTCAGATCGAATGCCTCTATGGTTAATAGGCACTGCGAAGATGCCTCGTGCTCTACGAAAACTCAATATCCCAGCACTTGGATGTGTCTGGCGATAGAACAAGAACGCATGGATGCGCGGTAATGTTATGCAAGAATAGTTCCGCTCGTTTTATAGGCATATTGGCACACAAAGACGAGTCGTGCTATTGCTCGATAACTTTAGCGCGCATCTCTCTGCGCTTAAACATGCGCCACCGCCGTCTAATATTAAAGTCGTTTTTTTGCCACTAAACGCGACCTCGGTTTACCAGCCATTAGACCAGGGTATCATCAGAAACCTTAAGCACCATTATCGGAAGAAATGGTTGACATGGATGGTTAATATGATAGACCGCGGCGTCGATCCTACGCAGAGAATAAGCCTCTATTACACACTACATTGGATCACCCAGGCTTGGAGACGTGACGTCCTAGATGAGACTATTCAGAAGTGCTTTATCAAGAGCACGCTTATTAGTCCTAGCACTAATGAGATAAATACGTCTCCGTCTGAGGACCTTCAACTAGGTGATTTATACGCAGAGGTGACCGACCGGCTTCCTGGTACAGAGGTTATGGCATTAGATGAATTTCTAGACCCTCCAGGAGAAAATATCGACGTGGAAGAGCCTGATTTATCTAATATTATCGTTCATTTTTCAGAAGAAAATACAGGTAGGGATAATAGGGTTCAGGATAGCGAGGACGACTAGGACGAATATATATTCGGACCACCGCTGGATATCCTCTCGCGTGTTAAAGCTATTGAATATATGCATAAAGCTCTTCAATTTGCCCAGCACCAAGAGGGAATTACTGAGAGAGATCTACGTGATATAGAGAGGATCGCTCATCTTTTTTCTCGATTCGAGATCAATGGGAGGAAGCAGAGAAGGGTGGATGACTACTTTAGACCAAAAACAGACTAGTTCTTACTAGATGAGGTTTAGCGCGATATTAGTGGCACACTTTCATTAGGCACATCGGAATTCTGTTGCACGGAGGCCCGTGCCGAAAACGGGAGTTTACTGTATGTATTTTAAGACACGTTGGTTCCACTATTGCATCCATATCAACACATATTTTGCATACAACAGGATTACATCAACACCTATGCACTAGGCTTGCAATTCCAACGAAATGTAAAATCTGAACCTTGATGCTGATTGACCGCACAGTCAATACCTGGATCGAATAGCATTGGAGCTTCCTACAACCACACATACCTTAAACCAGGATAAAAAACAAAAGCCAAAAAGGATAAAAATAAAACCATAGATCCAATCCGACAAGACGGTATATTAAAAGAAAGACCAAACAAAAACACCAAAAACTCCATGCTTGCAGAAAAGGAAGTGCAATGCATCTCATCCCAGACCATTTCATCCCGGTCCAATCCATTCCAATACAATCCAACCACGCTACTCCCAGAGTAGAGACAGAAATCGATCCTCGTTAAACTAACATTCAAATTTCAACTTGACAAATTGCGCCATGCCTAGCCCGCCGCTTGACGGGTTTGTTCAGATCATCGAGATATCCAGCCCGGCTTCCTGCGCGGTGAATAACGATGATGAGGAACGCGCGAGAAGAATAGAAGAAAACGCTGAAAGAATGGGAAAACCGCCGAGAAACTTGGAGACCTGGACCATAGAGCTTGGTCGTCGGGCATTATCGCCTCTCAACACGACTAAGTGCTCCGAGTATAAGGCCCAGATCCTCCCGTGGTCGGGATCGTGATACTCTCGGTGTGCGCGGATCGCTGTCATCCCCTTCAATGGCGAGTCGTTGCTGTGTATTCTGCGCGTCGCGCTCTTCAAGGCGTTCCGCACAGATATGCAGTATCCGCGAAGAAACGGCGTCTGCCGTGGAGCGGTATAGTTCGATGTCGTGGACTCCTGCAGCCAAGGCATCGAGTGTTGGTGCAAGACCTGTTGTGATTCGGGAGAGACGGGCTGAGACGGTGGAGGGTGGTAGGGGTGGTTGTGTTGAGGAAGCAGCGTCTCCTCGTGATTGTGATTGAGATGCTGCGGAAGAGGATGGGGGATTGAGAGTGGCGTAGATGGCTTGTTGTGAGGGGTCAAGGAGGGAGGTGTTGATTTCGTCGTGGGTGGATTTCTCGAGTTGGCGTTTTGATCGAGGGGATCTCTTAGGAGATTTCTTGGGTGATTCAACATCGATGCGCGGGATCGGAGGCTGTTTGAGAAGTGCGTTCAGAGCATGCCTCTCTTTTTGGAGTCTGTCAGTAGAAACCTGTTAGCCCAATTCTCTCTCATAGTTGATTCCATATCTCAAAATTGAATCCATACTTCTGTATTTGCTCCTCCAACTCCTTGATCTTATCCGTATTCTGCACGTTCCTCGGATTCGGCTTCTTCACGACCACCGTTGGAGGGCTCACGTCCTCACGACTGAACCAATTGGATAAGTCGGAGTTGGATGAGAATTCCTTTAAGATCTCCTCTTGAATCGCCCGAGCTAAATATAATCCATTAGAGTCATATTCGACCATAGTCAACCCAGAACCCAAGGGATTTACCTGCTAAGCGTGCACTGATCTCCTCGGAGTGTGACCCGGAGGGCTTGTCAGGCAACGCACGAGTCGCGCACCAAATGAGAAGCTGCCGCATCCTGCGCGGCTCGGGAAGCCCTTCATCGGCAATGTGTTTATAAAAGTCCGCCGTGCTCACTTCTCGATGGGGCAAGGCTAGAAGAAACCATGTCAGTTTTCGTTTTCCTTGTCGGTTGAACAAGAAATGTCCGTCTTCCATGCGGATTGTCCTACCATTCGATGTCCCCGAATCAATCAAGTCACTGGCTCTTCGTCCACGCATTTGCAGACTGCTTCGTCGTCCACCCTTGCTCGATTTCGCTCCTCTAAACTCCTTATTGCGCTGGATAACCGGCGTATCGGCCGTCGGCAGAGCCACCTTGATGCCTGCAGGAGGTTGCTCCGGTGAGTGATAGCCGTTTGATTCATTCATCTTTGCCTTCGCCGGGCGTCCCCTCTTTTTCTTCCTCTCCAACGGCTGGTCTTCGTGACCATCCCGATTCCGTGATGAGCGCGTCGCAGGTTCGGCATGTGATTCTGGCTCCGCGTCTGGCGCTCGCAAAGATCCCCTCGTTGGCCTCCTTGTCGGTAGCTCTGCAGTTTTCCCCTTTGCTGGACCCGCGTTCTCCTCCACTCTCTTCTTTGGCGGTCGTCCCCTCCTCGGCGATGGTTTCGGAGTCGTATTTTCCACATCCGAATGAGCAAGTCGAGGCGCTACTTCAACCGACGGCTTCGGTTTCTTCGAAGGTAATAGCGAAAACTGAAATCCATCCGCATCCTCATCGTAACCTGTAATCATACCCAAGAAATCCCCGTTAGCCACCCGCTCACTCCCGTTCCTCGCAACACATCGCCATCCCCCACCCAGTCGATTACTCACCCGCTTTCCGCTTCGACTCATTATTCGAAATCTCCTCTAGATTCTGCTTGCTCGCGCTCAGTCGCGTGCGTTTCTGTTCCCCACCACCCTTTCCAGCACCCCCAGCACGCGATTGCGCCTGAGTAGCCGCCATACCGATTGTCCTCAGCGGTTCGCGGCGCTTTGTTTTGGTCGTCGAGGCCGTCAGGACCGCGATGGTCATGTCAGGAGTTGGAGGGTACGCGGGCTCGTTGGCGTTAAGGGTGATTTGGGCGTTAACAGGCACCCTCGGCGAGGAATCCACCGATACAAAAGGAATGCGCGTCGTTTAGCCTTTGTTTTCTGGCTAGCGCGGTGGTGAGAGGTGGTCGGTTGCTGCGCCGTTGGGCCGTTTTTTCGCGTTGACGTTGCGCTCGCGGTTTTGGAGCCGGTGGGTTCCACACCTCCGTCGGTCGGAATTGGCGAGTCAGGGCGTCAGTGTAATTAGTGAGCAGTGGTCGCATGTGCCGACAATATTCCAGCTGGGAATTCGAGTATCACGCCCGCAATGCGAAAGAAGCTGCGGGCGGCAAGGATGCGCAGAAGGTGGGTGGGTTGGAGGGATTCGGGCACGCGGTTGTTTTGGTCGGGGCGCGTGGGGCGCTAGTCCTCTTTAGGAAACCCCTCTCTATACTCTCAACGACTGATTGGACTGTTTCTTTGAATACTTTGAGGATTATCTACTAAAAACATTCTCGAATTAAGCTTATGAAGGAGAATGAATTAACCAAAAGAATACAGGTTTAAAGTCAAGTGTTCAAAGGATTGTATAATGTCTGTCAGATCCTATTCAGGGGGTTCCCCTCACGCGGGGACCTCTCCTCCATAATGCGCAGATGCTGGTAGATAATAAAACGCTATGTACCTAGAAAGAATCCTCAACGCCAGCATTGCACAAGAAGAATAACTTCCATACAAAATATGTTCAACGAAAACTGGTGGAAAGGAGTTGAACCCAGTCCATTTTTGAAATCAATGCATTCTCATGATTCAAATCATTTGATCGTGCTCAGCAGTGTTTCTGGGTCGGCTGGAGGTGCCAGGCTACCCTCGATGCGGCGCTTGGCCTCTTGCATCTCTTCGACCGTGATATTCTCGGCCTTCTTTGGCATGTCCGGTTCATGCTGGGGGATGTCGGGGCTATGGCCGACGGACATGCCCACGCGGATCTGGAGAAGCTATTAGTATCCTTGAAACACAAAAGGTCAAAGGTATAAAAGTAGCAAGGATATACATACCAGTGTCTCCAAGGGTCCCTTGGAATTTTCCACAAGGTCAGAATCAAAGTTGACCATTCCTTCTTCGAACAAGACCAGGAGGGTGCTACCACCGAACTTGAAGTATCCCAACTCTTCAGCTCGAGCAACTTTTTCGCCTGCTTTGCGGGTGATGATCGTGCTACCAACCATCATGGCTCCCACACAAATGACCATGACACGACCGTGGGCAACAGAGTCGATGGGAACGAGAATGCGTACATTCTCGCCGTAGACATCCAACGCCGAACGAATGGCCATCGGGTTCACGGTGTAATACTCGCCCTCGATGGTCTTGGGCTCACCCATCACGCCGTCTACGGGGATATGGAAGCGGTGATAATCCTGGGGTGCTAGCCGGAACACACCCAACGCGCCGTTCTTGTACCGTGCTGCATCCTCTGGATAGGCATTACCCAGCAGTCTCTCAACAGAGAACTCACGGCCTTTGACCCAAATGCTAGTAGCTTCGCTCATGCGGTCGAAAACAACGGAGCGACAATCAGCAGGTGAGACAACGATCTTTGGCTCATCGGGAGCCGAACACGGGCGTGCTTCGGGCTTGAGAGCGCGATAGAAAAATTCGTTGAAGTTACGGAACTTCTCAATGGGCAGAAGGACTTCGGACATGTCCAATTGGTGGAAGTTGATAAAGTCTTGGATCTGGCTGGCAGAGGCCGGATCGTCATACTTCCGGCCTTGCTTGATACTGAGGGAGCGTAGGACCCGCCGGACTAGAAAAAGTGTCAGCATGTTTCATCCTTGCAGGTGATGTTTTCAACCAACTTACTTCTCTTCTTCTCCATCTCCTTGCTCTTGAGACCCTTGTACAACAACCGAATTCCAAGACGTACATACACACTCATGCGCTCCTCATTGATCTGACCAGTAATCCGGTCTTGGACCAGAATATTGGCCGAGTTTGCTCCAAGGCGATATCCACCATACGAAATCTTGGTGATAACCTTGGAATACCACTTGCGCTGTGCCTGGCTAGAAGTCACGAATCCACCCATGACCAAGTTATCAACCTGACGCCAGTCACGGCTCGCGCACGTCGCAATATGAGTAATAATATCCGCATCCGATCGTTTGGCGAGGCGAGGTTGATGGCAAAGCGGACACTCACGGATCTCAATGACGTGCTCCTCACCGCGTTCGTCACCAAGATCATCGGGCTGCAATTCCTCGTCGTTCGAACTAGGCTGCTCGTCACTGCTTATAGTCGGGACCGCTGTTTTCTGGGGATTAGCATTGGACGGTGGGCGGGTACTGGTTTCTATAACGAGATCCTCGTCGCTGGATGGCTCCTCACTTTCTTGGCTTCCGGCTGGCGATGGTCCGAGACCTGGCCTCCGTGGGATGGGAATTGCGGGCACACCGGGCACCGAGTTCTTTTTCTGAAGGTACCGAAGGGTGTCTTCCAAGCAAATCACGCATTGGTCAAAGGTCAAATCGGCCATTTCGGGTTCGGTTTCGTTGCCGAACCGTTTGAAGAAGCTATCGATTGTTGATTCCTTGAGGGTGGATCCAAGAGTGTCGAGCATCGTGGTCATCTCGACCTTGTCGATGCGGCCGCTGTCGTCCGCGTCGTATTGCTTCAGCATCAGTCTCCAGAATTGCTGGCGCAACGCGCTGTACGGCAGATACTTGGCTTTGACAAACAACTCGGGCGAGTGCTTGTCTTCCCACCGGTCTCGGTTTTTTAGAACCAAGGGGATTTTGTATTCTCGCAAGCCCTCTTCATCTGGAGGAGGGATTGAATCACTGCTCTCGGTTGTACTCGAGCTCGTCGTCCCGGACCCTGGGACCTGTAGAGTAGAGCTACTGCTATCCATTTCAGGGCCACTCTCTTCAGGGACAGACGTAGGCGCGGGTCGGCTGGCCGTGTCCAGTATTGACAGAGACGACACCGAGTTGCCAGAGTTGCGAGACTTGAGTGGAGGTCTGCCCATCTTGGAGAGGCTTTGGGATGAGGGCGACGGGCTGACAGCAAAGCGGGGACTGGACTTGGTCGGACTGGGGGATCCAGTTCTACAAAATGATACAAACCCGACTCCGGGTCTGCCTCCGGGGCTGACTGGATGAGTTTCTGTAGAGGGAAGCTGGCGGATGCGACAAAGTCATTGCCCGAGAACTTGTCGCGGTCCATCACGGTGAAGCTGATGGTGTAGGTCTGCTCGTGTTTCATCACCTGGAAGACCATCTTTTCATGGTACACCGGGTTTAGGTTGTGTCTGATGACGGGTGTCCGGAGCGTCTTTCGTCCTAGCGAAGTCACGACGAAGGGGTCCATGTCGAACGATGTGCGAGTCACTAAAAGAGGCAAAGTGTTAATGACCTGTTCCCATAGAAATGCGAGATGGACAAAAGAGCAGAGATAATCTTACCATTGCGTTCAGGAGGCAGGTCTCTGACCCGCACAATTTCCATAAACACAATACCTTGAACCCCAGTCCCTGAGCCCGAGAATTGATATGCGCGGGCAGCTAGGGACTTGCGCCTCAGGCGAGCCAAACGAAGCCGGCGGCGACGCTTCTCAACAACTTCAGGTTTCGATGGATCATCCGTCTCATCAGAAGTCTCCTGGTCAAGCTCGTCGAGATCAAGTTGTGGGAGTTGGTCGTCAGGCGACTGGTCATCCTCCTCACCTGCACAGACTAGAGTCTTGAATTTCCGATACGTCTCCGCAGGTGATGCAGACGGATTCGCCGAGTCTGACAGCGAGAACTGGAGCAGAATCTCGCCGGAGACATTGCTATCCTTCTTCTCCTTCTTCTTCTTTTTGCGGCTGGGCCGGTTGGATACCCGTTTGGACTTGAGTGTGTACCATGTGGGCTAAGCGAGTGTTAGCACTCCGTAACCGGACAAATTGTGCCAATTGGATTGTATTATCTCACCTCCTGGTTGACCTGACCGTCCGCGAAGATGTCCTCCAGTGCAATGTCGAATTCACCCATGTAATCCTTGCCGAAGCGATCGTGGTCCCAACAGATAAATTCCAGTAGAGGGACACCCATGACGGGCATTTCGAAGGAGACGTTCCATTCCGGGTTCAATGTCTTCGATATCGTGGGGGTTGATTGCCTCGCGTCGCCCAATGTTACTACCAAGTACTGTCCCGCAATTGTCAGCGTGATTGTCGATCTGGTTGGGGAGCCGATCACTCCCTGGTCGCGTGAGTGCTTACCGGATCGCTTGTGCCACCACGATCTTTCGCCGCAAGGTTTCGACCCTAATTGAAAGATACCATGACGTCCCCGGTCAGCGAGATTTCAGGCCAGGTGGCGCGGGGTAAACTGGGACGGCGCTGGTGGTAGACTTACCTTGATCACGGTGACTTTGATCAACAGAGGTTTCGTGTCCACCGAGCGCATTGGACTAGTACTTCTGCTCTGGCCCGGAGTCGAGCTTGCGCTCCTCGCGGTCAAATGCGAGCTGAGCCGCTGGGGTAACGGCAACCGGACCATGGCGGAAGGGGAGAAGGTTGCGGGACGAGATTCAAGGAGGGAAGAAGCAGCGCAGTAAGGGAAAAGAAAAGAAAAAAACAAGACAACAAGGCCAAGGAAGTGGACACGGAGAATAATACGAGTTGTCGGTAGCTTAGGCTCAATGGCCCCCCCCTGGTGGCTGTTTTGGCAGTTGGCCAGTCCTCGGACGTGGTGGCTTTAATTTAGGAGAGCACCCCAGGTCGGATCGTCGATCGTCTTGTTCGGGTCGATCCCACACGAGAAAAGAGCCAAGACCAGAGACGGTGCCACCCGACCCAAACGAGACCCCAACAAACGGCAGATGGTAATACCGGTGACGGGCAATTGGACCCTGAATCCTTTCGGGGGTCCGTTTTGAAGAAATTAGGGGGCGATGACCGGCCAAGGGTGGGAATTCCGCGTAAGAAGGGGAAGAGGGAAAGGGCAACAAACAACACGAGGGCCCGAGAGCACGAGCCAAAGGAGATGTTGAATTAAAGGGGTATATGGGATGCCAGTAGGATTGTGATTGCAACAATAGTCGTTCGATGTCCAAAAAAAAAAAGAGTATCGTCAGCGGATTTAGCGGCCTGTTTCGATGGGGTCGCAAATAGTTGAAATTAGTGGCAGAGGGGCCGAGACATAACGACCAAATGGCCCTCGTTAGTTAATCATTGAGACTTTGCGACGTCAGGCTGCTTGAACAGGGCTCCACTTGGCGAGGCCCTTCTCCACCGCCAAATCACTGGGAAGACCAGAAACTGGCGGAGTGGGAAAGTGTGGAAACGGAAGTTGGGAAATCTGGATGCCTTGGGAGAGCAGGCAGCCTTGTAGGAGGAGTGTACGGAGTTGTTCTGGCGTAGTACTAGAGTATGGAGTGGTAGAGAGTACAACAAGACCAGCCGAAGAGTAGTCGGAAAACGAAGGAACTAAATGTCTCAACAATTGTCTCTGAAATTATCCGATCGTCAAGAATAAACGAGTTGACAACATCCAACTGTTCATTATTGTTCGCCTGGCGGCCTTGAGCGGTCTAACGTCATACTCCTGTCGTAACTACTGTGTACTCTCTCCCCACTTCCCTCCCACTTTCTCCCTCGGAGAAGCAAAATATACCCCGCAATCACAGACCGGAAGGATTCAAGGCATAGTTATCGACGATGGTCAACGATTAATGGTCAATAGTCAAGAACGGTCAAGGTTCAAGGTTCATGGTTGCAGGGTCAATGCGTCGTTTATGCTTGTGTTGCACATGGGAACGGACTTTTTCGGGCTCATACCCATCTGATTGGGATGTACATTTAATGTGACAGCGGAGGAACATATCGAGGAATTCTAGTGATATTCCCATCGAGACCTGGAATTCGTTGAGAAGAACAGGTCCGGAAGACGACTACTGATTAGGACCATACTCATGACCCTACGAAAAGCTTTCGCGACACTACAACGATAAGCCTTACTGGAAAGGATAGTTAAATAAATCGAGAGATATGACTATTGCTTTACGGAACGATAATTAAAAAGATATTACGAAACATCTTTAGAAATTGAGGAGGTTATCGCGTGTATAGCTAGACCTATCTTCCGTCATTTCAATTTTCGAAATACCACTATACATAAGGGCTCAGTATGGATTATACAGAGATCGGATATAACTACGGAGTACCATCCACGTTCTACTTGGAAGGTACGTTCTAGATTGGGCTTAGCGCCGTAGTGTCACGAACACCTCTCGTAGACAATCTTCATGCCAGGTCACGGATAATGGCGCTTTCATTTTTTCGCGTGGGCCGCAATTGGCTTGGTGGAAGAACCACGGCCAAATCTGCCCCAGAACTAGATCTCCGTGATTTCCAGGAACAACGACCAACAACATTACTAGCTTAATCCTGTCGTCGGTCAACCCGACCCCAAACCTCATCAGCATTCGCCTTGCCCTTGGTCTCCGGAACCCAGCGGTAAATAAATGTCCCCAGGAGCCCCGCCATCGCTGCAAAGACCCAATATACCTTTCCGCGGCCCCCGAGCGCATCATTCAGCACGGGGAAGAACTGCGCGACCACAAAGGTCGCGGTCCAGTTGGCCGCCAGCGCCCAACTTTGCGCCGCGCCAACCGCTTCGGGACCTACGAGCTCCGAGGCCAAGATGAAAGGTACCGGGCCCAGACCAACCGCAAAGCAGGCCACAAACAACAGGGCGGCGATCGCGGATGCGATCTTCTGATTAAAGTAGATCCCCAGTGCCAATAGAATCGAGCTAGTGCCCATGCCGCCGATACTCAGAAGTAGACAGGTCTTCCGACCAATGCGGTCGGGTAATGGGGAGCATGCCAGCGTCATGACGAGATTAATGGCTGATATTAACACAGTCAGAAGCGCTGCGGTCGTAGGTAGAATGGTCTGTAGCAAGGAGACGCTGTACATGATAATGCTGTTGATACCGGTCAATTGCTGGGCAATCATGACCCCCACGACGGCGATGATGGCTGGCCGGTAGAAAGGATCACGAATGGCCTGCATGATAGTCACGGGCTCTTGTTTGGAGGGTAGATCGCCGGCCGCGGGAGCCAGCAGAGACTCCTCTTCAGGGGCCCCCGAAGTTCTCCAGGTCTGGGTCTCGGCCTCAATATCGGCATCCTTGCCGCGGATACGCTGCAAGACCCGGCGAGCCTGGCTCACGGAGTGGTGCTCAGCGAGCCAAGTCGGACTTTCCGGGACCATAACTAGACCTAGAAGCTCCAACGCTCCGATGATACCGGCCAGGCCGAGAATCAGCCGCCAGAAACTGTCATGGCTCCAGAAGTATCCGAGACCTTGGGTTAACAAGATACCGACATTGGTCATGACTTGGGTGAAAGCGCCGAAGAAACCTCGAGACTCTGGCAGCGCTATCTCAGACACGTAAATAGGACCAACCACGATCGCTGCACCAGACCCGATGCCGGAAAGGAATCTGCCCAAAGCGAGTATTGGGATCGCGGGTGCGAGGGTCTCTGCCACGGGACCTAGCACAAAGAAGACGGTCGTCGTGAGCAACGCAATTCGGCGTCCGTACTTGGTCGATACTGGCCCTGCCAGCAGGGCTCCTAGTAGACCACCGAGGGTGTAGATTGACGAGACCAAGCCGAACTGCGAGGGATTCATGGGAATGCATTGCGGTAGGCCATTCAGGCCAGCGCTGGAGCCATGGATACTTTTCTTCTCGCACGTCACGACTGCTTGCGGGGCATTGAGCTCAGCCTATTTGTTTGAGTCTGTGTCAGTGGCAGTTCCTGGCTATTGGAGGCAATGTATAATGTATATGACAATGTAGTGCTCCCGGGAACCCTTTCGAGGGATCAGGCCATGCGTACCAGATGATAGCCAAACTGAAGAGGGCCCAACGTGACGATAAACACGAGGTAAATCAAGTATGGTGTGACTTGCGACCGAGATGAGTCACCCGTAGCCATGATGAGAGGTAGGAGATCATCCAAGTCGCTAGAATGGGGGAGAGGAGGAAGGAGTGGAAGAGGAGTCGCAGAGCTCAAGATGTCGTTCGTGGAGAAAGGGTAGCTTGGTAGGCTAAGAGTGGAGTGATGATAAGGCGCTGGAGCTGTTATCTCCTGACTTGCGGGGATCACACCCGATCAACTGGCAACTGGTTAGTTTCTTGGGATCTCGGCCCGAACTCCAACTTCCTAATTCCACCCTCCCCTAAACCCCCTTTTCTCCTTTGCCTTGCGCCACTCAATAATACTCCATACAAACTCCACGGAGTATTCATTACTCTCCTCCACTTTCCTGCATTATCCCCGGGAGATTCTCCGATTATTAGCTCTCCAGCACGTCTCCATCACCGCTGACTAAGGTCAAACCTCCCCCCATCCGGTTCCCCCGAATCACCGAATTGTCGCCTCTCCACACGCCCACTTTCCAATTGCGCCTCCGCGACGGAAATCGCCTCTCCTGTGGCCCTTTCCTCCCCCCCCCCCCCGAATTCTCCGATGGACGAGTGACGATCCAATGAGTCTGACAAACCCGCCTTCCTCCTCCGGTTCGATCTCTGCCCGAGCCAAGACTGTCGGCCAGAATCTTAAACGGAGTCTCCAGGCCACTGTCGATGGTAATTATTATACACATTCTTCGGTCCTTGGTCGCATCTCTTCCTGCTGCCTCTGTTGAACATCACCTGTGCACGATCTGTCCTCTATCGTCCCTGTTGATCTTCTACGATGTTTGGGAAAGGCTTCCCATTTCTGAATTCTGCTGGGGGCTTCTATCCTCGGGGTAATCTTCTTTCCCTTCGCAAAAACACTGGAGTGTCGTTTCGGATTATTGTCATGGGGGTTAAGAACAGAAAGAATTTCAAAGAGGAGGGTGGCCCATGTCTCTGGTTTTGCGATCTTCATACACCTTGTTGGTTTCATCGAAAGACGCTTGGATCCTTTGATTTGTCTCCGCTATTCTTTTCCCCGCAATGCCTGTTGCGAGACTCCGGATTTCCGTACATGAGCTGACCAATTGCCTTGCTTTTACAGAGTCCGTCGAATCCCGCAGGCCCGGGGGGTATACAAGCAAAGTTCGAGTGCGTGACCGATATCATATCGTGGGGTTCATTAGCAGTGGTACCTATGGCCGGGTGTATAAAGCGATCGGCAAAAATGGCCAGAAGGGGGAGTTTGCGATCAAGAAGTATGTCTTTAGTCTCGACCTTGAGTTTCTACCTTGTGTTGTATCTGGTCCAGAACTAACCTGCAATCTCTAGATTCAAGCCGGACAAGGAAGGCGAATCGATCCAGTATACTGGTCTCTCCCAATCGGCTATCCGTGAGATGGCTCTCTGCACCGAGCTCTCGCACGCCAATGTGGTTCAGCTGGAAGAGATTATCCTAGAGGACAAATGCATCTTTATGGTGTTCGAGTATACGGAGCACGATCTGCTCCAGATCATTCATCATCACACACAACCCCAACGGCACGCGATCCCTGCCACAATGGTTCGGTCAATCCTCTTCCAGCTGCTGAATGGCTTGTTATATCTTCACACCAACTGGGTCTTGCACCGTGACCTCAAGCCGGCCAATATCCTGGTCACGTCCAGCGGAGCTATCCGAATCGGCGATCTGGGTCTGGCCCGGCTATTCTACAAACCCCTCAATTCTTTATTCTCCGGAGACAAGGTCGTTGTCACGATATGGTACCGAGCTCCAGAGCTCCTCCTGGGAAGTCGACACTACACCCCGGCTGTTGACATGTGGGCAGTGGGGTGCATCTTCGCCGAGCTTCTATCCTTGCGTCCGATCTTCAAAGGAGAGGAAGCCAAGATGGACAGCAAGAAGACCGTTCCCTTCCAGCGCAACCAGATGATGAAGATCGTTGAGATTCTCGGCCTCCCTCGCAAGGAAACGTGGCCAGGTCTTGTTGCTATGCCCGAGTATACCCAGCTGCAGTCATTAGTACTGCATCGACAGCCATCTCATTTCCACCGCGGTCCAAATCTCGAGGGCTGGTATCAGAGCTGTTTGAAGAATGGAGGGTATTCTGCCACCTCGAAGACGGGGACTCCAGGCGCAGACGGCTTTGATCTTCTTTCACGCATGCTTGAGTACGACCCCACGAAACGGATCACGGCCCAGGAAGCTCTAGAGCATCCCTACTTCGCGAATGGAGGTCCTATTAGCGGAGATTGTTTCAACGGCATCGAACACAAGTACCCACATCGTCGTGTCACGCAGGATGATAATGATATACGCACCGGTAGTCTGCCGGGTACCAAGCGTAGTGGTCTGCCCGACGACTCGCTGTTGAGAGCAACGAAGCGTCTGAAGGAGTGATATCTACTCTTGACATGTTCGCCGGCCTTGGTACCCGCGTTCATCTTCTTATACATAAAGCACATAATGGGGGTTAAGGGTGGTCTTTCGGCCCACATGAGCAGGGGTTTATACTTTGGGATGGCGTTTCTTAGGCCTGTTTCGGGGTTTAATTTTTAGATACCATTTCGCATCGCATGCATCTCATGAATGAAGAAATTCCATCAGTCATATTGCGCCTTGAATAGTTCCTAGTGCCTAGTCCCATTCCATTCCCATATCCGAATCCTGAAGTTGTCCGAGTTGATCCCATCAAGTAGCACATACCCATAAGCCGTTCCAGAATATCGTTGGTACAGCACAGTCCCATAACATAATCCAGCAAGTAAAATACAGGCGCAAGTTTCTCATCCCGAAACCCATGATATCTCGTACAATCAGTACCCTGTAGACACGTTAGTGATCAGTCCTCATTGGGAACACATTTTGGGGGAAAACTAACCATTCTGCTCACGGCGATTATCACCCTCAGTATCACCACCGCCATCTCCCATAGCAGAAGCCCGACCAGCAGCATCTTTAATCCCTTGTTCATCACCACGTAACTTCTCAAAATACCCCTTAATATCCTCCGCGCTAACAGCCTGACCACTCTCCGCAAACGGCTTGAGGAAGTCCTTCACCTTATCGCGAAGATGGTTGTAAATCATCGCGCCTTCAATGGCACGTACGCGGTCAACATTGCTGAGAGCTGCTTCGCCGCGCTCAAGGAGACTGCCTGTCCCGGTACTGCCGGCTGCGTTGCCGCCCTCGCCGTCGTCGGAGAGGGGTGGTTCGTATGTTTCTTCTTCTTCGCGGAGTTGAGGGAAGGGTGCTAGTTTTGGGAAACATTCTGCGCAGCGGCAGAGGCGGTCGTGGAAGTTTTCGAGGAGGAAGAGGGAGAAGGAAGCTTCGGGGGTTGAGGAGGGAGGGAGGCGTGCTTGGGTTTTGGGGAGTCTGTTGTGGGTGGTTCTGTAGTGGTGGTGGATAGGTTTGAGGTGGGCTCGTCCTCTTTGATAGTGGCAAGTTTGGACGGTTCGGGTTCCTTTGGAGGTGCGTCTTCTTCTTTGGTTCGCTTTGCAGAGGGCTCTTCTTGAGCGGATTCATCGTCATCGGCCTTGCGTTTCTTTGAATTGTCCTCTTGCTTCGTGGTCTCTGCGGGAGCTGGGTTCTCTTGCACTGTTGGCGCTGCTTTTCCAATTCCACCGTTCCGATAGACCGGTGGCAGGAAGCCTGGAGTTCCAGCGTATTTTTTGAGCCACGGGGTAGAATCGATACACTTGAAACAGATCAATTGCTCAAAGTCGTCCTCAGCCGGGAATCCGGGGGGCAGAGGAGTTTCGCCGTCATCGTCAGCGACTTCAACAGTATCTTCAGCAGTACTGTCACCACCAAAACCCACAGACTTCTTGTTTGCAAGATTCTTGTACCAATCACGCGATAGTCCAATGAGACACTCTGGGTGCCACCAGTCCTCGCCACAACCACCGGTCTCAACACTACCAAGACCTAGGCATTGGAACATGGTGCCCTTCTCTTGGTGCGGGTCGTATTTCTCGCCGCAGCCGCAGAACTGATTGCGGAAGTTGTGGTTGTATTTGTTGCCTGGGGCAGCTTCTTGGGAGTGAACGCCCTTCCGGCCAGTATTCGGGTCTTCGCGCAAAGTACACGGGGAGGTGGAAGGCATACGGGTCGTACCACAGTCGCAGACGAAATTGCGCTTGTTGAACAGTTCGACCAAGGTGTGCTCGCCATGGCATGCGATGGAGCAGGAGTAGCACACGGCAGCGGGGGTGTAATCGTCATCGGGGCTCGAGGGGGGTGGATTGCAAGTCAGGCAGGCGAAAAGGTTCTGGCGTAGTGGTCCGAGGTCATGGGTGCAAGAGTCGAAGGACTATGTATTGGTCATGGTTAGTTTGCGTGTGAACGGCGCATTTCAGTATCATCGACGCTTACGTATGGTAGGATCTCTCGAGCATCAGCCTCAAGACGAATCTGAGAGTCAATAAATCTGGAGTGTATAAGCCGTCATATTCACATCACTTTTGGGGAATGAATGGATCTCAAGACATACTCTTTCGCCGTCTGGGAGTTCTGCGATCCGAAGCTCTCGCGCCTGAGCGCATCGGCCTTGAGAGGGCAAGTTGGCGCGAGATCCATCGAAAGAACAAAGATTTCTGTCTCCTAAATGATTATCTTGTCTCGAAGAAGCGAATAGCGAGGTGTCAGCTTTGCGCAAAGTTGCGACTGAGTGATGTGGAGTCTGGGGCGAACGCGATGCGCGGGCGGTGTGAAGTCGGATGGCGGAGACCCTTGCTGGATCTTCTGGCAACTCTGTTGGCAGCACGGATGTAAGTCAACGATGGGCTTCAGAGATTTGAAGGGCGGATCAGAGAAATGTCACGGATCCCTGGTTGTGGATGCTGACTGGCAGGTCATGTCATTAATGGTGGACAACTTGACTACAGTATGTTCGTGTCGCGACTTGGCTGTCGCGTCGTACTTGACTTGAGCTAACTTGAATCGCTTGACCATAATTTTTTTTTTAAAACTGGGAGAGAGTTTTGTAGTTAGCTTATGTCTATATTATAAGAATCGATGCACGATGAATCCTAACTTGTTACGTCTTCATGAATGGTTAATTCTTTACCATCATTCTGCCATGTACGTCCACGTGACTGCCCAAATGGGGTTTAATTGAAAACGCGTCGCGTCGAGTTTTGCCAGTTTGGGCCGCCTCGACGCGTCTCTTCCCGCCCCTTCCTTCTGCTCCTCATCTTCTCCTTTGGGCTCGAGAAATTTACAAGCTTCTTCCATTCCACCACACCCTCCCTCCCCCCTCCATCTCGGTCTCAATCCATCCCGATTCGGACGATTGAGCCACATACACATAATATGGAGTCAGTATTCTTCGCCAGTTATTTATTTACTGGGTTTTGTCATGTTCCAGCGCCCACAAAACTAACACACTTTGCAGTCCCCTCCAACCTAGCGACTCGGCCGCAAACCGCGGCCCGAGAGCCAACACTCGCAAGCGCTCGCGAGAGCCAGATGACATGTCTTCGCCCGGGCAATTGCCTCCCTCCAGTCGTATGTGCATATTTGTTGTTTACAGGAAAACCTTGCCGATGAGGGCCTGACTGACAAACTGGGTGCAGCTGCCGCATTGGGGTCATCACCCCCTCCCATGCCTTTCGACGAAGGTGAAGATGATGACGAAGACGAAGCTGAGATGATTCCCGACATTGACGATGTGGATGAGCTGGCCGAGGATGAGGATGGGATTGATCTGTTCGGCGACAACTTCGAGCGGGATTACCGCGCTGCTGAAGATGATCGATATGTGAACGAGGCGTACATCGACGATGACGAAGACCATGATGAACTCGATGCTTCGACCCGCCGACAATTGGATGCACGACTAAACAAGAGAGACCGGGAACTCGCCCGTCGGCGCCGTATGCCTGCTGCTTTCTTGCAGGATGATGACGATATGGATCTCGACCTGTCGCGCCAGCCGCGCCGTCGTCGCCACCATTACGACGAAGAACGAGAGGATATTGATATGGGCGACGAGGGCATGGAAGAGCTGTCCTTGGAAGAATTGGCCGATGTCAAGGCCTCCAACATCACAGACTGGGTCACCCAGCCCCAAGTGCTTCGCTCTATCTATCGCGAGTTCAAGGCCTTCCTAACGGAGTTTATCGACCCCTCTGGACAATCCGTCTACGGAAACCGAATTAAGACCCTCGGTGAGGTTAACTCTGCCTCGCTCGAGGTGTCCTATGCCCACTTGAGTGAGACCAAGGCCGCTCTGTCCTACTTCCTCGCCAACGAGCCTACCGAAGTCCTCAAGGTCTTCGATCAAGTCGCTCTCGATGTCACTCTCTTCCACTACCCCCAATATCACGACATTCATAACGAGATTCACGTGCGCATCACTGATGTCCCCATCATCTACACTCTGCGCCAGCTGCGCCAGTCGCACCTGAACTGTCTGGTTCGTGTCGGCGGTGTGGTTACCCGCCGTACTGGTGTCTTCCCACAGTTGAAGTATGTCATGTTCCTTTGCCAGAAGTGTGGTATCACTCTTGGACCCTTCCAGCAAGAGGCCAGCGCCGAGGTGAAGATCTCATACTGCCAAAACTGCCAGTCCCGCGGTCCTTTCACCGTCAACTCCGAGAAGACCGTCTACCGCAACTACCAGAAGCTGACTCTGCAGGAGTCTCCTGGCTCCGTGCCTGCTGGTCGTCTGCCCCGCCAGCGTGAGGTCATTCTGTTGGCTGATTTGATTGATTCCGCCAAGCCTGGTGACGAGATTGAGATCACTGGTATTTATCGCAACAGCTATGATGCTCAACTGAACAACAAGAATGGATTCCCCGTCTTCGCGACTGTCATCGAAGCCAACCACGTTGTCAAGGCACACGATCAACTTGCTGGCTTTAACCTGACTGAAGAAGATGAGCGTGAGATTCGTGCTCTGTCTCGTGATCCCGAGATTGTGGACAAGATCGTTCGCTCCATCGCTCCCAGTATCTACGGTCACCAGGATGTCAAGACCGCCGTTGCACTTTCGCTCTTTGGTGGTGTCAGCAAGCAGGCCCAGGGTAAGATGTCTATCCGTGGCGACATCAACGTCCTGCTACTTGGTGACCCCGGTACTGCCAAGTCCCAAGTGCTCAAGTACGTCGAGAAGTCTGCGCACCGTGCCGTCTTTGCCACTGGTCAAGGTGCCAGTGCCGTCGGTTTGACCGCCAGTGTTCGTCGAGACCCTCTGACGAGTGAATGGACTCTCGAAGGTGGTGCTTTGGTGTTGGCTGACCGTGGTACTTGCTTGATTGACGAGTTCGACAAGATGAACGACCAGGATCGGACGTCCATTCACGAAGCCATGGAGCAACAGACCATTTCTATTTCCAAGGCTGGTATTGTCACTACTCTGCAGGCCCGTTGTGCAGTCGTTGCTGCCGCCAACCCCATCGGTGGTCGCTACAACAGCACCAAGTCCTTCTCGGAGAATGTGGAGCTGACTGACCCTATCTTGTCTCGTTTCGATATTCTTTGCGTGGTTCGCGATCTGGTCGAGCCCGCCGAGGACGAGCGTCTGGCAAACTTTGTGATCGAGTCGCACCACCGTGCCAACCCGGCCAAGCCTCTGCGGAATGACCAGGGTGATTTGGTTGACACGAATGGCCACCTCATTGATATTGATGGCTACCGCATTGATAGGGACGGCCGTCGTCTTCCTCCATCTCAGGAAGAGCTCGCCCGTCGCGCCGCCGAGCAAAAGAGGGCCGAAGAGGAGAAGGAGGGCGAGATCCCGCAGGAGCTTCTCCGCAAGTACATTCTATACGCTCGCGAACGATGCCACCCCAAGCTGTACCAGATCGATCAGGACAAGGTTGCTCGTCTGTTCGCAGACATGCGCCGCGAGTCATTGGCCACTGGCGCTTACCCCATTACCGTAAGTTTCTCCCTCTTCCTTTTCTGCAATATTGTATTCGACATACTTATCTCATGTCTAGGTCCGTCATCTGGAAGCCATTATGCGTATTGCGGAATCTTTCTGCAAGATGCGCTTGTCAGAGTACTGTTCTGCTCAGGATATTGACCGTGCTATCGCCGTCACTGTCGAGTCCTTCATTGGCAGCCAAAAAGTCAGCTGCAAGAAGGCACTGTCGCGCGCATTTGCCAAGTACGTCAACCCCCATCTTCCACCGCATCTGCAAGTTCATCATCCTAACACATTATCTTTCAGGTACACGCTTTCCCGGCCCAAGCCGCAATCTAAGCGCCGTGCAGGCATCCCAGTGCCGAACCCACATTTGCCTCGCTCTACGCCATCGATTCACTAAGTATCGTACAGGGCTGGCTGGGGGTTTTCTGAGTTGTCTTTTGAGCAAAATACCATTTTTGTTTGCATCTGGTGTGTGCGGCGTTCTCATCATCTATATCTTTCTATCTGTTGAGGGGGCCTTGCTGGTCGGGCCATGATTTAATGAATGAACATGAAAATATTATCAAACATCAATACTGGAACACTCCGTGCAAGGCTGTAGAGATCTATTCTGAAGTAAGCTGGATCGAGACATAGGCGCTCAATATCAAGACATAAGCATAGCTATCGACAGGGGAGATTATCTTGATAGGTACTGGCCTTCAGGTCGGTTTTCGGTCAATTCCATCCGTACTACCGTACTAGTACATCCGAATCTCCTTGAAACAAACGACAGTTAGTCCATGTCGATCATTCAAGGCTGGTCAAACCCGTAGCCTGCAGCCATGATACTGGATTTGTGCTTATCCTTGAGGGAGCCGGCCTTACAGGTAATTAGTCAACGATTTTCTATTCAGACATTGAGATTTTGGTTATCTTTTCCGAAGAACAACAACTGTCAATATCAATATCGTAAAAGAAGAACTATATTCGTTCTCATCGTGGTTATGCCTGCAAAGTTTCGTGGTACTACCAATTTTGAGAAAGTCGGGATACACTGTGGATAGTCGATCTGATTCGCTTGGTTATTCTGGTTATCCTTTACTCTCTCCCCTTCTCTTGCAAGATCTACCCTTTTTCACACCAAAGGCACTCGGCGTCGTAGGTATTGCACTGCCGTGTGCCATTTTTCGGCCGATGTATCGGGGGCAAGGTCCACAGTAGAGTCTTGGCCCGCTTTTATAAATTCTCACTATTGGCATGTTCGATCGATGTGGGGTCTTATCGGCCGACGCCATGTCTTGTTGCCAAGGTCAACTTCTTGGTGTTTTTGGATATTCTGCTTCATTGCTAGGCTGTTAAATGAGGTGCAGGCGTACATATTGATCGTCCTTGGACATGTGGACTGTTCCTTATATCGTCTTGTTTCTAGCAATTTTCAGAAAAGCCTTCCACGACGGAACCACCAGTCATTATATTCATGCGGATTTGAAAACGATAGGGGAAATAATCTACTTTAGAGCCATGTTTCTGAAATGGCTTTTTGGCTCATTTCTTCTCGTTGAACGGCTTTTCATGCTTGCTGCAGCGTTACAGAGTCCCTTGCAAGATTTTCCCTCGGCAGGTGAATCTCTGACAGCGATGGAAGATTCGAACTATCCTGCTTCTTCCTCAATTCCCTCATTACCGAGTTGCTCCCTTGATCTTGTCAACCTCAAAGAAGTTGACTACAATACGATTTTTGATGGTGGTTACGGCTCTAAGTTCGAGAACGCCATTCTTACCCTCTGCTCTGACGAGGGTAAACAAATACCGTGGAAGAAGACCAACACGTTGGAGCCCTGGATTTTAGACCAGGTTACGGAGCGCTGCTGTTCAGATATTATTTATGGATTGGAAACAGTTTCACTGGACAAAGTGAATTCTGTAGGATTGTATTCTCCTTGGACACTTTTCTTTGTCTCAGCTTCTGTGTCTTGTCTATTGTTCATTATCAAAGCTGTATACGAGCACAAGAGATAGGAATTCTTTTGTATAAAGCGAGGCGTCATCAATTGTGCTTTAAGGTCAGAAGGTCACTACAGTACGTCTAGAACCCTGTGTGCATATTACCATTATCACAAAAAAGCTTCATCTCCATCTTATTACAGCAACTAGCGGATAGCCTTGGTTGGTAAAAGCATCCGCCTTGGATAAAGTCAAAACTTTACATAATTATCTGATAAAATAGGTACAGGTCCATGTATTCCGAGATCTTCGTTTTTCCTTTTTGAAAAAATTACTTAATATCAATGAGGTTTTTGCTCTGCAGTAGTCACCTAATTTAAATATAACCAAGTTTGAGATCATTCCACGTTGTCATTAATTTAAACTCTGAGACTAGTTATCCTGGTGTGAGCAAATACTGGAGAATACAACCTAGGTTTCCTTTCCCTAGCAGTAATGAGAAACTTTATGCTCATCGTAGTTTGACAATTGAGTACAGTGGTTGCAAACCCAATTCCAGACCTTTGAACCTTCGATGTTCTACAGCCTAGAGTGTTATGGTCTCCACCATCGTTGCTCCCGGTATGTCCAGTAAATTTTTACTATTGACATAATTTCAAGGACCAAGGGGGCTGTGTGCATTATGTAGTGGAGGATGAACCTAAAGGAACACTCCGAGGAAGCCCACCTGTTATCCATTCTGGGCATCCTTAAAGGATGACTAAGTCCCGACCTGTCTTCCTTAGGAGCGCCACACATTTTTCTTCGCATATCCTTGTCTACAGATTTGCTCGTTTTTAAACCTCGAGACGGCAGATTGCTAGGATTTACTCACACTATGCAGACTTTCTCTATTAGTCGCAAACGCCCTGTAACGGCATGCACAGAATGCCGGCGACGGAAACAAAAGGTGCCCGGCAATGAACATCTCGTGTTGGGGGGCTTTATCAGTACTAACTGATTGATAGTGCGACCGTGAAAGGCCATGCAACATGTGCACAGGAAGGAATGTCCCGGATAGGTGTGCATATGAATATCCAGAAAGGTACGGGCTAGTTTTTCAAATACGTGCACATCCAGCATCTTCTAAACATTACTTTCCCCCTAGCTCCGATGATGGATCGACTTCCAGACTCGATCAGCTACCCCTGCAAAGTCCACCTTTAACAATTAATGATGCCCAGTCCTCAGTGATGCTTATAGATCAATCAATCCAGAATCAAATTGGATATGGTCCGCCCACTGAAGAAAGCGCACTTTCGAAACTATTTCAAGTCGGTTTAGGATCCTCTTCTTGGTGATTGATGCACAGCTGACGGCGTTGGATTAGCTTGTGGGAAATGATGGCGAGCTACAGGCTCTGAACTCTACATTCAGCGTACCCTTGACCTCACAAAAAATGCGCAATCTCTCCGATCTTTGTGCAACGATTCCTTCCCAGGCAATTACACAAGAGCTCGTCGAACTTTATTTCTCAGAGGCCAATTGGTATTTCGCCATCCTGGAAAAGCATTACTTTGAAAAACTCTATAGTTCATGGTGTGCCATTAGCTATCATTCTACAGAGAATGGCCATTTAGAAGGGTGGTCTCGAGATCTTCTCTACTTCCCAGCCCTGCTGTTTCAGGTCCTTGCTGTTGCTTTGCAGTTTGCACCCCCCGGTATGCCCTGTGTTCAGGCGTTAGGGGTAGACAATTTCACTCAACGTGACCGTCTCTCTAGTGATTTCTCTTCGAGGGGGATGGATATCGCGAGTGTTGTGGGAAGACACGACCCCGCAATTACTGCCATCCAGAACGACCTCATGAGGGCACTGTGGTTAAAGAACTCTAGTCGTGGAAGAGAAGCCTGGCAGGTGTTAGGTGGTGCAATAAGGTAAGCTTCAAAAGCATGATCCAACTCAAATCGCGTCTCTTAACTAATTCTGAATAGAATCGCTCAAGATTTAGGACTTCACAAACAAGCGAAGGTGATCCAAAAACCACAATCTCCACTCGAAGAAACTCTTGATCTGCTGTGGTATGATGAGTACAAACGGAGACTATGGGTCAAATTATATTCCTGGGATAGGTTAGGCTCCCCGTCCCATGTTTGTGGGCTATGCTAATGGAATTAGCCATATGGCTTTCACTCTTGGCCGACCTCGAGCGATCAATAACAGCGATTGCACAATCATGCCACCGTTAGATCGCGACATACCTGCAGATCCAGCGACTACTATTCCGACAGCATCTTTCTTGCATGAGCCCCCGTCATCCTTCACACCTCATCTTTTCCAATACGCCATCTGTCAGCAGGCCCATGAAGTCATGTCACTAGGCGCTCATCGAAGCCATATTGAAGATTATAGCTGGGTCAAGACTATGCATGATCGCATCCTTTCCCTACTGAACAACCTACCACCCGTGCACAGACCGGTAAACCCGGACACGTCTTGGGATTCAACCTATGTGCATATTCCTAAGCAGCGTCAACAAATAGCAACTGCGGCGCATTCATTTCTGATGGCTCTACACAGGCCGCATTCCAAAACACATGCGGCTAGTCGTGATGCTGCAATTGAAGCAGCACTCTCTGTATTGGATGCACAAGAACGCCTCTTCGACCTTATGGCTACCCGGTATTCAAATATTTACGCCCTTTCTGTCTACACGGTTGAAGCGTCTATTTTTCTGTCCGTCGCCGTTCTTGAATTTCCACCCTCGGATCTGGCTATATTATATCGCATTGATCGTGCAGTCGAGAAGGCTAGACTTCGTCTTGAATCGGTAAAGGAAAGAGTTTCCTTAGCAAGTTCTGCGTTACAGATTTTGAACCGCTGCTACCTCAAAACAAATGCTGTCTCACAACCCCAATTTCACGCACCTGACTTTACGGTCCATCAACCTAGCCAACTAGTGGAAAGCGCTGCTTCTGGTGAAATAGGGATCGAGTACGCGTCTGAACCTGCTTTAAGTACCCCCGCGCACTTCCACGTACCCAGCACCATGCCAGATTTTGAGCCTAGTCAGGTTGAAACTGCGGTTATGTTTGATGATTTCACTGTATCGAATTTTGACATTGAATCGTGGGTGCAACAGATGGGCCAGATGAACGGTCCGGGCTGGGTTTAACGTGCACATTAAGCGATTCGAACACCATTCTATTCACTATGTACTTGAAATCGAATTTCGACCACGAAGTCGCCGTCATTTCTTCAAATAAAACCAACTTTACATCGATTCATCTTATTCCCAAGCTCTCCAGCCCTAACTCCATCTTGGCTAGCAATTTTAGGGTATGGGCTATAAAACTTGTGGACCGGCCGTCGGAGAAATATAAGCTTGTCAGTGCCAGAACTTCAACTCTTTGCCCCGAACGACTTCCCATCCCTGATTCATGGCATTAACCACATCTTCGGGCAGAGGCCCTTTAGAAAGTGCCACCAAGTTCTCTTCCAAGTGCTTCAGGCTGCTGGCGCCAATTATGATGCCGTCACCCTTCTCTGCCCTTAGCTGGGAGTGGTGAGACAACCAACGAAGTGCACACTCAGCCTCGCTGAGTCCATGCTTCTTTATAACTGGCCGTAGGATGTCCAGTGCGTCAAAGAAGCAGTCGTCGAAGTAGCGGCTGCGAGAGAGTTTACCCTGGTAGCGATTCGGGTCGAATCGAGAGCCCTCTTCGAATTCGGTCATGCCGCGGGTATAACGGCTTGTCAAGAATCCACCAGCCAGGGGATTAAAGCAGTAGAAGGACAAGCCGTAGTGACGCAGACATGGGAACAGCTCGGCTTCGACTGCACGGTGGAAAGCATTGTAGAGACCCTGATAGACAGAAGGTTTGACCCATCCATTCTTCTCACATATCTCGCATATCTGCGCAACTTCCCATGCCTGATAATTGCTGATACCGTACCTCTCAAAGAGTCCCTCTTTGTAGAGCTCGTTGACTGCACGAAGAGTGTCCGCAAAGGGTACCGTCCGATCCGGTCCATGTAGATACCAGGTTGCGACCTTATCGACCCTCAGTGCCTTCAAACTTTGAAGTAGCCCCCGACGCATATCCTCAAGGGAGTGGTGATAAAGCTCATCTGGTGACAGAGCTGACCGGAGGGCGGTTGGATATAGCTTGGTATCGAGTTTGATCCCACGGCTTGGACAGTCCAAAGCTCCGAGGTACTCCTCCGATGAGCCTCCACCATAGACTCGGGCAGTATCAACTATGTCGTGACCATACTCCTGGAACATGTCGAGGACGGCCTTGGTCTCGTCGAGTGAGTGAATGCGGGTCATCTCAACGCCTTCAGAATAGAGTCAGCGTTTTTATAGGCGCTGTGACAGATTTAGAAAAACGCACCTGGTTTTCCAATGGTCATGGCTCCGAAAATGACCCTTACTTTGGCATTTCCATCATTCGGTGAGGTTGCCATGGTTGCTAGACTTCAGATAAACGGCGAGGGAGAAATGTATGGTGATTATAACAAGATGCGTCCAGTTGAGTAATAAATAGTAATTGAGGGAAAGGCAATGGTCTAATTTTTAATTCAAATAAAGAAAAAACAAAGCAAAAGCAACCAATTGATCGGACATGTAAAGACCTTAAATCCGCCAAGTCCTCACTGTAAAAGCCGACTGACGGAAATAAAGATAGGGTTCCGAGCTTCTGATTGGCGTAATCAAATTGAGACCTTGGATTAGGCCAATAAGCGCTCTTCGGCCGAAGATCCACACTGAGTGGGTCAGGCTTCTGATGTCGGCCGATGACCTCAAGGTCGTGAAGTCGAGTTAGTTTCGCCACGGAGTTTGACTTCTCGCTGACAAAAGGGATCAATGAAGGAAAATAGGGTACTTAAGCCTAGAACAACCCAGTCCCTAACCATGTGAACTTATCGTGATACTAAAACCCAACAAACCGCTTGAGCACTAGGCTTTTGATGCTTTGGAACCCAACTCCAAAAATGAAGGTTCTTGTGACAGGTTAGGAACCGTGAATGAGTGGCTACTCCTAAGACTAGAAGTATCTAACTCTTGATTTTAGGTGGCTCTGGCTTCATTGCCTCCCACTGCTTGAAGGTATTGGCCTATCATGCTCATGTATTCAGATTCGATTTGCCAACAGCACTAACACGGCGCATAGACTCTGCTTGCTAGGGACCATACTATTGTGACCACAGTGCGAAGTGCCGAGAAGGGTGAAGCTATTCTCGCGGCTTATCCGGAATCCTCCAAGGGCCAGCTTTCCTACGTGGTTGTCCCTGACATTGCCCAGGAAGGTGCATTCGACCATGTTGTCATTTCGGACCCTCCATTCGATGCTGTTCTCCACACCGCAAGCCCTTTCCATTTCCGATTCCAGGATTCTAAAGAACTTCTTGATCCTGCTATCCATGGAACGAAGGGAATTCTACGCGCAATCAAGGATAACGCGCCGTCGGTGAAGCGAGTCGTCATTACTTCATCCTTTGCTGCTATCACCAGCACAGATGGACATCCTGATGTGTATAGCGAGAGCCAGTGGAATCCAGTGACCTACAAGGAGGGTATTGAGGATCGTTCCAAAACCTACCGCGCGAGTAAAACGCTCGCTGAGCGGGCTGCATGGTCATTCATGGAAGAGGAGAAGCCCGGATTTTCTCTTGCAACTCTCTGCCCTCCGTGGGTCTTTGGACCTCCGATCCATGTTCCAGAGTCTCAAGCAGCACTTAACACATCGAACGCTTATTTTGCGATGTTGATACATGGAGGATGGAAGGAAAAGCTGCCGCCGACCGGGACCTGGCTCTGGGTTGATGTGCGTGATATCGCTCTTGCCCATGTCAGAGCTATGGAAGTTCCCGAGGCAGGTGGGAAGCGCTTCTTCATTACTGCTGGCCACTTTGATATGAAGGACGTCGCAGAGATTGCCAAAATGAGGGTCCCTGAATATGCCGATAAACTGCCAACTAAGTTGACTTCGGACAAACCCAACCCTCTTTATGGCTTTGATAACGGCCGCTCCAAGGAGATTCTACAACTAGAATATCTGTCCCTGGAGACTTCCGTTGTGGATACGCTCAAATTCCTGCAGAGTCATGACATTTGAGCACTCGGATAGAAAGCTTTCTTCTACTATACATAGACGTGCTTTGGTTCAATATTCCATTCTTCCAATTACGCTAGACCAACTTCGGATGAGACTAAATAGTAGCTGATAGAGCCACTCCAAGTTGAGAGTTTTCTCACTTCTTCCCGAATCTGGGTGTAGAGTCAATAGAGAAGATGCTTTCTTGGTCTTTTCTTCAACTAGAGAATACACTCGGGCTAACAAGATGATATCTCGGGGCAATTAGGACTTTTCCCGTCAAGAATTCTATGCCAACTAACTTCCAAATCGACCCATACGGAACAGAGGTCTTTCATTACGCTTTCTCCGCCGCCTATTCGTAGAAAGGGCCAGATCATAGCAATTCCTAACGACCCAGCACCAAGAAAAAGTAAAGGACTCAGTAATCTCCCGCCCCGCCGGATCGCAAATATCACTCCAAATGATGATACCGCTTCTCCCCGTTTGTGCACTCCCATTCTTCTTCATATCCAGGCAAATTTGTGTCAAGGATCAAAGTATCCCTCATTTGGGGATCAGGAAGTAGATCTAACTAGGGGTGATGTGGGATAGAGCGCGATCTCCGTAAATTGGATTATATATAGGCAGTGTATGGAGGAAATTGCCTTACCATAGGTCTGCAGTGTTGAAAGGCGATATTGCATCATCGTGGAGGTGCTTGGATCTGAGACCCAGCATTTTTGCATTTTCCATCAGTGCTCGGGTGGAATTCAGGGAGATCAGGTGATTTGTGGGGAATCCATGGCGTGGTGCTGAAGGGTTATCCTCTCTAGTCGGTCCATTTTGATTTTAGTTTCTGGTGAATTGGATTCCAGTATGTGCACATTTTCAATCTCGTCTAGGGATGTCACATCGGTGACTGTAGGTGCTACCAATCGTTAGCCATTTGTCTGAGAAGCTAGGGAATCGCGCTTAATTTAGGGGCTTCACTGGAAGCAGTGCTTATACGCCCCTTTGTCTTTCTTTCACTCGAAACAGTTAGCGCTATCTTATTTTGTAGATCTATTTCGTGAGACGATCAAGGCGATACTCGCCAATCAGTTGGCAACATTGGTGCACTTATGTCGAGCCCTTTGACTCAGGCGATTTGCAGCCTCCTGCGTGTCTTTGGGTCGGTAATACCCGACCAATCCTCCTCTGGCCACACGCTAGGACGGTGCAAGCGCGATGTCAAGACTATTCTTTTTTGATTTGGTCCCTCGTCAGATTGATCCATGTTTGCGGTTCAGTCAGGGTACCAAAGTCGATTGCTGCGGTCCAAAATGTAGTATGCAATTTGATGGCAGAAGATGCGGGCGCTAGCGGAAACTGGGGTTGGCTAGTAAGCACGATGAATGTGGAAGGTGTATAGGTAGAAAAGCAAATCTCTATCCGAACGGCTGAAGTCTTGATTACCAATGCTGCATCCATTAGACCCTGTCATTACCCGGATTTGGGAGCTTATTCCCAACTACATGGGGCTGAGTTGGGTTCACCCAAGGTTAGGTAGAATATCTTGACCAATCAGAAGGGTCTTCTCATCATCTTGCATGGTGTAGTGCCCGCTTCTCCAATCTCCAAGGGTCCCGGAGATATGGACCCAAGTATAAGAGGCATCTTCGTTATCTTCAACTCGAATTTGCACCGTCAAAATTCGCCGTATTTCCTTTTATTTCTTCCAACACCTTGGCCAATATGAAATACGTACAACTCGGAAGCAGCGGTCTTCGCATCGCCCCAATTGGCGTTGGCTGCATGGGTTTTGGAGACCCCGACGGCCTTTTCAAGTGGTCAATCCCGGAAGAGGAAGCACTGCCGGTGCTTAACCATTGCTATGAATCCGGCCTCAACTTCTTTGACACGGCAAACGCTTATTCTAATGGCCTGTCAGAAGAAATTCTCGGCAAGGCGATCAAAAAATACGGATGGCGCCGCGAAAACCTCGTCGTCGCGACAAAAGTATTTGTAGCCGTTGGCCGCGGTCTGGAACAACCATTGTTCATGACAGATGATGAAAGGGATAATGCCGGTTACGTGAATCAGTACGGATTGAGTAGGAAGCATATCTTTGAGAGCGTCGATGCCAGCCTACAAAGACTTAACTTGCCCTACATCGATCTCCTGCAGATCCACCGCTTCGACCCTAACACTCCTCCCAAGGAAACAATGGAGGCCCTCCACGATATCGTCAAGTCGGGAAAAGTGCGGTACATTGGTGCATCATCCATGTGGGCTCATCAGCTTCTAGAGTACCAATACACCGCTCGCATCCACGGCTGGACGGAGTTTATTTCAATGCAGAATCTCTATAACGCTATCTACCGAGAGGAGGAGAGGGAGATGTATCCTGCCTGTGGCAAATTCGGAATGGGTGGGATCCCCTGGAGTCCCGTTGGAATGGGCTTTTTGACCCGACCATGGCGTGAGTTTTCGAAAACCACTCGTGGAGAGGAGCTGGGCGCTGGTTTCTTCCGTCAGCCCGCTACGGAGGCGGACAAGAAGACCAACGAGCAGATTGAGAAGATTGCCGAGCAACATGGCGTGTCGATGGCGACTGTGGCAATTGCTTGGTCTCTCTCTAAGCCATTTATTACGGCGCCGATCCTAGGAATGACCAAGAAGGAGAGAGTTGATGAGGCAGTCAAGGCTATCTCTCTCGATCTTAGTCCCGCTGAGTTGAAGAGCATTGATGACCTATATGAGCCTAAAAAGGTGCTTGGTCATGAATAAAGGACCTGTATGTAATGTTGTCACTTAAGTCCTTAGTCGCTGAGTTTCACACCGGTAATTAGCGTCACTATTATTCGGCATCACTAAGGATCTAGTTAGACACTGCTGAGTGTCGCCCTTGGTTATAATCTGGATGGTGGAAGGAATTCTAAAATGTTATTATACGTCGAAATTTGACACATGTCATGAATGAAAATTATCATTGTCAGATTCGATTGTGACTGAACTCAGGTATATTTATCATGCAACATCCTGGTGCATGGAAATCCGAGGTGTTTATATACTATTTCCCAGTATGATTTGTCTATCTTGCATGTGTAAAAGGGAGGTGTCAAATCCTAACAACTGGAACTTTATGACTGACTGAAATCAACCACCATATACTCTCGAAGATATTGCCAAAAATAAAAGTCAGGAGAGGAATGATCTATAAATTTCAAAGGTCCATTCCCAATCAAAGCAAAAGCAAGTCATCAAAAGTACAAGTCGAGACGCTCGAATGCAAAACACAAGAACAGAACTAGGACATCGTGTGTTGCTGTATCATACGTGTCGCGCAAAGAGCACAGAAGAAGAAGAGGAAGAAGCAAAAGATGGAAGGACACTCAAAAGCACAACCAAGTATTCATCAATCAAGCAACCGACTCCAGTCAAGTCAAACGCCATTTTTCGGCGCCCAAATGCTGGCGGCGAACAATGTTGGGTATTACACAGAATAATAGAACAAAAATCATCAAGAACGGGGTCTATCAACGGACGCTGCCGGCGCCCATGGATGCAAAGTCGATAAACCCCGTTCACACACACACACACACACACACATCCTCCTAATTCTTTTGCTTCCTTTCTACCAGGTCAAGTAAGGTAGACAAGGTTATAACTTTCTTTTCTTCACTTCATCCTCCTTCCCCCCTCTTCAAGCACATGCTTAGTCGCTGGTCCGACGCTCGGGCCGCGGCTTGCGCAAGCTCTTCATTCGGTTCAAAAATCCACCACCACCTGCACCCAACTTCGTCTCATCGTACCCACGATCATTGGTCGACTTGCGCTCCAGGTTTGTTGACTGCTTGGGGCTACTGGACGATCGTGTGCGACCAGCTCCACCCTCCAATCGCGACTCCTGGATCCGCGCGGCCTTCTTGTCGTACTCCTCATCATAATCCTGGAAGAAGGGATTCCTTTCTCCATTCCGTGAAGAGGCCGAGTGGCTAGAGCCCACGGGGGCCTGGTTGGGAGATGGGAAGTTATGTTGAGTAGGAGAGGACAGCATGGGACGGCCGGTGCCGCTCTTCCCGCGCAATCGCTGTGCAAGACTCTTCTTGCGCTGCAGGCCCCCGGATCCCTCATCGTTCTCGCTCTGGCGACGTGCAATGGCGGCAATGGCGGAGCGACTGGCGGGTGCGCCATCTAAGAAGGTGCTCGTTCCAAGTCCCATACTCTCTGCACCGTGAACGGGGTCGATGCGGGAGGTTGGGTCGAAGGCCATAGTTTCCGTACCGCTGCGCTGGATCGATGCGTGTGAGAAATCATTGTGGGCTTCTTCCATTCGGCCATGGAACAGGTTGAGGTCAATGTTCGAGTTATTGGGGCCTGCGCCGCCCAAAGCCATGTTGCTGGAGCCCTTGGGGAAAGCTTGCATGGGCGCTGTGCGTGCGCCTTTTCGGTTGCGGTGAGGATTGCAAGCGTCGAATGGACCATCATGGTGGAACACTAGAAATGGACTCTGTTAGCATGCCAAATAGAGGAGTGAAAAACAGTCAACGCAAAAGCCACTCACTCCCGGTTCCGTAGATGCTCGTCACATCCAACTTGTCAATAATATCCAATCGGCGGTCCTTGCGAGAAGAGCGGGATTTGCCATCCCGGTGACGAGCTTCTCGTTCGCGATGGCGCCGTTCGCGTCGGCGTTTCTCGTCATCGTCGTCGAATAGTTTGGAAGCTCGGTCCATCACCGAAGACTCAGAGTTGCGGCGCGGCCGGCGTGAGGAGGATGTAGGCTCGCGAGAACCCGATGTCGAGACTTTGGTGAGGCCTGGGGGATCGGCGAAGATGTCAAAGGGGTCCTTTGATTTAGCTTCTGCGGGCCGTCGGTCGGGGCGCTCTCTCGGCGGTCGGGGGCGGCTGGAGGGTCCGCGGGGAGTACCGTCAGGGGCTGGACGGGCGCCGTTGGATTGAGAGGAAGGGGCTGCGGGTGTGGGTTTGATTGAGAGATTCTCCTACGATCGGTCAGTTCTGCGCTCACATTTCCTGCGACTAAAGAAAATGATCGCGATTCATCGGGCCACGTACAAAAAGATCTCGAGTGTTGCCGGTCATATCTTTTTTCTCGATCGGAGAAAACATGGAGACGCTCGTGGACATGCCAGGAGCAGACTGGGGTGACAGCGCTTCCGTGTCGTCTAAGAAGGGATTTGTCGAGCGTGGGCGTTCAGGGCGAGTGTTGGAGGTGGTTGAGCCGGCCGAGGGAGACAAGGCACGGTTGCGAAAGGGGTTGTTGGAGCCAAAGTTGGCTGCCGTCGGTGACACCTGGTCTAATATGACGAGCGATCGAGTCAGTCAGTTGTGATTGAAGATCGTTATCTCCACGAAGTGGGTTTGATTGACAAGGGGGGGCCAGCGGGATCTTTTTAAAAGTCCCAGGTCGAACAAAGATAACGGCCGCATGGATGGATCATGAAGGCAGCGATCAGGGGGAAGAGCAGTGGTTGGCTCATGGCCAACAGCATTACGCACCTCGTGGCGCCAGCGACACACCGGGCGGGTACCCGAGCGCTGGAGGGGCATTCATGGTGGTGAAGAGATGAAACGGAGGTTGAGTGGAGAGGCAGACGTGCGTCAATAGGATGTCGGGGATCTTTGACAAGTGTCGTAATGTCGCACGAATGCGCGGCGGGAGAAGAGTGGATTTGGGGGGGGTGGGAGTGGGTTGTGAGGCAGTAGAGGGTGAAACGGGCGACAAAGATGAGAGGATTGGCAAGGATGGATAAGAGAGGAGGAGGAGGAGGGAGAAGGAAAAAGAAAAGAAGCTTTCACGAGGGGAGGAGAGGAGAGACGAGGAGAGACGAGGGGGGGCGGCAAAAGGGAAATGGGGGGGGGAGACACGGGATCAACGGAGTACGTAAAGTGGTCAAGAGAGTCTCCTCTCGACTACGTCCTTCACTATTAGCCTAGGTGCTCCTTTCTTGTACTCTTCTTCTCGTTCTACAGAATCACGGCGGAGTATCACCTTTTGTTACCCTCGAGTCCAACGAATATCCCTTTTACTGATTCCACTGTCCAGGGCCTACGACTTCTCCATATGCTAACAGTCTGCACTCTGCAGAATCTCCCCCAGACTACTCCAGTCTAACGAACTCGGTACTAACGTCCTCACTGGACTCCGTCCCCCCCCCCCGATTTTTGACTCGCTTTTTAGGGTCAGTAATCCAGGGGCAACTCCGGCGGGCCGACTTGACTGGCGGCTTAACCCTCGCGATCGACAGGGCTCCACCCCACCAAAAGGTGGACTCGAAAGGTGGACTTCACTGGACTGAGTTTCCGATACTTTCCCCCTTAAAAAGGCCGAGCTGACAGGGGGGGGGGAGACCACCTTGTCAAAAAATGTGCTTGTCCGTGTCCTGGAACGAATAAGCTGGGCCAACATTGACCGATCGATCAAACGCACGGATAAATGGGTCGACGGGCTCATCCAGATTCCTTTTCTCTTATCTTCCAGCCGTTTGGAATGACGTTTGCATTCCTGGTCTTTCTTTTATTTCCCCCCAATTGATGTCATTTGGCCTCGGTCGGAATGTGGATTCGCCATGGCGGGTAAGATACGCACGCGAGTTGGCTTGTCCGCTGGTCCCGGCCTCGGATACGATCTCGCACGGTCCTGAGATGGTCCCTGTTGGCCTGTCGAGGGCTGTATTATTCACATACTACAGAATTAACCATCGTCGGAACTAAGGCTTTACGCCTAGATCCAGACCCTATTATGGCGATCATCCTAGATGAACGCCACGACCCCAGCCCGTCATTCATCGTCACTACGCACATGCAGTTGGCTCCTCCCTTGGCAGAGGATCCTTGATGACGACGGCCGGGGACGTCACTGGTTCCAATGCTTAGCCTCGATAGTCCGGCACGGCCAGTGCTAAATGTGATGTCGAACATTTTCCAATGCTCGAGACCTTGCTAGTTCAAATTCCCAGGCTAGTGACCTATCTGATCAATTTGACTTTGGATTATTGATTGACAAACCTGCACATTCCATCCAATCTATTGATTTTATCACGGCCCGGCAGTCGTTTGGGGTTCTCACGTCTTTCCAGCTTCTTCCGCGGAACGCATGGCAAAATTTAGAACAGACCCACTGCTGGTCCCAGGCGACCCAGTATTCTTGAACCATTCGGATACTTTCGCAACGTATGTAGGTAGAATAGATAGGTGCTTACTGGTAGTTGATAGGATTGGGAAAATTAGCTTAGCTATGGGCCTTGTTCAATGCTATCGGCCCATGATACTGGACATTTGTTTGGACAGGTTTCACATACGACTGTGTATTCAACCGCTGGGCCTATTTATAGTGAACCCGCAGGATTGGTCTTTGATCCCCAGATCTGACCCTCAGAGTCTGATCGCTTCAGAGTTGCCATCTCCAATACATAACTAATGAATTTCAGCCACAGGCGGAAATTTGGACATCATCGCAAAGTATCGTAATCATTCTGTCCATTTCATTTTCTGATACGCATTTCGTTCGATGACTTTTTGAGTTTTGTTATGACCTATGGAGTTCAACCAGACGAGGAGACGAGGGAATGATTACACAATTGATATTAGATTCAATTAGATACAAATGTCTACACTAATCCACATCTGCAATAATTTGCGCTTCAAAACTTCGAGCCTCCCTCATTGGCTTGTCGCTCTCCATACACAACTTCCTTAACTAACTAGTTATGGCACCGTGCTACCCGCTTAGTAAACAGGCAGCGGCACACCATCGAAATCATAGTGCCAAGTATCAATCGACTTCTGATCATACTCACACTCCATCTTGCCATTCTTCCAAAGAGGACGCAGAGGCCAGGCGCAAATCTGTCGGTTCTGACCCACATTCTCACCCTGCAGCACGGTGGCATTCAGAGTCACGGGCTTGACATCCTTCTCAACCCAGTTGATCAGGACCTGCAGGTTCGTCTGCGGGAAAGGTCCGTTGGGCTGGAGCGTGTTGGTCGAGCAGTGAGCGGCACCGGGAACGAGGTACAGCTGGTACCAGTCCTTCAGGGCATCGGCGCCGTCCTTGTAGGATAGGCTGGGGTACATGATGCTTCGGACGGACTCCCAGTATCGCACGGAGGACGCGGTGGGGATGCTGTTGTCTGCCTCGCCGTGGAAGTGAATCACCTTGCCGCCGGCGTTGTGGAAGGGGGTCAGGTCGGGCCAGTTGGTTTGCAGAGTGGAGGCGTATTCCTGCATGCCGACGATCATCCACTCCTTCAGGGTGTCGTATGTCACGCCGTTGAGGTTGGAGAGATCTGTGCCGTTCTTGTTGAGCAACAGGGCGATGAATTCGGCGCCGAGTCCGTCGACCGAGAGCTCCCATTTATCAGTGGTGGAGTTGTACTGGGTGGTGACGTCCGCAAAGGTTGCTGCGGTCTGGTAGGAGAGGTAGACCTGGCGGCCTTGCGAGTCGCGTAGTCCTCGGATCACTTCCTTGGCGACCTCCACAGCCTCTTTGGAAATGGTACCGTTCTGGACGGGAGTCGCGGCGGACGAGGGGCCATGGGCTGAGCTCGAGGCAGCGGCGGCGGGACAGTAGTATGGCTTTCCAACCAAGGTGGAGAGATCAAAGTGCAGCTGGCAAAGATCAGAGCGTGAGACCACACCATCCTTCAGGCCGTCCAGGGAGTCGCAAGCAGAAATGGTCTCGTTGACAATCTTCTCCATCTCACAGGTAGGCGGGTAGTATCCCAGAGTCTGAGTGACGATATTCGAGTACAGGTGCTGGGTCTGCTGGAAGGACCAGCGGAAAGCAGGGGCACCAATCGCCGCACCGTCCCATTCATCGCCATAGCGCTGGATCTGGCTCCAGCCTTCACGACCACCTTCGGAGCAGCCCTGGTAGTACGAATAGAGCTTGGTTTTCTCGGCCATGTTGTATAAGTTCCGGGTGAACTGCTTTCCGATCTTGCTAAGCTCCCAGTGAGCCTTGTACCCGAACATGTACAGTGATTCATAGTTAAGAGTGCCATTGGCTAGGAGCATGACTGCATCGACGTTGGTCGAGAAGCTTCCAAAGCCACCATCGGTAGCGCCAGCCACAGCACCGTACATGACACCACCGGGTAGAGACTGGGATCCAGAGTAGATAGCATAACCTCCGCCACCGGTTGACAGGTACCGATTCTCGAACTTGGCGGGGTCGGGTAGCCAGTATTGGACGAGGACTTGGTCACCTGCACGGCCGTCGTGGGAGTATGCCAGGGTCAAGTTGCAGTACGAAAAGGTCGCCGCCGGGTAAAAGGTGCTGTCGGCGCTGGTGGAGGCATTGTACACGATGTTCGTGGTGACGGACGAAGGGTCAAGGGTGATACCCTGGATGAAATCAGAGGCAGGCAACTTTGACTTGGCATACTCGACAGTGCAAACATCCTTGAGAGACGCAGCCGCTGCAGAGGCAGTAGAGGCAATGACTGCCAATGCCAAGGCCCGAGGGGTCGAAGGAGTCCGCATTGCGAGATGATGAGCTGGATGAGGGTACTTTCTCACGGTCTGCCTGTTCAATTGCGCCGATCCGTAAGGGTATTTATACCCATCCAACCTCTCCGCATTTGAGGTGAACGGGCTCCATTCCCCGCTTGGATGAAATCAAATCCGCGCATGCAGTGTATAGTTTCAACCAAGCGTGGAGACCCCAGAATTGTCCCGGTAGATTTCCCCGGATATTGGGCGAAGGGGTCAGAGAGCTTCCCCCCCCTCTCTCTTTCTCAACGGACAAGCGGATATCCACAGCATTTGTGGGGAGCTATCCTGGAGTTTTGAGTGGGGAGACCCTCGGTTGATCGAGTCCTGGAGGTGAATACTGGTTGACTTTCTCCGAAGTCCGGGGTTGGCCCGGTTCGGCTGGGCCGGCTGGAGTCAATATTTGCGGGGGAAACTGCCTGACCAGTTAATTCAAGATGAAATAAGGGTTGTGGCTTGTATGGTCCTCAATTTCTCAGCAAATATCGTGGGGTGAAGAAGTGAATGTAGTCTGGCGCGGGCCGGTTTGATTGGTGCTGTTAAGGGCTTTTCCGTTAGCTTCACCACTCTGCGAGATCGTCAGAAAGAGTTACTCTCAAGAGACTTGATGGGGAATTATAGCCGTCCCCAGTCAAGCTTTGTAGCCACTAATGCTTGTCCTTTCATTATTGTGTGACATGTCCCATCCAGGGTTGTGTTCTTGACCCTTAACTAGCCCCTTGCCCGGCTAATCCTGAGTAAAGACCCCTATCTCTGGATAACCATGTCGCGCAAGACCATAACATAGAGAAAGGTATACGGTTTCCAGTAGATTGAGAATGAATTGGGCTACCCACGTGCAATTCATTTTACTTTACTCCTTTGCTTACTCAGTTCATGAAAGTTCTGCGACGCAGCACCAGGTATTGGTGTTTGACAATCTCGAGATGTAGAGCTTGTGCATGAGAAAGACTACAAGCCTATATGCGAGTGGATCAGATAATGTGAATATCTTTCCAATCCTCTTTCTTCCTGCAGGAAGAACTTTAAGGTTGTGCTCTTTCGAAGATGCATTCTTCCCGCATTGACTCGTACTTAGTTTGGTCTGTAGTCGTGAGATACCTAGACGAGTAGGTCGTACTGATCTACATCCATGGAATCAACTTTGCAATCAATGCCAATGCCTCGTGACGAAATTGAATTATCAGTTTTAGAAGATACTTAGAGCCATGGCACGCCCCAGCATATCATCTTGGCCTTGTTCCATATTCTTGCATGAATGCTTGGTTTGGGTGAGGTCGCAGGCGGAAGTCGGTCGGTCGGAATATATAGTTGAGTATACTCCTGCTTAGCACGGCGAGTCCAATCTACCCAAGTCCCAAATTCCATGGCTCCAGTCTTTCGCACATTGGAAAATTCCAAGCATAGACAGTGACCGAGATCAGATAATCTGATAGCCCCTGTTTCGGTTTCACCTCAAATGATCGACAAGAATCATCACTGGAAAAAGGGTGGAGCAGCATCTCGGGGATTATTGCGAGGCTTGGCATTTCCGTTGGCGCCTGAGGTTGAAACTCGAGTTGAGCACGGCTTCTTGCATTTCACCTTTTGACCTCCTCTTCACCCTCCAAACTTTCCTTCGCCAATTCTCACCATGGAGCCCGCGTCGCAACCCCCTCCTGCCACGCCCACGAACCTTCGCTTCACCCTCGAGCTGGAGTTCGTCTCCTCCCTTGCCAACCCGTACTATCTTTCCTACCTTGCCGTCACCTACCCGAACCTCTTGGGGGTCGCACAAGGCGATGACGAGGACGAGCCTACCTCCGCTCCGGATGCTCAGGCTTTCGCAGCCTATCTAGCCTACCTCTACTCCTACTGGAAGACCCCGGAATACGCGCAGTTCCTCACTCACCCCGGCCCGACCTTGCGCGCCCTGCGATTGCTCCAGGAAGACCGATTCCGCCGCGACATCATCCTGCCTCACGTCATCGAGAGCTTGGCGGGTAATTTGCCTGTCGAAAACCAGCCGAACGGTGTCGAGTCCGAGGACAAACCGGAAGGAGCGAACGGAACTCATACTTGATAAATGGTTGTGTGGGCGCGTTCTACTTTCCCGAGCGCATCTTCATCCTCCGGCCATGCCATTCGATAGGGCAGCCTCCAAGGAAGCTTTGCTGCAGGGATCGACACCGTTCCATACCGAACAACCAGCGAAATACCGTCCCTCAATTCGGTAATTCACCTTCGACGAGCTCATAGGGTTCATGGCGGGGTGAGATGACTTCATGTGTGACCGAGGTATCAGGCCGATCGGCCGGGGGGAGTTTTGTCGATCGAACCGCAACAGGACAGGAACCAAACCTGGCTCGAGCCCAGGGAACCCCCGCGGGATCCCACAGAGATTAGACTCGACATATCCATGCACTGGTTCGCCCCTGCGATACCCTTTGCGGGGTTACGAAGGACCAAGCGTCTTGTTGGGAAAACACAAGGTACACGATACAACTCGTGATGGCGAAACTCGCTGGAATGCGATTCCGCCGCATGCGTCCACCATGTGGCCGGGCCCCGAGGCAATTGACCAACTCAAAAGACCAATGACAGTCTAGTTCCACGTCTTATTTTCCAGTCTAGCGGAGAGTTTCTCCCATGTAGGGTTAATAAATGCAAGTAGAAAAAGTAAAGTAAAGAAACATCGTTAACCGCTGTCACCGTCTCCAAGTGCTCCGAGCTCCCCCAACCTTCTTTCTTTTTTTTTTGTTCCGTCTTCCACACACAAAAAAAGGGTCCTCTTTAATTCCTCTTCAGAAAATCTCTGGAGATTCCACCGGGAATTCTTTCTGTCTCGTTTATTAGCGGTGTTATTTCCCATCATACCTTTTTTTCAGGTACTTGGGATGAGCCCCACCCCCCTGGTCATCGGCCGCCAACTACCTCATCAGACTGCCCCGTTCCCGTCCAACGCTGGCTTGACCCCCCGAACCTCCTCCGCCATTGCCAATTCTCTCCTCCTCCATGGCCCTTTCGCCGCCCTGAACGATACTCTCGCTTCTTATTGACATCACTCTGGCCTCAGTCGCTTAACCCGCACCCGCGCTCCTTTGCGGACCTCCCTCCGGGGGTGCCTAATTCTGTCCTTTATGGAGTCCGTACGCCAGTCGTGTCGCCCACGTCATCAGGTCTTGACGCTGAAATGCTTCCCCAAATATCAAAAAGGCGTGCCGGAGGTCAAGCCCAATCCGAGTGAACTCTCGTACCTGCTATACTATGCTAGCACGCGTCGCAGCAAGCTGACCAAGGTCGGCGCTTTTCTGGAAAAGAGGGTGGCCAAGGATGTCTGGAGGCGCCGGTTGGGGTAAGTAAAGCGAAGAAAGAATGACAGTCGCAGCTACAGAGACTGGAGAGTAGTGAAAGCCAAAGGAAAGAGGCTAACATACTCCATCTCTTCATAGAAATGTCCAGGTTGCGCTTCACATTTTGACCGCGCTCATCGAAAAAGTTCCTCGCGAATTGCCTATTTACGCTCGCTACGTCCTCTCCGTCATCGATACCGTCTTGCGATCCAACGACATCTCTATGGTGGAGGATTCTATCACGACCTTTGAGACATTCTGCCGCCACCAGGACATCGCGATCATCTCAGCAGACCAAGCCCTCGCCAACAAATACCGTGAAGTTATTCGAACGTATGCCAGCTTCGCCGATCCATCCTCCCAATCCTACTCTTCAGCCAAGCTCAGCCCCCCGCTCGCTATTCGGTGGAGAAATGCCGGGCTTCGCGCAATCAAGGGCGTTGTCAGTTCGGAGAGTCTGGCCGCAGACGGAGGGACCTCGCTGAACATTATTCTTCCGGTTATCCTCGAGAATCTGTATTCCCCGAATGAAGATGTCCTCATCCCGCTGAAGGCAAAGCTTCGCGAGACCGACGATGGTGTTGACCGTGATGCAGCCCGGATTCGACGGCTGAGCGTCGCAACGGTTGACACGGCGGAAGGCGACCCTGCATTGGCTGCGCAGTCAACTGCTGATGCGGACCGGCAGGCGGAAATGGATGCGCGACTGCTAGCTCTCCGCTGTCTGGAGCAGATCGTTGTCTCAGGAAGTAATCGTGGCCAAATCCGCATAGCAGCGACCGTGATCTTGCGATTCATTGCCGATAAGAAATTCCCGCGTACTGCGACTCGTGACCAGTCTAGTAGAATTAGCCAGCAAGACGGGAATTGGGCAACATCTCTGATCGAGCTCATCGCGACTTGGTGCCCAGTTCAGGTTCGTTTTGTGATTTTGATGACCGCCATGGACATCCTGCACGATACACCCCCGAAGGAAGATGCGTTGGAGTCCTCGTTCACTATCCTATCGGTTGTGGACTGGCTCTTGAAATCGCCGGTCAACATGATCGGTCTAAGCGTGATGGATATTTTGCTCGGCCTTATGCGGTACATTTCGGATCTTTTGTCGCCTACCGACGGTGCAAACGGCGATGCTGAAAAGAACGCGGACCCAACTGCCCATAGCGCGGTGTTCATCTCGCCCCGGAGACGTGCTCTTCTTTCCCTTCTGGAGCAGTGCATTGGAAACCTGGCGACCCACAACTACTATGGCGATCAAGTCGCTGACATGATGCGCGCTATTCTTCGTCGTTTCAAGCCCGCCCCTAACTACGAGAGTGCTGCTCAATCTTCATTGGCCACGGTTCATGAAACCCGAGCAGTCTCGATGGCCCAGCCAAACTCTGAAAACGAACAGATCAACGGAGAGAAGACGCAAGGCGAGACATTCTCTCACGCCGCTGCCAAGTTGACTGCGCTTAGAGCCGTCAAGGCTATCCTCGTTGTGGCAAATCTCAGGGTGCCGCCATCTATCAAGGGCTCAGAAGCGAGGAATCAGGTTGGCATCCACGTCTGGGAAGGGACGCAAGGTCTTCTCCGGGACTCTGATCAGGAGGTTCGTCACGCTTATGCAGACGCCTTCTTGTCCTGGCTGCAACTGGAAACGAATAAGCAGGACCTCAAGGTCCGACTGGACACCCCCAAATATGTGAAGCCAGCATCGAAACGCGACCCTGAGGCACTGGAGAAGACGTCTAGCAGACGGAGTACCTCGGCTCCTGGAAACCAACGAGAGAAAGCGGCTTTGGCTGCGCAGACCAGTTTCCTTCGCCTGTTGCACCTGGATATCTATGATGCTGCTCTCGACCAGCCTGGGGTGGGGTCCGAAGTGCTTGTTCTGCACCTTCTTCTGGCAAGTCTCGTTGAAAACCTTGGTGTGAATGCAGCCCAGTTTGGACTTCCCATGGTCTTGAAGTTGCAAGAAGATCTGTTCACCTCGGTTGACTTGGGATCCTTTGCGGCCCGTGTCAACGTTGGAAGCTTGGTTCATGGATATCTTTTGGCTCTTGCGGAAAAGTTTAACCTCGAATCCACCCACGCTGGAGTCGAGATCCGCAACGAGATTGAAAAGCGGCAGACTAAGGGGCAATGGTTCTCTAAGATCAAGTTGCCTCCAACTTGCCTCGATGGCATTGCTGTGGACGAGAAGGTCCTAGATGACGACTCAAACCAGTCAATCACGCTCACTCCCTTCCGAAACGTCGACGGCTTGGTCAACGGCATCGATGAGGCGTATCGTCAGACCATCTCATCCCCGCCACAAAGCCCGCAAACTTCCCCGGCTCGTGGTTTCAACTTCCCGGTTCTGAACCATGCCCAGGCAGCACAGCAATCGCAGCCAGAGAGTGGACTTCCATCGCCTGTCAAGGAGCAAATGCTGTCCTCGTGGTCTCGCGAGTCGTGCTTGGCTGCCATCGAGAAAGAGAGCATTAGGACTGCCTCTATTAGCGGCTCCCGTGGCAACACCATGACTCGTAACAGCCATTTCAACGGCATAACGAACGGCTCGCCCGTTGGCTCAGCCATTGATAAGAACCGCCCAACAAGTGTTCCAGACATCTCGTATACTCCGGAGCAGAGTTCGGGCAGGGGATCTCCAGTCCGCGTCACCGAGCTGCGCCGGGTCCTCTCTGTCAATACCGAGTCTAATCTTCGGCGACGCAGCCCCCTACGTGGTCAAGTTGATGCATCGAACATCAGCGTCATTTCTTCTGGAAGCGAGAGCATGGTCAGCGGTGCTTATTCTGTCTCGGAGATGGAACCGGATGCAGTGTCGACCCTGGAAGAGGAAGGTCAACAGACACCCGAAGACACCGGAACCGAGACCCCTCGCGCAAATGCATCGTCTGTGGCTCTTTCATCAACCGATCAAGGCCAGGGTTCAACGCTGAGCCAGACGGACTCTTACGAGATCCCGCCCGTTCCCCCAATCCCCGCTGGATTGTCTATTCCTGGCGGCTTCCCCAATGACTCGCAGCGGTCCTTGGTCTCTGATCGCCCATCCACGGCACCAGATAACTCTCGACAGACGATCAAGAGTGCCACAAAGTCAGAGTCATCTCAAAACCTTCGAAATGGAAAGGCTCTGAATCGTAATAAGAGTCGCTCCAGCAATAATCTTGCTTATGGATTCTCTGATGGGTTCTACAATGCCGAGTCCAACGATTCTGAGTCTCCTCTCGATAATACCCAACGGGATGAACTGAGGAAACTCCTCGATGGATTCCTCTCTCCCGAGGATAGCGTTCTCACCAATGGAGACCGCCCATCCACCGCGGTGCCGACATCAAAGAACTCCCTTGCCGAAGGTTACTCGAGCAGGCGACAAGTCAGCGGTGGTGGCCTCGGCCGGCCTCCATACTAGTTTCCTTTCTTTCAATTTATTTACCTTGCTCGCCCTTGTACAGTTGACTCCGGGAAGTACAGACTTAGCCCGGTTGCCTCGTCTTGATCCTTCCTTTTTTCTTTTTTTGCCTGCTCTGTACATGGTTATAGTTTCTTCCACTCGCCTTCCCGTTGCGTGAATCTTTCGCGTCGTTTCTTTTCATCATTCACGCAATCCCCCCCCTCCAGCCTGCAGTGCTCGCTCTGACTTTGTCAAACTCTACTCGGGACTTGATATATCTTCCTTTCACTTCTTCCCTCAATTTTCTTTGTTCCCAAGCCCAGTCTTCGCTGCACTACTCGATCTTGTTTTCTTTTTTATTCTATTTCTTTTGCATATGCTTTCCTCGTATCATTTGGCCGCCCATTTGCTTCATGTTTTAGTGTTTGGGTGCTGTATCTAGCTATTAAGTCGGTCAGTGCAAAATAGACGGCGCTAGAGTTTAATGTCTGCGAGTGGTATGTTACGTTAGATGTCAGGCTTTTCCAGATCTCGATGGGTAATTGTAGGCGACCTAATCTTGTATTTTGGGTCGGTACAAAGAAAATAAATACAGCATGTTATGACAGTAAAGAGACTCGGAGAACGCCAAGCAAATTATCATGATCTTGTCGAGCAGTACCGGAAATTGAAGTCACTCGCTAAAAATGAATAATACATATAAAACCACTGAAAAACCATGAACATTAATCAAGTAACACCATTTAGTAGCCCGGCTGAGCAACAAGTCTCGGAATCGAAGTAGACTCCCCTTCCTCCAGCATCGGGCCGAAATACTCTTTGAAGGTCTTCTTCAGCAGCACGTCTGTCAACTGCATGTGTTGACCAGGAGCAGACTTGAAATGCAGTTTACCCTGCTCATCCAACTTCTTCAAACCCAGCCAATCTTCCTTATAAATCTGCCGCTCCTGCAACGGAGTCACCGTACCATCCGTAGCATTGACCTCGGCGAAAAGCGCGCTCTCCTTCGGAACCGCAACGGTATCCTCATCAAACATGAACATGGCGAACATGTTCAAAGATTGCAAATGTTTCTTGTACGTGACATTCTTCAACTCGCGCTCGTTGTTGATATCAGCCAGGAAATTGCTCTTCTCCAGATACAGGTCTAGCTCGGTTGGATCGCGGAAGTATTGCGCCGGTACGACGCGGGACTGTGCAAAGTCCGTCCAGCGACCGGATCGGAGCAGTGTTTCGGCGCCGTTACATAGCCAGTCGCCCAGCGAGCAGGATTGGAATTCGGAGATTCCGTTGTGTTGGCTGCCGAACGTGACCAGGTTACGGACGGGTGGGTTATTGCAGCGCTCGATATACCCGCGGAGGAATTGCCCTCCTTGCGAGAAGCCGAGGGCGTTGACGGCGGGTGCAGAGCTGAGGATTGGTTCGGCGGCAAGTTGTTGGCATACCGTTTCGATTTGCTCCGTCACGTTGCCGAAGAAGGTAGCTTGGCGATCGCCGCTGCCTGTGTCTGCTAGTCTGATGATGTGCACGTATGTTCCTGGGTTGACTGATTCGGCCAGTAGCGCGACTTCTTTCATACCGTCGCGCTCAAAGTCGTCGCCTAGTCCGTGCCAGATGATTAGTGGGAGTTGGGTTGTGTTGTTGTCTTCGTCCGGTGTTGAAGGAGGATTCACAGCAGCCGAGAGAGCCACGGCGGCCAGGGCTGCCCATATCGTGATGAATTGCATCTTGGCTGTGCTTGAGTTCTGGGTTAATTGATGATGGAGGAGGCTGGGCGCTTGTCGTTGACATCCGGGGAATGTTTATCAGCACGTGATGTCACGTCATCTTGCATCTGGGAGTATATCAAATAGAATAGGATTCGATAGGAATCTCATCTATCTATATAGTGTAATTCATTGTTCAAAGCTCAGATTCACGATCTCAATTTCCAGATTCTCTTAAATGCATAAGATTCGATGAATCTCCCACAATGACATTCGACAATGACTCCACACAAAGACGATAACACTATCCCCAATATGGTAAGTCGAGGAGACGCAGGGACGCCCGTTATCGCTCCCTCGGTGCTTAGCACGGGAGTCCAGAAAGACTGTATCTTGTCTAACTCTTGAGTTCTCTGTTAGCTCGCAATTCTTCACACGTCTCTCACATCATTTTACTCGGCGCTTCCGTCAAACGCGCTAATCATTCAATCACAGGGACGACTGAGGGCGCGAACCAGTGCGGGGTACGGACTTGGGTATCAGGGCGCTAGACCTATTCTTATGCATCTATGAATTCAGCCGTAAAGCGATCCTGTCATGGCTGCGCACGGTGCAAGGGGCGCCGGCAGAAGTGTGACGAGCGAAAACCGACCTGCGGTCGATGCCTGAAGGCTGGAGCTACCTGCGAATACAAAGTCGTTCTGAAATGGAATGGCCGTGTGCCCAGAGAAAAGAAGTCCTCACAGGAAGGGCTCAAAGTTGCTAGCCCTTATTACAAGAGCAGTTATTCAGGGTCCCCTGGCTCTACATGTACAGAGCTAGGCAAGCATGGGTCCAAAGCATCTCGCGAGATGACCTTATCCCCTTGCCAACAACCACGTCCTGAACTCTCGTCAACAGCGAGGCTTCTTCTTCACCATTTTATCACCGAGGCTTCAATGATATCCAGTCATTCATACATTCGAGATCAGATATGTCGTGACATTCTTCCCATGGTCCACCAATCCGACTCGTTACTTTACGCGACGATGGCATTTTCAGCGCTGCATCGATCTACCTTGACAAACGCTCTTCCTGATCAATACATCCCGGAAGACCTCATATCACATTTGATCACGACTAGTATACGCTGTCTCCGTCGGGATCTCGAGGTCCCAAAGTATCCAACTCAGCCACTCCTCCATACGATTAGAACCCTCTGTCACTGTGAGATCTATTCAGGGCGAGCGAATTCATCATGGCGTGTCCACGTCAAAGGCGCCGGCGCTATATTTGCAGAAATAGCGTCAAAGCGAGATTTAGATCGTTCCGAGTACAGTTTCTGGCTTTGGTCAAGGTGGTTTCTGTCTATCCAAGCTTTGACGGCAGTCACGGATGTGGGAGGATTGTCGGAGTTGGCTGCCGATAGAGTTGCGGAAGAACACATGGAGCAAGATTATTTTTTCGACACTTACACGGGGTATTCATCCGATCTCAATCCTGTGCTGATGCAAATTGGCCTGTTGGCTCAGAATCGCGGACCCGAGGAGTATGACTTGGAACTCAGTATTGAATATTGCACCAGTGGAGAAAAGGGTGACAACGCCCGTCACCTTGAACGAATCATCCAAGATATGATCCATCGTGATAGGACGATAGGGCTGAAAATACCGGGCCATCTATCACTTGACATGGACACACTACGCCAATTTGGCGCTTGCAACACTGCATATCAGAATGCGAGTCTGATACATCTGTACAGGCGCGTTCAAAATCTGCCTACTTTCAGCAATGAGGTCCAGGCATGTGTGAGGGAGATCTTGGATACCGTGTGCTCTATACTTCCGGTCGCAAAGCTCTCCCCATGGATCCTATTGACCACGCCAATATACACCGCGGGGTAAGTAATTTCTCACTGGTTTCAAAATCTTTTGATTGTAACTGACAATTATTCTGTATCGTAGATGTGAGGCTGTAGGGCAAGATAGGATTTTGGTCAAGAATCTCCTCTTGGAGCTGTACTCCCAACTGCACATTAGAAATATCCTGAGGGCAATTGCACTGCTGGAAAATCGCTGGGGAAAATTGGATCTATCTAGGGATCTGCTGCAGGGACCCATCGAATCGTCCAAAGAGAACAGTCTTCTTGATGAGGATGGCGCGGAGTTTCTAGACTTCATACCCTATTGAATCAATCATCCATCAAGCCACTTTGTTTCACTGGTTGCCAAGTAGAATGTGAAAGACACCAGACACCCTCGGGCTTTGCAAGAGTCTTGAAGGCGAAAGTTTGGTGAAAGAAGGGTCCCTTGATGATAGTAACACACCGTGGCTCACGGATCCCTCAATCTCGAAGAAATGGAAGGCCTGCATTCTGTGGAACCTCAGTTGATCTACCTGCTTTCACCACTGAGGTCGAAGCAGGGGAGCTACAGTGGGAATAGCTATCATGATCCATGGGCCATGTTTAGAAGCTGTTCTGGGGCCAAAGAAGTCATTGAATAGCATATGGTAAGGAGCGACCGACATGAAACAAGTGGACAAATGTGCGAGTAGCAACTCGGGCTCACGGACGAGCTAAGCCACAAATCGTGGGGATTCATCAACTTGCCTTTAAAGACGTCTTTCATCCGAGTTGCTGGTCCCCTCGACTTCTCGAATGGCATAGACAAAGAATAACCTGGGGTAGGTTTCCAAGTCAATGAAAAATGACATTATCTGATCTATTTTCTTCCCTATCTCTGCCACTTTCACAAAACCTAGCCAGCCGTGGAAATGCGTACAAAGACAGGACTGAGCGACGGATCCACATGACCAATCTCGAAGCGTAAACCAGCGATTAGAAAGAATAGTAACAACCCACCGGCAACCATTGACCTGATCCTCATGAATGGCTCTCGGTCGATTGATCCAAGACTTTCCTTTACGTTGATATCTATTTGAGTGACCCACAGCCTCCACCAAGATTCTGTTCATTCTTTGATGGGCTTTGGTTAATCTGGTACCGCGGCATATTCGGAAGCAGAGTTTTATTTTCGCGGCTTTCTTTCAATGATGATCAAAATAGAAATTGGAGGTCCTTATGCCAGAACTATGAGAAGCAGTAAACTCCAAGACCCCGGCAGATTTATCCTGGGTCGGCCAAAAGAAGGACAAAAGCGGCCTCAAGTTGGAGTCGCCCGACTGAAGGAAAATCTGCTAAGTTTTGGATCATTCGAAGTTGGAGTTACTTAAGATACCTCCTCGAACGAGGTTCCCTTGGAAATAGATTTGAAATGACCGACTTTTTCCGACCATATCGACCCGCGCCTACTCGATCTACAAACCAACATTTACGTATCTCACGGAATCAAAACATCTCTGAGCCATTCGTTCTTTTTTTGACTTTCTGTGAACTCAATATCTTCTTGCTCGCTACAATTTCCTCTTGAAGCTCTTTTATAGCTGCAAAATCAACAAAATGAGTGAGTCATGGATAGATGCCTGGGGTCATGAATGGAAAGCTGTTCGCAATGTTGAGCGAATAACTCCCGAGATTTTCGCCGAAGAGGGCCTTCCCCTTTGGATAGCCACCCTGCAAAGAATGGACCCCGAGACTGCTAAAAGGGCTCACGTATGGACCGGTGTTCTTCACGAATCCTTTTGCCTTTTCCCTCGAGCTTTGGCTATCAAATGGTTGCCTATTTTCGCACGCATCGTGGGCGCTGTGGACGAAGAGCAACTGCCTTTTTGGAACAGATTTTGGCCCTGGCTCAAAAGGTACATGGATTCCATGGTCACTGTCCTATCCTACGATGGACGTTTTCAACGCGATGCTGGGGATCAGGAATTAGCGGCTGTGGAGAAAGAATTCATGGATCTCATGAAGACCGGCAACCTTGCGCCTTTGGTGGACAGGATACAGAAACCCGGCATCCTGCCCTCGTCCTTTCCGACTCTCGAAGAAGCTGAGCATGGCCGTCAGCACCTAGCGAAGCTGATCTTCGACAATTACAACCAATTGAAGGACATTATGCAGCACTATGAGAACTTTATCACCCATTCATGGAACGCAAAGAACAAAAAGTCGCGCGACAATGTACTCTTGAAAGCTTGGCCAGGAATGAATCAGAAGCACAACATGGCTTTCGAGGATATCTTGCAGGAAAAACGCCCGAATGAACAGAGTTGCAAATGGCCACACATCAACCTGGAGGATTTGAACCAAAAGGGGACCCTTCTGGCCTTTCTGACAAGCCGAGTCCAAGCCAGCCCTTCGGCATACTACTTCATGGACAGAGAGGCATTGAACTTAGGGGAAAGGGCCGGCGTAATCAGAATGCCAATTTTGTCAGAATATGGCATGATGTTTACAGGAAAAGACTCTGCCCAGGATTACGGCGAGATATTCAATTTTCACAATCCGGCAGGAGCATGGCTGGTTAAGACAAAGCGAGGCTTGTTTGTGCATCATGGATTGATGACCATGGAGGCCCAGGCGCGCATTTATCAGTTTTTGGTTGACTGTTGCCTTGCGATTCTGCCCGATAACCGAAACGATTGGGATAAAGCTAATGCTGCGGCTGAGCTTAAGCTTGCTAAATCCATCAAAAAGCCGGGACCCCAATGGGTAGAGACTAGAATAGCCGAAAGGATTGCTCTTGCCCCTTATTCCCGACCTGGCTATTTGGACATCGACCAACTCGTGGACTTGATCCAAGCAAGAAAGTCCCTTGCTGACTATGAAGTGCGACTGCTCAGAGAGAGCCCGAAGTACTTTGCGAGCAAGTTAGCAGAATACGCAGAGCACAGGCCCGAGCAAACTCTCGCGAGCGAGAAACAAGAACCGCAGAGCCTTAATGATCTCAAACCTAGCTCCAAGTTGAAGACGCCTGAATTTTGGGACTCGGTGATTCGGTCGTTACTGAGGGATGCCTTTTATGGAGTTGTATTCTGGCACGAGATTTGTGAATCCCTCGAGGCTCTACAAGCCCTCCTCAGACAGCATCAGGCGGGCATCGATCTCAAAAAGGACCTGCCAAAAGTACTAGAGGAGTCATTTACCAACTTGTGGCTCAAGCTTGATCATTTCATGGCGAAAGTCACCAGTTACTTGGCGATCCGTGTGCAAACTTGCCCCAGAATACGGAAAAAGTTTTTTAATCCTCCCAAAGACGAAAAGATTCGACCACGGGAAAACGGTGGGATTGAGGACCCAAGTTTTGACGACTGCAGGACTCTGCTGCGCCTGTTGGTCTATCGAGGTAACATACCGACCCTGCAGCAAAGAATTACGACCACAGTGATTGCCGATGAACTTGAACGACACATGGAGAACAACCCAAAAGAGGCAAAAATGATCTCTGGCTTTATGATGCAACGCGTTTCGGACATGTCTCTTCTCGCAAGTTGCTTCACCCAAATTTGTAACTTCCATCCGTGGGCGGCAACTTTTGAGCCCAACGCAAGGGAGAAACAAAAGCAGGACGAAGATCCTTTGCAAGAAACCAGAGCTCTCAAAAAGAAATTCAAGAGATCTTTGGAGGGCGAACCTTTGGACCAGCTTGGGAAGTTCTTCTACGCCAGTGCATCCTCCACCATTTGGCCTGGCGGTAACCCCACTCAGAAATACACCCAACAGAGGCAGGCATCCGAACGGGAGCTGGACAACTTCTGGCTGAAGGTCGACTCGCTTCTTCAGCCGGTGGTCGACCAAGTGCCGAATAATGCCAGAGGACCGTTGCGACCTCCTCCGGCAGGCTCACTTGAGCGCACGCCCGACTGGGTCGAGGAAGAGCCAGCACCAAGTAAAACTAAGCGCGGCTGGGACACGACGGATTTGGCAAAGGACGTGGAACCAGGTCCTCTAGCGAAGAAACCTAAAACAAAAACGCATGGCGTCGCTGATCCATCGCGAGCAGCACTAGAAGGAGGACCAGGACAGCAGGCAGCTCCGGAACCACTCAAGATCAAAGTGAACGAGGAAGACTTTGAGGTCTTCACTGTGTTGTTCCACATACCAGGCCATGTTCCAAGGAGAGAATTGTCTTGGGTAAGATTTAAACAGGCAATGGGCAGATTGAACTTCGAAATTCACAAAGACGGGGGCTCGGCCTGGCATTTCACACCACCAGCGAATTTGGGGACTCGTTCAATCAGTTTTCACGCTCCACACCCGGACAATACTCATCCCCTAGCGATTTGGAGGAGGATAGGTTGGAGATTGGGTAACAAATATGGCTGGGATGGATCTACATTCGAGCTGGAGGGCTAAATTGGTGACGAGGACAGGTAGAGTTGGTAGGAACTTGGAAGGTGGAATATGAAATTACGTTGTCATTTTTCTTTTGCTTGGTTGTTCATTTGTGATTTTAGATGGCTGTGCTTTTGATACTCAAATTTATATTGATCAATATATATATATATTTTCAAAGTTCAAGTGAAAGCATAAATTGTAACACGCATTACAGTTAAACAGAATAATGTTGTGTTCGAATCCAGCCTTAGTCAAGGCAGCATGAGTAACTATCTAAAGTCTCACATTGATTATGATCTATACTTATATACAGTATTAACAGTACAGTGGTTTTTCATTTTGGAAGTCTTCATCTAATTGGACCTACTAATTACATGATATCATCTACCCGCCAAACAATCTCTCTATTCTATGTATCACACCCTCAAAGCCTATCTCCCAAAGCTGCTACCTAGATGGTGTCCAATATAATACATCTCTGCCATTAGGTAATAATAATCTTAGAATTATCTTATTGATTCGTGATAGTCTACTAAAATTCACAGTGTAGGTGCAAGACTAGGTGGTAGAGCAAGGTAGCGCAGACAGAGTTGTTGCGAATGGCTTCATGAAGATGGGAGGAAAGGGAAAACTATACACACACACACATTCTTTTAGGTTTACATACAATCTACACACATTCTTGACAGTATTTCCTTCACAATCAATTCAATTCGTTTACTACATCTTTTGCCGGCCGCTTTCTCTGGTTCTAATTGGCCTATTCAGTATTCATTGCCGGGTTCACAACGCTCGCACTTGGGTGGGTGCTGTATGGCTTCTTGCCGGCCCATCTTGGTGGTGTTTTGCATGCTTCCCTATTCCTCCTCACTGACAGCTTATCTCTATCGTGCCTCGACCTGTCTATTTTAATCAGACCGCTACTGCGCACCCCCTCCTTTACTAACTATTCTCCAAATCAACAAGAGCAAAGTGAAGACCTTCTTGCCGATCAACTAGGGAAGGCATCAAAATCCGTCAGCAGTTCCCCCACTAGTTACACTAGGTAAGTACCTATCAGCACTGGGTTGGAGATTACCTTGGCGGACTACGTAGAGAAATCAGAAGACTTCAAAAGAATATGGAGATTCTCTTCAGGCCCTGGTTCCAGTCGCTTATCGAGAAATTTTACATATGCAGCGACGTAGTAGAAATGATCCATTAGTTCTTGGTGTAGATATACAATGAGAAGTTAGTATATAAATGTGATGTAGGATTAGTAATTTGGGGACAGAGAACAATCCTGCAAAGCTGACACCTTCAAGGCAAATACCATATTGCGGCTCATGGTCAATCTGCCTCGCCAGTGCTGCGCCTTCGAACAAACTGCCCGAATATCCTCACAGGTACGATGGGATTACTTCCCTCGGGGCGACGAGCGAATGGATCGGACGAATCTTGACTTTGGTAGGGTACATGAGATGCCATTGCGGGGATGTTAACAGCTCCAGCACGAGGCATGAGGGGACTACTTGGGAACGTGCGCGGGGTGGGTTGCGGAAGCCAGCTTTGGGTTCCGGTCCCGTTGGTTGATAAAGAGTCAGTAGCGACGAGAGTGGGCGAAGCAGGTAGTGGTTCCGTGGGACTACAAGAAGGTTCACGCTGGTGCCGTTGTGGTGATTGAAGGTGCAGGCCGCGGGCCATTTGTTCTTGGAGTACTTGACCTTCGACCGTGAAGTGTGACCTGTGCGGGATGGGTGGCATTATAGAAGGACGGGCCCCGGGGGTGGAGGGGTCCGACCTCAGGTGTGTGCTGTATCGAGCATTAGCTGAGAGTCTGGGCCTGGGTAGTTCTGGGCTCTGTGAGAGGTCACGACTGGCGTGTCTGTCCGGAGGTGTCCGTAGACCTTGACCATGTTGTAAGTGTTGGCTGCCAGGCTGGCCGGTGATTCTGATTTGAATTTGGTCCAAGGCATTCTCATTCTCTCTCCAGTAAAGGGACTTGGGAAATGCAAGTGTCGTTTGATTCCCATGAGTAGCTGACAAACGCTTTCGATCTGTTTCTGTTAACCTGCGTCGCTTTCCAAAGTGCTCCGCCTCTTGAGCTGAGGCGAATGTGACCTCAAGCGGACGTGTTGCGGCGACTGCTGCCCAGTCGGGGTCTTGGAGGAGTCGACGCTTCAAGGTATCCAAATGTCCAGCGCTGTCAGCGGGAATAGACCCGGCCAATAGAGACAGACGCGGGGATGTAGTGCTGGAAACCCGTGAAGGGTTCAGGGTCAGTGCAACGACCCGAGGATAAGAAAGTCTGACGGATGAGGAGGAATTTGTGCAGAGGGCAGGCCGCAGCCAACGGTGATGAGCAGTTGACAGTACGACTGACTGGTTTTGCGCTTCTTCCTCCATCGTCTGCCCATCCCTGCAGGCCGCCTCATCACCCAGCCTATCATCATCGCCATAATCCGGGTCTGGAACCCCGCCAAAGGTCGAGGGTTGGCGAGGCACTCTGTTGCTGGCTTGCTGCCGCGACTCGGCAAAGTTCTGCTTCTGAGTCTTGGACAGAATGCCCTGGCGAGCAGAATGTCGACGTAGTTGCCCTCCCGTCCAATTCATCTCAGAGGGATATGGACCGAATCGAGTAGAGTATGTAGTTTGTTTTGAGCTAAGGAACGAACCATGGAAGCTGCCACCGTTGTGGAGGTGTCCACAGTGGAGGCCTGGTGGCCTGAGGATCACAGAGCAGTGCAAAGCATGCAAAATATATATCACGTGACCTTCCGCACAAAATTGCGGGAATTCCAATTTTCCTTCCTCCTTCTCCCTTCACCAGCCATTCAGAGAGCTGCCCTTGAGATGTGATGCAAAAGTCTCAACCAGGTGGCCACTAACCATGCCGTCTGACAGAATTCCAGTTGTCTCCTATTCTTGGATCTGATCCTGGTCTGTTCGCAACTCACCAACTCACCCTGGGTCCACAGGTTGCAGGTTACAGGTAAGCCGCCCTTTCTTTTCGTGCTTTGTTCGGTGCGCGGACCTCCCAGTCCAAGTCCATTGGACTCGACTACCCTTGCCCTCTTTTTTTTTTTCCCTTTGGATGATGAACCAATCTACCAAAAGCATAGTTCACCTGAGATCTTCGGATTGCTGAACGAAAAACTTGATCCATCTTTCACCTTTATCTGATATCCATTGTTTTGCTTCTTTTTCTGCAACTATTTTGTGCTTTCGAGAGAGTTCAATTGTGGCTAACTCGAATGTCCCCAGGAAATGCAAGACAATATTCCCATCTTCGGGAGTATATTGGAGACTGTGCAGGCTTGAGGGTTCTCAAGTCCTCAAACGGCCATTCACAGCTCGCCAGAGATGCACCTTGAGGGTCAGGGCTAGCGGGTTGGGTACCCGAATCATCTGCAATGATGCCCAACGTGGGTCAAGATGGGTTCGCCCCGGCCCGCAACGCTGGATCCACGGAATGATCATTCCCTTCTTCTCCGTAGGAAATTAGACTTCCTAGATAGACTGTTACAATCCAATCTGCCTCGTTTCACCCTGTTACTCGCGACGCTGCATCATGCGCGGCGCCCCTGGTCCCATCACCTCTTCCCTTCTTCCCCCGTGGCTTCTCATCCAACGATTCCCTCTTGACAGCTGCAACCTCCGGCGCTGCCTCGTTTCTCATCGCCAGCTGGTGCTCAGGATGCAATCACCCTGTTCCGTAACCGTCCGACGTGGACTATCCTCCACCATACAATCCTCGTCAACACGCGACGGAGGACCTGCCGATCGTCCAAATTGGACATCATCCTGCAGCGTCAGCGTCAGCGTCGTATCCAATCATGATACTCAACCCATTTCGCCAAGCACTCGAGACGCCGAACTAGTCTCACACCGCTAGAACTCTCTGGGATCTTCCCCCACTCCGGGCGCATCCGTCGTACCCATCGCACAAACCGGGTCTCTCGACGCCATCACCGCTACTTGACGAGTCTCCAGGACTGGCTACCGATGGTGCCAACAAGGCAGGCCAGCAACTGCATGCTGCGAGTCTGGCACACGCCATGCTGGCCGTGGATAATCCCACAAACCCCTCAACCCTCCTCCTGAAAAAAAAGCACGGTTATTTTTTGGGCTTCTAAAAACCCGCTGATCCCCCCTTTCCTCTCCTCTTTCTTCTTCTTCCTTTCCTAACTCTGGATACCCCTCTTCTACTCGACCATACCATTTTTGTGGACAACGAGATTCTTACCTTGCTACCATCTATACACTCTATATACCCACCCCACCCACAGCTACCAACAACTATACTCGCCTTCCAAATCCCTTGGAAACTTAGGACAACCATCACAACTCGACTCACTGCCGTGGTTTTTCTTTTTTTCTTGCCCAAGGATTTCTAGCCACATACTCCCGGACAGGATTTTGCTTTGTTTTTGTTCTTGCCCAGGCCTTTACAAGTCTGCACATTGCCGACACACAACAGGTAGTCCCCATCACGTTTCTTTACACTTTTCTGCTTTTTTTTTCTCTTCCTATGCGATGTTCTGCTTTTCTTGCCAATGGACCTATACTATCGCCATCTTTCTACGACCGGACCTCGACACTTCTACCGTTCACCCTGGACTCTGGATCTTAGCCTTGACAGTTGTCTTTGACCTTGCTGGTACCTTGCCTTTGCTTCTGTCAATCTTGACAGTTCCAAACAAAAGATTAATGCTTCTTTTGCCATGGATTTGTTCTTAGCATCCGCTAAGTGACTGGACTCTTTGTCGAGTGCTGTTAATGATGCACACTCTTCAAACAACAACCTATACTGCCGATGGATTACTTTGCCATGGATCTCTTGTCTCCGTTGACCTGGTTTCCCTTCGTCCAAGCCTGGACTGAAGTGGATGGATTTCCCCTGGATTATACTACTGGCCTACATACATACACCCTGGATTACTTATACCCCTTATGGACTTCATCAAAAACAATGTTATTCCCTGGATATTGAACATGGCCTTTTCACCAAACTGCCACTATGGATTCTGCCTGGACAATCTTGAGCTGTTATGCTTTGCTCATCAACTCAAAGGAACCTTAAGCAGCCGCTTCTGGAATTACGATCTGGCCACTGACTGAATGGAGCCGACCAATGCAAGCCTCTGCTGGTCATCGCCGAGAAAGTAAACCTCTTTCTTGACCCTGGACAAACGTGGAGTATGATGAGTTCTTAAAAGTATATCGCTGGCCATGATATACCCGGCTTGACTCGACAGATGATACACCCTCACTGGCGCTATGTCTGCACCAAAGCCTCTTCTGGAATCTGTACCTCCTGCGACCATGCATACCTAGGATCTTTCTAACCACATCGGCCTCGGACTTGGCTTGCTCTACAACAATATGACTTTGGTGCGTCCGCAACTACGTAACACACAACCCATGACTATGCTAACCGCTCTTAGGCTTATCAACTCCTTGGACACCTGGATCGTCTTTTTTTGCTCAATCACTTTTTGTTCTTTTGCTTTTTTTTCTCTCTAAATAGTTGGGTGTAGATTACTGACTTGATGAGCTTTCGTTTACTGCAGACACACAACACACCTATACACAATGTCTCCCAGGACCAGCAACGAGCCCGAGCGGGTTTCTCTCACTCAATCCAGACAGACCTCCCTGTTCTCAGGATTGCCCAATATGGCCTCAAGAACCTTCCAGGATGATGACTTGTCAAGCCAAGACACCTCGTCTTTGTGCTCTCTTCACACAGCCCATGGAAACCCCCAGGATATGAAAGACTGGAGCTTGAACACTTCAGAATCTCTCGAACAGGCCATGTCTTCCAAGGAATCTCCCCAGGTGCAAATGCTTTCTTTCTCGCTGTCTCAGCAGCTCATGACCCCCACGGTCGGACCTAGTGATGTGATGTACACAGGCGTGGACTTCCCAGCAGTCTCAGACCTGCATGATCATGAAATGCCTCGGGATTTTTACTCCTTTGTGGATCTTTCTTCCATGGATAATGATGTCTGCGTGCAAACGAGCACTCCGGATGATGCTCTGTCTGTCGCGCACAGTTCCCACACTGATGATGGCCACTTGATTGCCGGTCACGAGTCATGGAATGCTATGATGGCTGATGGCCAGTACCCTGGAACCACCCTGGATCACCTTTCTTCCAACCTCTTCCAGACCATGCCGGTCTCTCCACCCTTGACGGAAGCCAGTACTGATATTCCCATCACCTCTGCTTGCTCCCACTCTGGATTCCCTTCTTTCCTGGCTCATGATGACTCTCTCCTCGGAGACTACACCACATCCCCCATTGGCAACCCGATCATCAACCCTGCAGAGCCTCTGCTCCCAAACACGACGCCTCTGAGCGAGAAGGACCCAAACAGGTAGGTCCTTAGAAACAACCATCGCCCGCGAACGCCTTCGATATCTAACCATTTTTCCTTACCTTTGCAGAACCATCCGGCCCTCTAAGCAGTCTCGCCGTGGAACTTTGCCCGCTTCCCAATCTCAGGTCAAGTCCGAGGCCGAATTCTTCCCTCAGGTAAAGGCCGAGCAGGATTTCTTCCCTCCTCTGCCCGTCAGAGAGCCAGCCCGGCAAAGATCCAAGGACAGTGCCGAGGCCCGCAACCCACGAGACCACCAATTCTACCATCTTGCCCCCCAGAATGATGGAAAGTACCACTGCCCATATGCCCACGGAGAGAAGCCGTGCAACCACACTCCTACCACCCAAAAATGCGCTTACCAGCAAGTACCCCTTGGCCCATTGTGGGCATTTGATCCCCGTAAAATCATTGATCCAATATCTAACCGACTCAACAGCAAATACCTGGACTCCCACCTGAAGCCCTACCGGTGCAAGCACACCTCCTGCGTGGACAACATGCTGCGTTTCTCCTCTAACGCATGCCTCTTCCGCCACGAGCGCGAAGCCCATGGAATGCACGGCCACGGAGAATGCCCCCATCTGTGCCTGTTCGAGGGATGTGAGCGATCCGTACCTGGATTTGGATTCCCCCGTAGATGGAACCTGCACGACCACATGAAGCGTGTCCACGACTACGTTTCCTGCGAGCGTCCCGCTTCCCAGCCCACTTCCCAGCCCAGCTCTCCCGAGACTTCGCCCGGTGCTCCACCCAAGAAGAAGGATTCGTCTGCTGCCAGCCGCAAGAGAAGAGGGGTTACGGGCGCCACCCCGGCCCCGACTATGAAGCGTACCCGCTCTGTTCACTCCCAGGCCGGTTCCAACAAGGCTTCCCAGGCTACTGCCCAGAACGGCCAGCGTCTCCAGAACGCCGAGCGGAACTACTACAAGTGCCGCGCCCGTCTGGTCGATGAACTCGCCAAGATTACCCCCCAGGACACCTCCATGCATGAGAAAGTCAACGCCAGTCTGCAGGAACTGTACACCCTGGGTCTGCAGTACCGCCACCTCGAGGCCGGCAATGCCGCTTCCAAGATGCCCAATGGACTTCCCGCGTGAAGGCATTGCTTCCGAGGACCTGTACCCCTTTTCTTCCAGACCTGGAATACGGGATACAGTATGGATTTTTGAACTTTTGAACCTTTTGAACAATATGCGGAGATACTCGGATCGTTTGCTGCCATCTGTGAATGGGGATTCCCACGGCCGAAGTTACCTTTTCTTGCCGCGTTGCTTTCAACACCGAAAGGACCTTTTTGAACAAAATCATCACTGGATTGAGAAACACCCCTCGCCCCTGAGCTGTGTCTTCACTCCAGGATGAATATTTCCCGGCTCAACTTCCTGCATTAGATCAGGTTAACGCCACCAAGGGACTTAAACCCCGGACTCATCTCTTCCCGAAAGGAATACCCAGATGGAAATCCTGTGCATCGGAGCCGGGCACTCCGAGCACAACAGATTTACCGAATCATTTTGCGTCTTTACTGATGAGAATGCTGGCTAAACCTGGGATATGGTAGCCCCCAAGGAGGAATAGATATGGAGACATGGCACTACAGACCATGGATCTCTAGGACTACTGAAACACGACAGTAGAGTGGATGTTAAAGATTGGATTATTTTGGGTCTCTTGTTTTATAGATCTTTTCTGCGGTTTTGTTTTCTTGTTATTCATTTCTGTTTCGTTTTGATGTTTTTGGTCTTGTCTTACCACGCGAATACTACAAAAGAATAAAATCTTTTACCACTCATCTAAACCCACGTACAATTCTGTCCAAATCGTAATCTCGTTATCTCATAACACGCTATGAAGGTCTCTATCAGCATGAAGAAAGCCATTTACTGCTCTGCCTCGCGTCTCTATATAGCATTTTAAGACAGTCCACTCCCCATCGACACCGTATTCTCCACACCCCCAAACTCATGATTCAAAAACCGCACAAACGCATCGCCAACTCGTTCCGGCGCCAAGCTACCTTGTCCCGCGCCGTGTCCATGACCGATATACCTCCGGTTAAGACTAATCCACTGCCGCCGCATACGCTGCAACTTCGGCAACGCTAGGATTCCACCTGCACCGGCGAGTTCATCCGTCGTACCCGTCGTGGCTACGTGAGTGGGGATGAGAACTGGGATAGATACGTCGGGAACCTCGATGGCAATGCCCCTTTGATGCGTGCTCTGTGCCAGGGCGACCTCTGCGGATGGATTAGCCTGTGTAAAAGCGCGGATGGCATTTACCACGGCCGTGGTGCGCTTTTCCATTGCGTAGAGGGCGCCGGAGTCGGTTGCTACGGCTTGCACGGTGGCTTGGTGGGGGATGATCTTTGGACGGGTGGATCCGCTGCGGTTGAAGGCTCGGCTTGTTGTCGTTGTGCTGGCGAGGTCGGAGAGGGTGGACGATGCGAGTGAGCTGGTGAGATTGGAAATTGGGGGTTCGGTGGGTGTTTCGGCTGATGGGAGGACGATGCCGGAGAGAGCTTGGAAAATTTCGGCTACTGGGGGCTCTGGGTCGGACCAGGGGACTGTGAAGAGGGGCTTGTCCCAGCGGCTGTGCGTGCTGGGTTCCTCGTAGCGGAAGATGAGGTTGTTGAGGAGCTCTGATGTGTAGGCCTCTTCGTCGTCGTTTGACTCGTCTGGCTTTGGTGTGGTGTCATCTGTGGAAGGGGCTTGCGCCTCCTCGGATGGTTTAACATCTTTTTGTGCTGCTTCGTCCCGGCGCAGTCGTGCGTCATTATTTGCGACGCATTGATCGACGGGCGTTCCAATGTGAACCTGAGCAATCCGATTAGCTTTGACACCCGAGTTTCATTGACATAGATCAAACACTTACAACACAGCACGTTGTGTTGGAAGCCTTGGCCTCACACCACAATTGATACCTCCACCCCTTGATGTAATTCATCCCATCTAGAATGACAATGCTGTCGCGCGCAAGCACACGCTTCGCCCGCGCATAAGCCACACCTCGTGCCTCCTTTTCCGTCCTAGCATGATCATAGACAGTCCTTGGATGCGACTTGTCATGGGAAGGTACGACATGGACTTTGTATCGCGACTTCAGCGGGGCTGGTGAGCCTGGCTCGGTGGATGCGAATAGCTCATCTTGCGCTTTCTCGATTAGCGAGGCGAGTTGGTTGGCGCGGTAGGTTAAACCGGAGCAGGGGTATCCGGTGAGAATGACGAGCTAGTTTTCGGTTAGTTTGGCCCTTTACCGAGATTTGCAGGTAGCTATACTTACCGGCATTGTGGGCGGTTGTGGTTTCTCGAAGCTCACGAAACTTTTTTTTTGCCGCGGGGTTACGGGACATGTGACTCCGCATTGCGGTGGGCCTTTCTACCGCACGCTTTGGCAGGGCTGTTCCTGCATGAGAGATGGTTTTATTTTCTGCATACAATACTTTTAGGTTCAGACTACAGATAGTTTTTAAGTGTCATGGTAAATCAAGGATCGACAATATTTATCATTCAGCTGATGTCAATACTACATCTCTATATGCTTTTAAGGCGCAAAGTGCCAGGGTATCAAGGGTACATCTAAGCAGTCTTAGATGCACTGTTCTCCAATTGATCTGGCTTCCAGCGAAGCTCATATCCAAAGACCGTCTTTCGAAGGGTCTCATCCTGCAAAGAAATCAGTATGAACGTTCTCCAAACGAGGGCCTCAAACAACTTACACCAGGGTCATCCTCAAAGAGCACTTGGTCCATCATCTTTTGGAAAATCTTGGTGACGGTGAATCCACCTTCTTCCGCCCGCGGAAAGAACTTCTCGGTTTGAGGGAGCAGCCAGGGCTCATAGGGTGTGAAGATCACCAATGCAACGGCCTCGGGGGTTCTCTTCAAGGTCTGCTGCATGGTCTTGACCAGGTTCGCATGCTCGGGGTAATTGTAAATTACATCCGCCATGATCAACACGTCGAATCCAGAAGACTCCCCGTTCTTGGGAGGAGGCAGGTATGCCAGCAATGGTTCGACTGGGTAGCCCCATTTGTACCCCTCCACATGTAGACGCTTCTGAGAGTCGGCTCGCTTGGGGATCATATCAATGGCCAGATCGGCATTATACTGCATGTTGGAGACGAGGTCTGGATCGTAGTAGTCGGTCATCACGACGGTGCGAGCGCCTTGAATGGCGCTCACAATACTGGGCACACCCGCGGCGGCACCAATCTCGAGGACATCCTTATCGCGGATCAGCTCGTCCGTCCGCTCTTCGATGTAGTGGGAACTCGTTCGTCCAGCATTCCACAGTAGATTGCCCTGTCAGAATTGAAGCAAGAAATGTCAGCGGGTTCTACCTTGGAGGGGCAGATCATGCGATTTGCCTTGGGCGGGGTCGTACATAGAGCGGGTGGCTGCCCACGAGACGCACGCGCACCGTCTTGCCGGAGAGCATCTGATGCTCGGCAAAGGTAGGGGGTTTCTCCTCCGGGTAGAACCCCTCGGGGTCCTTGAACATGTCCCCCGTCTCGAAGTCGTCCTCCATGGCGTAATTATTGGCTGGTTGCTCTCGTATAAAGAGACTCCAAGGAAGTGTGGAAAATATCGGTTATCGCCTTATCGGGCCTTATCAGGTGGGGGTCCTGGACGCCTGAGGCAACCAACTGATGATCTCGGTGACGTGACTACGAAGTATACAGCAGTGAATACATATGCTGCTCTTTTCTATAAGAGTAGTTATATTGAAGTCAAATAACTCAAAGTGGTACTGCCATATGATATATGATATATCACCTTTTGCACACGTAATGTCTCAAAAGAATAGGAGGTCCAGGAGCACTCCCTGTTGATACGTCCAGCTCGAGGACGGAGTTTATCCGTGAGAAACAATCATAGTTCCGCTAGGACGCCAATAAAACCTCTTATCGAAATATCAGACTATTTCACCATGGTCCACCTACCAATTCCAGCGGTCATTTCGATTCCTCGGCCAATTGTCCATCGCCGTGAGGAAAAGGATGCGCCATACATGTGCCCGTCATGTGACTTACGCCGAGGCAGCGTCATGTAATACGGTAATTTGCCACTGATACAGGGCCATCTCGTGTGGGGAGTCCGTGGAGATACGGTACCGATACACGGCGGGTAATTGTCGGGATCGACTGGAGAGGAATCGCCTTTTTTTTCCTAGACAGAGAGGGGGGCAATCACAATCACGCCAGATAACGACTCGGCCTTTTCTCCTCAGATGAGATCTCCTTCTTCCCTCCTCTCCTCACCTCCGCCTTACCTTTGCCCTTCTCCCTCTCCCTCAACTTACCATAACCTTTCCAGAACGTCACTCTCTAAGCGATCTGGAACTTACTTCCCCCCGCGCGACTGTTCTTGGCCGACGATTACCCTGATCGCTGATCCCGGTTCCTTGCCGACGCTATCGCCGTCATCGTCATCCGTGGAGTCGTGACGCTACGATCCCTTCGTTCATAGTGGCTTTCATCCGATACTCGTGGATCCCCTGATCCTACTTTTTTTCCCGTTGCATCCAGGCCCGTCGCGCTACCTTCCAGCTTGAACGTCCCTTTTTCTCTTTTTTTCTCGAGAGCAGCATGGATACTACCTTGCGACCAGCTCATGGTCCCCAGACCCCCGCCCAGTCTTCTACATTCTCTTCCTCCTCCTCTACCACTCTCGGTACCTCTTCCAATCTCACAGCCACGGTAGAACAGCCTTCAAATCCCTTCAGTATCCCCGCAAAACCCGTCAACCCTGCCTTTGCGACACCCCTTCAACCAGCCTCGGCCTATACTACACAGTCCGCCATGTCGCAGACACAACCCTTGGCACAAAATTTCTCCGATCCAGCTTGTGCCTCCGGGTTACAAATCCCTTCTCAAGGCATGAACGAGTCTATACCACGATCAGAGGTACCGCTCGCAAATCAGCCTGCCACCGACTACCCGCACCAAGTAAACGGCCTCGGGGGTCCGACTGCCACAGCGCCGTTCCTTCAAGACTTTAGTCTAGTCGCCGAGGCAGCCAAGCGCGCCCAGATGTCTATCGTCATGCGAGACCTCGAGAGCGTGACTCTCTAGACTCAGACTATCCTCTAATCAAACCCAGCGGCTGGCGACGAGGGCAGGTCCCTGGAAGGGGTATCAACACGAAGTGCATTTACTATGTGCACTCCTCTCTCTTAATGGCTACGGACTGGCTCCGTACCGGTGGAATATTTCTTGGTTTCCCGTTGGCGTCCACCTGATGACGGTTTTTGTCTTGGGATTGATTTGGCAGATCCCCCGTGGGTGCAGCAATATTGGGACTCGCTTTTCAGCCGAGTATATTCATGGTGCATTTCGGCCCATCTCTGATTTTTGGCGTTATATTACCCGAGGGCGTTTCAATTGGCTCATTTACCTCTTTAGCTATCGGACCTTATACCACCAATGCACTCGCAATATATGAAATTTACCTCCTTGCTACTGTATGTTCCGTAATCTAATGTAGGTTTAGGTAGTGGTAAACCTCCCAAGAGCTTGTGCCTTGCTTTCAAAGTGGATATCGTGGGCTCGAGCGTATGCATCGGGGATAACCTTGCTTCCCCCCAAATTCCACTCAAATGACGAAGCCATCACTTCCATCTTGGCTCATTTCTGTACTCTTCAATATTACACTCGTTTCCTCTTCTTAGCTTCAGTAGTCTCCCCCTTCCCCCGACTAGCTTTACTAAACAACGTATCAAGACTCTGTTGCCCTTTCTCACGCCGATCAAGCTTGACCTTCTCACTCGCAAGTACGGGGGGTAATCCTTGTACACGACGCCGTGCATCTTCAAGTAACTCCATTTCCCGTTCTCGTTGACCCCGCACCGTCGGAATAGACCACGACCCCGTCGTGGCTGACTTGTGTGCCAACTTATACTTGGCACCCGTCAAATGGGTCTCGTACGTGTTTGCGTCGATTTTCCGCACATGCTATGATATAGTTAGATCGTAATACTCTTCCCCTAGTACTTTTATCCTCATGTAGATTGCTGAGGGATCTTGATTTCTCACCTGATGTCCCACAATTAACCAGTGATACTCCGTCCCCACGGGCGCTCCACTACCCTTGGGTGCATTTCGCATTCGGCGCTTATTAGTCTGATAATCTATTCGCCATAGATCGGGCTCTTCTTTGGTCTCTTTCCATACACCCGGGTCGTAGTTCCAGGTATGAGAGCCGCCGACTGCCATGCCGGAGTATAGTTGGCCCTTGTGTGCCTTTAGCGCGTTGTATCCTCCCCCGCCGATGGCGTATGATTGCTTTGATGGTGTGATGATGTTGTCGTCTTCGACGGGATTTTCTTCTTCATCTAGTAAGGCTGGGTCAATGGATTGTGTTGAGTTTAGGCTGGCAGAGGGGCTGGAGCCGTCGTGGCTGATGAGAGGGGAGTCGGGGGAGAGAACTGTGGAATTTGTGTCTGTCATTTTTAATAGAGAGGCTGATGGTTTTGTGTTTTGCTTGACTTTGGGATTGTTGTGTTTGTGTTTGCGAATGATGTGATTGTTCGTCCTTGTTTGTATGGGCACTACTATGATGTCATGTTGATGCTAGATGAACCGCGACCCATATGCGAGATAACCTTAATCAGTATCATTAGGGCTAGACTCAGACCTAAAGCTATGATATAGCCGGAAGTCAATAATTCTAGGAATAGCATGCCTTGCAATGAGAATGATCCCGGGGCATTTCAGGGCATTTCGAGATAACGGGGTCAAGCAATTTACCCGGCCTTTAGCGCGGGGGATTTTAGGAGGTAGAACTTTTAGACTTGTCCTGCATCATCCCTGTACTGCAGTGAAGGGATTTTCCAGGTGACCCGTATCCAGAGAACTCAAAGCATTATACATTATAGAAAGGAGGATAAACGGTATACATTTCTGTCATGTCTTCGGGCAAGTGGGTCAATGACTCCGCTCCCAGCACGAATCGCGGGGAAGTGATCCATCCTATTCTCTCTCCTCAAATCTACTCCGACTTCACATGTCTGCCTCACCTTCCGAATCCAAAGCCCGAGTGCGTACCCGTACCGGCTGTCTGCAATGTCCGTATCGAGTATCCCTTGTTCAGGACCTCCATCCACTAACGATAAGCAGGTCGCAAACGCCGAAAGAAGTGCGACGAGCATCCACCAACATGTCAACGATGCACCGATAACGGCACCTCATGTACCTGGCCAACAAGAATCAATCAACCCATTGATGGCCGAAGACGTGAAGCTCGGCGATGGAAGAATCCCCCCTCAGCCATGCCAGATGAGCACCAGCGGTTATTCGCCCATTTCGCCACGACTGTAATGCCCAGGCTAGTCCGGCCAAAATGTCCGTCTGAGTGGACTGATCAATCGTACATGCTGCAGTTGGCACATGTGTTTTCACCATTAATGGCAATCATGCTAGCCATCGCAGCGGCCGATCTCAGCAAGGAAGAGTTGGCGATGGATCGTTACCTGTCCTCGCTGCGCGGGTTGCAGGAGGCTCTGGCTGACGCGACCGATGCGGGGAATGAAGATGGCTTTCTTGCAACAACCATCTTCCTATGTGTATTCGAAGTGAGTAGTCACCATTCATCCCATCTTTGCCACACTTCAATCATAAATGCTGAAGTATGGACAGAATCTTCGGTCAGATGGCCCTCCAAGTATTGGGTTACATGCAAAGGCTGCCGGCGTGCTGCTTTCCCGACGACACCCGGAAGAAGCATCGCAACCCTTATCTCAACCCGACATGGTGTTTGAACGCACATGTGCAGAATCATTTCTGTATCATAGCACACTCACTATGCTATTGGACCCCTCTCTCGATCTTGTCATCAGCAACATCCCACGTTGCTTAGTTGACATGCCAGCCCATACGTCGAGAGAAGAACAAGATGTCCCGCATTTCGTCCTGGAAGAATCTTACCATTTCTTCATCATTATCGCAGAGGTGACACGCCTTGCTAGGCTGTCCCGGCCTTTATTTCCCCCTGAGCGACAGACTTGGACGCGTCTTCAAGCTGAACTCTTGCAGTACCAGCTTACAGGTGCCATGGACAATCTCATGAAGAGCCTTTACGTGCATACTCTACGAATTCTCTTGGTCAAAGCAGATTCTACACGAACAGTCATACAGCGGATCACCGAGATGAAGGCTCTTTTGCAGAAAGGACTGTCTACTTTAGAGAGCTTGGATGTCCAGAAATATCTAATGGGCTACTCACTTTGGCCCATGGCTGTACTCGGTGCAATTGCATTGGGTGAAGATGAGCAGCGCATGATCGACAGGATCATTGAGCCATGGGCGAGTGGGGGACGTGGACAAGCCGTGCGATTACGAGGTCGACTGAAGACTATCTGGGCGACGGCGCCGGACGACCAAGAGACCCCTTTACTGCGAAGATTGCATCTATTGATGGAAATGAGTTAATCTAGGGTCGGCATAATGGTACTTCGAGATTGCTCCTGGTGCTTCACAGTAATTCTAATTGGGAATATCCCTCACTGGCTACAAAAAGGTACATCCGATTAGTAATATTTCTCGATTTAGTTATCTTTCAAAGCATGACTGATAATATGATTTAGAAGTTTGGCGATTTCAGACTTATGAAACTTAGTTGTATCTCACTTTCCAAAGATCACTTGCGCAAAACATCCTCCACAATCAGCGCATGTTGCATTAGGACTTCATCCTTCTGTCGACGGCCAATCAGTTGCACGTGGCATGGAGCGCCCTCGACATTTTCGGGAACGTCTAATCAGATTAGTATGAATAACTTCAAACGCGTATGTTTTCAAAACACTCACACGGTGGAACATAATTGACGTTGCGCACAAACGCAGCGTCATCAGCCTTGGATGACTGGCCGAAAGGGATCACACATGCGGGATACTATACTCTGTACTTTAGCGCCCACTCTGATCAATCTTTGAAGAGTCACTTGATGAAGATCTTACATCAACTAAATTGGCAAGCACTGTATAATTAGGAACCCCAAATGTATCATGAGGTACAGCAGTCGCTTGATACCCGGGCCCAATAATCACATCGAGGTCATTTTCGAGGAATACGAGACGCATCTTGGCCGCGTATTCGGCCTTTGCAACATTCAAATCAAACAAGTCACGAAGGGTCGGCTCAGGGCCCTTTGCTTCGATATCGTACGTGAATCGAAGTGACGGGATAAATGGCTCGCCCGAATTCCGGATGTGTTGCAACTGTGTCTGATCGGGATCGACACGGAAGAAGCGGAACGAGACGTCCGCCGCAGCTGCTATGAATTTGATTTGTTCGGAAAGATCCACGATTTGATGACCAGCATTGCTGAGCTTTTCCACAGCCTTGGTTAAGCTTCGTTGCATGTTTGGGTGTAATGGTACCTGTGCATCCTCTGGTAGGACTCCGATCTTGAGCTTCTTTGAAGCGCCTTGGCTCGGCTCGATCCAGGGGAATCCTAGGGCCGTATCATCCATGTCATCACTCGGGGCATTAAAGACTACTCGCAAGAGCATCACTGCATCGCGCATTGAGTGGCACAGCGGCCCGGCAACAGGGGCAATGCCGGTCATACCTGGGCGGCCAGCACTTGTCTGCCCGCCATATGGCACACGACCAACACTAGGCTTAAAACCCACAGTGCCACAGCACACAGCCGGGATGCGAATCGAACCAGCAATATCAGTGCCAATTCCTAGGAGAGATCCGCGCATGGCTATCAGAGCGCCTTCGCCTCCACTGCTGCCACCTGCCGTGAGGTTACGACGGTGGGGGTTCAAGACGCGACCGAACACGTTGTTGTGCGAATCGGCTGTCATCATGGTCTGCGGAACGTTGGTCTTGACGTACAGAACCGCTCCAGCTTTCAAGAGGATGTCTACCAAGGCTGAATTCTGGCTGACAGGCGGACGATCCAAGAAGGATGCGAATCCCAGGGACGTTGGGACACCCTGGACATTAAAGGTCTCTTTCAGGCTGACCGGAACACCATGGAGAGGGCCGATTGTCACTCCAGTCTTCTTGAGGTGCTCATCCAACTCTCTTGCTCTTTCTAGCGCCTGGGGGAACATTGTCTCCGTCAAGCAGGATGTCAACTGCTGTGCAACAGCAGCGCGTTTGCAGAAAGCCGTGGTCACCTCGACAGCACTGAGTTCGCCGGCAGCAAGCTTATCTCGGAGTGCAGTTGCATCTGGTAGCTCAGTGATCTTGAGCTCCTGATTGCTAAGAATACCGCACTTTGCAGGGACGTCGAGAATATCGAGTTTCTCACTTTCCACTTGCTGCAGAATGTCTGCAGACAATCGCCATTCGGAGGGTATTTTAGCCCAGGCCTCGGCCTGTTTGGCGGCGACTTTTTCTTGCCATGTTGACACGGTCATTTTGATGTTTGAAAGATGAATAGAATAATTTGTTCAGAAAGTAAATCAAGCTCTGGATGTGAATATGACTCTGACTTGTGAACGCTGCGATATCGATCTTTATACACCGCGACATACACCATGTGGGGACCTCAAAGAGGAGTCGCAGCCAATCGCGTGTTTTTGCGCCGCAACGGTAGTATCTTCGGCACTGCATACTAGAGTCGAACTAGTCTTGAAATAGACTTGGTCCGTATCGGACCAATATAAAAGAGGCTTACAGGCCGCCCACAGATTAAATTGCAAATCTAGAACGGGAAGGCTACAAATATGGCGATCCCAAACAAGGGTGAGGTCCAAGCGGCCATCAACACCTATATTGCCAGCTTGGAACAGCCTCTGCGTGCACTCAACAAAAAGGTGCGATTCGAAATTACGAAAACTTTCGTATTGCTAACGGAAGTGATAGATAGTGGAAAATCCTGAATTGGCATACAAGGAATACATTGCCCATGACAGTATCTGCGACTTTCTCGACTCTTTGGGCATACCCACTACTCGGCATGTTTACGGTCTCTCCACTGCGTTTGAGGCCACGGCCAAGGCTGGCAACGCCCATGGTCGATGTGTGAACTTTAATGCGGAATATGACGCTCTCCCGGGCCTTGGACATGCCTGTGGGCATAATCTTATTGCGACAGCTAGTGTCACCGGATTCATCGCTCTGGCATATGCAATCGGCAAATTTGGTCTTCCTGGCCAAGCCCAGCTCCTAGGCACACCAGCTGAAGAAGATGGCGGTGGTAAAGTCGATTTGATTCGGGCTGGGGCATACGAAAATGTGGATGCTTCTTTGATGGTGTACGTCCCCTAGCCTTGCCATTGAGGTTTGTGGAGACGGGAGATAACTGACTAACTGACTATTCTAGGCACCCCTTATCGGAGGAGGAATTTACCAAGGACAAAGTTATCGGCATCGCAGGCCGATCTTCCATTTCCTGCTACGATGTTGTGGCCACTTATCGGGGCGTCAGCGCCCACGCGGCTGCTAATCCTTGGGAAGGTAGAAATGCCCTCGACGCGCTGGTCATGGCGTATAATGGTATCTCGATGCTACGCCAGCAGATTGAGACAGATGAGCGAATTCATGGATCCATCATACAGGCGCCCACAGCAACCAACGCGATTCCGGAGCTTACGTGCACCAAATATACGATCCGCAGTCGAACGATCGATAGGGCACGAGTACTCGGAGGCCGCGTGAGAAAATGCCTGGAAGCAGGTGCTATGGCTACTGAGTGTTCTGTGGAAATTGAAGAAACTCAGATTTATGCCGATTTGGTCGTGAACCCGCCCTTGTGTGAAAGCTTTCAGGAGTACATGAGCGATCTAGGAGAAACAATTCTGTCCCACGATGAGCTTCTCATGGCCGGCTCCACAGACCAGGGCAACGTGTCTCAGATAGTCCCTGCCCTGCACGGCCTCATTGGGATCCCGGTTCTCGATGGAGCTAAGAATCATACGCGGCAGTTCACGGCGGCAGCTGCAACGGACGAAGCCCATCGAAGGATGATCGTTGCTGGGAAGGCAATGGCAATGACCGGATGGCGTTTACTAGTCGATGACGACTTTTACGGCATGACAAGCCGTGAATTTGCCGAAACGAAGAATAGAAGATAGCAGTATACAAAAGAGCGTCTAGTGTCGAATATCAAACGCCAATTTCCACTACTGCTGTAGAAATCTACTTGAGCTTGTAGCCAATCAACGATAATTGCGCCTCGCGTTGTGGTGGAGAATAGCGAAGACTGACTATCAATGTGGATCTTCCCCCGTTCTAAAAGAACAGCGATAACTATTGTTCTTGTTAGATTGGAAACGATAAGCAGGGGCTTGAGATATAGCGAGAAACATAAAGCCACAACTGCCATGGTCTTTCATTATTGTCGCCCACCATTATCTCTCCTCTTTTTGCGATAAGAAGCTCTTCGCCACATAATTATCCAACATGACATCTGTTACTAAGCCTACTGAACCTAGCTCATTTCATTTGGGGGATTCAAAATCACTGAAAAGTAGTGGATTTGTGCAATTGCGGCGTACTCGCCATCCACCGGCCCGTCCCCGGTCCAATCGTCACGGAAGAAGGCAAGGTTGGGCCTTTTAGTGACGGGATGGACTACTTCTTGGCTGTTGCTCGGATTCGATATTACTAGGCCAAGAAGATCCCTAACCCGGAGGATTCTAACCGGTACCATCTGTTGGGGCCGTTGCTCCATCTGGAACTCCGCCCTCTTTGCGTCGAATCGCAAGGGACCGTTTCCCTTGAACCACATGCATATCGAGACACAAAACTTACTCGTAGACGAATAGTACGACATTTTGGACATCATAGACTGGGGGATGGCACAAACCGCGCCATGGGATGCAAACTATTATCAATACCCCTTTCCACCTGCTGCTGACGAGCGCGACGAGAACTAGGCATTAAATGATTCCGATCACCTGGCACATGACAATGTCACAAAGAAACGCGCCTTGCAGCAACCCTACTGTCGCAAATATAGGAGGCAGAAGCCAAGATGAAGAAAAAAGGCACTCCGCTTTCTGTCTCTATTGCGGATATACTGGACACGGATGCCTCCAGTACTTATTTTATGATGGAACAACGTGGCTCAGACTCACCAGTATGGGACAAGATATTTGCTGAAGCACTGGTGAGACAGGCATTTGAGTTCGATGATAAAGCTGTTGAGGAATACATAGATCTCAAGGAAAAGGAGATGAAATCAACCATCCTGCGAGGCTATGTGTCCTACATAGGGCTAAATGAGGGTCGGTTCACACTGGATCGCCTACCAAGGGCTCCTGTACCTGTGAACATTCAGCCAATATTTACTATCCGAGTTCTTTGTGTGGCAGAATAGGACCGGGGCCAAAATTGGATTTCTTTGATTTAACTACCGGGGTAGCAGTACTGTAAAATGGAGCCCGCAGATTTGTAAGTTACATCGAGCCTTATACATATTTACTATAAATGTGCTGTTCACATATGAAGAAGCGTTCTCTGCATATATTTTATTATTTTTTCACCTAAAAGAAATGCGATCATTCATGATCTCCGCATGATGAACTCACACAAACCATTTAGGGCAATTCCTCCTATAGATGTCATATCCTGGAACCCTAGATGTCCTAAGAGCAAAAAGAACTGCTCTGAATTGGTAGTGAATCTCTAATTTCAGGTCCTGAATGATTGAAAATAACTCGCTGCCTTGTAATAATGAGACGGAAGTCCACGGTAACTGGGCCACCCACCTGATACCAAAGATGAGAATATCTGGAATCACTTACGCTCTCATACACATTTGCGAATGAGTATATTAATGACCAAATGCCAAGCAATCTTGTTGTATTGCCACCCAAGACCCTGAATCGGGCAGTGTGTGGTTAACCCAATTGGCCCCCACGTAGTGCCACGGCGGTAGCAATCATCACTTCGAACCCCACCCGCATTAAGCTAGAAGGTGGGAAATTAGGGCTAGACTTATAAATTGTCTTTACTCCCCTTACTCCCCTGCATTTTCTCCTCTTCTTCTATTTCCTCTCATCTCGCAAAAGTATCATACGTCAAATCTCACCTTCAGCATAACACACAATGGCGTCTTTCGAACTAGATGTCGATGCAGAGCTGAAAGCCCACTCTTTTACTCGCAGAGCACACCGTGACGTCTATCCTGCTATCGACCCTCGTCGTCCTGAGCTTTCTCAAGCTGGAAAGGTTGTTGTCGTCACTGGTGCTTCCCGCGGAATCGGCAAATTGGTAAATCGATGATGAACAGAGAAATTAAGAACTCATCGATTGATTTTGCTAACATCTTCTTAGGGCTTCGCGGTTTCATTCGCCCAAGCCAATGCTGCTGCCATTGTATTGATTGGCCGGTCAGCGGAAGACTTGGCTGAGACTGAGAAGCTCGTCAACAGCATCAACTCGGGCACGAGAGTTCTATCCATTCCCCTTGATGTTACCGATACGGCTGGCGTGACTAAAGCATTCGAGGACATTGTTGCTCGCTTTGGAGCACCCCACATTCTCATCAACAATGCTGGCTACATTAACCCACTTGCCTCTATCGCCGATGTCGATGTGGATTTATGGTGGAGAACCCAGGTTCGTCTATCCTCGAGAGGTAACGAGCAATGATTCATATTGACAGTATTCTATCGCCATAGGAAGTCAACGTCAAAGGAACATTCCTCATGACCAAGGCCTTTCTCAAGGCCACTCAGGACGCCCCAGCTGGCAGAACTATTATCAACATGGCTTCGATGGCCGCACAAGGAATGCCCCCTGGCATGAGCTCATACTCTCCTTCCAAGATAGCAGTGTGCAAGTTTACAGCCTTTACCGCCGAAGAGAATCCTGAGATTACTGTCGTCAGTCTGGATCCGGGACTCGTTGCTACGGATATGGGACATAGTGTGCCATATCTAGCCGGGTTCTTGCATGATACTCCGGAATTATCCGGGGGTATTGCGGTTTGGCTGGCTACTGGCGACAAGAAGTTTTTGAGCGCCCGATACGTCGCTGCAAACTGGAATGTAGAAGAGCTCGAGAGCAGAAAGGAGGAGATTAATGGTGGCAACTTGCTGACCTTTGGGTTGAAAGGGGAATTTGGAATTTCGGGTGTTATTGTTGAAGGGCGGAAACAGTAGATCTTCAAGCAGGGTTCTGCAAAGCCTCGATGGGAAGTTCCCTGCAGTGGCAGAAGCTAGATGTGCATTCAAAGCAGTAATATTTGCGTTGGAACAAAGAGATTATTGTATCCAGAAACAAGTACTAAAGTCCAAATTGGAACGCATTAAACCTCTGATATTCGCACAGTCATACTAAAGTCTTCAATCCTCAAATAATTTACGTCCACCTGATTTATTTGAGTATCCAATTTGAGGGAAATTTCACGATATAATAGGGCATATCCAATAATGAGTAGATCGGCAGACTCGGGGAAATGACCCCCGGACTTCCCCCACAAACAAGTACATTATGAAGTACATCCACAAGGATTTCTCCTCCCCCACGCTCGGGTAAACAGACGATGATCAGCGCACCCGCCAATCATCCAAGAAAATCATTTGGCACTTGCTTAATCTAGCCTACTGAGCCGTCTTTGCCAGCAATCTCAGATCCACTGTAGCAGAACTGACTGGTCAAAATCTTCATCTTTCTGCTTCTCCCCCGCACTATATCCCCCGAACATCGGAATGACGCCGACTCCCCATTTAGCCGGAATGGCTGTCCTTGTTTTCACTGCCTAAGCTTCTTGTATTTAAGATGCAAGACCCCACGATGGTTGCGCTGATGTTTTGTCTCTGAAATTGTCGTTTAATGAAAGCCCTTGTAGCTTATGAGTTATTTGGCTGAGCTAATTTGTTTCTACCCGACAACGGTATAAATATGCCATTCGCAACGGAGAAGAAAAAGTCCTATTTTGGGCTGACTGGAGGATGGCTGACGTTCTGGGTCACCGTACGCTCCCACTAAAGTGCTACTTCCGCTATTTTGTATACTAATCAATTCATGATATAACTTCAGGTTGCATGTGCAACTGACATGACTCTATTCGGGTATGATCAAGGTGTATTCAGTAAGTTGATTCCCTTTTAACATGACAAGGAGATCACTGACTTGGCCCAAGGTGGCGTTGTGATTACCCAGAATTTTCTCGAACTCCATGATCTCGTCGGTCCAACCAAGACTAAGACCCTTTCTACCGTAACGGCCATCTACGATATTGGGTGTTTCTTCGGGGCCATTCTTGCTTTTACAATTGGTGAGCGACTAGGACGGAAGAAAGCAATCATGGTGGGAACGACCATAATGGCAGTTGGTGCCATTCTCCAGGCGACGTCGTTCAGTTTACCGCAGATGTTTGTGGGTCGAATCATCGTTGGGTGAGTGTTAAATTCATTATTGCCCACGACTACTTGGCTAATTTATTGGTAGTGTCGGGAATGGCGTCAATACTGCAACAGCCCCAGTTTGGCAGACAGGTATAATGTTTCCCTTCGTTTACGATCCTTGGATAGCTTCGCTAACAGTATCCGAAGAGACATCACAGCTCAAATGGCGCGGTAAGCTAGTGATCCTCGAGATGATGATGAATATCGCAGGTTATTGCATTGTCAACTGGATCAACTATGGACTTTCCTTTGCCGGAGGTGCTGTCGCCTGGCGATTCCCGCTTGCATTCCAATTCTTCTTTTTCTTCATATTGTGGTCTACTGTACCTTGGCTACCAGAGTCTCCTCGGTGAGCATTTAGAGTTTCTTCTTGCGGCCTCAAAGCCCAACTAATGCTGTACAGCTGGCTTCTTGCCCACGGGAGAGAAGAAGAAGCCGTTGAGGTGATTAGTTGCCTCGAAGAAAAGCCAATCGACGATCCCTTCGTGATTGCCCAGCGCAATGAAATCGATTTCACCATCCGCTACGAGCTCGAGAACTCAGTGCGGTGGCGCGATCTCCTTAAGAAAAGAGATCACGATACCAAGACTCTGCGACGATTGCTCCTTGGTGCTGGCACTCAGTTCATGCAGCAGTTTGGCGGTATCAACATCATGTCCTACTATCTTCCGACGGTCTTGGAGAAATCCGTTGGTCTCAAGGAGAGCATGGCACGTCTTTTGACGGCTTGTAATGCCATCTCATACTTGATCTTTTCCGGGCTTGCGGTTCTTCTTGTTGAGCGGATGGGTCGTCGTGGGTTAATGATTTTGTCGACATTCGGCCAGTTCTTGTGTTTCTTGATTATCACCATCTTACTGCGCTTTGCGGAAACTTCGAGCAATGGCAAGGCCTGGGGATCGGCATCAGTGGCGTTCTTTTTCTTGGTAAGCTTTTCGTGGGATACGAAACTTCTTTTCTTGTGGTATGATTTACTGACAAGAATATTTATTCAAGTTCCACGGTAGCTTTGGAATCGGAATGCTAGGTGTTCCATGGCTTTATCCGACCGAGATCAATTCCTTGCCTATGAGAACAAAGGGCGCTGCAGTCGCGACAGCGACCGATTGGTATGACTTGGCCTCCATGAAGCTTTTCTCTTTTCTCGGGACTAACACAAAACGAAGGATCACAAATTTTGTCATTGTCGAGATCACGCCTATTGGTATACAGAATCTTGGTTGGAAGTTCTGTGAGTACCCCTTTCAGTCAACTTGACTTCGTTTGAGGGTATATTGATGTGAGCGCTGCCGCAGGGATCGTGTGGACAGTGACAAACGCTCTGTTCCTTCCAGTTCTATACTTCCTTTATCCGGAAACAGGTAAAAAAAAATCCCTTGACGAGTCAGCTAGAATTTGCACTAATCCTCCTCTAGCGAACCGAAGCCTCGAAGATATCGACGCATATTATCGCTCCAACCCGTCACTGGTAGTAACCAAAGACGCCGATGCGATTTTCAGAAGACGACCTCAAAAGTATATCGATCGCGAGGACGAGGAAGTTGAGAGAACTACCGCAGGTAAAAGTCGGCTGGTGGCAGTGGAGAACGTGGGGATGAGTGGGAATATGTAAGGGAGAGGTGGAGGAGGGACAGAATCAAAACCACATAGGATTCTTGAGGCTAAAGTTGGATAGTTTGGGTTACAGAGAGACATTTACAATTCTCAAATCACTGGTATTAATTGAAATGAACAAGTCAAGTGGGAAATTGGAGTCTCGGTTACAGTTCCCTTCGATCATTGCAGAATCCTTACGGATTGCCTCTAATAACACCCGTAGGGAGATTGTGTCGACTCGTCTAAACATACACATCCAAATTAGTCCTTGGTAGGTTACAGCATTTACAGCCTTGCCCTAGTGCTGCATCTATAGCGGTACCACTATCGTTCTCTAAACCGTTATCCCACACCAAAACCTCTATCCGAAAGTGAAAGAGACTATGCCCAAACAGGTAACTTTTTAGCATCTTAAACCACGGTAACCACAGTCAGTAAACATAAAAAGCAAGACCATGGATACCAACCAATCAACGTGGATAAACTACTGATAGACCCGCAATGCCTGGCATATCGGGCCATCGGCGGATGAAGTGGAGCAGTGGATGACGCGGAAGAGAACGTTGATCTACGTGGGTGCCTAGTTAGTGTATTCACTTGAAATTTTTGAAGTGGGATAGGCGGTAAATACAATAAATGGTCTGGAGAGAGGATTGATGTCGTATGAGGATATCGTTGCAAGATAGGCGATATACCATCGATTATATCCTTAGGTTGATGATATTGGCTTGGATATTTTCCAATGTATACTAAAGGGCACTGGAGTTGCGAGTCTCTCGGATACTTGCCGGGATATAGATAGCTTGGTATACGTAACTTAGTGTCAACTGAGCCACTATCCTACACCCCGGGAAGCTACTTTACTCCGCGAAAGCGGGGTTGAGTCGGTTGGAAATTGTCGCTGGAGAAAACCCAGCGATTATCCAAGTAGTCACTGATCCAAGTTTCTATAACTAAGTGCTGAGAGTAGTAGACACAACAATCCCTAGTCTACAGAATAGTTAAACCAAACACGATACATCTTCAATCATATTAGACATGGTGAGATAGAAGCTAATGCAATCCACGCATTCCAACTCCGACCATCGGTAGACCTCGGATATACCCATGCATCCATTACTATGCGTACGAAGTGCGGAGTTAAGAGTCGACCAAACCAGTCCCAATTCACCCAAAGCTTGGCCCACCCGTCAATATGCATGTTTCAGTTTCCAAGTAAATCATCAACCATAGCCACGAACTATTTCGTATCCTGCAGACCTACACATGTCTCTGTTTAGCAGTTAGGCAGCCACCCCAGACTATTCTAGGAGAAATAAACTCACATGATGCTTTGAGATTTTTGAATCCGTTGAATGGAACGCTGTACACAAACCTACTCCTCTACATACTAATTCCAAACCAAGCCACAATTACATTGTCGTGGCTAGCAAGGTCCTCACAGCGTCTATATTAGCATTGGCAACCCGGCTACTCTACATCGCCCATCTCGGGCTAGCTTTATTTTTAGATGGAAGCGTTTGCTGACGCACGTCGGTCCACCCGGTTGAACCTACTGGTTGGTTTGGGACGCCTGGCGGCCGCCCGTGGCGTCCTGGGCGATCCGACCGAACGACCGTTTAATTGTGATCGATCCCTAGTAGAGGTTAAAGTATGTACATGTACTGGGATTCGGTAGTGTATTAAACTACATGTACTAATGCAAGGAGTTGATTATTGTAGATGGCAGTGTAATTGAATGGCAAAAATAAAAATGAAAAAATAGATTGTTCAACGCCAAGCTATGCCCAAGTCAAATGATAGCGTTAATGTAAGACAGTTTCCGATCAGATGTAAGTACAAGAAAGCTTTCGAGATCGCAGGATTAGATGGTACATAGACCAACTTGTAATAAAGCATGCGCAACACAAATAGCACAAGCAATGTAAAAAATCCCCAAAGCCCATTATGATAGAACAATGTAAAACGCCGTCGCCGAAAGAATTGAAGATCCCGTCAAATAAAAGAATCAAGGCTCCGAAACACCCTTTCTGTCCATAAAAAAGGTCGATGACATGCTCAAAATGGCATGTTGTAGATATGTATGATGAATGACCGATCAATCGGCACTGCAATATTGCTTTGCATAGTGCAGATGTCGTCGATTCCCCGTTTGATGATGACATTCCCTCTTCGCTGTGATTGTTCCGGTCTCTTCTTTTATGTTTCATTCATGTCGTCATCTGACTCTGTTTCAAGTCCCCAAATAGCAAGAATTTCTGATCACCTCATCAAGAGGCCACCCGTTGATTCTTGGCAATATTCGCACCAAAGCTGCACCCCTTAGATGAAAGTCGTCTGGCTGCCGTTGGCGTACTGCGTCGACGAACCGATCAAGTTCGGCGACGAGATACTGGCCGTATTCGACACGGTCGCAAGCTTGCTCCGCGTAGAGAAAATCGACAGTCGTCGACTGAGTCTCCGGCTCAGTCCGGGCTGCGGGGTGGAAACGGACAAGATAGACATTGGTCGAGAGCGCATGGGCATCCCATCAGCAGTTTCCGGGCGCGGGGTTGTACCCAGGTTGGCGTCTAGCAGAAGTGTAGAACGACGCTTGATCTTGTTGGCAGTCGAGCGGGCAGGTTCCAGGTTCAGAGAAAAGTCTTCCTTGATATCGTCGAGAGCGTGCGAGACGCGGCGGAACAGTTTGGGTTTCTCATAGATAGATGGCTCGCGCTGTTCGTAGCCGTAGATTTGCAGTGGTGTCTCCAAGCCGTCGTCCAGCGGCGAGGAGTAAAAGCGGGGGTATTTAACAGGCATTGGGGTGCGACGTGGGTGCTGAGAGCCTAGAGAGAGAGTGGACATGGGTTGAGGGTTTTGATAGGGAAGATGAGGATCCGAGGAAGCGACGGATGAAGAGTAGGAGCTGTTGGTAGCGGAGGATGATGTCAACATGGCTGAGTATTGACTAGCCGTATATGATATGTCGATAGAAAGGGAGAGCTGGCGGGGGTGTGGTTCTAGTTTCTAGTTCGAGGGCGTGTTTTAAGAAGCGCAGGGAGCAGGGGGAAAGATCGCAGGAGGGGGAAACTGCCAGGTCAAAAGAGGGAGAAAAGAGACCAACGAAGAGAGAAGAAAAAAAGGCGCCATCGCAAAAAGCTGAGCATCGCATTCCGAAAAAGACTAACAACGAAAAGTGGATCAAAGACATTCAGCGTTTTAGTTCCCAAGCTACGAGGCGCCGGCCCGTGTAACACATAGATGACTGTAATCTCATGTTTCATATGGCCCCTCCATGATGGAAGCGACTGCGAATCCTTGTGGAGTATCAATGCATTCGTATCATTCGGGATCAATGGTTCGATGGTTCAGAATGAGCTGGTTGTAAGCTTTTGGATAGCTTAGTTGACTGGCTTTCAATAGTAATAATGTCCACCGACAGTTGCCAGCCCTGCTTGCAAACTTGGGATCGGTCCTCCCGAGTCCACTTATTTTTTCCCGTCCGAGCGGAGATGCTCCGTATCAGATCATCCCATACCGAGTGAACTTTCAGTTGGGATGGGTTGTCTTGGATCTGACACCTCATGGTGGTCTTTGCTCTGTGTTCGCCCATCTATTCGGTGACGCGGCACTGGCCACTCCCCCATCTTCTTGTGCTCTTTGTGATATTTTTGACACCTGAAACAGCTCTACGCGGTTGACGACGTGGAAAACCAGCGTAACCGGGGAACTGAGGGTTTGGTCCCAAAGAGTAGTTCCTCGACAGAGGGGGTCCATCGTAAAGAAGGAGAGAGAAAAAAAAAGTAGTCTGTGGATGTATCCACGGTTCCCACTGGGATCTTCTGATGCGAGACTCTCATTGGGCCGATTTCCGCTCAGGGGGGCCGAACAGCCTCGCGCGATTAGGGAACTTTGGAAAATCTAAACGAAGCCCGCTTAGCGCTAAAGTAATTATTTGCTGCGGGTGAGGCGCACTGCGGCCGACCGTGACGAAATGACCGGTTGACAGCGACTCCGATGCTGGTCATGAGAACTCGGGTTGTTTTCTTTTTTTTGCTTTGGATTTTTTGGTGTTGGGGCCGGGACTTGGATGTCTCGGGTACGAGAAGCGTTCATTGATCCATTTTGACCCTGCGATTGTACTCAGTGGAGATGCCCCAAGTGGATGGACCCGGGAGCCTGGCAAACCACAGCCACGCATTGCGACACACGAGGCCCATGGAGGGAGACTGCCGCCCGGTAATTCCGTTACATTGTGGATATGTATGGAATCTTGCCCCCTCCCCAGATCAAGGAGAAGGGTATTAAGGGGCGAAGACGAGATGGGGAGTGGCTGAGAGAGACGAGCAGGGGTCATGCCCCCTCGATTAGAAGGGTCTGCACGAAAATGTACCTAGTACAAGGGTAAGGAGAGGTACTGTCCCAGCGGAAGTAGGCGGATCGCAACGGATCAATAGAATCAGCGACATGACATCGTGGGCTCATTTCTTGGACAAGTAAGCTAAAGACAAAGATGCAAAGATATGTATGTACAACGATATAATAGGCTAAAACGGGTGGAGCAAATGAGTGGCGTGATCGACATCGCATCACATCACAAAGCGTAGATTGACATCTGCCGCACGAGTCAGCCCGAGATTCCATTCGGTAGTACTGCAGATCAACTTACCAAGGGGATGGCTGCAGCTCAGCTGTGGCTTCTGGGTGTATTTTCCATCGAGCTCCGCCCGGATGGTGTTTAGCAGCTGCAGATAACTCTGTTGGGGCCATTGTTGCAGTGATTTAATAAAGGCCCAGCTCAAGGCACCCCTGGCCTGGCCGTCCTGGAAAGTGTCGGCTCTGTGAGAAATTGTCGGTTAGTCCGGTCGAATCGGAGAGGGGAAATGAGATAAAGGGGGAGAAGGGACGAAAGAGCTGAGAAAAAAAAAAACATTCCCTCGGAGATTTTTTTTTCTCGTCTTCCTCCCCATGATATAGGTTGGCACTTACGATGTCTGAGTATCCTTGGAGCCGGAGAACATGACCACATCGGCCGGCGAGGTTTTGGTCTGAAGGGTACGTTCCCGTGCCTGGCCTCCGTTTGCTGCCTTCTTGAAGAAACCAATGGCGGTGCTTGCCATACTGGAGAGGTTACCCTGGCTATATGCCGTGAATGCGGTGAACAGATCTTGAGCGGCTTCCTTGGCCAGGTTCGGTTCCTTCAAGATACCCTGGGTCGAGTACACGTACGGCAAATCTAGAGCGGTTCCGGAGTGACACGAGTCGAAGATGGCCGTCAATCGGACACCGGGGCGCAGTGGCCGCACCATGATGGCGTGCATGTCGTCGTCCACAATATGACCAGCGCTTTGATAATCCACCGGGTAGATCACGTCGTCAAAGCCGTCATCCTCGTCACCATCCAGATCGGGTGTCCGACCACCGTGGCCGGAGAAGTGGATGAAGAGAGAGTCGTGCGGTTGGGCATCCTTGACCAGCCAGTGCATGGCCCGAATGATATTATTCTTGGTCGGGATGCTCATGGGGTTCTTTTGGTCGTCGGTGAGGATGACCATATCCTCGCGACGATACCCGAAGCGTTGGTGCAGGAAGGTGGACATGTTGGTGACGTCGTTGATACATCCATTGAGCTTATTGGCCTGACCGAAATAGTTGATACCGATGAGCAGGGCTTTCCGCCGGCCAGTACAAGCCGAGTACTGGAACTGGTAGTTGGATGGCGCACCATGGCCAAACTGTTGGAGATTCTGCGGAGGCCTGGGTGGGAGATTGGGAGAATTGGAGCGAGGTGGTCCTACCACACAATTAGCATTTGGTACACAATTAGAGGCGTATGGAATGGTGCTGAAAAAAAGAGGGGTGATTTGGCCGTACCGTAACTGCTCACACTCAAGTTTTGGCGATGTCCCGGTTGAGGAGATGGGGTATGCTGCTGGCCATAGGTCGGTTGCGGGGAGGGTGCGTGTCCATAAGGAGGCTGTGGTGAAGGAGAGTGACCATTGGGGGGCGCTCCAGGGTAAGCACCTGGCGGGGGACGTGGGGGACCCGAGTAAGAGCGTTGCTGGCGATGTTGCTGGTAGTAAGGCTGGGATGGCGGTGGCTGCTGGTGGTAGGGCTGAGGCGGGGGGTGCGGGGGTTGCTGCCATTGGGAGGGAGCTTGCTGATAGCCCGAGCCCGCCCATGGGGGAGGAGGTCCCGGCGGAGGTGGTCCTGGAGGTGGATAATACATGGGAGAGAAAGGCTGCGCTGAAAGATTTCGAGGATGAGAGTAATCCGAGAGGACAGATCAAAAACAGGACGCTGATGTGATGGCGGAAGAGAGTTTTTTCTTCTCAGGTCCGGCAAGTCAAAGTTTCAGGCGGGCTGGCTGACTGGTGGGTCTGGTAGATCGTCGGAGACCCCGAAGGCTCAGTGAGAGTGAGAAGTGAGCCGAGTCGAGTCCTGCACTGTTGGATTGTTCAATGTTGAAGGAGAAGAAGAAGAAGAAGAAGAAGAATAATAATAATAATAATAAAGAAGCGAACCAGGTACGTGAGCATGTCCTACGCCATCTCCGTGCCGTGAATGCCGTCCATGGAAACAAGCCGAGTTGCCCGAAAGTTGGAATTCTCCACTTTGGACCGCCGTAGGGACCGTAGGGCTGCAGGGCAGGCAACATCATTTCTTCGGGTTTGACGGGTTTGACGTGTTTGCTTGGTTTAGTATGTTTGTCGAGTTTGACTTGGAGTCTACAGTCAGGTGACTTTTTCACTGGCTGACGTGATAAGACCCATCTTCTCTCTAAGATTAGACGACTCGTTCGTCGTCATCTACTCCACACGACCATGCGATGTGATACCCCGGCTGTGGTTAACATGTTGCCTACAATTGGCAGTTGTATTTCTTGGGCATTGCTGGGTGCTGCGCCGCACTCGGCGCAGCTGGACCGAGCCCAGCCTGGTGGCGAAAAGTGCGGGGAATGGGCCTCGTAGTATGTACCACTGACTTGGTGAAACAGGGCACTGAAACCTTGATCTTCGGCCCCTTTGGCCTCTAATACTCTGCAGACTATGGAATCAGGTGAATCGTCAAAGTGTCTATCACACGAGTCTCGCAAAGTCCCATGGCCGGTCCACACGAGGCCTGCAGGGGCGATCCTTGGCGGGTCCGGTCGCGAGATTAGGAGGAGAGATCCAAGATTTCGAAGACTGCTGCACTCGGTCGCATCTAGCCATGGTCAGACGATGATGATGCGGCTCTAATGGTCGAAAGGAGGTATTAGTCATCTGTGGAGGGAAGCATAATAATACGGCGAGAGGTGGATCCCGGGCTAAACACGAGAAGAAGGAGAAGAGAATTAGCGGGAATCCGTCTTGCCCGCGATTATTATTGAGGCTCTGCTAGGACTGAAAGTACTAAATAAAAAAGTACGGGACTGGCTCGAACGATTCGGCAGTATCAGCCGCCTAGAAGCCCCAATAAGAATAGCACAATCGGGTTCAGTCAATAATAATTCCCAGAGGCAATTATTGAGGCTCTAAAATCAGCAATCAATTCCAATCATCCTGGTTTAGGCCCCTCCTCTTCGTGTCCGCCATCGTGAAAAAGACACTTGCGGCTCAAATTCCCCAACCTTCTTCTCAACTCCCCTCTCTTCAATTTCTTTCCTCTTACCACCCTCCTCCTCTTCCTTCTCCTTACATCCGACATTCTACACCTGACCAGTTTCTCTTCGATCCTCTTTTGGCTATCCCGCAGTCACAATTCCAATTCTTCATTCCACATCACCGTTTACTTAATTCAGCATGGTCTCCTCATGTTAACCCTCACTTCCTCTTCCCTCCAACACAGTTTCTCCTCGATCCTTCCCTGGACCAACGTCGGGGTCCTTGTAGGGCTTCCCATCCTTCACAATGACAGCCTCCTCTCCTCCGGCAACCCTCGATGCCCTCCCATTCGATGTCTTTTATCAGATCGCCACGTTGCTGGACGACCGCGATTGCATTCATCTGAGCCGCACGAACCGCGCCATCCATGAATTAATGAACAGTGACCACATCGCTCGCAAAACTGTCGAGGTAAGAGCCGCATACTTTCGATAATTCCCCTTTTCCTCCAATGAGATGAGGAGATCGAACACGAGAGCCAAAACCCACTTTCAGGGTCCGCCCCCTCCTTTACTTTACTTTCCCTTTGGGGGCCAATCTCCCCCTCCCAAGCCCTAAAACCCAAACCAGTGAAAGCACCACATCACCAAGAGCACCTTGTCGTTGTTCAAAGTGCTCGGAGAATACACCGACTTTCCCCTCCAAGTCCAACCCCCGGTAAATGCGGCAAATGCTGACATCTCATCTCTGCAGAGTGTCCTTGCCCACAGCAGGGAAGGCCGCACTGCCCTGGCGGCCCAGTCCGGCTACCGCAAGGCTGTCGGGCACCGCTTCGATATCCACGAAGCGATCGCCACGGCATCCCCCTATGCAGTGGCAATGCTGGCATATGCGGCGGACTTTGTCTATCACCAGGGCATACTTTGCTATCGCGTTGGGCATGAAATTCGTTTGCTCAATGTGCATCGTGGAGCCCGCCAGGAGCAGGTTCTCAATCTATACGAGGTCATTCCTCGTCTCGATGCTGGCTCGCAGGAGGAGAATCTGCTGGACCCCGCAGCCAGAGTCAAACTCCTCCACTACAGTAATGGAATCGTCGTGTTTCGGCTAGAGGGGATCGGTGCTCAGACCGACTCCTTGGTCGCTATCGATATGGCCCCACGGCAGACTCGCCGTAAGCGATTACTCATGCAAAAGCCTATTCCAGCATCCGCACCGATCTTTGTGCGACATAGTCGCTCATATCTCTGGTACATCTTCTTCGTGGACTCGCTCGGTTCCCACGGAACCTGGTTATGTCGCGGGGTGGACCTGGCCACCGATGAAACCATCCAGTTTCATCTAGATCAGGCCCTGGGCGGGGAACCGGGCCAGACCATGTGCTTTGATATTTACCAAGATCATCTTTATTTCATTTCTACAACGGTGACCTCGGAGGATGATGAGCGATTCTCCTCCTTCTACCACTGGACCTGCTACGCACCTAGACAAAAGAGTCGGAAATGGAGCGACCGTCTCTGGCGTCGCGAACACCGCGAAGGTCCCATCAACGAAATGTGGACGGATCTTTCTATCCGCAAGGACGAGACAACTGGCCGCCCGATGATTGTGGAATGCCGTCGTGAATGGCCCGACGGGAAAAGCGAGAATCACCGAACAACCTACATCGAACCCTTATCCACACCCGCAGAGTTACAAGCTGCCCATCCCGAAGGAAACACCAAATCCTCATCGTCAAGCGACGATGACTCTGACGATGAAAATACCGGACCAAGCAAAGACCCGGTCATCGATCAGGAATACGATCACCGACCAGAGAAACGGCTCCGACGAAACTACCACCACGAACACGAACTCGGCGACGATCCAAACGAGCGACAAGAATTCATCTACGCATACACAAAACATCACTCCTATGACCTCGCCAGCTCCACATTCGTCGATCTCGTCAACGATCCCACCTCGCAAACAGCAGGCGTCCGCGTCCGAGATCGCCTCCGTCTCCGAACAGTCTCGCGCAAGCGTAAATGCCCCATCGACGAGGAGGGTCTCACTGGCGACCCGGGCCTCCTCTTCCCACCAACTCAAATCGATACCGACGGCCGTCCCGTCGAAAACTCCGAGGAGTACTTTGTCTCCCGCGGCGTCCACATGTGGCCTGCTGACAATGCCCCGGCTGAGCTACACAACCTGCTCTGCCCAGACCAGCGCTCTGGCGTGGTAGCCGCCGTCGCGGATGAACGTTCTCTCATCTACTCCATCTCTTGCTCTGGTCTACCCAGCGGTCACCAAGCGATTATCCTGCTAAGCTTTGATCCATCACTTCGCCTCCCCACGTTGATGCCGCTCCAGTCAATGAAGAACCTTCCCTCATTGGAGAGTGCCTTTCCGGTGGCGATGCCGAAGCCGAGGGGTTCTGGGGGAGGGTTGATTAGGGAGTCTGACCCATTATACCGGGCTATTAATCGGGGATATTGGGTGCGATGATGGATGGACGCGATGAACGGGATGAACTATTATTATAATCCCCGGGCTGGAACTGGCTAGTAGGTAATAAGTAGGAACCGTATGGTTTAAACACAAAAATGAATATCAATATATCAAGTTATTACATTCTCTACATAGCTGTAGATTGCCCGGTAGTGACAGTCGAATGAGTTAGATATTGGAGCCAACCTTAACATACCCGCGATGACTCCGTCCATATCTCGAAAGATGAGGCTCAGGCATCCAGACTCTCCTCACGGTTAAGAGATATTTCACAGAACCGCTGTATCCACAACCCATAGACTTCCGATTGATTTCCTGTGATTAACGTGCCTTACTTGGCCAACATGGCGCAAACTGACCTTTAACATGTATTTCTTTGCACACGGCTATTGGCAATTTAACTTCAGCGTCGAGGTATTTCTGTCGCACCGGTAGATAGGTACGAGTAAGTGTAACCCCTTCTTTTTCTGACCCTTTTCAGATCGTTTCTGATGAATGTTGTCGGAGAGATCTTCTTTACTCACCAGGGTGGTCGAGTCAGGGTATATGCAATCACAGTCAATGGTCAATACATTTTCTGATTCATTCCGTGTCAAGGGACGCTACATAATTTGTATCTGCCTCGGTCCCTTTTGGGTGGCAAAAGTCCTGTATGGATTCATTGGGTAAATGTGATATTGGCTGCTATTTTACTAGTTGCCTGCGCTGCACTCGTATCAGAAGCGTTATTCAATAGAGCTTCAGTGTCTTCCTTCAGCGAGGCCGAGTAATCAAAAACTGAGAATATGCCAGGCACCCAGGCGGCCGATACGAGGCCTCGACATTCCCCAGCGATCAACCTGACCAACCCTGATTACCTCGCCACTTCATATTCGGAGAAATAACGCCGGTCTCATCATGACGGGTAGTATTATCGGTGCTGTGGTAAGTCTTGTTGCGACAAACACGATCGCTGACTGTATCATGGCTAGAAGCCTAGAATCACAAAGTGATTCTTTCGTTGAGCCCGAAACACGCTTGCCTATCGTTATTCCGGGCTTGATATTGGCTACCACCAGGATATGGACATTTGGCTTTTGTGCCCAGAATCCTGGCCCGGAGTATATGTGGGTAGGTATGCAGTTTGGACTTTGAATGCTTTGTTTCGGTCTGATGCAGACACCGTCCACTGGATTCAATTATGTGAGTATGTCAATTTCTACACCAATACTTGATTCTCCCGGAAGTCAAGTCTAGGCTGTATACTGACATTTCCGGCAGCTCATCGATGCATATGGGCCATTCTCCGCTGACCTTTTGTGGCCGTTACTTGCATGAGAGCCATTATCAGCTTTTCTTGGACGTTTTTTGCTGGCGAATGGATTACGAGTGCTGGACCGGCTATTCCTTTTGGGGTATCGGGGCGTTGATGGGAATGTTCGCTTTGTTTACCATTCCGATTTGGCTTTGGGGGTAAGCGGATTAGAATTGCTACTGCTGAATGGGTGCCGAGCTTTTCTTGACCAGAGGTTGTTGTTTATACTTTGCGAGGAAGTTGCAGGCGCCAATGATCACACTGTGATTCCAAGGCTGATCTAGAAATCTAATACACAGATTGTGAGTATTGAAGGGAAATACGATATATGAGGAAGATGCTGAGAAATGTGAACGTAGGCTAGGCAAGACATCGAATACATAAGAGAAGCTTTCTGACACAGAAATCTAGTATCCCCTGATATAACAACCCCAGACCCCATACTCCTCCTCTTCCCCCAGGTACCAAGCCCCATCCCGTCATCGTGCATAGACTAAACGCCAGTCCAAGTCAAAGCTCAAAGGTTAATCGCAACGCCACATTTAATCTCAAATCGGATTGATCGACACGTTACGCGGACGATGCGGATTACTTTTCACATGCATGTCAATCTCTGCATGCTTTAATCTCCGAGCCGTGTCTTTCTACGGAGACTCGGTTACGGGATATACGGAGGTACTCCGTACAGTAGGAAAAAGGTCAGGTGTAAGTGTGTATATCGTCTAATCATTTATGTATTATCTTCTGCATCCGTGATATCCGCCTAACCACATGAATTCCAATATTCATCGGATCTTCCATCTTCCAACAATCATTCAAGATGTATCTGATCCTCTCCATGCGAGATATCCGGAATGTGCAGGTATATCAAAGTATAAAGCGTCAATAACAGTCCGTAAAACGCCATAGCCTATCAAAATAGCAGAATAGGCCACCATCAAATCATGGGGGAATCACAAATCACGTGTCACAAGTCACAATCGTGTCGGCGTCAAGCAGAGCGTGGCCGGTGCGAGGCGTGGGGGTGGCGGGGGGCGTTTTCTGTACAAGGGGATATCTGCCCGGTCCGCGTGCATCGCAGACGATGTACGTCCGAAATAAGGAGATGAAAAGGAAATCAAATCAAAAGATATTAAAGCATCGATCGTCGACGCTTACTCCTTGGTATAGAGGTTTGCTAGCGAGTCGATGATCGCATCGCGCTTGACAGGGTGCTCGTCTTTGAATGCGTCCAGGAGATGGACGTTGCGCTTGAGCTTGGATGATACCGAGCTGCTATCGGAGGTGAGATTCAGGCTGGGGATGAGGGAGGTCAAGTTGCTGCTGCTACTGCTGCCGTCGGAATGCAGCAGGTTGTGCAGGGTGTTCTTCAAGGTAGAGACGAGGCCCACGTTCGCGGTGAGGGTGAGCTCGTGCATCACCTTGGTGTAGTAAGGCACTTCGGTGCCGTTCCAGACCACCGACCGGGTGACTGTGTCGAGGGCCAGATTGCCGGTCTTGAGGGCGGATGCTTGTGTCTTGAGCACCTCGCCCAGGTTTGCGATGATCTTCTTCAGGTCCAATACACCGGTGATGGCGTTCGTGTGGTTGCCGGGCTTGAGAGTGAGGCCTTCCAGGGTAGCGTTGCCGATGAGGAGGCTGCCACTGTAGATATCAAGGATAATCGTGCCGATCTCGATGGTCAACACGGATGGGTTGGGAAGAGTGGCATTGCCAATGAGATTGGTACCGTCCGAGCGGGCGGGTAGCAGCAGAGTAGCGTCGGAGATGCTGAAGCCAGTGAAAGAGTCAAGTGCTAGATTTTTCAGAGTTAGTAAAATGGGTACTTTGGAAGATAGCAATGCCTGTATACAGGTAGATTCACTTACTCGGCGAAACCACATCTTTGTCCATAGTCACATGAGACTTGAGCTTTCCGAGGTAGGAATTAGTCGAGCCACGGAGTGACAAGGTGGACTCCTTCTTGAAGACGACGTCATGCACGTAGTTGGTCCAGATGGTCTCGTTGGCGAACGGGGTATGTGTATCGGTGACTCCGAGAGTAGTGTTACCCTTGATAGTCTTACCGTCAATGGTGATATTGGCCCAGGGGTTGTCGGAGCCAGTGTCGCGGTTGAACAAATTCAGCACGATCGGTTCAATGCGCACGGGCAATGCGATCTTCAGGTCCAATGCAGATTGCAGAGTCAACTGGATGGAGTCGGGCCGAGGCTGCATGACTGCCGCGTTGACGAGAACAAGGCTGGACTTATTCACGACCAATTGAGAGATGGCGGGAATAATGACGAGGAAGCTATTGAGAAATTAGTAATTGCGCGATTCAAGATAAACTATAGTTTAAGACTATAGTTTTGAGTATGCGACAGACTCCCAATGTTCAAAATTGAAGATTCAGGGTCTGATACTCCACTCGGGGACTAGAACGCGACTTACAAGATGGGCAGGAAAATGGCCAAAAAGATAACATTGCCGACCAAGTAACAGCACCAGAAACGCTTCCAATGGCGAGCCATTCTCTGTTTGCGCGTTCGATGGGTAGTCGCTAGAGAGACACCACCGACCGACTCGACCTGTTCAAGCTTGGTGATCTCATCGTTGCCAGTGGGCAAGGGGCCACGATGCACACCGAGCGAATATTTGGCATTATCGGAGCTCAGGTAGGCCGGCCGGTCGTCTAGTACTTTCTTGCCCATTGTGACGACTGGGGGGAGGAGGAGAAAGGAGGGAGAGGGGAGGAGGGAGAGAGGAAGGGGGGAAAAGAGACGCGACGAGGGGAGACACGAGGGTCTAATATTTTGGTAAATAGTCTGGATTATATGGAAAGTATGGAGTAGTCCACCCGAAGAATGGAATAATAATGGGCACAGTCATGAGAAAGTCGGCATAGCACAGACTATTATTTAGTTTCTTTTCGGACTTTTTTTCATTTTTTTAGCGAATTTAAGAATGTCCTAACTACGGGGTATCGGGCCTCCGGGGAAGAAGCAGCGCCCGTGGTCGACTACGACCAGAAAGGGAGACAATCCTCCGTGACTGGAGTTGTTTGGATTCTTTGGACAATCAGAAGCGAAATATCCACTCGTGCCCCGGATTGGAACCACAGAAATGGACCATGATGGAGACCAGCACGAGACCTGGAGAAACTGGATGACGAGCGGGGGAGAGAGTCTCTTGGCCTTCAAGGCTCAAAGCCTGGAAGGTCATGAACAAGGGTTGAAGGGCCCTGTTAAGTGGAGGATAAGTGGATCAGGGCAAGCTTGGATGGCGTCGGAGCACCATTCCTCATTTAAGATAGGATCCACGAGTGAACTGGACCGAACTGGACCGAACTGGTCGAACGGGGTAAGGATTGGCGTAGCCAAATGGCGATCTGCTGCGAACCGCGGCTGAAGGGGGGATTTTGGGTCTAGTCAGTCGAGTGGACGATGAGAATGCGGAAAAAGGGGGGTGGAGTCTCTCGAACTAAAAGGACAATCACATGGGCCGAGTCGGCAAATGTCGCGGAGTGCCCGATAATGCACAAGAGTATGTATGTAATTACTACTGTACTATAGGTATATCAAAGCTTTACCTGGAGTGTATGAAGTATGGAGTCGGGGTGGATTCGGGTCGGACTGAGAATAAATTCCCTTGTGCTAATACAGTATGATTTTACCTTTTTTTCGGTTTTCGTCTGGGGTTCGGTTGCGGGGACTCCATGAAAAAAAAAATGGAAATGACCGAAATCTCATGCTCAGACTCTAGTTTTATTTCTTGAATTTCTGGGGAGAGTCCTCTTGTTTTCATAGTTAGAAGCTTGGGTTCCCCAGACTCCTCCATCATTAGTATAATCCACCCCCCTATCACATCAACTTGATTTACTCTCTCTCTCCTCCTGAACACAACCACCTCTATAATATAAAATTATTTACGATTGTGACTACCACAATGTCTTCCTCCCCTCCCTCCCCCATCGACGAAAAACAATTCGAAGCCAACGGCACCACCACCACCCACTCCAATGGCGCCTCCTCCAGCGACGCTGGTCGCCTCCACGCCCTCGACCAACTCGAGATCCTGCCCCAAATCCTAAACGAGGGCATCCTCTTCGCCGGCTCCGGCGCCGCTCTCCTCCTCCAAGCCGCTCTGCCCGCCATCCGCGATACCGAACACCCTACCGGCGGCCACAAGGCCCTAGCCACCGAGCTTATCGATGCTCTCCAGGCCCACATCAGCTACATCTCGACGCTCGTCTTCGGCAACCGCGGCGAACGCAAGACCCTCCTCGACATGCTGCAACGCGGCGAGGCCCCCGGTCTAGGCGGTGGTCGTAATAACCGTTTCGCGCATCATCCAGAGTTACAGCTATGGATGGCGGCGACTCTCTACGCGACCGCGACGGACTTTTATCAGCGCGTCTACGGCCGTGTCGATTATCAGACTGCCCAGCGCGGTTACTCCGAGTTTACCCTGTTGATTAGTTACCTGGGCGTGCCGCCGGGTACATGGCCCGAATCCCGCCAGGCGTTCTGGACCTACTGGGATGAGCAGATTGCCAAGTTGGCCGTCTCGACTGATGCCGCCCAGTTTGCGAAGGATCTGCGCGAGAGTACCGAGATGCCTGGCTGGGTGCAAAAGTTGAAGCCGTTCCTGCGCGCGGTTACTATTGAAATGCTGCCGCCGACGCTGCGGGATGCGTATGGCTTGCGCTCAACGGGGAGTACCCGGTTCTTGTATCGGACTTGGATGGGTTTCTCGACTGCGGTTTATCCGGCTATGCCGAATAAGGTACGCTCGTATCCGTTGAAATATTATAAGGAGCGACTGCGGGAGAAGTTGAATGTGGTTTAGGTGGGGGGAATTGAGAGGGATTGGGTGAGTTAATGCAATGCAATGCACAGCACACGAGGGATTCACAGTACAGTATGATCAGTGTTTTTTTTTACCTTTCTCTTGTGACTATTGAAATTGTTTTCTGTTCTTGTCTTGCTTTTTATGTGTATATACCCATTCTATGAGATACGCTCGCTGCTGTACCCGCATCCTCGAGATGACTTGTCTTGCTGTACAGTGAAAGTTTACAATAATTTGAGTCCGTTCGATTTCGTATGCTATCGTCAAATCATATTCTTTAAAGGAAAATATAAACATGCAACGAGAAGAATGGTGTAAAGAATAATCATGGCATCGTTTCCTTTTCCAATGCACTGTTATTTACAGATGCGTTGGCAGGTAATGGTAGCTTATAGTGAGCCCAGCACACCACCCAGAAGTTTAGAAACATCCTCCACAAGCTAATAAGAGGCATTATGTTAGTCACTGTATACTTTTTTGAATATCTTGTTCAAGGCAAACATACCGGCGTAGCATCCCCAATAAGAGTAGTCGTATTATCCACAAACTCCTTCGTCAACAAGGTGTGTGCATTGCCCAGAATATCCTGCAACACGTCGATATTATCCGAGGACAGCAACTTGGCCGCTCCGTCAATGATAGTCCCCAGCTTGGTGAGAGTATCCTGACTGAGGAGCTCCTCGACAGCGCTCAGAATGGTTGGGAGCTCTGATAGTAGGCCGGTGCTGTCGGGTGCGGGTGCAGCAACGGGGTTGGGAACTGGAGCGGGTTCGGGGGCAGCCAGTGCCAGAGGGGCGATAGCGAGGGGGAGGAAGAATTGGGAGAAACGCATTGTGAGATGTGATGTGTTTATGGATTGGTGTGTTGAGGTTATAGGTATATGAGTTTGCAGTTAAGGGAGCTTAGGTATAGGAAGAAGGAAAAGAAATGATCGTCAAAGAAGCGATTCTTGACACTATGTATATCTCTGGCGTAGATAAAGTCAGATAGGCGTGCTCGTAAATCCAACAGTCTAAACCCACTTAATCACTGGTCGGTCTTATAAGTGAGACCTCATCCGGTAACTCGGTAGATTCCTCCCATCTAGACCATTAATTCTTAGTTTCGTAGAAAACAGACCCCGTAACTAGGGCTCCGCTCATGACTCCTCTTCTCCTCATTTCTGTCTCCTCTTTTGTCTAGGCATGTCTACGGATGATAGTTTCATTCCTTGCTTTCTATCCTAGTTACTAGTACAACGTTCAGCCCACGCCAGCGGATCCGGGCAAAAAAAAGTGGACATCCCATGAGAAAATTCCCCGAGGCTGAAAGTCTGGCCTAACCGCGAACCGTCAACCAATACCCGTCTCGTAGTGCATCACAAGCAGTTAGTTGGACAGGGTTGGCATGGATCTCTGTCTCTCCACGATCGAGAGAATCGGGCCCTGCCACGCCGAGGTCGATCGCACCGGGACGGGAAATACGGGAAACATGGACCAACATGTGAGAGGAAAATACCAGTCAAAATCACGCTCTATAACGAAGAGAAAGAATCGCGAGAATTGATTGATCCTGATAGGCGGGGGAGGTTCAACTGGAAAGGCTGCAAGTTCGGTCGCGATCCCCGCATCATCCATTTTTGCCCACTCCCCGGATGGCTTAACTCGGCAACTGATCAGCCTCCGGGCGATCGGACCCCTCCGAGGGGGAAAAAGAACTCGTGCAGGCTAAGGGCTTAGCTTGAACGAAGAGACTAACACTGTGACTAACTGCAGAAAGGGTCTAGTTCGCAGCCAAGTTCCAGTCGGTTCGCCGAAGGGAGTAGTTAGTGCCCGCCCCGACCTGGCAAGTGGACCGAGTCATTCCTGGATGAAGCTGGAGTTGAGTTGTGATTGGTGTACGTGCGGACTGGACCTGTCATCTTTGCAGGTTCACTCTTTTCGAGGCCGAAAGAGGATCATGCCTTTTTCATGTGATCTCCACTGTGACCACGACCGTGGAGTCAAGTAGTACTGTACTCGGAGCTCGAGTTGACTTGAGTAGCGATCGGCGGCTCCCGATGGCGTACAGAAGTCTAGAAAGTGTACTCTACAGTATGGGATATCTATTGCACTCGCTACTCTCCTATACTTGATACGACAAATATCCACAATCGAAGATCTTTAATCTATTTCGTGGCGAGTCTACCACACATCCTATTCAAGCCCATCTATCCAAGCGAGGCATATGAACTCACATATGAATGGAACTTAACAAACTCCCGAGAACGTGAAAAGTGGAGGGGCTTGCAGGGTCTCAGACGCCACGGTTCGTCGAGTGTTCAGTGCTGGAACGACGCCACCACCGAAAAGCAGGAACCGAAAAATTGAATAATGAAGCCGGAATTGGAAGTCTACATCGAGCTGGAAAAATGAGCGGGGAAATAAGCAAGACCAGGCATTAATTGTCTTATCTTTGGTTTTGTTAATTAGATAGTAGTCGGGTTATTGGGTTGAAATGGCAACATTGCGACCATATCATTGTCATGCACTCTCGTCACATCTAAGTGTGCTTTTTCAAACTATCGACTATCTACATCTACATCTATAGACTAGCGTACACTCCGAACCTAGACCAAGCCAGGCCCTGCGGCTCCATCGGTTAAAAAGGAATCTCATCAATCATTTCACATTTTCACATCCCATTGAACTCGTAATTGAATATCCCAAATTTCATGAATTCATTTCTAATATTTCATCCTCCCCACTTTATACTCTCCCCGCAGTACATCCAAGACAAGCCCCGACAAGCTCTCGATCCACTCTACAACACCAGCGCCAATCCCAGTACCCCCAACGCCCCAATCACCGACACGGTCAACCCCGTAGGCTGCGACGGTGCTAGACCCTTTGACGTAGACGTCGCCCCAGCACTCGCCGTCCCCGTTCCAGTACCTGTGCCTGTGCCTGTACCAGTGCTTCCACTAGTAGACGACGTAGTTTCATACGCCAACCCCGTCGTAGCCGTCAACGCACCGCCGGAAATCTGCGATTTCACCACGGACATGTAGCTCTTCACGTCTGCGGGGAGACTGCTGTACCACGCTGGGGTGCTGCCGGCGCTGAATGCGCTGGCGAGGGAGCTGCGGGATTGGGCGTTGATCAGTTCCCAGAGAACTGTTACGGGGACGACGGAGAGGATTTCGGGGATGAGCGATTTGGGTGGTGGGGAGATGTTGCCGAAGTTGGCGGTTGCTGTTGTGTTCATTTGGAGGTTTGCACTGGAGGGAAGGGAGGGGAGTTAGCATTAGGTATGGAGGTGGGAATTCAAGTATGGGGATGTACAGTGCGCTGGAGATTTGACCAATGTTGAAACCGCTGGGATCCTCTGTACTTGTCGCTGATGCGGTTGCGGTATCACGACGCTGAGGGTCGATGGCCAAAGCAGACGCTGCGAGAGCGAGGATAATGCTCGTGAATTTCATCGTTATTCGTAAAATCGTGAGAATCAGTAATGAAGGGAAATTGTAGTTCAGATAGTAAAGAAAAAGAATAGTCAGTCACGACAGAATCGAGAGTAAGACAGGCCCTTTCGCTTGGAACTAACAGATCTATGTACAGATACCGAGTAGAGCATATCAAGTGCTTAGCCCCCACCTTCTGGACCGCCGATCCGGCCTTCCTCGGTAGCCTGCTCCATTTGATACTCCGTTGGTACCGGTTTCTCAGTTTACCTTGTTTATGCAGGATGATGGGAGTGACTGTTGACTGGTCGGTTACATCCGGTGAGTTGTCCAATCCCGTTCAGGGGTGTCGAGGCCTGGGGCTGGACTATGAGGCGGACCGAGGATCGGCGAGGTGCTTATGCTGATGTAGTATGTGCCGCTATTGAAGCGGGGTTGCAAATGCATGTTGCTTCAAGGTTGATCGCTCGGAAAATTTATGACACTTCTGGAGGTGAAGTATCTTGCGATGTATGCTTAGTCCTAACGGTCTACGTTGGATTAGAACGTTGCGCCGTTGCGAGATAGAGTTGATCTACGGTCGATCTTGTACGGTAGATCACTAGTAGTAACAAAGCTGTCCTCAGAATGAGTGTGAAGGTGTACATCACACAGATAAGCGGACAATAATACTACAATATCTACGCCTACAGACTACAGACTAATACCGGCATCAGTTCAAGCAAATCGTCTTGTCAAATTGGATATCATAGTCGTCGAATCGTAATAGTAAAACACAATCGAGAAGCAAAAGCGCGAGCATCAAGCCGCACGGGAGATCATCCACACCCATCGACTATCACCACAGCCATAGCCATAGCTCATAACGTCAAGGTAAATGAAACCACCCCTTCAGAACGAAGCAGCTTAAGCCCCCTGACGCTTGGCCATATCAGCCTCAGCTCCACGCTGACGAACCTTGCCCTCATCATGCATCTCCTCAAACTTCTTCTGCTCCTCCCGATCACCAGTAATAGCCGCACCAACGGCACCAAGGTGTCCCTGAGCCCGGTCCTGGATACCCTCGCCCCAATCCTTCAACTGGCCCTTGGCCTCCTGCTCCTTGCCAGCGGCGTTCTGCTGAACGCCCGCCTGGCGCAGGTTCTCGTTGCCAATAGCGTTGCCGATGGCTTCCTTCGCGGAACCGATGGTCTGGTCCCAGGAACCGTCGGAGCGTTTGCTGCTGTCCTTGGCGACGGCGCCGGTGTTCGGGTCTGCGGTGATGTTGCCTAGCTTGGCGGTGGTGTGGGAGTTGGCGTTTTGGATTTCGCCTTGTTCTTGGGAGAGTTCGCCTTTGGCCTGGTGGTGGGTTAGTTTGGGTTGGGTTTTAGAGGTGTTGGGATGGTAGGGGATGCGTTGCGTACCTGGGTGGAGGAGTCACCAGTTACTGCTCCAAAGGCGCGCTGGGCCATGCCAGTGGCCTGGTTGACATAGGAGCCCAGAGTGGAAGAGTTGTTGTCAGACATGTTGATGGTTATTGATGTTGATATGTGGATTGTAGTTGACTAAGTGGTCAAGTTTGGAGATAATGGAGAGTTGTGAGAAAGAAGAGGTTTCTTTGTTGATTCGAAAAGAAAAGCCTCGTTTTAGCCATGGCATTGGCCTTTCTTATATACATCTCATCGACCTGTTTTCAGGACAAACAATCAAGAACCGCGATCGATGACATCATCGTCCACTGATGTCACATCACGTGATTGGCGTTCGTTTCCACCAAGATTCATTCCACAAAGTGCGTCATGGAAGAAAAAGAAACGGACGGAAAGCTTCTACAGCATACGGTGGGGCTTACCATTTGGCAGTCTGTGGTGTGATTCTCGATAATGACTTGACAGAGAGAAAGGGGTATGATGACATTGTACCGGTACCCCGTAGACTACATCTGGATTGTAAGAGAATGATTGGAGTGTCATCAGCATTGTAAAAATGTATGTACATAGAAACGAACGAATCACGCTAGAATTTTCCAGAACGCCCGATACCCATGTTCGCTGCAACTGCAAGGAACGTAAATCATGCTAAATGCAACGCTCGAAAAGACAAGACAACCGGTATCCACACCACATCACCAATGGCAGATTCCACCTTCGCTATCATCCGCTGTCCATGTCCCGCAAAGACCAACAACTTCGAGATGACCATCTGGCTGCTCACCAACCTTGCTTAGCGAAGCAGAATCCAGAACTCCCGGACTATTGCTGAGTAGCCGTCGAGCCCAAGCATCAATAGCAGGCTCGCCAGTCTCGTCTCGAGCCTGCTTGAGGAACGGGATAAGTGCAGTACCACCCGTTCCACGTAGTTTCTTGCTGTCGGTGGGAACAACAGTGGCAAGGTTCATAGCTGGTGGTGCTTGGCCAGACTGCGATGCTCGACGGGCACCACGAGATTGAACGATAATATAGCGGGACACAATTTGAATGTGCTTGTCGCGCATATTGCGCAGCATGGCGAGGCAGGCATCATAAGCGAGTCGCAACGCAGGATCGCTGCGTCGCGCTTCGACAAAGGAGCGGATGTTGGCAATGGAATCGATGTCCTCTAGGAATCGCCGATGAGGACCCGGCATATACGCGCGCATCTCGTGAATGAATCCATGACGAGACTTGGGAGCGTCTTCGGTCGATGGGGCTGTACCCTGGTCCTGACGAGTCACCCCAGTCGGCCGATGCTCGACGCCAAGCACGATGTCGAAGAACTGGATGAGTGAACTTTGGGCGTTGCTACCACCGCCGTATTGGCGGTACTGGGGTGGGTTGCGGCCATCGTCGTAAAGCAGGCCCCGTGGTAGCCCGGCATCGCCCATGTTCTTGCTGCCAGCCAGGTAGGGTCGAATGCGATTGTAAAAGACATATGGGTCGCAGTTTTCGTATAACCGCTGGAGCAGCGAGGTGATCTCATCCAGAATTTCTGCCAATCGCTGTAGACATTCTGTCACCACGCGAGTCTTGCCCACTCTGGCTGCAGTGATAGCTTGCAGCATCAGAGGGATTGATGGGGCACCCCGAGCCTCGATGGCTACGGAGACCAAGTAGAACCATTGCTCATCCAGTGAGCCGGTAAATGTTTGCAGGCAGGCCAAATTGCTCAGGTTATCAGCGGGCTCGTCCGGGAAGACCGGCTTGTAGTTCCAGAGGCAGACTCCGGCATAGGTTGCAACCGGGGGCACTTCTAATCGCTCACAGACTTCGAACAATGGGACCGTTAATTGTGGTGGGATCAGCTGTGATACACAATACATTAGTATATCTTCGAGGTATAGGTTAATAGTGTATAGTGTTATCATACCTCGGCTGGTCGTTCTCCACCCCAGACATAGCTATGGAGCATAAACACCAGGACGACATAAGCTCGACGCCACTCGGCATCTGTATGCAAATGCTCTGTAGAGAGGATAGGCAGTCGATCAATGATCTGTCGAATGCGCTTGCTCAGCAATAATGGCTGCAGATTTGCGACAACCGCCTCCCACTTGGCATAGTAAAGATCCGGCAAGGTCTCCAAGGGTGGCTCTGGCGAGAGAAAGCCATGGTCGGGTGAGATGCCGTAGGCTGCTAGCGAGGGGACGGGAGGTAGCATTGTCAAATATGGAGTGAATAACAAGGATCAAGGAACGAAAATTGAAGCACGAGGATAGGCACGTGGGTTTAAAGTTGAGGCACGCGATAGACGAGTGACTCGCCCATGCAGATCCGGAACTGCAGGAACAGACCGGGTTCAAGAGGGTTCATGCAGATGTCAACGTGTACAGGATGAGCGAGCCTCTTGGGGATAGACTAGAAGCAGAGGAGAGAGTGTGGGGTGATGTTTCTAGGAATGACCAGGTACAAAAAGCCCGCCAGACACCAGAGAGGGGTGGCGGCGTTCCAGAAGTTGTCCGAAAGGCTATTCGAGACCGGATGCGAACGGAGGGAATGGCACAACCCGGAGAGAAGCGTAAAGACCAGGGATAATAGACTTTGAATTGTAGCCTTTGATGCGAAGGAAAAATGAGAAAGACGTTAATTAGTTGAATAAGTTGCTAAAAGGACGTCTACAAAGGAAGCCCAGCGGAAAGAGTGTGACTGTAGAGTTTTTCATTTCTGGTCCGGCGGGATAATCGCCCGAGAAAGAGCACGTAATAGTTCACCGCGAGAAGACATTTCTAAGCAGACGGAATTTCCTAGATTCTCATTTAATTCCGGTCAGAAGTCCGAAGAAAAGGATCACCAGTCTGGAACACTCGGAGGGAGTAGGACGGGTAAGATGGGTCCGATATAGGATGAGTCTGTAGGCTGTTTAGAGGGGGATGGACAGCGTTAATTTGGGTCAAGTTAGGTCAGTACTAGGGATAGACCTGACTGATGGGGAGAAAATAGAGGGGGGGGTCAAATGAATAAATGAAACCCCATCCAAAAGACTTGAGTTCATTTTAAAGGAGCTTTATATCGGCCCATTGTCTTCCAGGGAACGGACCCTCCATAGAGTTCTACTAAGGCTGCATTCCGCGGGTGAGCCAAATTAGATTGGGTGAAGGCGAGACGGGGTCCTCCCGCTAAAGCGACTAGTCTGAGTGCTAGAGAATGAACCGGAGGCCCTGTGGACGCGGCGCAGTCTGGGTGTCAGAGTGCGTTCTCCGATGGCCGGTCGCTAAGCGAGACTTTAGCTCGTTCGCCTTCACTTACGCTACCCCAAAAAGTTCACGGTGAGACGTAGGGGTGGCGATCCTGGGGATGGCAGTGTCAACGTCAATCGTGAGCTTGTTTTGAGAGGAAGTGGTTAGAATAGGGTAAATTGGACTTTGTAGAACATTTTTGTTTTAGAAATTCACTTGTACAAGATTATCTCTACATACTCCTAGCATCGTTCTGTGTCTGTCCTGTCCGATCGTTCATAATTGTAGACGCTTACCTAAGTATTATGAATAGCTGCATAACTCTGGTAGTGAAATAAATTACTCGATTAAAGGTCACGTGGGTAGTGTATCAAGTGTAGCGTCAATGTTATCAAGACGCAGAAATCGGGTAAAGCATGGTATAATTCTATTTCATCCTGTTAAGACTATTGTGGCCATGAAAGAAATTTTCATACTGGTTCAGACACAAAGGCTTATCATTTACTTTAAGTTCTCCCAAATAACCTTCCCCCTCCCGGTGGTCTAGTGGTTCTTTGGAGTCCACTGGCTTCCCTGGCTTGAGCTACTCGGGTCAGCAGTCGGTTGAGTTCTGCTTTAGTCTCAGTCGCCAGTGGTGTTCTTCCGGATTGAGGAACGGGGTTGGTGGGTGGGTGGGAATCGGGGATTGCCCCGGGTTATCTTTTTTTTATTTTTCTAAAAGATTTTGATACCAGTATATTCATTGAGTCTTGGAGAGTGTACCTGTATCTTTTTAAATCAATTCAAGAGTGTGGGTGCTCTGAAACAGGGTGTTATCTGTTGGATATGGCATCGAGGCCGGGCCGTTTGAAGTCGATGAGCATCGCAAGTTGTAAAAGTGACAAAATTGTTAGATTGTATGGGGAACGCAAAATTGAGGGTTCGACTCGGCGGGCACGCGAATGCAGCTTTTTGTATTTGGTGATATCTTGACCATACGCTGAGTGGGTGTGTTTGACATGCGTTGATTCCATAGAAATCTGTTGTTTGCGGGATAGTTCATCGTATACCGGACTACATAGCAGGCTGGGCATATTCAACCATGAGTTTGGTATCCTGGTCAATGAAGCTACCAATTTGGCGCACGGAGACAGGACTTTCCACTCGGACAGTCATGCACGTAAGGAATGGCTTGCATATTGTAAGAGGATCTGGCGCTTCGTTAAGGCATTCAACATCGATGCCTTACCACATTATCCCCATACTTGGCCATCACCAGTGGTTATCAAAGATAGGCTTTCACTGGTTTATGAGGTTAGATTTCATACTAGTGTGGAGAAGCATCTTCCAGGGCTCAAAGCTCCATTCGAGAATCTCGTTCTGTTGAGACCATGGTATCTACTATCGAAAAATATGTACAATGGAGAGCTACTGATTGTCAGACTTTTGGGAGAGCAGATTGAAGCAAATTTTGTACGAGATCACACGAGTGACCAAAAAGATAAATAGTCTATGAATGCCATTTTATATGGATACAACCGCGATTACCCTCGCTGCACAATCACTGCGGGCCCATCGTACTCCTTTCGCCCCTTCACTACATACATAAAGAGGCTGAGCAAGAACACCCCTCCGAAGATGACCACACTCCAGTTGAAGTTGTCCACGGTAACGCTGCTCTCGCTTGGCCAGAGGGACCAGAAAAGAGCGAAGCAGGAGTAGATGAGCGCAATGATGTTAACGGGCAGTCCCCATCGTCCCATATCCCACTGCCTCGCTGGAAGACTCTCGGGATTCCAGATCTTCTTGTAGATGACGCAGCTGATCGAAATGATATAAGTGTACATCAATGCAGCCACATTCAGCGAGATGATAGCGTTGAATGCAGTCTCGGATCCGATATTAATGAGCGAGAGCGCACAGCTGAAGATACAAGATAGAGCGATGGCATTCACGGGGATATGTCGTTTCGGATCGACTTTGCTGATGAAGCGAGAAAAAGGTAGGCCCTTGTCACGAGCAAAGGCGAATGTTTGGCGGGAGGTTGATGCGTTGAAAAGAATGTTGCTGAAAATGACAGGCAGAAGGATGATCGAGGTGAGGCCGTTTACACCTGCCATCGAGGTTGCATTCTTGAAGGCGTAGATAAATGGGAACCCAGTGTTGTCATTCAAAGCATCTTCCACTGACGGAAGCGAGAAGAGGAAGGTGACTAGCAGGATTGCAGCCATGATGCCGTTGCTAAAGTATCCCCAGGCGATGGCAACGGGGACATAACGACCAGCGTCTTTGACTTCTTCGGACATGTGAGCGCATGCATCGGAGCCTTATCAAATCCAGTTAATACACTGTCGACGGCCCTTCAGATATTTCATCACGTACTCAGGGAACCATAGATGGCAGAAATCTGTCCAATCATCACGCTCAATCCCATCGTAGACCAACCTCCTCCATTCTGCCATCCAGTGACAAACACAGCCTTGGCAGATTGATGAGGAGCCATCGCCCACAGCACGATCAAAACCACTGCCCAGGACAACACATGAAGAATCATGAGTAGATTGCTCAGGATTGGCATCAAATCCGAGGCATAAACATTGGCAATGTAAATCACCAACACCATCGCAAACACAAACAACGTTCCCTGCCAATTCTTCGGTTCGTACTCCGGATTCCGGACACTAATCAAGCCCTGAATGATGGTTCCAGTCAGGAAAGATCCCGATGCCGCTCCAGCTTGCCATGCCAACACCGACATCCAGCCCGTGATATAACTGAGGAATTTTTGGTGTCGTGGTGACGAAAACTCGGATACCCAGTGATATTGTCCGCCCGATGTTGGTGCCATCGATGCCATTTCCGAGAGCGATGCGATAATAAACCCGAACCCGATAAATGTCCAGATATAGGACCAGAACATGCCCGGTAGTCCGCCATTTTCTAACCCTTGATCATTCGAACTGAAGTCATCCAATTCACGGTCAGCATAATGCGCTTGTGTCTCTTCACAATGGTTGCTCGCGCGCCCCATATGCTCGTAGGCAAGTATCCAACTCACATCAAAATGAACTCCCACGTTGCTTGCAAAATCGAAGCAAAACTCAAGGCAGCCACCGGTCGCATATTTCGCTGGTCGAGGAATGTGAGAATTGAGGGGGACTTCGATCGGGGGAGGGGGGACAACGTTCGGCTGAGCAAAGCCGACATACCTTGAGCTCCTGGATCTTTCCCATGCGCTGCATGTCATGGTCGTCCAAGACGGTTCCTTTCTGCGTAGGCGGTACATCTTGATCGAGTGGATGGACCTCCATATCCATCGTCTCCAACCTTGTTGACTTGTTAGGGGCCTGCATGGTCGGCGATGGAGGATTTTTTTTGTTTTATCGACGACCGGGTAACTGCGCAGGGGTGAACAAAGGGCAGAACAAGGGCGTACGGAAGGAAGAGAAGCGGCGGCAGATGATGATATAATATTTTCGATTTAATTATTCAATGAGGGGGCACACTGATATTGTATTAAACTTTGTTCTAATCGAGTACCTACGGAGAATGCACCGAAGTTGAAGTCGTGTGGCTCACAAACACTCGCATTCTCCACTGGGGCTGGACCCCCGACGTCGGCCTGGTTGGCTACAGAGTAACCACTAGTCCTAGTCCTACAGTACTACAGTACTACTTTGGTTGCTTGCAAGTCTCTAGTCTCTCCAGTTTCTTGGACTACACCTAGTGGGCCGTCGATCCTCGATCCTGCTGGGGCATTGACCAGCTACTAAACAAGTCGATTGGACCATTAAGAAGTTTTCGATATTACCATGGCTTGTCCACATCGCGGGCCGCCCGCCTTGGCCCACTATGAACCAAAATCTCCATATTAAATCGACGTCGTGGCTCATCTGTAGAGCCATGCGGTTGAGAATGTCCGAACATGCCTGATTAAACAAGAAAAAGATAATGTGCTGAACCCCCAGGCAAGCACCTCATGCCAAGGCAGCTTACGTGTCACGAGAACCAGAGGAGGGACGCTAAAATCGACTCACATTGCGACCGCAGCAGCCGACTCGCGTGTTGACCATGTGGGGGGAAACTATCGCTGTGGCCGCATGCAACCCGATCCTCAGGCCCTCCTTGTTCAAAGCTCGGGCTATGGGTCCATTATGAGTTATGTTAAGGTTCTGAGAACTCTTAGGTAGCCACTACTCCGTATACAGTAGTATTCAGCAAGAAAGCTACTCGAATGAAACCATACAAGACCCACCGAACCATGGCGCCACCTTTGGACTATGCGAGGTGTAACTTGCTTAGTGACAACCTTCTTAGGTTACTATTTGTTTGCTGGGGGGGTCAACCTCCCTGCATATGTATGCTGCCTGAAGAAGGGCTGATCTTCGTCACCCACAGATACGGGCTCATGTGCTGACCTGTTGTATTATGGTATACACATGTTTAGACCCGGGTTGAATACAATCAATGGGATTATCAGGTATTGATATGTAGAATACCCTTGATCTTTGTAGTAGCCATAGCTATGATACCATACTATATGAGACCTGCATTGATGCCAATGTATAACATAGAATCCTCATGAAACTAACCCCGTTTGCACGATACAGTACTTCAGCTTTCTATAAATACAATCACACAACGAACCAACCAGCAGGATATACTCCGTACTTCCATGCACAACGCCGATCGGAACTAGGCGTTCCAGTCCCATGCCCGACCGAACAAGTGCAAAGAACATACTGTACTGCTCCTCCATCTGCATCTCCTCCAATAATCTCCCTTGTTTGCGCCCGATCCTCATGGATTCCACATACCCATGTTGTGGCGATGATTGGTAAATCCTCGTGGCCCCCTTGGAAAGCCTTTCCCACCGATTACTCTACTAAGCGATTGTGCTGCCTTCCAGCCCTTCTTCAGCATTGCATTACAGGTATTACCATTTCCCTGTTCAGCCCTCCCTCCCTTCTTCCTCATGAACCCTGTTTAATGCAAATAAGCCAATGATCCCGGCTGTGCCTCGCCGCCCCCCTCCGAAACATAAGAAGAAAAAGGCCAAGAAAAGAGGATCGCCCCGGCGCTGAAAATCACACCTTATCTTCTTCCTTATGTATTAAAGCTTACTCCTACTCCGGTCATCCGGTCAATGTGGTTTATTTGTCGTCATTGCTGTCGTTGCTATCGCTGCTGCTACTCGTTAGCCAGCCATGCCGATGGCTTCTGCGACGCCGCTTCCTTCGGGAGTGAGTCCTCCTCTTACGACGGATAATGATAATAATCATGGCGGGTTGGTTGTGATCATGACCTCGTTGGCTTTGGTTCTGGTACTAGCTTCTCTTGCGGCGAGGTCCTATTCGGCGGCTCAGAGACATATCTTCCAACGAGATGATCTGCTATTTGGCATACTTGTGGTAGGTCGGTCCATTGGTCCAGTCATCCCTTGGCGATGCTTGAACATCTTGTCTACCCTTCCTCCCCCTTCGAAAATGCTTACTGATCATTCTTTGAAAAATTAGGTTGTGTCGATTGTTCAAGTAGCAGTTGTTTTTTGCCAGGTCCATCGTGGTTGGGGGGTACGGACAGAATTTCTCACTGTTGCAGATGAACCGATGCTCAAGGCAAGTTGAGTCTAAAAGTCAGTATTTTCAGAGTTGATACTGACTATCAAGCAGACCGCATATGCAGCGGAGGTTCTCTCCGTCCTTGTCCTGGGATTCTCGAAAATTACATCTAGCTTATTCTACGAAACCCTCTTCTCACAAATGAATCTTCGGCTTATTCGGGGCATTCTTGCTATCATGATTGCTTGGACGGTGATGTCTGTAATTTTACTGGCCGTTCGCTGCAGCGATAAACCGTGGTACGACATAAGCGATGCTCAGTGCAGTAGCTTGGTAAGATCTCTCCACTGCTATGAAATATTATCTAAATATATGCGTACTAACCACGCTATAGTTCCCCCGTTGGATCGCAATTACAGTTTTCGACATCATCACTGAGATCCTGCTATTCTTATACGCCGGACTTGCAATCCACAAGATCCAAATATCATTACAAAAGAAGCTAATGGTGGGAGTGACTCTGGAGAGTCGTATCCTGTAAGTTCGAATCTGCGAGGTGTTCGCCAAATATCAAAAGCTAACCTCTGTCGACAGTCTCATTCCCCTCGCCGGCATTCGACTCTACTATGTGAACAAACAAATCATTTCCGACGACCCGATCCTCCTCGGAGCATACTCCACAATCACAACCGAGATATACATTGCCATGAGCGTCGTCTGCCTTATATCCGCATTCCTAAAATCCTTCATCGCGGTCTTCGAGGACAAAAATGGCCTTTCATATACGGACGGCACGTCCGGGTCTCGATCGAGGAAATCAAAACAATTTGCCTCGGCGAGTACGGCATCCCCACCGAATAAGATGGGCCCGCATAGCTCGGCGAGTGCGGATCGGTTGAAGGGGTGGGAGCGAGAGGAAGATCCGATTATTGATCAGGGTGATGGGCGAGGCTTGCAGATATTGAAAACGGTGCATCTTGATGTACGGGATGAATCTATAGAATTGGCGGAGCAGGGGGCTGCGAGTGCAAGTTCACCTGGATGAAATAAGAGTTGGAATTTGGAACCGAATGTTATAATATGATTAATGTGATATAGGAGACTGTTTACTATTTAGACTGGAAATTTCCACGGGATTGGGCCAATTTTTGCTCCGAAACTGAGACGTGCATACAAAATTGCTCAATAGAATTTGAAGCTATTGTTTTATTGTTAAAAAAGATGGGAGTATTTGCATTCTGTACAAGGGTTGTTATTGTTACACCATAAATTTCAACGCCATATCCGAGGAGACTTTTTGAGTTTTCTCCAGCGAGAGTATTAATGCCAAACGGAGTCATGCAGATAAAAGAAATGAAAAAGAACCAGATCAGTGTTGGCTCCACTCGATCGTGTTCAGGTCAATGCCCTCCTGGACCAGCTCCCAAAGAGGACTCAACTCACGCAGGAAGTGCACGCGATCCTGGACAGCCTTGAGAACGTAGTCAATCTCGGCGTCGGAGGTGAATCGGCCAATACCGAAGCGGATACTGCTGTGAGCGCTCTCGTCGCTGCTGCCCAAGGCACGCAGGACGTAGCTGGGCTCCAGGGAGGCAGAAGTGCAGGCACTACCGGAAGACAGGGCAATGTCCTTGAGGGCCATCAGAAGAGACTCACCCTCGACGTAGGCGAACGAGATGTTCACACAGCCAGGGTAGTGGTGCTCGGGGTCACCGTTCAGGGTGGTGTGCTCCATGGCGAGCAGGCTCTCGGATAGGCGCTTGGAGAGACGCTCAACGTGCTTGGTGTCATACTAGATAGTGGGTTTCAAGTTAGCAATGGCATTTCTCTCCAATCCACGCACGCTGACTTCTCCCCTGCGAGATTTATAACCAATCATTTACCCCTGCAACGGCGTCATCGGCCTTGGGCAAATTTCCCAGTGGGGATGAAGCTACGGCCCAAGGCGCATCTGACGTCTCTCATGCAGTGTATAATCATGAAATATTTCAAGTAGTAAGGGAGCAAAATCGAGGGGGAAACAAGAAAATGTGGCTCTTACCTCCATATCCTGCGCGGCAAGGCGACAAGCCTCGCCAAAACCAACAATCAAGTGGGGAGCCAGAGTTCCACTACGAAGACCTCTCTCCTGGCCACCACCCGAGATGATGGGGTCCAGACGGACACGAGGGCGGCGGCGGACGTAGCAGGCACCAACACCCTTGGGGCCGTAGATCTTGTGACTGGAGATGGACATGAGATCAATGTTCAACTTGTTCACATCCAGAGGAATCTTTCCGACGGCCTGGGCACCGTCGGTGTGGAAGAAGACTTTCTTGGACCGGCACAGCTTGCCGATCTGCTCCATGGGCTGGATCACACCAATCTCGTTGTTCACCGCCATGATACTGACAATCGCAGTCTCCGGGCGCATAGCAGCCTCCAAGTCCTCCATCCGGATGAGACCGTTGCTCTGGACGGGCAGGTAGGTCACCTCGAAGCCCTCGTCCTGCAAATGCCGACAGCTATCCAAAACACACTTGTGCTCAGTCTGGGTCGTGATGATGTGCTTCTTCTTTCCCGAGCGGCCAAAGAAGCGGGCAACACCCTTCAAACTCATGTTGTTACTCTCGGTCGCGCCGCTGGTGAAGATAATCTCCTTCGGGTCGGCACCGATGAGCTTGGCGATATGCTCACGGGCCTCCTCAACAGCCTTCTCGGACTCCCAACCGTAAGCGTGCGTGCGCGAGTGGGGGTTACCGTAGATACCGGTGAGGTAGGGCAGCATGGCGTCGAGAACACGGGGATCGAGCGGGGTGGTCGCCTGCATGTCGAGGTAGATGGGACGAGTTCCCTGGTCCATCACGGTAGCTTGCTTGAGGATACCGGCGGACGGGCTCATGGCGGCATCGGCGGAGGTTCCGGAGGCGGGCAAGGTGGCATTCTGGGGCGCAACACCGGTCTGCTTCATGAACGACTTTTGTTCCTCCTTGATAGCGGTCTCGACGTTGACCTGGGCTTGTCCGGCCTTGGTCTCGGTGACATAGGAGCGCACGCCGGGGGTGGCAAGGGCGCGGCGAGGGGCAGCCCAGGCACCGTGGGAGGACAGACGCCTCGAGCAGACACGGGAGGCCTGTCTCCAAGCAGCAGAGCCAGCAGCAGACATGATGGCGATGATTGACGTTGTGTACTGCAAGTGGGAGGAAAGGAAGGAGGAGGGAAGGCCAAAGCCAGTGATGCCGGGCGGTGACATTTTCCGATAAACTCGGGGATTTCCCGTTTGGGAGTTCTCGGAGTCTGGGTTTCTCCGCGGTTCTCCGCGGCAGCCTGAGGCAGAAACAGCTATGTGGGATTAGTCAGCTGCGCGACGAAGTGGTTATGTCATTTTTGAGAACTGGAGGTAACTAAGAGTATGAGATTCCATGAGAAGGTTTAGCTGAATAACTAGAAATGTCAAGAGAGAAAACAACATTGGTCTTCTAGTTCGGAAATATTGGGATGATTAGTGTTGTTAGCTGCGAGACCCGAGTCGAGTCTACAATCATGCGTATACACCACCTATTAATGAAGGGTAAGCTACTAGAGGGGCGACATCGCAATCGGCAACTAACGGCCTTTGTAGAGTTAATTTGCAAGTCCACTGCCTACGAATACAGACTCAAATATAGATGGTTAGGTCAGGCTCTTTTTCGGGTGGATTATTTCGGGTAGGGCTGTGCAAGCGCGAACTGCCCTGCGAGAATTCTGGTGCCTATACATAATTACTACTAATAACTAGTACTTCGTACTTAATGTAGACATGCGCCACAATGATTATGGGGGCCAGCATAAATTGGATAATTATCGTATCAACCTAAGGGGGTCCGAGGGTTTCAAAGTTCGTCATTTACCCATCTTCTAGCCATACACATTCCGACTTCCCCCAAGAACCGTAGGGCGAGCCGATCGTCGCGATCGGATGTACAGCCACAAGCCACAGGCAACCGTCAGCTCCCGGAGAGTCTTATGTCATAGTTGAAGCGACTGGCAAAGTTGGGAACGGAAAGCCCGATTCAACTCTCCAATTCACCCCCGCCCTTGGCACTTCACTCCTGCTTTCTTCCTTTCTTCTCTTTCCACAATCCCTCCCCCCGATCGATCATTCCTAAACCCCCTTCCCTACCGTCATGAGTTTCAAGGGCTTTCAAAAGAGCATCGTGCGTGCCCCGCAGCAGCTCAAAGTCAAGTTCAACATCGGTGAACACACCAAGGATGCCGTCTATACCGATGCCGAGCGTCGCTTCGATGAGCTCGAGAAGGAAACTAAGAAGCTACACGATGAATCTAAGAAATACTTTGAAGCTATCAACGGTACGACCCCCTCCGACAGTCCCGCTGGATTTCTGCGGGCGCGATCAACACCGGTGTGCGAACACACAAAATTTGCTGACCTTGTGCAGGCATGCTAAACCATCAGATCGAATTCTCAAAAGCAATTGCCGAGCTCTACAAACCCATCTCCGGTCGTGCCTCCGATCCCGACTCTTTCAAATTCGAAGGAAACCCTGAGGGCATCCAGGCCTGCGAAGACTATGAGGCGATCGTGCGGGAACTGCAGGAATCCCTCGCCCCGGAGTTGGACATGATCGAGAGCCGAGTCATCAGCCCCGCTGATCAACTGCTGGAGGTGATCAAGGTGATTCGCAAGGTCGCCGTCAAGCGCGACCATAAGAAGCTGGACTACGACCGCCATCGCGCCTCGCTGAAGAAGCTGCAGGATAAGAAGGACAAGTCGCTCAAGGACGAGAAGGCCTTGTACAAAGCGGAGAACGATGTCGAACAAGCGACCCAGGACTACAACTACTATAACGATTTGCTAAAGGAAGAGCTTCCTAAGCTGTTCCAGCTCGAGGCGGAGTTCATCCGTCCGCTATTCCAGTCATTCTATTATATGCAACTCAACGTCTTTTACACTCTGCACGAGAAGATGCAGGGCATGAGCATCAGCTACTTCAACCTCGCTCTCGATGTTGAGGAGGCCTTTGAACAAAAGCGCGGCGATGTCCAAGAGCGCGCCGAGGCACTACTGATTGTACACTTCAAGACGAAGGGACTCGGCCGAGCGAACTCGAAGCTGGGCTCGCTGAAGGCCTCCGAAGCCAAGGCTGGCCGTGGGCGTGCATCTTCAACCGCTTCCGACCAACCTCCGCCTCCATACTCATCCCCCAGCCCAACGGGCGGCAGCTTCTCTGCTGCAGCTAAGAGCAAGCCTGCTCCGCCACCTCCACGGGCGAAGCCCGCGCATCTCAGCAAGCCCGTTGAGACGGTGGTCGCACTTTACGATTACGAGGCTCAAGCTCACGGCGATCTTGGATTCTCCGCTGGCGACGTGATCGAAATTGTCACCCGGACAGACAACCAAAATGAGTGGTGGACCGGGCGAGTCGACGGTCGGGAAGGCCAATTTCCAGGTAAGCATCTAGTTGATCCAGTTCCTGTTCGAGTTTGGCACTTGCTGACAATTTTCTCCAGCAAACTATGTCCAGTTCCAATAGCATGTGGAGACGATTGTCCATGTCCGTTTTTTAGCTGTCTCGCTTTATCTTTTCTGTTTGTGTCGCTGTTCTACTTCTTGGCGCATCATGGTTCTATAACATAGAGCGTTCCGTGTGTACATAACCTTCGTTTCTTAATGTCTTGCTTAGTTCAGCCTTGCGGATATGCTGGTATCAAGCCGATGCGACGTCGGACCCAGTTTTTGTCGGGGCTACATCCTACCGACATAATCTACTCCTTTTCTTTCATGACGGCGGATATACTCTGTTTTATAATTCAGGAAGTCACCATGTCCGGTCTTGTCCATCTCATCAATGCGCGTCTTGCCCATGGCGACCAACTGATCTCTGGAGACTTGTGGGTTGACCCCAAGGCTGGGGTCTTCGTTCCCCCACCTAACCCCGCTCCACTGGCGTCTGTCATCGATCTCCAAGATCGCATTATGGCCCCGGGGTTCTTGGACCTGCAGATCAATGGTGCCTATGGATTTGATTTTTCGGACGATATCGCCGGCAACTATGCTGGCTTGTCGTATACAGAGCGGTACAGGGATGTCCGACGGAAGCTCATCACAACGGGAACTACGAGCTTCCTACCTACAATGACTAGTCAGTTGCCAGAGAGATACCATCAGGTTCGTCATAGGCTTGCTTTGTGACGCGTCATTACATCCTTCCTCTTACTGCATTGAGTAAATGCGCAGAAGATGACCGCTTATTTCAGAACCTACCATTCTTGGGCCCTTCTCCGTCTCGAGACCCTTTCGACGGATCCGAGTCACTCGGTGCACATTGTGAGGGACCTTTCTTTGCCCATAATCGAATGGGCGTCCATCTCCCAGATGCTATCCATGCATCAGGAGCAACGAGCGAACCAAAGCGTGTGTTTGAAACCTATGGATCCAATAATCTGGTCAACTCGGATAATTTGTCGAAACGGGCAAGCCTCAGATCTATCCCCTCTCGTGTTCGTATGATCACTATGGCACCGGAGCGATCAGGTGCCCTGGACACGATCAAACGACTGAGTCAAGCTGGAATCATAATGAGTATTGGCCACACGGCCGCGACCTACCAGCAATCCAGGGCTGGCATCGACGCGGGTGCAACTATGATTACTCATTTGTATAACCAGATGAATGGCCACCATCACCGTGAGCCCGGCCCCCTTGGAATATTGGGTGGAGCAGCAGATTTAAATCTGGAGAATGAGACCAGGATCTTGAAACAGGCCGGGGACGGGGAAGATTCGAACGTGAACGATCGTCCGTATTTTGGTATCATTGCTGATGGCAATCACGTCCATCCAGCTAGTATCCGGCTAGCGCATTTGATGCATCCAAATGGTCTTGTCTCGGTGACTGATGCTTTGTTACTTCTTGGTGGCGAGGATGGGACAATCGATTGGCTTACGAGGCGGCTTACGAAGAAGGGTGTTTCTGTTACTCTCGAAGGGACTGATATTATTGCAGGAAGGTATCTTGCATATCCCCTCTCTCTTGGTTCCCTGATTCTGAGTGCTAAGGGCTCTTTTTAGCTGTGTCACTCTGCTCCAGTGTCTGAACAACTTTCGTCGATGGACGGGTGTGTCGATTCCCGTTGCACTTCAGGCTGTCACTTCAAGGCCTGCTGCAGTTCTGGGTTTGTCACATCTGAAGGGTGCGTTGACAGCGGGTGCCGATGCCGACTTCGTTGTTTTGAGAGAGGAGTTTGTGACAGGTCAAACTACCTCGGGTTTGGTTGTAGATCAAGTCTGGAAGTTTGGAGTAAAGGTGTACGACCAGAGTGGCCAGTGACTCGACGAATCGGATTCTCGGGGAAATACCTCATGGGCATGATAGAAGCTTCATGTTGAATCGCCATACTACGGTTCTTTATTCTGAGGAAATTCTCTATTCCTGGTACTCCATGTGTATGTTCAATGAAAATTTGTGCCTTGCTATAACATGATAACTCCAAATGTAACCGTTAGACCCTCAGATTTAAAATCCCACTACTAGCCCTTCTTAGGGAACGGTTCGTAGCTAACTGTATACTCATCCGTCCTCTCAATGCCCGCAGCGCCGTCAAGGATATTCTCATCACTCGTGTTATTCGTGTTATACCTCACCACTGTATGCTGCGGGTAGAACTTGGGACTTGGCTCGACGATCGAATTCTCGAGGCCGGACTTTGACAGACTGCCATGCTTGCGACCGCTGCCATACATGGGCAGCTTGTAAGAGGTATTGCCAGCCGAGCTGTCTTTACCTTCCGTTCCGTATCTGATGCGAACGTAGAGAGGGCGTAGGACGGGGATTGATGAACACATGATCGTGACGCAGCTTTCGGTTGCGGACCAGATAAGCATCGGGACAGTATCGTCTGGAGTTTGGTTAGTTCTATCTGTCCTTGATGGGAGGAGAGAAGTAGACGTACAGATGTACTCGGAGGTGTCTAGTCCGCTTAATGCCACAGTGCGAACAATGCCACATATCCCAGCACTGTCACTGTTAGATGGGTTTCCCAGGATGAAGGGGCTGTTCTCAACTTACAAGACACCAAGGCTTAGACCACATGCAACAGTGATCTTTTCCTTGTTCTTCATGTTGAGATCCCAGATAACGAACCATGGTAGAATGGCAAAACAAAAGTCGGCGGCGACAAACCATGCTGGAAAGGTAGAAATATCAGCTCATACTCATGATATAGATTGGCAAAGATCTGAGGTTGTACTCACATCCAACAGTGTATCCGACATTAGAAAAATTGAGCCAACACGATCCCTTGGCATATGGATTCCATGTCCTTTCAACTGGTATGCACTGTACGACAACAGTGATGCTGGCAAATAACGTGATGATGGTTGTGATAACCATGCAAGCCCAAATAAACCCAATTTGGATCCTGTTTCGTACAATTCGAAGAAGGAAGGAGCCAACTGCCAACTTTCCTATCCCAATAGCCATGATGCCGGCCACTTGACTAAACACTTCATACTTGGTGGCGGTGATGTAACTTGCAATATCATTGACATCGGCAAAGAGTCTTCCTAGACCGTAGGTAGTCGCTATCGTGACGAAAACGGTGTAAAGGGTATGCACAATCTGCAGCGAGTCAGTCTTGAGGACACACTCATAGTAGATCATTATTGTTCTCACCAGTGCAAGTACCGCTAGGTAGTCATCAGCACCGACAGAATTCAAAATCTCCTTTCGTGTATAGAGTCGAAGTGCCACAAAAATGGCAAATATGACCACCAGCACCCAAAGGACTGCATTGGTCATAGGTCCTTTTCCTCCGTATGTGCTCATGCTGACGATGACAATGGCAGGTTCAATGACAGAATTGAAATGACCATGAAGATGATGAGAAGAAGAATATCAGTCTTGAACAAGACGTATTCTTCTTTGGTTATTAGTATAGACAACGATTTGACCTGTATGTTGAGCGACATGCGCCTTTCCTACTGTTGAATTCTTTCTTCGATATCAAGAAACGCTAGGCAATTAGCATCGTGTTCAAAGCGGCGTCGTTTCCTGCCGTTGGTCCCGGACAGAAGTACATAACGGTTTCAGCTTCTTTGGCCTATGAGAATGCATCATGATGACACTGAAAGACTATTCACTTGCTGCGGAAGTTTAGGCCACGAGTAAGTGTCGGTGCCACCCAGCTAGTGCTCCACGCTCATACATGAAGCTAACGCACAAGCGGAAATCCGACAGCTCGACCTGGGCGTTGATCCTGCATGCTAAATCCTTCGCCCCGTGCTCAAGGCTTTTGACAGGAAACCGTGCGCAAGACTTCCTGGTACTCGTGAATACATAATTGAGCGGCACAATGGAAAACATTTCCCTTTAACTATTGTGGGATTTTCGTTGAAGAGAGTTTAAAGAAGCGCTAGAGAACAAACTATAGAACAGACTAGAGAACAGACAAGAGAGCAGACTAGAGAACGATCTTTGGAGGCCTTCTGAGCAAACTACTAAGCCATTCTAGTCAAATGGGCATGGACGGGCTTGGGATGGGACGATTGAAGAAGTTAACGACATCCTGGGCTTACAAGTTGTGATCTAGAACATATCAATACATTGCAGCAGGCCACAACTTGCCTTCCTATCTTGGCAAGACCTCCTACAAAGAACCCACTGATATCAGCGTGAATAACTACTCGGAAGCCGACAAGGATGGTCTCAACTTCTTCGGGAGGTTGCAGAAAAGCCCGGCTTATTTTGAAGCTTTCACCGGCCATATGGAGGCATGGACCGCATGGAAGACTCCGTTGACCGAGGTATACGATACGACGGCACTGTTAGAGGGAGCGAAACTAGGTGATGGGTCTCCATTCATGGTGGATGTTGGTGGAAATACTGGAATTGACATTTCTCGTGTCCTTGAGAAGCATCCCGACCTTCCTGCCGGATCGCTCGTCCTACAGGATCTTCCGGAGGTGATTGTCAATGCTCAGGTTGATGAGAAGGTGACCGCAATGACTCATGACTTTTTCCTGCCGCAGCCTGTGAAAGGTAAGAAAATATAGGTGCTCTCAAGGAGGCTTGCTTGAATAACTAACTCTTGTCTCTACAGGGAGCCGTGCTTACTTTATGCACGCCGTTCTCCACGATTGGCCCGATGACAAGGCTCGGCTGCTTCTTGAAAACACCAAAGAGGCGATGGTCAAAGGTTATTCAAAGCTCCTTGTCTACGACATTGTTCTTCCACCCACCGGGGCGAGTATTAGCCAGAGCACGATGGACGTGAATATGATGTCGTTGTTGTCGGCTTCTGAGCGGACTCAGGGCGCATGGGAAAAGCTACTGACTGAATCTGGCTTTAAGATTGTAAAATTCTGGCCCGACCCTCAACAGTACGAGATGATTATTGAGGCTGAGATTGCGTAGGGTACGCGAATGAGGCGTGGGATTCGAGAGGTCGAAATAGCAATTGATAATGGTACGAGAGGCCAATGAAGATATACCTACATCTATTTTAGCGTCTCTGCCAGGATAGTGCTTTACAGGGTGCTTCTAAAGCTTGAAAAACGAGAATGAGATTTAACAGTTGTGTTCAGGTAGGAAAAAGATAGTCTGGGTACAGAAAAGAAAGAAAAGGTAATGCACATGAGGCTGTTGGAGAATATTTCCCAGTGAGGAACCTGGGGTTGTCACTTGGCAAGAAAAGAAACTAAAAAGATAGAGCGGATAGTGCCCCCACGATAGGCTGAGCGCATCAACCACATGATCAGAAGCACACTCTCAAACCATGGAATGCTTCCACTGAACACTGTCAATCGAGATATCATGTTCGATACAAATTCCGTGGGGGTCCATCGAATCATGCGACCCCTTGCTCAGCATGCTCAAAGGTTGATCTGAATAGCACAAGGTCTGAGCAGCAGTGCTAGCCGTCATCCCGGATGCTGTCATATGTTTCTCAGAGGCAGTGTTGTTGAGTGTGGTGCTATTCACTCCGAATGCGAGACCGCGCCAGAGGTTGCGGCGGTGGAGAGGTTGGGTATCGCTGTGTCGACCCTGGTCGAAACTGGCGCCCGCCCAGATGGATGACAAGGGCAGGGAGATGGCGACGAGTGTCAATAGATTGGAAGAAAGCTCAGGGAAGACGACAAAGTATTGGGTGATGGAGAAGACCGCAGGGATGGTGAGTGTCTGACATCCACAAACGAAGATGATCTTCATTGGGCCGAAGTCGCGTACGCCCAGTCGACGGCGCTGGCGAAGGGCAAAGCCGAGCTTGGTGACAAATATGGCGCAAAAGAAACACACACTAACTGTAATGACGATATTGCAGGCACTTTCGAGCCACCAGATGGTGTTCATGTAGGAGACATTGATGATAGCGATGCAATTCTCGACCATCCATGCCAAGCGGAATGCAATAGTAGCCAGGGCCACAGCGATTGACAGAGCCATCAGTGGCAGTCGGTAGCGACGACGAATTGTTGCACATACCACCTGTACCTGAACAACTAGCGATGCCTCGATACAAGCCACGACGAGTGATTGGAAGACACTACCCGTGACCGAGATGGCATATGCACTGCGCGGTACGTTCGAGTAGTCCAGAGAGAAGTATGGGTAGAAATGTTCAAGTGCAGTGGTGAAGTGGATCAATTGTAGGAGCAGTCGGATGATGTTGAACAGCAACGCAGAGGAATTGAGGAGGAATACGGATGATGCACGCTTCTCTCGTCGAGTCAGGAGCAGGAGGATGACAAACAGCACGACCGAAGCGCCGAATTGAGAGCCGTAGTTGATGCAGATTCGAATGTTGTACTGGATGAAGGTATCCACATCGATCACGGAAATAGTGAATGGGTGGCCATCGGGATAGCTCAAGTTGAAGCTCTGCGTGAAAGGGTCAAACCCTGGCAGTCTCTCAGGGTGTGTCTTGGTGTATGGCTCAAAGGTCGCTGACATTTTGATATGGGTGAAAGTCGTCAATCGAGGATATTTCAATGTGTTCAAATCGTCTGGGAGTAGCTGATATTAGAGAGTAGATTTTGGTTTCTTCGTCACCATCAAGGGGTGAGTTCTCGATCTAGCAGAACTATATAAGGATGCCGAGCATGGCCCAGGCTGAAGTAGGCGAGAAGCTCAACAGCCGTGTTGCAGGCAGAGGGAGGGTTGTCTAGCAATAGCATGATGAAGCCGAAACAAATAATGAGAAGTTGAATGTACTTTTGCTTTTGGGGAACGATCCAGAGAGGGTGATGGTGGAAGGCAGACCGAGTGGGGAGAACAATACTAAGTGGGGCGGGAGAACAATATCAAGACGGAAACAAAGCAAGAGCCCACCAGTCGACATGAACGTAGGCACGGTCGCATCGGTGGCCTAGTCAAAGGATGCCTATCGAGTCTGGACTATTATTATGACAAGTGCACTGCCAGTACCAGAGAATAGATCTGACAGGTTCGGGTTTTGGAGATTTGTAGGAGGGACTGACTGTGTGGTGATGAAGTCTCATATTGTTTATTGTCTGTAGCTGGCGATGATGAAATAACATCCCCCCAGACCTCTCTCTTTCGCCTGGATGTTTGACCCGACAGCCTCCGCTCGCCTAGACTATCCTCATTCATTCCGACCATCGTATCGAGCTGAAGTTCATAGATTAGTGTAGTATGTCATTGCTTTAGTGAGTTGCTCTTTTCGTCCTGCACAGGGGACATCTCGTGTAGGTCACGTGATCTATACTTGCACAAATAGAATTTTAAGCTTGTATCCTTCCATCCAGCTTCCATGCATCTCTATCTATGCAAACGTTGATGCAGTATATGGCTAACATACTCAACATCTCCAATCGAAATTTCTACTCCCTTCGACTCACCCTGGAACCATGCATCCATCACTCAGGATAATTGCAATACCGCCAGTGGCCACATCGCCGTCGGGGGCAAATTATCCCGACCCACTGGCCTCGGAGACTTTCAGGTTCTTCAGATCGACGTATTCTACCGACTCTGGAGTGCAGATACTTTAGAGTGCTGACAAACAGGGGCCTATTACGCAGTATAACGAATAGGATTTCTCTCCGAGGGGTCCTCAAGGGATTCTTTCCATTGCCAAGAGCTTAGGTTTTAAGGAATCTTTGAAATCAACCGTTACTATCGTGATGTTTGGGCCTGGGACCACAGCGGGTCTTCCTAGTACGATGCCGCAAACTCTTCGAAGCTTAGAAATCAAGATAGATGTATAAAAGGGACTATATCATGCACTCCAGTTCGGATCTCAATCATTCAATTAATTCAAAATATATCCCAACTTATTACTTGGGAAAACATCAATCACCATGACTTGGCCCGACGTCCCCGTTGCCGCCGCGAATGGCATCTCCTACTTCACACCTGCGCAGAGCCCGCCTGCTGGTACGGCGCGCAACCCGCAAACCAGCGGCAAGGCCATCCCCAAATTGTTCCAGCCTCTGACCATTCGAGGCCACACTTTCCAAAACCGTCTGGGTGTATGTCTTGTCTAACCTCGCGCATTCTCATGCTTCTGCTTTTCCCCCTGTTTCAGACTCATCTGTCTCTTCCGAAACCATATGCTCACATCGACTCTCCACAGGTCGCGCCCATGTGCCAATACAGTGCTGAAGATGGCCACATGACCCCCTGGCACATTGCCCACTACGGTGGTATCGCTCAGCGCGGTCCCGGAATGATCATCATTGAAGCCACTGGTGTCGTACCCGAGGGCCGTATCACTCCCGGCTGCGTGGGTCTGTGGAAGGATTCCCAAATTGCGCCGCTCAAGCAGGTCGTGGAGTTTGCCCACAGCCAGGGCCAGAAAATTGGTATTCAATTGGCTCATGCGGGTCGTAAGGCCTCGACGGTTCCCCCTTGGTTGGGTGGTGTCACGGCCACCAACGCCGTTGGCGGCTGGGTTGACAACGTCAAGGCCCCCAGTGCCATTCCCTTCGCGAAGGGTGATATCATTCCCAAGGAGATGACCAAGGAGGATATCCAAGAGGTTAAGGAGGCTTGGGTTGCCGCTGTTAAGCGCGCTCTGGCTGCCGGCGTTGACTTTATCGAGATTCACAATGCCCACGGCTACCTGCTCTCCTCTTTCCTGAGCCCCTCATCTAACCAGCGCACCGACGAGTATGGTGGCAGCTTTGAGAACCGCATCCGTCTCCCGCTGGAGATTGCCCAGCTCACTCGCGACACCGTTGGTGAGAATGTGCCCGTCTTCCTGCGCGTCTCTGCTACCGACTGGCTGGAGAACAGCTTGCCTGAGGAGCAGGGCTGGAAGTTGGAGGATACGGTCGAATTCTCGCGTGCTCTCGCCGAGCAGGGTGCTATCGATCTGATTGATATTAGTACCGGTGGTGTTCATGCTGCTCAGAAGGTCACCTCGGGAGTTGGCTTCCAGGTTCCTTTCGCCACCGCCGTTAAGAAGGCCGTCGGCGACAAGATCCTCGTGTCGGCTGTGGGTACCATCAACAGCGGGGTCTTGGCCGAAAAGATCATGAACGAGGATGACATCGACGTTATCCTGGTTGGCCGTGCCTTCCAGCGTGACAGCGGTCTGGCCTGGGCCTTTGCTAAGGATTTGGATGTTGAGATTGCCATGGCTGCCCAGATTCGCTGGGGCTTCACCAGCTTCCGCAATGCATCCGAGTACATCCAGCCCAACTCGATGAAGGCTTCCATTTTTGACTAGATACTTTTTTTTTTCTTTCTTCATTTGCATAGGAGCGTATAGACCGATATAGAGCATTATGAACGAACAATGATGATTATACAGTCAAAATTGACGCTTGCTTAAACGTAGTGGTATAGCATCATTCTCCCAGTAAAGGAGCTTTTAGAACAGGAAAAACCACGAAGTTCTCTAACCCCTTATGAAGATAAAAGGTATGAAACGTTTCAGAGGTTTGCTCTGCTCTATGCACAACGACTCCTGCCGCTAGCATTGAACCCGTTAAATAGTCAAGTCTAGTACAGGCCCAGCTGATTGAGAATGCTAATGGGTGAAAAAACGCCGCTAGAAAGTATTTAGAATGAAATTACCCAGCACTCTAGAGTCAGGTTCCACAAGTACAATCTTACCATATTAGTATAGATCAATCTGAAATTTAGAGAATTCGTGATTGTGAGAACCCGCTACCATCGGATGACGCCAAGAGCGGTTGCGGGGAAGTCAACGTGGTGCGGAGGACGAGCTTCCTTTCCCACTTCCAACCCCCCATCAACATGGCGGTCCCCCAGCGGACGTTAACGTGGCTATACTCGGTCTTGTCCAAGGTATGTATCCTCAAATCTACCTGGTTTACAATTAACTGACCACGCTACAGGACCATCACGACCCCAAACAAACCTACCACGATCCCAACCGGACCTACCACGACGTTGCCAATGCGCTCGCCCAGTACCCCTCGCTCTCGCCACGAACCGACGTCTACAGTAAGCTATATTACTCAACGCGCTGTGCTACAAAGTCACTGACATGGATTATCCTCCAGCGTACGAGAATGGCTTCTCAGCACTCCTCCTCCACCTTGTGGGCACACTCCCTGTCGCCTTCCGGGGCACCACATACCGATTCCCGATTGCGCTTTGGATCCCGAATACATACCCTCGGGAACCTCCTATCATCTATGTGACACCTACACAGGACATGGCGGTTCGCGTTGGGCAACATGTGACGCTGGAGGGGCGGGTATATCATCATTATTTGGCCCACTGGGCGGAGGCATGGGATGTAAGTGGGATTGAGAGAGGGACCGCTGGATACACAGGCTGACCGTATTCCCTGTCCCATCATAGAGGTCAACCATTGCCGATATGCTTTCCATTCTTCGAGAAGTGTTCGCCAAAGAACCCCCCGTTCGATACAGGCAACCGATGCCCCCTCAGTCGCAGCCGCAACAGACCCCGATGCAGACTCCACCACCAGTACCTCCTTTGCCTCCTGGGATGGGACCTTCGACAGCCCAATCTCAGAGTCCAGCTCACAGTCAATCCCCCAGCCAAGCCGCCAATACTCCACCACAGCTACCACCGAAACCAGGTGCTGCTGCGGAGGCTCAACCCCAACCCGCGCGAGGTGCAGAGCGATATCAATCCCCTCCTCCACTCCCTCCATTGCCACCAAAGGGACCGGAAGCTTCTCGAGGCCCTGCTCCAGTCCATATGGGTGCGATGAGCCCTGGGAGCCGACTATCTCATCAGTTCGTTCCGGCGCAACCGTCTATACAGCCTCATATGCAACCAGACTTGGCAACTTATAACCGTACCCCTGCCGGCCCCATCAGTCCTGGTGCTAGCTATGCACCACATGCAGCCTTCCCTCAGCAGGCTGGGCTGCCTCTTGGATCTCAAAGACCATTGTCGCAGCAGCAGTCATATACCCAACCACCCCAAGCACATCCGTCCCAATATCCGGGGTATCAACCCTCACCTGGCCAACAGCAACAGCCACAACCTCAAGGGCCCCCATATTCACAGGGTAACTATCAAGGTCCACCCCCAGCAGCACCAGCACCAGCGTCGAAGAAAGAAACCCCGGATCTCCTCACATCTCCCTTCGAGCTCGAACTCCCATCATTCACCCCCACGGGTCCTGCACCCCCCATCCCCCCAAATCCAGAGAAAGACGCCTTACTCCATGCCGTCTCCCAAACTCTCGCCGAGACTCTAAATAACCACGCCGCCCAATCCGACTCGGCAGCACAATCTCTCGTCTCGCAATCCCACTCCCTCCAAGCCGCCATGGCAACTCTCCAGGGAGAAGTCACAGCCCTAACAGCCCTCCATTCAACCCTCCAATCCAACACCGCAATCCTCCAACAAACCATCCACCGCGCAGACGCAACTATCGCAGACGCCCAGGCCCGCTCCGCATCAGCCGCAACCTCAAACGCCCCCTCCTCCTCAACCGCAACTGGCACATCCGACTCGCACTCGGGTCTCCCGCCAATCGACGAAGTCCTCGTCGCGCCGACGGTGGTTGGAAAGCAACTGTACGACCTCGTCGCGGACGAACAAGGTCTTCAGCATGCGCTGTATGCGTTACAGTCCGCGCTGGTGCGGGGCGTGATTGGGGTTGATTCTTGGTCGAGGCATACGCGTGGTCTTGCGCGGGAGGCGTTTTTGAAGCGTGCTTTGATTCGGAAGATTGGTCGGGGGATGGGGTTGGAGGAGGGTGTTGCTGTGGTGTGAGAGGTACCCGGGGCTTCTGGGTATCGTGATAGATGGGTTGGGTTTGAGAGGTGGATTTGTTGTAGATACCCTCGTTTTTTATTTGTCTATTTATTGGATAGGACTTTTTTTTTTTTGTACGGAGTGACTACAAAATATTAGCTAAGGTTCGCCACTGGATATTAGGTCTGATGTTCAGATGTTGTGTTATCTCGTGGGGGTTGCTTCGCCAGAATATATATCTGGCGGAGACAGGAGGTCCATCCATCATCACCGATAAGATCAAGGTTACCCACCGCCAAATGGATGCAGATCGATTCGATATTTTATCGATCTGCAATCTTATGCAAAACATCGGATACACTTTAATCTAGTTTATCTACAAGATCTGGGCCTACATAAACCCCACTCAGGTGGAGCTCTCTGCTTTACAAAGTACACACAGTCAAGTTCAAAATGACAAGAATCATAAAATGACCAATAACTGAATCATTGAATTCAAAAAAAAGATTGTTCCGCCTCCCCCGAGTGCTGTTCTCGCTGTACATAAAAGTAGCACCCGGGAAAACCACGAATCAACGCCCAAAAAATAGAATATACCGAGTCCCAAGGGAGTTTCATACGTACAAAGAATGGAAGGAAGAGATTGTGACAAGATGAGATGGGGAATGAAAAAGAGATGCGACCATGGGTTTTTGCAGAAACCACCAGAAAAAAAAAAGCAATACGTGACATCACAGTGTGACCAATGTGGTTGGTTATTCTATCGCTCATTTCACCTCGTTGTCATCGGAGAAGGGACTCCGTACACGTGGTGGTGGTGTGCGATCGGTGTGGTGGGAGCTGCGTTTCTGATCTACCGAGGAAGAGGTTGTGTCCGAGGTGGTGAGATGATCTTGGAAGGGACCAGAGTCTTCGGCAGTCTCTTCGGGGGTGGTGGCAGGCTTGGTCTTGGTGGAATTGGAGGAGGTAGTTGGGCGAGTCTCGTCGCCTTCTTCGTCGGAGGAGTTGCCGTCGAATGTGGATGTTTGATGATCAAATTGGCGGCTGCTATCCGATCCAGCGGTGGCCGGCATCTTGTCTGCCTGTGTCTCCTTGTTGGCAGGGACCTGTCCATCCTTCTTCTTCACTGATGCACCACGGACCATGACGGGCTTGGCCATCACTTGACGTGCCACGATGGAACTGCCGCTCTGTGACATGGCGCTAGCTTTGGCGAGTTGAGTCGAGGTGATAGCGGGGACGGCGGGGGCATCCCTGGGAGTGATCATAACCGGGACTCCTTGAGTCGGAGTACTAGTGCCAGAACCTCCAGGTCCGTTGTGAACACTGACGATGTTGGCACGAGAACGCTGAATCTGTTGCGCCGGGGTTGCGCTGACGATGGCGTCACTGCGGTAGACGGTTGTCGCAACACTGCTCCGCAGGGTTGGGGACATGCTTTGGTGACCCGTCATCGTGGTCCAAGAGGAATCCCGCAGATCACCTGGCATGAAGAAGTGCTGATCGGGGTGCGCACCGGGAAGGGGTGGCACGGGAGGCACCAGTGTAGCAGGGGTCTCGGGAGGGGAGCGATTGGTGACGCCTGGAATGTAGGCAATTTGGATGACGTTGGAGGCACGGGTGAGAACGGTAGAGGCGATGGATTGGGTGGACTTGCGTCCGTCCCGGGCGGCATTGAAGGCACTATGATCCTTCTCCTCGGCTTGAGCACTGCGGCGCTTACGAATAACGAACCACCAGATGAGGAAGAGGAGCAAGGCCAGAGCGACCACACCTCCGACCACACCACCCGCAATGGCACCAACATTGGTACCCTTGGACGGAGGTGCAGTATTGGTTGAAGTCGACACACATTTCGTGGTAGAACAGCTGTCGCAAGTCTGCGTGGTCATGGTACATGTCTGGCCATCAGGGCAAGCTGGACAGGTCGGGACGGAGTCGCATGTTTTGCAACGCTTGAAGAGGGAGCGGGAAGGAGAGAAGCCATCTAGATGGTGGGCTGATGTGTTAGTAGAGGTGATCCGGGGCATCCTGTATTATGATCGATAGGAGAGAGAGAGAGAGAGAGAGAGAGAAAGGTTGATCGTACCGATGGGCGAGAAAGAGGCGGGGTCAATGGGAGTGAGCATGATGGGCGAAGGAGAAGACGTAGGATTGGCGAGGCAGAAACGAAGATCGATATCAACAAAGGCGACCGGTCAACGGGCGGCAAATGAATGTGCAGAGTTGCAAAGAGAGAAATACGAAGGGACCCGAAAAGGTAAAAGAGAGTGTCGGGCTCAAACGGCGTCAAGTCGTGAGCAGAATCGCTAGATCATGAAGAGAAAAGACGAAAAGTCGAGGTCGAGTTTCGACGGGCGGCGGGTAACGAGTGTGGGAAGAAAAGAGGTCGGAGAAGAGATTCAAGGATGATGGACGAGCATCGTCCACGGATCGGTATCGAGGGCGACCAGGATTGGAAAAAAGAAGCCCGATATGATTCGAGGGCGAGAAGAGGATGGAGATGAGAAGGAGGAGGAGTGAAGAGATGGGAATCTCACGGGAAATGAGGAGAGCACGGGGGGGGGGCCAGACACTGGGAGAGTCACGGGGGCCTGAGCACGACGTGGACGGTGGGTTCCACTTTGAACCGGACGGATTTCTTAGGATGGGTGATGACGACGAGGGTGATAGGAAGAATAAGATAATAAGATAATAAGATAGGAGGATAATAAGTTGACTTCAAAGACTACAGGATCTATTAAAGAACGATCGAAGACGAGGCTGGCAGTTTGTTTCAAGTGCACCTTGCATTATCCTTTCTCCTTTGTCCGGCTGTGGACGGGAAGACGGGAGGAGGACGGGAGTACCTGAAATGGACGAAATCGGACGAGAAAGTGGACAAGAAAGTGGATCAATGGGACTGCTCGGACTGGGAGAAATGTATCTCCGGAGTGAAAGTGGAAAAGGAACCAGTCTGGACTCGGAAGAGAGTCGGCCCGAGAAGGACGGGAAATTAGGCTGAGATAAGCATGCACGTGATGGAATGGCCGGGAGAGAGAATAAATCTCACCAGTTCATGATTATTCCCTAGCGGGTTCTCACGTTCTCACAGTTCTCACGATTACCACATGCTGAACTATCCATTACAGAAAGATTAGTTAATTTACTCTGTCAGATCACTTAACCTTTGGGCTGTGCTGCCTCTTGACCAGCGTGGCTGAAAGGCTCTTCAAGCCCAATCCCAGCAAAGGGCATGGAATCACCCCTCCTAGGGAGATGAGGCCCCCAAACCTGAGACACGCCAGACACGGGAGGAGGCGAAGCCACCAGCGCCGGTTGGCTGGTGGCTGTGGCAAAGGATGTCTGTGCTACACTGCTGTCCCGTATTTGGGATTTTGTGGTTGCAGTCAATGCAGTTGGATGTAGCCAATCAGACAGCCAGCGGAGTCCAGCCCTGTCCCTTGCCATAATTACCTTTGTCCGGTGGAGCACATGTTCCTCCATTGCTTTGTCCTGATTCGGGCATTGCTGCATTGATTTCTCGGCAAGATGGAAATGTAAGATGAAGGATGATGGACCCGATGGAAAGTCCGTTGGATCCATATATATAGACTCGGTGGCACTGTTAGACGTTGGCATCAGCCCTGCTGAGTAGATTTATACTCGACCAAGGATAACCTGTAAGCCACGAAATATATATAGAGATGGGTATACCTGGTGTGTTTACAGAGATGATGAGATATATTTTGTACTCGACGCCACAAACAGCCACGCTTTGCATTGTAGACACTAGACAGCGGGCTATGCTGAGGGATCGCAACTCCTATATATCGCCTCCACTATGGATGCAAAGTACACAGACTGGAACGAAGATCTACAAAGCGAGTTCCATGCGATTCTCGTCGAGATAAGCTTCCCGAAAGGAGCAGCAGGTACACCGTACCTACAGGACATTCAAGATGTGCAACGGGAATATGTACTCAAGATGTATGCAGTCCGATCTCTACCGTGTCCTCTGCAGGATCCCGTGGCCAGCATACCACACGACGTGAAGAATGTAGGAAAGCCTGGTACGACGACAGTCCTGTATACTGGCACTGGTCCTATGGAGGAGGGTAGTACCGACCGTGGAGATACCCGACAATCCGGGAATTCTCGCGATTATCTCTGACCGTTTATTATCGAGATCTTCTCAATTCATCGTCCTTCTCACATAAGATGCTCGTAACTAGGGCTGAAGAGCTGAGGACTGGTTGATTATCTCACCGACTGTTTCACCAGTGGAGCCCGGTGATTGGGTTCAGCGGGTCTCCCCCAACTCGGTAAAGCGCCTGTGGAGATCTGGAGAAAGACTAGCGCTTTGGGAGGGGGCTAAAAAAAAGAAGAGAGGAAAGAAAAGTGACTAAGGGGGAGGGTTGAGACATTTGGGGGGTAGTCAGTCTATGGATTTGGAGACTAAACGCTTAGTATGGAACTACTTTGGTGTATACGGAAGAGTTGTATACTCTCTATCTTTTAGAGTCAGTATACCCTCGCCAGTATTGAACCAAAAAGAAAGAAGAAAAGCGGAGCTGTGGATTCCAAAGGAATACGTTTAACCGCCTTGACCAGTCAGGGTCTCTTGGAAGTCCCTGAGTCCCTTTTTTCCCAGCTCCCTTTTTGGTCCCTGAATGGCTCCATTCAGGGTTCTCCATACCGCGACATCTTGTTCCCCCCCAAGGGATGGAGTATGTGCATACTTTCTTTTGTATTATGCATCATGTACGTAGTCCCCATCTACTGTGTACCTCCTTATTTCCCAGTCTCCCCCAATGACTCCATGATCCTCCGTCCCGTGGAAGATCTGTAATCTGTAGGAGCCTCATGCTACGGGGTGGCCGGGGGAGGCAAAAACCTGGCATTAAGCTGGGCATTAGGCTGGAGGATGATCTAAAAAGGAACGAATCATGAGAGTCTCTCTAGTCGGATTTTATTAGATTCCTATTTTGTTTGTGTTGATGTCGAGTTTCGAGGCTAAGCCCACTGGGGGTTAGAGACGTCTATTTTTGCCCTGTCCCTTTAGTCTTTTTTTTTTCCCTTTTGGAGCAAATACGATTCGTGCTCGTCTCATCTTACTCCTGCTCCTTTTTCTCCCCTTCCCTCACCTCTTCTCTCCTCCTTCTTTCCTCCCCCACCACTTCTAATCGGGTGTCGTTTTTTTTTTTTCTTTGGTCGGGATCACTCGACTTGCATTCGACCTCATCCCCCCCCCTTTGTTCACTCGGGGAAACCAAAATAACACACCACTCTGTCCCCCCAAACCTTGTGGACCCTCCTTTTCTTTGATCGGGAGGACAATCTCTTAAAGCCGCTCCCACATTGGAATCCTCGACGCGAGCCCAACCCTTACGACCTGCAGCCCTGGTGGCTTAATCTTTCGGCTCCCTTCATCACCACGACCTCCTCTCTTCGCCCTCTTTTACCCCTCTTCGGATTTGGACAGCATCCCGCCGGTTTTTAATTCTACCTGTCAAACCGTTGCGCGACCATCATGGCCTACCAAGGGTCTGGCGCGCACTCGCCCAAGTACGAGAGCCACCAAGATGCTCCCAGTTCCCAAGTACGCGCCTCCCCCCACGGTTAATCCCTTGTAGAGGGGGTTTACCTCCAAAAACCATCCCCTCTCAAATGCTTCTTTCATCAAAATACTAACTTATACTCACCAGTATCGGGAAGATGAAGATGCCTCGCACGGACTGTTGTCCCACCAGCAAGGTCCCTTTGCGACTCCCTTTGACGACCCGCACTCTCGCGGCGTCTCTCCCGTGCGCCCTGCCTCGGGATACAGTCTGACCGAGACCTATGCCACGGACTCAGCTCCAGGCTACCATGACCCCTACGCGACCGGCTCTGTCTACTCGGGCCAGTCTGAGAACCCCGCAGCTGCCTTTGGTGTCCCCGGCCGGGTTGCCTCACCCTACGCTCGTAGCGAGACCTCCTCCACCGAGGCCTGGCGCCAGCGACAAGCTCCTGGAGGTGCAACCGGCGGCGGCCTGCGCCGTTATGCCACCCGTAAGGTGAAGCTGGTCCAGGGTTCCGTCCTGAGTGTCGACTATCCCGTGCCCAGTGCCATTCAAAATGCCATTCAGGCCAAGTACCGCAACGATCTCGAGGGTGGTAGCGAAGAGTTTACCCATATGCGATGTAAGTAGCGTTCAGCGCGAACCTTGGAAGACCCTGTGAACCGCAGTCCAGGAGTCCAATCCAGAAGATACACACATACACGGAATGCGGGCTAACTTCGCATCTTCTCATCGTCTAGACACTGCTGCAACCTGCGATCCCAACGAGTTTACCCTCCACAATGGTTACAACCTGCGTCCCGCCATGTACAACCGTCACACTGAGCTGCTCATTGCGATTACCTACTATAACGAGGACAAGACTCTGACCTCGCGCACACTGCACGGTGTCATGCAAAATATTCGCGATATCGTCAACCTTAAAAAGTCCGAGTTCTGGAACAAGGGTGGTCCTGCTTGGCAGAAGATCGTCGTGGCCCTCGTGTTCGACGGTATCGACCCCTGTGACAAGGATACGCTGGATGTCCTGGCCACCGTTGGTATCTACCAGGACGGTGTCATGAAGCGCGATGTCGACGGCAAGGAGACCGTGGCCCACATCTTCGAATACACCACTCAGCTGTCCGTGACGCCCAGTCAACAGCTTATCCGACCGACCGACGATGGACCCAGCACCCTCCCCCCGTCCAGATGATGTTCTGTCTGAAGCAGAAGAACAGCAAGAAGATCAACTCTCACCGTTGGCTCTTCAACGCCTTTGGCCGTATTCTCAACCCCGAGATCTGTATCTTGCTCGACGCAGGAACCAAGCCCGGCCCCAAGTCTCTTCTCGCTCTCTGGGAGGGCTTCTACAATGACAAGGATCTTGGTGGTGCCTGTGGTGAAATTCACGCCATGTTGGGTAAGGGCTGGCGGAACTTGGTCAACCCGCTCGTGGCAGCACAGAACTTTGAGTACAAGATCAGTAATATCTTGGATAAGCCTCTCGAGAGTTCGTTCGGTTACGTGTCCGTGTTGCCCGGTGCTTTCTCTGCCTATCGATTCCGCGCAATCATGGGTCGCCCGCTTGAGCAGTACTTCCACGGTGATCACACCCTGTCGAAGCAGCTGGGTAAGAAGGGTATCGAAGGCATGAACATTTTCAAGAAGAACATGTTCTTGGCCGAGGATCGTATCCTCTGTTTCGAGTTGGTCGCCAAGGCCGGTTCCAAGTGGCATCTGTCGTATGTCAAGGCCTCTAAGGCCGAGACTGACGTGCCCGAAGGTGCCGCCGAGTTTATCTCGCAGCGTCGTCGTTGGTTGAACGGTTCGTTCGCTGCCGGTATTTACTCGCTGATGCATTTCGGCCGTATGTACAAATCTGGTCACAACATCATCCGTATGTTCTTCCTGCACATTCAGATGTTGTACAATATCTTCAGCACCATCCTCACCTGGTTCGCGCTCGCCTCGTACTGGCTGACCACCACTGTCATTATTGACTTGGTCGGTACCCCCAGCGAGACTAACGGGAACAAGGCTTTCCCCTTCGGTAAAACTGCGACCCCCATTATCAACACCATCGTCAAGTATGCCTATTTGGGCTTCCTGCTCCTTCAGTTCATCCTTGCCCTCGGTAATCGTCCCAAGGGTTCCAAGTTCTCGTACCTGGCCTCCTTTGTCTTCTTCGGTGTCGTCCAGGTGTACATCGTGGTGGATTCGCTGTACCTGGTGGTTCGCGCCTTCAGCGGTGGCGCACCGATGGATTTCGTTACCGACCAAGGTGTGGGAGCTTTCCTCAAGTCGTTCTTCTCTTCGTCCGGTGCTGGTATCATTATTATTGCCCTGGCTGCCACCTTCGGTCTCTACTTCGTCGCCTCGTTCATGTATGCCGACCCTTGGCACATGTTCACCTCGTTCCCCGCCTACATGGTTCTGCAGTCTTCGTACATCAACATTCTCAACGTCTATGCCTTCAGCAACTGGCACGATGTGTCTTGGGGTACCAAGGGTTCCGACAAGGCTGATGCGCTGCCCTCTGCCAAGACTACCAAGGACGAAGGCAGTAAAGACGCGGTCATAGAGGAAATTGATAAACCACAGGCCGATATTGACAGTCAATTCGAGGCTACCGTCAAGCGTGCCTTGACGCCTTACGTTGCCCCCGTTGAACATGACGAGAAGTCCCTGGAGGATTCGTACAAGAGCTTCCGTACTCGTCTCGTCACCTTTTGGATTTTCAGCAATGCCTTCCTGGCCGTGTGTATTACCAGCGAGGCGGTTGACAAGTTCGGCTTCACGGTGGGTCCCCTCTTTTCCAATTAACTTTGAATTCTTCTCCTTGAGAATCTGCTTACTGACAATTTCTTCCAGAACACTGCCACCACTCGTACCACTCGTTTCTTCCAGGCCCTCCTGTGGTCCACCGCCGCCATGTCCCTGTTCCGCTTCATCGGTGCCTGTTGGTTCTTGGGTCGCACTGGTATCAAGTGCTGTTTCGCCCGCCGGTAAACGGATGTGTGGACGTACTCTTTCCTATGCCTTTTTTTCTGTTACTCATGAAAACACCCCTTGGCACATGTATCTCCTTCTCTCCCGCCTTCATCTTGTTCATCTCAATTCTGTCCTTCTTGTCTTCAGCTGTCGCGATCTGTATTCTACCTAAAGATGCCCGTTACCTTTCGAAGTTCTTTTTTTCGTTTTTGTGATGCCAGTATGTACTCTCGTGGAAGGGTTGACTAGCAACCTTGAAATCCCGTGATACTCTTTTTTTGGGGACCAGCGATGCAATGGGAATGCATTCGGGGCGCAATGAAATCTTTCTGAGATGTGATTAAAAAGATAAAGTGACTGAATAATTCGTATAGACTTTGGTAAGTTTGTCACAGTACCCGACTTCGTGTCAAAGTACGTCATGTTCCATTGTAAAGGCGGAACAGAAAGAACCCGCCGGGCTGAGAAACGAACTCCCCCGCAAGACTTGTCTCTCTTTCACTTCCACCTCTCCAACCTTCTCTGTCCACCACCAAGCTCGACTTTTGCTCTCGAGTTGTGGCAATCTTGCTGCGTCGACTGTGATCCCTTTTTCCATCCCTCTTGGACCTGCTTTCCCCTCCCCTCCGTATCTTGTGATCTCCGTGTTTCCACCAGGTGGGGTGGTGACTCCCAAGATGTTGAAGATCTGGTCGATGGTATGGACTACACCCTGGATCTATACAAAATAACTGATAGATGAACTTCGAACTGACTCCCCTTACAGAAACAGCAGCAGGCGCAGGCTGAAAATGCCGAAGGCGCCGCTGGCAAGAAAAAGAAGAAGGTCACCGCTGCGCAACTCCGCGTGCAACGAGGTATGTCTCTCTCCCACGACCTTTCGACTCATACCTTCCACTTATCCTGGAGAAATATTCTCAAGATGACTTCCTTCTAACCCTCTTTCTTGCTGTATAGACCTCCAAGAACTCACCCTCGGAAATACCATGAAAATGACCTTCCCCAACCCGGACGATATCCTCAACTTCACCTTGACCATCGAGCCGGACGAGGGCATGTACAAGGGCGGCGTGTTCAACTTTAGTTTCGCCGTGAACCAGAATTTCCCGCACGACCCGCCCAAGGTCAAGTGTACCCAGAAGATTTATCACCCGAATATCGATCTGGATGGGAACGTGTGCTTGAACATCCTGCGCGAGGACTGGAAGCCCGTGTTGAATTTGAATGCGGTTATCGTGGGCATGCAGGTGGGTTTGCGTCAAGGCTTTATTATGGATTCAGGGCGGAATGTGATGGGCTAACTGTTTGATCTTCTTGCAGTTCCTCTTCCTCGAGCCCAATGCCTCGGATCCCCTGAACAAGGATGCTGCGGATGACCTCCGTACGAACCGTGAGGGCTTCAAGCGGAATGTTCGCTCCTCCATGGCCGGCGGGTCCGTCCGGGGCGTGAGCTTCGAGCGGGTGCTTCGGTAGAATCGGTGATAATCTGATCGATTCGTTGCTCCCAGAATGGGGGTCTCGCGTGTCTAGCTGTGATACCTTTCCTATCCTGTGATGGGAGTATCTGTGGCTGGCGCTCGGGACTGGATTATGAGAGATGCGAACATGATGATTCATGGCTCTACAGGGTGGACTTTTATCTCCAGGGTGGGATTTTCAAGTACATATAAGTGGCGTAATTAGCGTTTTGAATTCAATAGATCCCGTCCGATCAAACTGGGATGAAGATGAGTAGAGCGTGTGGAAAGTGTGTAATTCGTCTGCAACGTAGTTGATCTAGATCTACAAGTCAAGAGCATCGGTCATCGGTCATGGATTATCCGAGCAGCGTATAACCCAGCTAGTCAAGTGGAAAATCTCCAATATAGAGGACCAGGAAATAGAAAAGTAAATTGATCACAGGCGTATATGTACAATCGGGTTCAACACAAAAACACCATCCACACGCGGCCGGGACCCGATCGACGCATCTCACTCATGGAGATTACAAGACCCCCAGACTTCCTTGACACAAGGAATATTGATTGATTGCTTCTTTTTTAGGGAGGAGATCTCAGTTCACAAAGGGAAAACGCAGTGATGCCGATGGGCGAAAACGAAAAGGTCGAGGGGATGCGACTAGTGTTGATCGATTTATGCGCGCTGGGCGGCACGCTCCTGCTCCAGACGAGTGTAGTAGGCATCACGCTCGCGGACGCGGGGCAGGTGGTAGCCTGGATGATGGGAGAGAGATTGATTAGCAAGGTTGGTCTTGGAGGAGATGGAGGGCATGGATTCATGTTACTTACCGTACCACCAGAGGTAACCGAAGGTGGTGCCGAAGCCTAGATGGTGAGGTTGTTGGTTAGTCGATTGTGATCCTTTCCCCATGCGCTATGTATGGCCGTATTGCTGTGCCCATTGCATCCCGGATAACTGGTGTATGCAAGATATCCTGCGCCGAGAGCAATTGCGGAATTTCCAAATCTCGGTCCATCATGCGATCATGCCACTCGCGACCACCTCTAAAGAACGACTCGATCACTCACCGAAAGCGGTGCTCAGGTCCAGAACGAGACCACGGCGAAGCATCTGTTTATCAAACAACGCATGTTAATCCATTGTCCACCTGTAGCGAAGCACCCGACCAGCCCGCTCGGGGCAAGCCGGGTCTCGTAGGGAAGGGGGACCACCTACGCCGGTGATGGGGGGGGAGAGCGGCGGGCATTGTAGCGGATAGACAGCGTCAGTCGATGCTCGGGGGGCTTTTCGAGGGGGTGGACAGAATTGATCCTGCCTCGAGGGGTTGCGGGGTGGGCAAAGGGTGGAGGAGAGGAGAGTGACGGAGTGAAGTGGACGGGAAGTGAAGTTGAAGCTTTCGGGCGGACTAAGCGAGGCTCCGGATTGGTCGATGCAGTCTGGCACCTCACGCCATGGAGGTTGACTTGTGATTTCAGTTGATTTGGGATTCTGTGAATAGTTTCTCTTTTCTTCTATTATCTTTTTTATTTATCACTCGAATTGATCTCCTTTCTGACTCGACTAATTTCTGCTCACGAAGCTTTCAGAGAGAAGTGGATGCCTCAGGTATCAACCACGTGACCCAGGCCCTGTCGACGGGCAACAAGCTACTCTCTCGTCTCAAACAGCTTCGTCCTCGACAGCACCCCTCCAGTGGCCATGGCGACGTCGGCCCAGATCAAGCGCTCCTCTTCTCACCTAGAAGCAGCCAATAATAAGCGACCAAAACGTCATTATCATCACCACCACCGCCTCGCCGAACCAGTGACTCTGCCGCAAGCCTGCGAGCCCGCCTTGCAAGATGACGACAATATCGACCACATGATGAACCGATCGATAGGGCATTATCTTCGAGATGCGGGATTTGAATTGGCCGATCCGGCTGCTTTGTCCAGCTTCCGCAGCGCCGCAGAAGAGTGTACGTTTTACACCGGATCCTGGATGTTCATCCCATGGGGGGAAAGATTCGAACTAATGCCTGACACTATCTAGATCTCCTACACATTTCCAAATTCGTTCGCCAGTCCATGCTATCCTCACGGCGTCTCCAACCAATTCCGCAAGACTTTGAATACGCGTTGAATCATCATCGCATCACTCCCGATGACCTCCGTCCCTACCTCAAGTTACCTCCAACAGTCACGCCAATCCCTACCCTCCTTCCGTCTCCACCACCCGAGGATGAAGTCAAACGGAAACTTCCATTCTTGAATGCGCTACGAGGCGAAGAGAGCGAGACCAACCGGTCATACGTGCCTAAGCACTTCCCCGACTTCCCAAGCAAACATACCTACTCCTCCACTGCCGTGTTCACCGAGCGCGACAACGACCCGCGCAAGATCCGTGAGCGTGCCGCAGAAGACGGTCGACATGGCGAAGAGGCTTTGCGAAAGCTGGCTAGCGCCGCGTATCGTGACAGTCCGACTGGCGCGATTGGCCGGGATAAGAAGCTCTGGGGCCGGCGGATGGAGAGTATGGAGACTATGTTTGAGAAGACGGTGAAGGGACTGGCGAAGAAGGTAACGAAAGACCCGCTCGCCACTACAAGTGCGAATGCCACGATCGGTTCTGCCATGGAGATTGATTCAGGCCCGGTCTTGGACGGAGATGGGAAGGCTCGGGCTAAGGGATTGTTGAACACGGAGATGGGGCCCATTGTCAATTGCGAGCGAGACTATTGGCGGCGCACAACGGCGGCCAATAGACGAGGCGCCGAGGACAAGACGCCGAAGCCGAATACAGCTGTCGAGGCTGTGGATGGTCTCGTGGGCAGATGAGATGACGGCGCTGAAAAGGTCAGGCCCCGACAAGATTACATTCTCGGCGTTCTCGCGTTGCTTTTTATTCTGGGTCCTTTGGTTGTTTTCTTGGGCTGGCGCTTTTTTGTATGTTTTCGGAGTCGTTCTTGAGGAGATAGATACCCCATGGCAGTTGCAGCATGACAATGATTGTTTGATTTTCATTCTCTCCCTTGTAATCCCATAAACTCCGCCCAATGCCAAAAGCTCAATAATAAGTGTGTGCTGTATCCAGAGAGATGATTTGATCTATCATGATTTTGTATTCGTCGCCTTCTTTTGGGCCTCTTCCGCGGCTATCCTGACCGGTTCCCATGAAGTGGTTTCCACCGTCAATCCTCCGGCGCATCTGACTTGACCATTAGTCGCTGTATCACTTTGTTGCTGCATTCATGCCCTCACCGTCGAAACAGCCGAACGATCGGCTCACAAGTAATCACACCCGGTTGTGGGATCCCTCCGTCAGGCGGATTGCAGGAGTATTGCACCATCTCGAGTAGCTGGCACTCCTTCAGGTTCACGACTGGACCTTTGCGACGCTTGTCTTGAAAGTTGCGCTGGATGGTGTTGACATGGTCGGGCAGGTTCTCTGCTGAGAACGTGCGGAGTATGGGGGCCATACTTGGTTGAAATGAGGTCGAGAGGAACTGTATTTGCGCCGTCGAGGGGATCTCGGGGTTGTCGTGGAGTCGAATGGGGAGATTCTAAGTTGTGAAGGTGAAGTTCCTCCTCAAAACTCTCCGGCCGCGGAAGCTTCCGTTCCCCGAACTACTCCATTTACACTCGACTCGGACAGTCGCTGCACGACGCGTCTCGCAGGGAGATCTAATGCAGCTGTACCTGCAGATAATTGCATGCATCTGATATCACTAGGCATGCCGGCTTTATAAAATCTGCAGGCTCTTGACCGTCATGGCCGCCAGTTTGGGTGCGACGGCGCTGGCTGATGTGCATCACCAAGGGCTGGACCAGGTATCTAGAAAATTCCCTCGAGACAGTTTTGACTTGCATAGCTGATTTGTTTCTATAGATTCTGAATGAACTGGCTGCTGTCTGCCCTACTAGTCTTGATCAACAGCCGCTAGTGGGTGTCCCTGTCATTGATGCTTTGCTGGAAGTCTTCATGCAGAGACTACCGGGCACTGCAATTGAGACAGAACGGCATTTATACAATAATGAACCACCAGAGCGAATAATTACAGAAGACGAGGAGATGCTCTTGAACTACGATGACCAGGCTGATGAGACTGCCACTTCTGGGGAATCACCTGCCCAAGCAGATCCTGAGCCATCATCCAATGTCCTCTTTTCGAGCTCGGTCCCCAGACACAAGCGAGCTAGGCCAGTCGTGGAAATTTCCAGCAGTCTTTCCGGTGCTGGGAAAACACAATTACTATATTATATGACTGCGCGTGCCATATTGCCGAGAACTTATGGCGGCGTCTCCATCGGAGGGCTCGAGGCAGCTGTGGTCTGGATGGACGCTGATGATCGGTTCGATGTCTACAGACTACGAAATGTGGCCGAAGGAATTCTACGACAAGCACGAGAATCAGTGGATGATGAGACATCGGATCAGCAAACTGGACTCTGTTCAGATGGACAGCTGACAGAGATTTTGACATCCTCCCTCCAGCATGTCCATGTCTTTCGCCCACAATCATCCTCGGCCCTTCTTGCCACGCTGTGTACCTTAGACAAGTATCTTTATGATCTATCTCGCCATCATTCTGCCTCACGGCCGCTACACATGCTAGTCATCGACAGCGCCACAGCATTCTTCTGGCAAGACAAATTACGGGACGAAGTGGCTCGCACCGAAGAGATTGGGCGTCCTCGACCAGAGTCTGATCAAAAGCGGGAGATGAAACAGATCTTCAACCTCTCTGATCTGTACGCTCAGATAGTCAACGAGTTGAAGCGACTGCAGGGTCGATTCGGATGCGCCGTGGTGTATACAACAACAGTCTCCAGTGGCCGTCTGCCTGCTTCAACTACCAGCGGTCAATCTGGTCCTCTTGGCCCATATGACCGTCCACCGTCTCAGACACCATCCCTGCGGCCTGCATTGCCAGCTCCATGGGGCACGTTCCCGGTCCTCCGCTTGGTGGTTCACAGGGACAGGGTTCGCCCGTTCCCACCGGCTATGAGTGCACACGATGCCCGGAGGGATGCCCCCATGCGACAGAGCGTTGTTACTCAAGGCAAGTTCTCAGCCTGGGTCAATGCATGGGGTCGTGAGGAATGGCCTCGTCGAGTGGTGGATGGTGTCAACTGGTATAATGGCGGGTGCTTCTCATTCTACGTACGAGCGACTGGAGTTGAAATCCCATTGCCAGACAACTGAAACAACTATCCATCTTATATGACGTTTTTGAAAACTTATGGCTATCTATCTATCTTTATTAAAAAATCAACCAAATAGCTTGCTGATCGCCTCGACGGTGGTATTACCACCGCTGAAGACAATGGCCATGTCCCATCCCTGATCTCCACCTTCCCGCTCAACCAGTCGACGGAAATCTTCATCGAAGAGGCACACAGCCAGACCAACAACGGCGCTTGGCTCGACAAACACCTTCATGCGTTCCAAAACGAGGCGCATGGTCGCCTTGATCTGTTCCTCAGTGACAGCGAACACCCCCTCAACCTTCTTCTTGTTGGAGATTACCTCCCAGTTCAACACTCCCACCGGTGTACGAAGACCATCTCCAATAGTCAGCGTTGATACAGCCTCAACACGCTTGCCGGCCAACAAACCCCGACGACAATCATCCGCACCCTCGAAGCTGGGCTCTGCCCCAAACACCTTGGTCTTCTTATCCGAGAAGTATGTCGCGACACCAGCGTTCAATCCACCTCCACCAACCGGAGTGATGACTGCATCTAGAGTCTTGGACCCAGCTTGCTCCGCATATTGAGCCTCCAGCTCCAACGCCGTCGTTCCCTGTCCACAGATGATATTGAAGTCATCATATGGAGGTACCAGGATTGCATTTGTCTTTGCCTGAATTTCTTCGACCATCGCCTCACGCTCAACACTCGTTGATCCACTGAAAATGACCTCCGCGCCGTGGGAGCGTGTCCCTGCAATCTTGGACGAAGTGCTGATACTCGGCATCACGATATAAGCGGGAACACCGAGCGTCGAGGCGGCGAGGGCGAGGGCTTGCGCATGGTTACCTGAGAAAGTATACCATTAGTCTCCGAATTCCATAACACTATATCACTACTCATGGCCAATTCCATACCAGAACTATGCGTAATCACACCGTGCCGCTTAACCTCCTCTTCCCCACGTTCCTCAATCAACCGCAGCAAAGCATGGAATGCACCTCGGGCCTTGAACGCGCCAATCCGCTGTAGATTCTCACACTTGAAGAAGAAGCGAAATTTGGGGCGAGCGGGTGTCTGGCCCTCGAATGGTGTGCCGACGAGCGCCTCTGGTGTCTGCGGGGTGGATGCGATCGTGTCGAGGGTTTTGCAGGTTAGAAGTGGGGTGCGATGCACGTAGGGTTGGATCAGAGTGTATGCGGCCTGGACGGCGGAGGGAGTTAGGGATTGGGCTTTTTCTGCTGGGGATGCCATGATGATTGATTTTGTTTGGTTGTGAATGAGAGGGTTTAGGGAAGAGTTGAGATTACCTGAGTGAGTCAGAATTATGGAGAGGGGATTGTTCGTCTTCCCCTCTTTGTCGGGGTTGCTCCGAGGACGGGGATGTCCGAGAAAAAGGCAAGATAAAATCCCACGATTGTAAGAGGAGATTCATCCAAGACTACGATCGACACTACAATGGCACAATAAGACGATTGATGGCAAATTCCAGCTTTGCTTAGCTGTCAATGATATTTCGTTGTTATACCCGAAGCCCAAAAACAGTATCATAGTACATCATAACTTTTGTCCGATTTCCCTCCTTAATGGTATCACGATATTATTTATTTCTGGTTCTCGGGACGGAGCGAGCTGAAAGAAGAAGAATAGGTTAGCAATCTTGTCATGGATGAATGTGTTGATGAGGAAAGGGGTAACATACCGGACAGCCTTGCCGGCGCGCCAAATCTCGAGGCTGCGGATCTCCTCCATCTCCTTCTCGTACTTCTCACGGTAATCCTTCTGGGAGTTGTAGTCGAGGGAGCGCTGGGTCTCAGTGCCGTCACGGACGCTGTCGTAGAGCTCGTTGAACAGGGGCTTCAGGTTGTCCTTGAAGCGGCTGGACCAGTCAATGGCACCACGGCGGGCAGTGGTGGAGCAGGCAGCGTACATCCAGTCCATACCGTATCCACCGATGAGGGGATACAGGGACTGGGTGGCCTCCTCGACGGTCTCGTTGAAGGCCTCGGAGGGGGAGTGGCCACGCTCACGGAGAACCTCGTACTGGGCGAGGAACATACCGTGGATACCACCCATCAGGCAGCCACGCTCACCGTAGAGGTCGGAGTAGACCTCCTTCTCGAAGGTGGTCTCGTAGAGGTAGCCGGAACCGACGGCAACACCCATGGCGATGGCCTTCTCCTTGGCCTGGCCGGTGACGTCCTGGTAGACGGCAATGGAGGAGTTGATACCACGGCCCTCCTTGAAGAGAGAGCGGACGGTACGGCCGGAACCCTTGGGGGCGACCAGGATGACGTCGACATCGGTGGGGACCTCAACCTTGGTGAGGTCCTTGAAGACGGGGGAGAAACCGTGAGAGAAGTAGAGGGTCTTGCCCTTGGTGATGAGGGGCTTGATAGTGGGCCAGGTCTCGGACTGAGCGGCATCGGAGAGGAGGTTCATGACGATGGTACCCTTCTCAATGGCGGTGTTGACATCGAACAAGTTCTTGCCGGGGACCCAGCCGTCCTCAATGGCCTCCTTCCAGGAAGCACCATCCTTGCGGACACCGACGATGACGTTGAGGCCCTGGTCACGGAGGTTCAGACCCTGGCCGTGACCCTGGGAGCCGTAACCGATGAGAGCAAGAGTGTCGTTCTTGAAGTACTCGTGGAGCTTCTCACGGGGCCAGTCAGCGCGCTCGTAGACATCCTCCTTGACACCAGCGAAGTCAATGGTCTTGACACCACGGACGGGGGTGATGGGAGCAATGGCACGGCGGGCAACGCTAGCCAGAGCGGGCCGGGGGAGAGCAGCGGTAACAACCGAGCGAGGAGCAGCCACGCGGGCGAGGCGGAGGGCACGGGGAAGACCACGAGCAGCCATTGTGTGTGTATGTGTGAATGGGAAGGGGGGGGGGGAGGGGGAGGGGGGAAAGGGAGATAGAGTGGAGAGTAGAAAGTAAAGAGAGAAAGGAATCTGGGGAGGAGGAAGGGCAGAAGGAGGAATTTAAGTAACCGAGAAAGTTTGGGGGAGCAGCTCTGGGAGTCATCCATGCTCCCAGCCTGCACATGACTCCACATGACTTGCTCCGGAGAAGAACTTGAGCTCCCCGGCCGACACCGGGGACCCGTTTTCAGCCTCCGTGATTGGTTGCCGCAACCGGCGCAGGTCTGGCCCCAGCAACTTTACAAGCCCGCCGATCGTGAGATCTCCGGCCCGATGGAGAGAGAAAAAAGAGACTTCTGACCGTTAAAGGGCGTTGGAGGGAGAGATTATTGGAGAAAGTATGGTGATTGACTCATTGCGACCCATTGTATCTTCCTTTTGTGGAGCCTTTATATTGTTAGGATGTAGCTAAGGGTACCATGAGCGGGGGAACGCCGCGGACTTGAGACCATTTGCTCCGACAAGAAGGAGAGTTTGCGGGGGTCAATGGCACTCAAATTACTCAATTGATCCTGGCTGGATCCAAGATAGTTGCTTGATGCTATAGCTACACGAGTCAACTGGCAATGGCACGATGATACTATACTGGACAGTATGTCTTGCGGATCCACGTGACTGAACTCCCGTCCGGGGCCTTGCTGCCTTGCTGCCTTGCTGCCTTACTGCCTTATGGCCTAGCTTCCTGAAGGTTAGATGGCAATCGATGCCTGACCCTTCAGGTGTCATCTCCACCCCCTCAAAGCTTCCCCCGCGACACAAACAAAGCGGCTGTTGATTGTTCGACCTTCCCCTCCACTACTTGCGCTGCGCCCCTCGCGCCGTGCCATGTCGACTCGACAATGAGCTTCTTCTCGTTTGGCGATATTCCCGCCATTCATACCCGCAAAGCTCTGCTACTCTTGGACTTTCAAAACGACTTTGTCCGCCCGTCCGGAGCCCTCCATGTTCCCAATACTGCAGATATTCTGGAAATCCTGCCCCCACTGGCAGCAGCCTTTCGTCGCTCCGGCGATGTGATTTGGGTGCGCTCGCAGTATGACTCTCCGCAGCCCACCGAAGATTGGAACTTTGGGGATCGTGTTGTCTTGGAGAAAGGCCCACCGAAGCCAGCGCCGATACCCAGATCCGATGTAATCGAGGCTTCGTCCGATCGTGACTCTCCAGAGCCCGTAGACACTGAAGCTTTTCTCTCTGGTCGATCTGCCAAGTGCTGCGCCGCACAATCCCCTGGGTATCAATTTCCCGCACCCGTCCTCGCTGCTATTGACCCCGATCGCGATACGGTGCTTGACAAGACGGGTTATTCTGCTCTGGAGTCTGAAGGTCTGGTTTTGTCATTTCGCACACGCTTTATAACCGAGCTGTATATATGCGGCTCCCTATCGAACGTCTCCGTCTATGCGACGGCTCTTGATGCCGTCCGGAACGGCTTCTCGGTGACGGTAGTCGAGGACTGCCTGGGGTATCGGGATTTTCAGCGTCACCAAGAAGCCATGCGTCGCATGGCAGATATCCTGGGAGCAGCGGGAATCACGGCACAGGAGCTGCACCAAGAGCTGGAGTGGCAGGAAACAGACGAGATCGCTCGGCAGAACAAAATGCAGCCGCCCAAACGACCGACAACTGCGGGTGCTCCCGTTGGTATTGAGGATATCATGGACAGTTTGGATGTGATGCCCGTTGATTCCATTCCGGAGGAGGCTGTGGAGGAGGCTCAGGAGGAGGAAAACTGCAGTTTGGCACAGCTCGCCTCACAGGCTCGAGCACAGAGAATCGCAGCAGCCGGTGCTCGTGTGCCAGTTGATGCAAAGAAGCAAGTTCGTGCACGAGTGCGTCGCCCGAAGCGTCGCGAGCCTACACCCAATGCAGACTCTGGAGATCGACCGGCAAAAGGCACGTCTAGCGACAGTTTGGGAGAGGGCGATTCCCGCATCATCCCAGAAATTGATTTGTCTGCTGAAGCCTTTGAGCGTATCCGGGCGGAGGTTTCCTGGCAGAAGATGTACCATCTGTCCGGCCAGGTCCCTCGACTTGTGGCGGTTCAAGGTCATATCCAGCCCGATGGCTCCATTCCTATCTATCGGCACCCCGCAGATGAATCTCCACCATTGAAACAATTCACGCCGGCCGTGGATGAAGCGCGCATCCTGGTCGAGCGAATCCTCGGCCACCCCCTCAACCACGTCCTTATCCAACTCTACCGTGATGGACAAGATTCGATCTCCGAGCATTCTGACAAGACTCTTGACATTGTTCGCGGATCCTTCATCTGTAACGTCAGCTTGGGCGCCCAGCGTGTCATGACGCTTCGTACCAAAACCTCAGCTTCCGAGTCTCATGAAGGAACCGAATCAAGTCGTCTCAAGCAGCAAGTCCCGCTGCCCCATCGATCTCTCTTCATTCTTGGAGAAAAAACTAATATGCGCTGGCTTCACGGTATCCGACCCGACAAGCGAGCCGCGTCCATCAAATCTCCCGCGGAGCATGCTTTTGGTGGCGAGCGTATCTCCCTTACTTTCCGACACATTGGCACCTATCTCAACCCGAACACCAATACTATCTGGGGCCAAGGAGCCGTTAGCAAATCCTCAGATACCGCCCGTCCTGTTATCCACGGTGAACCTGCAGAAACCGAGCGACTGATCCGCGCATTCGGTCAAGAGAATCGGGCCACCGAGTTTGACTGGGATGCCTTTTATGGCGCTGGTTTTGATGTGGTGAACTTTGTCACTACGTCTCCTGCTCTGCTCAAGCTTAGTGGAGACTTGGTTGCAGATCTGCGAGTGCAACTGGGATTGGGGGAGAACGGACTTCGATATGAGATTGTCGAAGGCTCTGAACCTCATGCTCAAGATGGAAAACCAAGCCCACGACCGTTGTATACAGACTCGGATGGAAGATCCATTGCAGGGGATGTGGCCATTCTGACGCACCTGGCTGAACGCCCCGCGGACTCAATAAGGCCTGGCGTGGAAGCTCTGCGAGGTGGCAATGAACTTCAGTGGATTGAAGGTTTCCTTGCACGATGGCGTGATCATCGTGCCAGTAATCCCGATTGCCGGTACGAAGCCAACTTGGAGGATTGCGAGCGTGCCCTGGAAGGCCGACATTACCTTGGAGGCTCGGCATTGAGCATCGATGATTGCTCCTTTTGGCCAGTCTTGCGCGAGATTGTACTGTGTCAAGGACCCTTTGATGCGGGGTTGGTGAATCTCAACCAATATTACATACGCGTAGAGAAACGGGGCATTGTAAGGGCCATCCTAGAGGGCTCCCAATGAGACTGAAGATCTTGAACTGCATATAGCGACTTGGCGATACCAGGCTACTTGTCTCTGGCGCCCACAAATTTACTTCTCTGTTCTACAGCCATGGACATATCACGATATACGAATGAAATCAATGGCCATATGGCAGCTTTTTCAAGACCAAGAGAGAATGTGATAATTCCGGCTACTGCTTGATATTTGCTATTTACATTCCACTTCGAATCATCTCCAAACACTTTCGTCTTCAGCCTAAGCTTCAAAGACACTCGCCCTCGAAGCTTTCAGTGTTCAGGAGACTCTCCAATCCAACTCCGGCACAGACGACGGCCTTGAAGAAAGCCTGAGCCACAACCGAGGCACCCTCAGCGCTCGTGTGGGTATGATCAAGCGGAAAGTATGCATCGACGACATCCACACCCAATGACTCAAAGATATCAGCCACATAAGCTCCATGGTCGACATACGATACACCAGCAGTCTGAGCTGCCAACTCGGCATATCCCACAAACCGCGAGGGCGAGTACGTGAATGTACCGGTCTCCCAGGGGTTGTTGGGCGTCTGGCTGGAGATGAGCACGTTGGCCCCCTTGGCCACGAATGTGCTGGCTGCGTTCTCCAGGTACTTGGGGAAGGTCAAGACAGTCTCCGTCACGCCGTCATAGGTCGTGGTGCATGTCTCATCCCCAGTGCCGGAGCAGTCGGTGCGGCCATTGTCCGTTGGCGTGAGCGAACCTCCGTCATTATGTCCGAATTCGATAATTACCCAGTCTCCGGATTGGACTTCGCTGGCGATCGTGTCGAAGCGGCCTTCGCGGGTGTAGGATCGTGCACTGCGGCCGGCGATGGCTTGATTGGAGACCGTGGCTGATGTATAGGGGGAGACATACTCGCCCCATCCTGGATGTTGTTAGATATACAATGCTGATGAGGCTTTAGGTGTCTTGGTCTTTGCTTGGAGAACGTACCTGCAGTACCGGATCCAGTGCCTCCCTTGGCCATGGTTGAATCGCCGGCCAAGTAGATAGTTGTGCCCAGCACACTGGGGACCATAGAGAGCAACACAGCAGACTTCATGATAGGCAATAGGTTGAGCTTGACAAGACTAGGCAAGGTGAACAAAGCAATTGAGAATATCCTTGAAATTGTAGATTGAAAAAGAGAATAAACAACGTTCCTACTGCTTCTTCTTAAACCAACCACATCCCCATAACCACCGGGACCATCTACACCGAAGTACGGAGTATATCAACCCAATTTACCCCTGTCAGAGCCAAATTATACGTGGAAAAAGAGGAGCCCCCTCTCTTCTGCAATATGACGGGCGATGTCCGACGAGAGAGACAGGGCGTTCGGATCAACGGAGCTCTTTTTGCCCCTGCTGACGGCGGAACTCGAGACTAAAGCGCCATCGTATTTGCGGGGAAGATGCGGATCGTCGGTGGTCTTTGATTCATGGAACCTGCATTTCTGCGCTGTACCTTCGGTATTCTGCCTTTTGTGATCCGGAGCTTCTTCCAGATCATCACCATTGCCCGTTGCGGATGATGTGGAGGGCCTTGTTTTTATTTCTCTCTCTGAAGGCTTAAGGCTTGGCTGTGGTTGTGTGGTGAAACCGCTGAAACTGGGTGTGTTTCGGGCTGTGCTTTTTTCGTTCGGCCTTATTTTCTACTTATTGTCTACGGTCTAGACTGGGTACTCTATCGGTCGCATGTCCCTGACGGGGAAATGTTATTTTAGTGCTTATTTTGAAGAAGGTAATTGTGACCTGATATCGTCAAAGCGTCCGACAAGTTGAAGGAAAAGTTCATTTATGTACAACGCCTCCGTCAGTCTCGACCACCGCGTGGATCAAGTGGAGACTAGTCAATGTAAACTTAGTAACACACGTAAGCTGTCAATAATTATTTACCTATAGCTTCTCGAAAGTAGGGGTGCGTTTCTGGAGTCCCGACAGCAAAGCAGCAGAGACATCCCCCGTTTGCAACGCCGCGCTGTTCCACACACCGGTATACCGCAGACCATCCTGGACGGAGTGATCGCGCGACCAGTTCAGAATCTCCTTGGTACCCTGAACAGCCACAGGACTCTTCGATGCAATCAGCGTAGCCAACTTGAGAGCGGCCGCGATCGTAGCCGCGCGATTCTCATGAACGGAGTTCACGAAACCCACGCGGAGAGCTTCCTCCGCCCCGAAAATACGCGCGCTCAAGGCTACCTCCTTCACCCAGCTGAAGTTGCCAACGACCTTGGGCAATCGGCTGAGGGTACCGATGTCCGCTGCCAAACCGATGTCGACCTCCTTGACGGCGAATCGCACATCCTTTGAGCAGAGGCGGATATCGGCTGCCGTGGACAGGTCGATGGCCAGGCCGAGTGAGAACCCGTGCATGGCGACGATGACGGGCTTCTCGCAGCGCTCGACGGCGCTAATGCAGTCCTGGAACTCGAGGACATGACGGCGCAGGTGGACGGCCTTGCGGGCGGGGTCGAGATTTGAGTCGCTCGAGAGGATGCCACCCTGCGAGGCGGCCTTGACGTCTAGACCGGTGGTGAATGCCTTTTCACCAGCTCCACTGAGGACGATGGCCCGGACGGACGGGTCTTCTGAGAGTTGGGTGAAGACTTGACGCATTTCCAACCACATACTAGTCACCCACGACGATGTCAGTGATGCATTCCTGCGTAGATGTTGAGGGAATGGGAGGAGACCTACGCTTCGAAGAAGGCGTTCATCTTCTCCGCCCGGTTAATCTCCACATGAGCGACATATGGGTTCTCAGCGGGGAATTGGACGGTAAAGTACTTGAAAGAATAGTTTTGCGCCATGATGAAGGTGTTTAGGGTGAGCGTGGAGTTGCAAGCCGGGGTAGACGAGTTGGTAGATGGCAGAGCCTGCGAATGGATCAAGTTGCGCTGCTTTCGAGGGCAATCTATAGTATCGGTGGGCGATGGTACAAATTCAAAAGATGTATGAAGACAGTCCAGGCAATACTTCTGAGTAGAAGAAAGACGAATGTGCAGATTAGCGATCGTTGTCACTTTCGCATTCGGTTCCTCGGCTCACATGCCTCGGCTCAGATAAGCCGGCGATAAGAGCTCCACTTGCATTTGCGGAGAAACAAACACTGTACGAGAAATTAAATACTCATATACAATCTACAGTCTACGTTGGAGCAGAGAATGGAGTTGGGGACGATTGATTAAATTCGATTAAGCTATCTAATAACACCCAGTTGTGAAGCAAAAAAAGGCCAGGGGACCATGTTAGCCACAGGAGCCGAGCAAAGTCAACGACACAGCAAGTCCCGATTGGCCATGTCCCGGCAAGTCAACGTGCAGAACAGTTCTTGAAGTCGTTTCTCATGAAAGTCCGGTCGAAGGTTACCCGCAGGCACCTTGACCATCACCGCGAGCATTGCTTACTCGATGGTGATCTTCTTGGTGGCCGCAACAGTGGACTTGGGAATCACGATCGACAGAATGCCGTTCTTCAGGCTGGCCTTGACATTGTCCTGGTCAATGCGACCCGGGAAGGTGAAAGTGCGCTGGAACTCGCCGACGGAGCGCTCACTAGCCCAGAAGCGGTGGCTGGGCTGGGTAGTCTCGGTCTCGTCGGTGGGTTTGGCGACGGTGGTGTCATCATCGCCGGTGTTCTCCTTGGGCTCGGTGGTGTGATACTCGCGCTCGGTGCGACCCTTCACGACCAGAGTGTGGGAGTCGGTAAACTCAATGTTGATGTCCTTCTGGGCGATACCAGGCAGCTCACCATCCAGGTGGTAGGAGTCCTCGCCCTCGCGAACGTCGAAGCGAGGGTGGAAGGCGCGGGTAGTGGTCTGGCGGCTGGCGCGGTGGACATCGTAGTCGTCCAGGAGACGGAAGAGAGGGGCGAAGTCGCCTGAGGGCAAGCTGGTGCGGAAGAGAGACATGGTGTAGAGTTGAATTGGAAGGTTGTTTGAGAGATTAGGTAGCTTGTTGGAAAGGTGGAAGAGTGGAAGCTTTGGACTTTGGAGCTTTCGAGCTTGGGTGGTTATGAAGATGTGAAAAAGAGTTGAGGTAGGGTGCTGGAGGGGGTTTTATAAGAAATCGCCAGTGGCAGCCAGCTGCCAACATGAAAGAATCACCCCATGATTGCAGGAGATCTAGAATTTGCCAGCGACAGTTGGCAGTTGCGTGATGTTGCGAGTTTCTGCCAGTTGGCGCGAGCAGCTTCCAGCTGCTGGTGGAGTCTTCTCCGCGGTTCTATAAAGGTCACGTGATATGGCCAATATGGGGAAATTCGAGCGTCATCAGCAGCATCATCGTCGCCACAGCCCTTCGTATATTCAGAAATTTTCCATTGGAGTATTGTAGGACGATGACAGAGAAAGTAGTTGCATGACATATGAGTATCTATGTAGCTAAACATGATACACAGCATCATGGCACTGTCCACAACCAATCCAGTTCATTGCAACTACCGGAATCCGCCTTGCTCTGTCGCTGCTCCCTGCCCACCTATCCCATTATAACCTATTATCTCACTTTTGGTGGTATGTGGACGACGTGGGGTGGTAATGTCAATCGAGGTGAGGACGAGAGGTTGGAGAAGTTCCTGGTCTCTGGCCATGGGGTTCATGTAAATCGCTCGAACGGTCTGCTTAGATACCCCAAAGCACGACGGAGAATTGCATTTAGGGTGAATCCATCGACTCGGTTGGCGCTCGAGGGTCGGCGGCATATGAGGATGCGCGGAGAAGGTTGGAAGGGAATGCGGAATGGGGACGGAGGTCTGCGACGGCATTGGTACTTCGAGGTATGTATGAAGAGTCAAGAACTCAATCGGTGTGAATATTTTATTCCGATTCGGACTCATCCAGCTGCATGATCTTCTCATCAAGGTCCTGCGATCGTGTTAGTGGGATGGCTACTGGACCGAGGGCTGGCGGCGACGGAGCGATGAAACCAGGCGTCTCAACGGGAACATACGTGATCGAGACGGGCCTTCAAGTTCTCAAGCTGGCTCTCCTTGATGACCAAGTGATTCTCGTCATCCAGATCCTCCACGATGTAGTCATGTCGCTCCTCGTCGTACTTGAGGATCATCGCTTTGATCGAGGGATCGCACTCGATGAGCAAACCTGATGAGTTGTGGTCAGTGCTGATCTATCTTATCAGTCTAGGAGGAGAAATGAAGCTTACCACGGACGGCGCGAGGCATGGTTGGCTGGAGTTGAAGGTTGAAGTAGATGGATGGAGTAATTGAAGGAAGAAGTGCGGAGACCAAAGGAAACGTTCCGCACGGGCGGTGATCGGCGCCAGGATATTCAGGCAGAAGGGCACCGCATATCTTCTCACAGTGAATTCAGCTCAGTTCATACAATTTCTACTTGCCGAGACTGCTACCACCCTCTGGGGCCTTAGATCCCTGCCTGATGGCCTAGTGAGATGAGTATAATGGAATTATATTTCAGAAGGTTTTTTGAGACATCTTTCTAGATAGCCCTCATAATATATTTCAGGCAGCAAGAGCCTCTCCCTTTCTACTTCCCACTTTGCTCTCTTTGCAAGTTTTCAATAAGCCCACACAAATCTTTGATCAATAATACCACGTCTATTGAATTTCAAACTATCAAATTAAACGTCCCGTTCGGGATCGCCTTTTTTATCAACTTCCGAGGTCCACCCAGTGGCCGCCTGGAATGCAGTAGCCGTCAATGCCACCAAGCTGCCCCCCAAGAAAAGCATACGAATCGCATGTTCGTAGCTTTGAATGGCAACTAACCGCTCTGCACCAGTCAACCGCATGACTGTGGCAGGACTGCCGAGCAAAGTCCGAATCAAGTCTGGCCGTGAGGGCAGATCATGCTGGGCAAAACCATCCTCCAGCGAGGTTTTGAGAATTCGGGTGAAGAACCCACCTCCCACGGCTGATCCAAAGCTACCGGCGAACCCTCGAGACATAGCAATCAATGAGCTAACGATGTAATGCACATGGGGACTTGTGAGGTGCAGTATATGCGACAGAGTATAGTTCATTAAGGACCCGGCGAACAGCCCGTTAAAGAACGTGGTCGTAACATACAACCAGGTAGGAGAATCTGGTGTTGAGAGAACAGAAAGTGCTGATGTTGCCACGGCGAATAGAACGAATATTATTAGGCATGAGCTGCGTGTGTCGGTTAGCCTCCGTACCAACGCCTTGAGATTGATCACGGGCGATACTCACGCATAGTAGCTAGTCGATTTGCGAATATGTAACCATCCAACAAGCAGTCCGCCAGTTCCAAACCCAGCGTTGGTTGGCACCAGAATAAGACCAGCGGATGCGGGAGACCAGCCCCGGACAGCCATAGCATAAACAGGTGTATAGAATAAGACAGCCCAGCGAGCCATCATCAGTCCAAGTCCTGCAAGGCAGGTCATTAGGACACTTCTCGATCGCAGTAACCGGACTGGAATGACAGGCTCTGCCGTCCACCGCGATTCAACTAAGATGAATACCACGAAGCACACCACAGAGAGCGGAAGAGGCCATATGAGAATCTCGGGAGATGCCAGACTTGAGAGGAGCAGAACGACGGAAAGTGACTGTACATGATTAGCATAACTCCGAGAACAATTGGGAGTATTCCTACCAATGCTAAAGCGCCTGCATAGTCCACTCGAGCCAGACTACGTAGAAGCGACCGCGTATTCAATGGCGCACGACCACCTGAAGAAGCTGGAATTGCCAGGAACAGTAACGGGCCCAGTAATAATGCGGCCGGTGCTTGAACCCAGAATATGAGACGCTGCAAGAGAACAGAAGTCAGTTTATTTGACGTCTTCAAGAGGTAGCAATGATGCAACATACCCAACCCAAGGAAGAAGTCATCAACCCTGCCAGAACCGCACCAGAAGCAAGACCCGTGGTGTATCCGGCATTGATCATGCCAATGCAGAGCCCTCGGCGTTTCGGAGAGGCGAGATCTACGGCCAGAATGATGGCAATGCTCATCAATCCGCCGCTCCCAATACCCGCAACTGCGCGGCCCAAGAGGAAGACGGTCAGGGTGGGTGCTGCAGCGGTAATGAACAAGCCAATGGCCAGAGTAGTGCTCGCAAAGATGACATAGAGCCGGGGTGTAAATATCTCTGCAAGCCGCCCAGTCAATGGGGTGACGCTGGATGCAGCGATCTTCGAGAATTTAGTTACAATTGTCTCTCAAGATACTTATCCATGACTCATACCAGATATGCAGAAGTAAACCACGTTGCTTGGTCAAAAGCATCCAGATCGGCCGCAATCTCGGATTGGGCTGTTGTCATCATGGAAATATTTATCGCTAGAGGGTCCATTGTGTCAGCCATTGAACATCTATCTACGGGAAAACAAGGCTTTTCAACACACTTTGGATCAAAATCAACAACTCCATAAAGAAAGCGATTGCAATCCCCCTCGGGATGCTCACGGTAGCAGTCAACTCATCATCGGGGCGCGATGACGAAATCAGAGGGGGTCTGCTCGGATGGCGAGGATTCTCGCCCTTCAGCCATTATGAAGGATGGTGATGGGATCTTGGTTGTGAGGAAACAGACTATTCATTGAAATTGAAATCCAAAAACAATCAACGATAACGTTATTTGCAGGTTAATTGTTAAAAACAAGAGATAACCGGAATGGACGGAGGGGGATTTCTAAGCAAAACCTTCGGAGATAAGCCTGTTTTATTTGGTTTAGTCTTTTTGTGGCAACCGTTGGGGGACCATCCGGGGGTGGGGAACTATACAAAATCGGGCGATATGATTGGGGATTACAATCGCCTCACAACAGCTAGAATGATGTGCTGATCATAAAGAGGAGGCGTAGCAATCATGATTCGGTGTCTCTAAGATTCTATCTCTTCGGAATATTTGTTGTCAAGTCGCAATCAGCTCCACTAGCAACTTCATCACCGTCCTGCAAAGACCGCGGTCCATCGACTACGTACATCGTTCAACACTTTCTCCAAATTCCCCGCATCTGCACTGGGTTCTGGCTCATCCCAGGTCTCGTGCTGCCATTTCAGCTCAAAATCCAGTAATTTGTTCGTCACTTCGGTGGCATTGAACGATGCGGGCGGTGTAGACTCCAAGTACTGGATGAAAATCCGCCAGCGAGGGACGTAAAATGTCGAGATTAAACCACTCCATTGCTTCGAGGCGTAGTCGGCAATCTCTCCACTGGGGCCCCAAAGTGTGATTTGATTGCGAGCATTATACTCCAAGAATGATGCTTGATCATCTTCCCCATTTGCCCAGGCCCGAGCCGACTTGATCCACGAAGACAATCGGAAATTGGAATTGGTGAGAAGAATATTATCGAGATCTTCAAGGAAATTAATCAAATCTTGGCCCTGCTTGGATAACGAGCTTGAGTCGGAGGAATTCCAGGCAGATACCAGATCGAGATACATAGGAATGAACGCGTTGGCCATGACTTGTCGCGTTATATCAACCATGTCATGTTGATAGGCTGGATTCGTCCACAGTTTGGGCTCTGAGTTTGCAGCCTGGTAGAGCTTTTGCCATGCTTGCACAACTATCGACGGGTCGTAGGTAAGTTCAGTGCTCTGGAACCCGACTCGAATGTTCTCCAAGCTCGGACGGATCTCAAAGGCGGACTTGATAACCGAGGTAACGGAGGTATTCGTGTTATCAAAGACTGTGGTTCGCATTCCTTCCCATGCTTCATGAAGTTCCTTAGGCATAGATCCATAACCGGAATATCGGCTGGCCACCCAATCATGGAAATATCGCTCAGTGTCCAAAGGTACTGATGACCATGCCTGATCTAACAGAGCAGTATAAATGATTTCATTCCCCTCTTGCCCTTCCATTGTCAATCCATAACCAACCAAGGATGGAGATTCAATGCGCGCCTCGGTCGCATTCACGGTGAGGTTTGTAAGTTGTCCGTAGAGGCCCATGTTGCCCCCATAGTCATGCACCTGGCACCAGAGCCACGGCTTACCGTAGTAAGAATGTGTTCGGCGCCATTGAGGTGCAGATTCAGAGAACAGGTCCAAAATAAGCATGTCGTTATTATCCTCCACGCCCGAGAGGAAAGCTTCGATCCGCTCTTCAGTCCAGAAAGCCGATTGCGCGTAGAAAAGCCAGCCTTGCATCATCCAGATTGCGTCCGGGTCTGCTTCCTTGAGGCTCTTCCAGGTGTTTAGAGTCACGTTGCGAAGATAGTCCAAATCTCCAGAATAAGGAGAGTTCTCGTTGTATTGATCCAGGGTGTAGATGTGACTGACATTGCCATAGGCGTCCCGTTGTTTACCAATGAAGCTAGATTGCAATTTGGCAAAATTATCATCAAATGGCTCTAGAAACGAATCATTTGAGTACTGCAAAGGGAAGCCGGCCCATTGTGATCCTCTGACGATCTGTGCGTCTGGAAGGACGCGAGTGGTGTTCATGGGCACGAATCCCGTAAACGAAGGGAGGACAGGCGTCATGCCCAGTTCTACCATGCGAGGTAGAATCTTTTTCTGCAGGGCAAATTGCTGGTCGATCCAAGACCGAGGGAGATCACCACCCCAAGAGCCTTGGATATTTCCGAATCGGTTCCATGCTTGGAACGCAGGTCCGCTGAGGAAGTTCGAGATCTCGGCGTCGGTGAGTCCGATCTCTTGGAATACATCCACAAGAATCTTTTCTTGGCCAACCCATGCTAGAGGCAGATTGACACCGTGGAGGGCAAGCCAGTCCAACTGGGTTTCCCAGTCCTCCCACGTCCAGAAGGCCGTCGTATAAGAGAAGGTAACTGAGAGGTGAAAGATTGTCAATATAAGGACTATGAAGATAGCATGTGCAGGGCTACCTGTATTGAAATGATATCGCCATGGCACCGTGCTGGAGCCTTGTAGTGGTTTAGCAAGACGAGGCAGCTTGGAAGGAGCCTGATCCAGACGGCTCCCGATAAACCAGTAAATATCGACATGGGCGACTTCGGTCAAGTATTGACGAAGCCTAGCGAGTCAATGAGCGACCGAGAAACCATCAGACGAGGATGCGAAAAAGATACCCTGAGGATAGTGCCGATATGGAGTTACCCTTTACCAAGATCGTGCCATTTGGTGCACTCGAGACCACGAATTGATCATAGCTGGCGGTGCCCGTAAGATTGGACTTGTCTATTGTGAAATGGAAGTGATCGACATGATTTGGCAGTCGTCTTTTAACGAGGCTGTAGAGACCATTGGTGGACTGGGCTGCGGTGAACGCTGCGCAGAGCAAGAAGCAGAGCGATGACTTCACCCACTGCATTGCTGGGCCTTTCTCGAGGATTGAAAGACCGTGAGCTTTTTGTCAACAACCACAGAGATAATTCCCGACCACTATTAAATAAGTCGCAGAGGCTGGGTCCATCGAGTCAGCTCGCAGAGCCAATAGGAGGCCGTGGGCGGTTGCATTTTCAGCTCCCTAGTATTTTATTACAGGACCCCCGCACTGGCTGCATACTGCGTCGCGTTGTAACTGTGTGATCCGACATGTCGATCTAAAAGGGAGCCCCTCGCACGCGAGAGCTTTAGGCGGGACGCGTTCGAGGCGCAATGTATTACCCGATTTGTATATTTGGAGAAAGCCAAAGGCAAAGCCCCTCAAATAATAATTACAACTGACCCTGTTTAGCGTCCAGTATAACTAGCTCCTTATCTATATACTACGAACCACCAATCACTGAAGTATTGCTGCAATAGTTATGGCTATCACAGTCAGTCGAAAATGAGGTGGTTTACAACCAGAGCTTACTACCAAAACCATTATATGTTAAGGGTAAGCCTACTGCCACAAGCCTACTGCCACCCCCTGGATTTCCCGCTCGCACCCCCTGGGGCCTTACATTTCCGCTTGGCATCATGATACATAGTGTTCTATCTGGCAGTATTCTATATAGTGGAGTTTATGGTACGTTCGAAATTTTGACCAAATATCAGAATCATCTCATTAGACATGCCTTGAAAGATGATTACCTACTTAGCTCGAGAAAGATTATGCGGCTATCCAGGAAGATATCTCAAAAGACCTCCCAAAAGATACCTGTACTCATCTCGCTAAGCCCGTTAGGCGGAGATATAAGGCCCCAGGGCGGGAAACCTAGGAGGTAGCTGAAATCTGGCCCTATGTTAACAGCTTAATAAAAACGGCTACTTGAACATGTCCAACTTCCAGCTTAGAATTGCCTTTGTAACATAAGCCGCCCGTTGCGATCGGAAAACTCCAGCCTGACCTCAAGACCTTCCCCCATTGTCTCCATTCTGCTGTTGGTCTGGTACTCATCATGTTCAACCTCGGCCAACCCGTGAAAGAATATCGCCATAATAGATGACTTCCAAAGCGAGCATTTCTTCTTTTTGTTGACAATAATTGTCAACACCAAGAACATATTCCCTAGAATTACCAGCAATGCTGGGAAAGCAAGCCAAATCCAATCAACGTGCACAAAAACCTCCAAAGTCGAGACGGTGCCATTCACTACGAAGTTCGCATTATCCAGCCCGACCTTGGTTAAAGAATCGGCCACATTGGACATGATTGCTTCGAGCCCTAAATAAGCAATCTTTGAAACGACTTCATCTGTGGCTTCAAGTTCAGAACCCGTTTCCATGACGCTAGAGCTGTTGTATATGAATATCTGAGTTTCTGTACCTTGGGGAAATGGCACGGCAAATGCCCCACAGGAAACAAATTCACTCGCTGCAGCGACTCCTTCCTCCGATAGCCACTCCTGTGGAATATCATGTTCCGGCATCCAGCAGTTTTCGGGAGAAGGTACATCGGCAGTCCGAGTAAACTCTCGCCCGTAACTGAGGGTTGAGATGTCGGAGTGCAATTTCCCATTCACAATCGAGATATCGTAATTTTTCAAGCAAAGAGAAAGGCTACACTCGGTCACCTGCTTGATCACAATTCCATCTCTAGGGTCTCCACCAGGTGTTGTGCGATTGAAATCAAAATCTAGGCTGGCATGGGCTACCGTAAGAAGGGGAGATAAAATTCCCTCGTGTAGGATATCCGTAGAGTTCGCATCCGAATCGTACCCATTGCTACTCCAGACAATATCTGCGGGCATCGATATTGTCTGGGTCTCGGCATCAAGAGGCATGTTGAATTCTTTGGCAAATTTTAAAATTTGCTTCTGTTGCCATTCATCGATTGCATCGTTGACTGTGACGAGCGAGTTAGATGGCGTGCCCTGATCAGGTATCACGTTACAGGCCCCTGCTACGGAACCCCTTTCACCGCTGAGTTTTGGCTTGTGACAATCGAGTGTGACATTTGAAGTAATATTGGCACATCGACTGCAGATCCCAACAGTCTGAAAGGTAGGAAACGTGCAGTTTCCGGATGGACACGTTGGTTCGATGGGAAACCCAGATTTCCAGATGCCGCTAATGACTGCAATATTCATCGTACCCTCCAAGTCAGGTAGCACTAGAGAGTAGTCTCGCAATTGCGGTGCATACGCACCAGGTTTCTCGGTCGACTGAGCCGGATAGCTCAAGATTTGTTGAATAAATGGATCAAAGGCTAACATGCAAAGAAGCACGAATGCACCAATTGAGACCAGGGATCGACCTCCATGATGAAACAACAGAACTAGCGAACCAAGTGGTCCCCGACTGGCACTGTCAAAGGTCTGAACGTCCAATAATTGTCGGTTGCTCGGGGTTTGAAGCCATATCCATTTCAATTGACCGATAGCCTCGCCCACCACAAAAACAAGAGACGACTTGGAGGCGGTTGCAAGGGTTGATATAATCGCGTTTAACGACAGTCCATATTTCATGTCTGGCCTTGTCTTGTTGTCGTATGCTAGCAGGACACTGCAAATTGCGACAAGGCAGCCAAGACTGAATATCATGAGCAAGCATTCAAGGATCCATGTGTCGAGAATGAGCTGTTGCCATCGACTGGGTTTCTTCTTTGGGAGAGTGTGCCATCTTCCGTGAGTGTCATTGGGATGGGTGGATGACACCTCGGACACGCTGCCCGAGGGCGTAGCCTGCAACATTTGCAACATCCGCAGAATAGTGGCACCATACGCAGAAAACCTCAGGCTAATTCAAGCCAATGTTCTCAAGACTTTAGTAAAGCAGATCGAGGCGCGACACGAGATATGTTGCCAGGTAATTATGAAGTTCCAGATGGCGCATCGCTTTGGGTAATGTGAGGCTGGAAGCCCCCATTTATTCAAGCATCATGTCTCTAAACTCTTGGGTATCACAACCGGCAGTGGGCTGAGCAATAAAAAGGGAGGGCTACAAGAATGTATGTTTGGGCATCCCCCTTGCAGACCATGAATGCAATGGGTTGCCTGATAAATTGCTTCAAGGCACAGGCTTGCGTTAACCCGGTACTGAGAAAGAGTAAGAGGCTACATAGCGTTGTTTACCCCAAGAGTCATCTGCAATGAGGCCATTGTCCCTTTCGAGAAGCGTGGCTGTGATCCTTAATTGTGGTAGCGATGAAAGGACAACTCCAGTAAGGCGAATTATTTCGTTAGGGGTTATAGAAGTCTAGATATCACAAAATGTAGCGGAACCCGACCGCCCGGCTCTCCAAGTTATCACCAGGAGGAACATCCTCACTCGACTCCACTGCTTCAAGCCGCTGGTTCATCTTTTGGTGGACCAAACGGATCACAAGGGCAATCAGCGCAACTAAAAGCGCAATCGCTGCAGTAGCGCTGCCTCCTGGAATATATCGAGGACCCGACGAAGACGGCCACATATAACTACCATAGATTGAAGCCGTATTGCCAAGCATGTTGGCAATGGCAATTGCTGCCGAACGTTTGACCAAGGGTCGAGGGAAGGAGTTTGCAACCCAGGCAATGATGATTTGGTATGCGGATACAGCTCCCATTGGCATCCTGAGATGGTCAGCGGGGCTGTAAAGAGGGGATAGGCTAGGACTTACAGGAACATGGCAAAGAATTTGGCACCAGTGTTGGTAGTTGCTGTGCAGATGATACCGCCTACAACACTAACAAGCATCAGGCAGATAATGTGGAGGCTGCGGTCGTTCGTCTTGCCAGACGTGTAGGTCACAACCAACGAGACTAGGAAGGTGGCAATCCAAACAGGTGCGGTAATGAGCAGGGTCTCAATGTTGCCATAACCCAGAGTCTTGACGATAGTCGGGAAGAAGTATTGGAAGTTCTGAGATAGCAGTGACGTGTGCTGCAGCAGGATAAAGAGGTAGATGCGCTTATCGGCAAAGACCATAGCCAGAGCCTCCTTGATGCTGCTAGAGGTGGCATCGTCGGCCTCACCAGCATCATGAATGAGGCGCCACTGAGCGTAAGCCCGCTCTTGGTCATCCAACCAAGAAGTTGTTGCAGGATAATTGGGAAGGAAGATCCTAGCGGGGGTAGATGTAAGCTAATGAAAGCAAGAGACCTGGCTGAGAGACTTACGCGGCCAGGACAGAGACTCCCACCGTGATGCATCCCTCGATAATGAACAGCCATCGCCATCCGGCAATTCCATGCGCTCCATCCAGGTTTCCAAGAACGCCGGCACCGATCAAACCACCAAAGGCGTTGGCAAGGGAACTTCCTGAGTAAAACCAGGCAATACGGTGACTCAACTCCTGTCGGGTGTACCAACTCGACCTGTATACCAGTGTTAGAGGTTAGTATTACGTATAAGGACTGCGCATAGAAAATGCGTACATCAACATGACGGCGCCTGGGAAGAACGGCGCCTCGACGAATCCAAGAAAGAACCGAGAGACCACGAGTCCGGCGAATGATTGGGTAGCCGCCTGGCAAGCTGAAATAATACCCCTGCATACGTGGTTAGTTTTGTGAGGAAGAATGGCACGTTGACCAGAGATAATTACCAAATTGCCATTGCAACACCCAGGAATCGTGATGGTCGAATGCGAGTGAGTAGAAGATTGGAGGGTAATTGCATGAGTAGGTACCCAACAAACAAGATACTTGTGGCCAGATTATAGTCGGTGCCTTTCATGCCCAGATCTTTCTCTAGGGATCCCAGACGCGCCTGAGAAAGGTTACTGAAGGGTTGGTGTTAGTTGATGCAATATGAAGGATACATAGATACATGGTGTGTGGTGGTACCTACTTGCGATCGAGAAAGTTGAGCAAGTACATCAGGACAAGGAATGGCAGCAAGTGCGAGTCTACTTTGCGCAGAAGGGTACGAGTCATCTTTTGATGCCATTCTGGGCTCTTGGAAGCATATGCCTGATAGAGAACATCCTGGTCCGAGTCCAGAGCCTTCCTGGAGGTGTCCCGGTACTCGATTTGTTCGGCACCGGATTTATCCATTTTTTTTTGGTATGGAAATCGGCCGTCTAGAAGGTGCTGCTTGTTTTTCCCCCCTCTTTGGCAAAACGGGTTGTGCTTTCTTATAAGTCACAATAGGGTAACAAGTTGACTCGGGGCAAGTCCGAGAACCTCGTCCAAAGGCCCGGGGGGAAGGTCGGGGGAGACAGCGACACAAGGCGCGGCAATGGATTCTCTTATCGGAAAAGCGTGCGCATAGCGGAGTTGGTTGTGAATGAATTATTGGCTCGTCGTTTCGCATGGGAAAAACGGAGGACCCTGACTGTTTACCCACATAATCCTTTCCCCCGCGTGTTGTGGGTATGGGGAAGCGAGTCCTGTTCGGGGGACTTTAGACCGAAAAGCCGTTTAGCCGGGTATACTGTACATGGCAATCCGAAGCCTGAACTCATTCTGTGCGAACTTAACCTGATTTTGGATCCGCAAAGGACTGACATTGATCGTGATTCAGACCAGCTCTTGTGTCTTGGAGAAAATCTCGAATGCTGAACAGCAACACTCCCAGGTAGGAGGTACTTTGGTAAAGTTCTAGACTCTCAACAAACCCCTCGAGCTCGAGATAGTGGAGTCTATTGCGGGATGGCATGACCCAAAGCTCTCGGCAGAAGACCGAGACAAAGAGCACAGGATCTATCCCAAAAAGAAGTGGAAAGCGATGATCATCACTGGGAGGTAGGATGCTGGGACTTACGCCTGGGATTTCAGGCATCAAGAACTTAGTCATCACCTGCCCTGTTGCCTGAGGCATAAATATGCTTTGGATGCCTCAGGTCTTGGTCGAGTACGAGATGACGTCACGAGATTCTCCCATCAACAGGAGTTCCAGGCTTTTCCTTGAGCTTCCCCCCTCTTTTGTTGGGCTCAGCCACGATGGACAAGCCACTTTTGGACGAGCCAATGACCGCATTGACTCGCAATCTCGATCAGAAATGATCCGATCGACATCGATGACCTCGGATCCAAACCCATGAGTGGTGATGATCTGGCCATACACCGTGAGAAGACGGACGCTCGTGGGGCAGCCCCGATGTTTGGTGTCCATCCGAGCGCAGCAATGACGATGCTCCCAGCGAATCATTCCTTTTTCTCGGATGTGGCTATGATCATGCTTCTAATCATCTTTATCATAGAGATTTGGGTTTTATTATAAAGGCAGTACCTGCCATTACCCCTCTTCCGCCCTCCATCAAAGTTTCTCAACTCTCTGCACCCCATTTAACCATACTACTCTTATTATCTTCTCTTCACAACCATGGACAAGCTCTCCGGACTCGCTTCCAAGCTCGGCGGTGGCAGCAGCAGCAGTGGCTCTGGCTCCAACCAGCCTGCTGGTAACGAGGACTACCTCGACAAGGGTAAGCCTCGCTGTTCTTGTTGCTATACACTATGACTGACATCTCCCAGCCCTCGACAGCGCCGAGCGCAAGTTTGGTGGTGGCAAGGTTGACCCAGAGAAGATGCGCTCGACCAACGAGAAGATCACCGACGGTGCTCGTGAGCAGTTCGAGAAGCTGACTGGGTAAGATAATTCCCCTCATGTGTCAGTCTGCAGAGAACACTACTAACCATCTTCTCCTGTACACAGCAAGCACGTCCCCGAGAAGTTCTCCAACTAGATAATTTCGGACGGATAACGCTGATGGTGCGCTGGAACATGTTGCCATCCTTCTATGTCCTCCACACTAGTGACTTGGATATGTGATACCCATGGGTAGATAATGAAAATGAATGCCCCTCTTTTATTCATTTCTTGGCAGTCCCAAGTTAGTATTTGTAACTACCAAATTTAGATAAGTATCAATGCACATCAAGACCTTGATCGGGTACCTAGTACAGTATGCCTCCTGCATCCATCAATAATATGATAGTTCAAGACGCGCCGAAGACCTCTTATGTTCTCTTCGCTGCACTATTGTACCGTTTTTAGAAATCATTCCCGATCACCCATCAAGGACCAGGCTTTTAAAGAGGTTGAGCACAACTCCCCGGGATTATGTTTCAATACAAAGAAAACTGAACGAGATATAGCTCAACACGTTCCCCGTGTCTCTCTATTATTGAATTCCAAAATTTCAATATATCTTAAAGCACGAGCGGACAAAGATGGCTAACTATGTGTGCAATTTGTGGGTTGTGTTCACAGACGGGATGATATTCATGCGAGTTTCAACTGGCGATTACTCCACAGATCCAACTGCCTCGACTCTTGGGTATTCTAACTGCCTTGATTATAACGTTGCAATTGGGATAAAAACCCTCCCAGCCCCGACGCTATGCCACGGCGATTGGTAAACATGGTATTAGCCCGGCACAACTGAAGTTGATTCGAGATACGTTGCTGCATTGCCGTGCCCTGTGCACCGCGACACGAGGCCAACGCACGTTCGAAATATTTCTGGGCAGGCTCATATTCCTGCGCCGCGAAATGAAGATTCCCAAGCATCTCGAGGGAGCTCTGCGTTTCGGGATTATCGAGGCCCCTTCGTTGCTCGACCCAATCCAGGTATCGTACCATCCAAGGGATGGCCTCGGAGGGTGGGTTGACGACGGTAAAGTGCAAAGCTCCTTGGAGAGTATACATCACACCGATACTTCCAACAATGTCCATGGTGAGGGGGTGGTCCGGTCCAAGCGCATCTTCCGATATTGCGAGAGCACGGCGGAGTGTTTCAGAGGCCTCCAGCATTTGATGAGCACGCGTCAACCCTCGGCCATGCAATGCCAGAGCTCGGATTGTAACGGGATTCTTGTCGCCCAGACCAGCCCGCAACTCTTCGTACACCTGTGGTAAAATATCAAATGCTTGTTGCACTTCGGGCTGGAACACTTTCACGAGAGCAGCGCTTTCATCTCCATGGTTATAGATCATGTAGTCGAGCGTGTCAAGCGCAGCCCAGAAGACACGGATGTGATTTTCACCCAGCAGGCGTTTCAGGGACTCGGTGAGCTTTTCGGCGGTCATGATGGCACTTTCACGGCGATTGAGGGCATTGTAGGCCATGCCGAGCCGGCGTCGAGTCTCCAGCGTGTCGAGATGGTCTTCACCAATGCTCATTTGCTGCCGGGCTAATACGTTGGCGCAAATTGACTCTGACTCCTGGTATTTGCCCTTCTGGCAAACAATCTCGGCCATGAGACTCTCCGATCGCATGGGAAGAGTGTGACCATTTCCAAAGACACGACGAGAGTTATCAGTGACCCATTGGCACCACTCACCGGCCTTTTCTAGGTAACTCGACTCGAGCTCAATCTCGGCCAAGTTATACCCAACAGCAAGAGTACTGGCATGATCGGCACCCAGGGTTCGTAGATGCTCCTGGAAGATCTGGTACTCGACATTTCGGGCTTCATCCCAGTTCGCACGATTCTTTAGCTCTGCCGCTCGGAGGGATCGCGGGTCGTTGTCCAATGGAGTAAACATCGACCCAACTACTCTTTGAGCTACCTGAACCGCTCGTCCCGGAGGAGAATATGGCGCGCTGCTGTTTGAATGCATGCGAGGAGGGAGTGGTGGTGGATTAAACCCCATCGTGGGTTGGGGGGATGGCTGTGGAATGAAGCCTTGCTCGGATAAAAGGGCCTGGTCGACTAGTTGCTTGATGTTTCCCTTGATGAGACGGTACATCGGGCCTCGAGTGCCCACTTTGCACATTTGTGAATGATCGGCATCGAGCTTCAGCTGTGTCTCGCGAAGGCCAGAGAGACCAAGAACGGCAGATTCCTCATCTACCACCAGCTTCTGAAAATTAGCTTTTGTAGAAGAATTGGGCAATTTTGGTAATTATTCTCGAGACCCGGAAAACAGCACTTACATGGCTAATTGAAGCAGGACCAGCACCGCCCAAAAAGACTTCTTTCCCTTCGATAAAACTGACTACACGATAATCTTCCAGTTGATGACGAAAGCGATCTGACATCTGTCGGGTAAAGAGCGAGTTGTGCTCCAAGCAGTCTAGTAGGTCGTTGCTAGCATGCCCCTTGGAGACAAATCGAGCAACGCGGGCAGCGATCTTGCCCAGCTCGACGGCTTTCGCTCCACGGTGAGGTGTTCCAAAGAACACCAGGCCAGAGGTTGATGTGCGGATGGAGTTGTACTTCGGATCTTCCTTTGCATTGAGCAGAGCCTATCTCAAATCGGAAAGGCATCGGATCAGTTCACCATCGATATTACACATGTAGATAGACTGACCTGCTTGATAACCAGTCCTCCAAGACTGTGTCCGATGAAGATGATTTTGGGCGGCAGAGATTGCTAGTTTACTTAGATCAACAAGCTTTCTTCTCCTCAAAAACAGAGTCATCACATACAAACTGTGGACTGCGCTCCATGTCCAATAAGTTCAACAAAGTGTTTGCATGGTCTTTGATGCTTGCAGTTGACATAGTCTGCGGGTTAGTGATGTTCGAGTTGTACCCATAAACGAAGACCCTTGAATACGGGATATCCTCCGCTAGGAAATCCTTTGGCCAGAAGTTCCCATTCTCATGGGTCCAGGTTTCGAATGGATGATCATTTCGACCTCGCGGATTCAGGCCATGGACGAAGACGAAGCTACGGATGGATAGGTTAATCTTCGACGGGGTCTCCGGAGAGCAGAGGTTGATTCCGTACTCAATTTTATGCGCTTCCCGAGGAGTATACACCTCCTGGAGGAATGGAAACTCATGCTCGGTCGAATCCTGCATTATTTCTCAGATCTTTTGAAAAGCATATCGTGCTGGAGGTTAAGGTCAACATACCATACTCAACGAGCAGATGTAGGGAACCAAAGGTATGACAACGAAGTAGAGAAAGCTGTAGACGAATTTCTTACACCAGGCGCGATATCAAGAGCTAGTCTCGCTTGCATTCACCAGATACGATGATGACACCACATGAGACCTGCAGTCAGACGGGTCCTTGGCGTTCGTACTAACGAGGATTATTTCTAGAACAGCCAATCATCTGCGTTTCTGCCGATCGGCAGCACTTGCCCTGAATCTGCGGCTGGGGTGTTTTCAAGTCCTCCGGGTGATCTGGAGACCCTTTCGGGCGCCCGCGGTGATACCCTGCATGATATCCTGGACCCCTATTGATGTGATAGGTTGTACATGGGAGATTGAAGTGATAGTCCGATTCTGGAGACTTCAGAGATGGCTCAATCGGATATGCTTCACCTCCCTCTCTTTTTGGAAGTGCCTCTTGGATGCGTTTTGATACGTCTCTTTGGGTGGTTCAGGTACCATCTCTGATGTATTATCCTGACCACATTTTTATTAAAATTTGTCGGCGATGCAACCCCCTGCACCCCTCGACGTGGGATGGTTTGGTCATGGGGATATATTATCCTAGTCTGCCGCCATGATCATGCTCGATGCTGGGCGACATCAGTCTCCCCTTCGTCATCGTTGAGAGCCAACTTTTGAAGACATGGGGCATAAAACATATTGCCGCGCCATGCACCCACTGCCGTACGAGAAGCAACAAGGGCCCATAGCAGTAATACTGCAGTGCTCAAGATCTTGACAACTGATTAGCCCATGAATAAATGACAAGACTACGAACAGCTTACCGTTCCAAAGATCTTGAAAAATATCAAGTCCAGTTCTACTCCCAGTTCCATCGTGTTGGCCGCATAGACCCCCAATGGAAAAGTGAATCCCCACCATCCCATGTTAAATGGGAAAGGAGAGCTGTACAGTACTGTGGCAAATGCGAAAACAAGCCAGATCAAACCAAAACTCCACATGAGCAGTGAGATGAAGACCCCCAAGACATACGCCATGGAGCCTGCAATAGGGTCCAGCATGTCAGAGCCCTGCAAGAGCTCCCGAGCTACCTTGCCAATGTAAATAATGCTACCATGTGTAAGTAAAAACGAAAACCAAAAGAGAGACAGACAAGATTTCTTACCCAAAGCCACCAAACCCAAGTGGTCCCAGAGGAAGAAAGCAGCTCACGATGGCCTCTCGTGGGGGAAGCTTGTGAACTGCCAGTCGTTGATAGTAGATCACCAACACCGCCATTGCCAAAGGAATGCCCATGCCCCAAAGGATGAAAGAAACGAGCAAAGTACCCATAGCATGCTGGCCACTTGGCAAGATGTCAGCGACCTTGGCACCCACGCCGGCCGCAACAATGGTCGCCGCGATAGGTAATAGTTGAAGAGCAGTAATCCGGTCAAGCGACGTGATGTATCGTTGAGAGATTCTAGTCGCAAAATATCAGCAAATATTATTCATGCCCCATTTATTGGATTCGGACTGACAAAATGAACGATAAGGAAAGGGTCACCGAGGCCGCTGCAACGACGTCGACCATCCACAATGCCCATGCAACGGACGTGGCCCAGGGTCCCCATCGGGGGACACAGATGAAGACCCACATCTCTATGAGCGTCGCAAATCCCATGGGGATAGTGGCTAAGAAGAGCGAGTTGGTCGGGTCTTGGATCATGACTCGCCAGATCTCAGGATACAGAGTGTATCGGAGAATGGAGGTGATCAATGCCAAGGAGAATATCACCACGTTGAGCAGAAAGAAAACGATAGACAGGTAATAGAGAACTGGCGTGTGAAACGGCACCGAGTTCATCAGTACGGCGACTATTCCTGTGCCCATTGTCGCTGCAAACCAGCTGAACATCCATACATCGGCTCTCGATTAGTAGAAAGCACTCAAGCCGACCGAGCCCAGCAGCGATACTCACGAAGGACTGAAATTCCGCACAACTCGTCTCCAGCCGACATTGTATTTCACAGGGCCTCTGCCCTGGGCGGCATCGTTTGCTGGCTTAGCTTTCGACATGGTTCGTTTTTGTTGTCACTCGTCTTGGAGAGAGCCGACCGAGTTGATCTCTCGGGAATCCTTACGAAGGGAGAAGAAGCATAACGTAATTTCCCGGCCGTCGTCCCGTACAGCCGGCCATAACTACAGCCCATCCAACCAACATCGCGTCTTTCTACCTACATCCTGCCTTCAACCACCCACCATGCCACCAATTTGCTATGAATCTTCGCGAAAATCGGTCAATCAGGGAGGGAAGATATTATTAGCCCTTGATGATATTAAAAATGGCCGAATCAAATCTATTCGCGCAGCAGCGAAGCTATGATATCCCTCATACAACCTTAGCCGACCGCGCGAAAGGTGCACTTGTGTTGATTACCGCCCAACTGGCCATAAGTTAACTGAATAATCTCTATGGATTCACGTAGAGCAGCGCCTAGACCGGCTACTGTGGAGAAATGGCTAATATCCTACTTGCTGTGCGCGGTAGTTACCCTCCGCCGTTGTTCGCTAGGCTATTATGCTGCGGAAGACATTAGGCCGCTCGACAAAGAATCCCTGATCGGCTGTGGCTAGTATACATTATCAGTCCGAAAACAAGGGCCCCCGTTGTGTTTTCAGAATGACAAATACCTGCCCATCAATATCCCATTGATCCATTTGTTTCCAGCAATGCCCCGGAATTGGTATATCTCTATGCTGATCTAGCGTCATGTAGGACCCGACCAAAGTCAGCCAAGGAAGAGGAATAAATAGATCTGGGGTCCCGTTGATGCTTGACTTTTTGTGGACTGGCCCCGCTGAGATCTCGCCCGGTGGGCGGGCCCCAGTGTATGTACTAAGTCCATGCTACACTACTCCGTAGAGGCGCGCACGGAAGGACAGACTTTGCATCTTGTTGGTCGCAAGGTTGTCTGAACGTGGTCATTTACCCCCAAGCACACACCTTGGCTGCTGTATCCATGGTGAAGGATTCGAATCCTCGCCGCTTCATTTCAAGCAGTAAGCAACTACTACGCGCTAGTTAGGTTAGTTAGTTAACTGGTTAATTGCCTTGGGCTTAGTCAAAGCGAGGCCAGTTGACCAAAAGCTACTAACGCAGCTAGCCATACAGCTCTGTTTCGTCATTATTGACAACGCATTTGAGAAATGCAATATCTGCTGGTTCTAGGCCACCACGGTCGCGGGCTATGTCCCTTGTATTTTACCCAAGTTGGCCGTGTCGAACGACAGACGCATTGCCCAAGCAGAGCATATCCTCTGCTTGCTTGATGGCCTGGTCATTCTTACGAATGAGCGCATGGCGTGCGCCTTTAAAGGGGTCGATGCCCCTCGTCTGTATCGCGGGAATGATCTTGTGCAAAATTCCACACCACCGTCCGTGATGTGCAACCAACGCAATGATGATGACCTCGGAGCACTGATGCTCACTTCCGGTGGCACTGATTTCTCCAAGGCCGTGTGCCTACGACAACCGCAGATGCTGACGGCGGCAGCGGGCAAGGCTGCACACTGTAGAGCCACCTCTCAGGATGTGTTTCTAAGCTGGATCGCGCTGGATCATGTGGTGAATCTGGTTGAGATGCATCTGCATGCCATGCTCCTAGCGGCAGACCAAATCCAGGTGGCCACGGAGGAGGTATTGAAGGAGCCGCGCCGATTCCTCGACTTCGTCGACCAGCATCGCGTCTCTCTAAGCTTCGCTCCCAATTTCTTCCTCGCCCTCTTATGCGAACGGGTGTCTCAACCGGACTTTTCAAGGGAGGTCCCAAAATGGGACCTTTCGTGCCTGCGCTGTGTCTTCTCCGGCGGAGAGGCTACCGTCCGCCAGATGGCGGTGCAACTCACACGCGCACTACAACCGTACGGGGCTCGACACTTCATCCGCGCGGGGTACGGACTGACCGAGTCGTGCCCCGGGATGGTCTGGGATCTAGTTGATCACGACCTGGACAGCCTGCACGATGCTTCTGGCGAGTTCCTCTCCTGCGGCTCGACCTTTCCTGGGGTACAGATGCGCGTGGTGCGTGAGGTGGATGGCGTGAGGGCAGCCGTGGGTGAAGAGGGCATGCTGCAGTTACGTGGTCCTGTCATGTTCATTCGGTATTATCGCGATCCCACAGCCACGAGTGCCGCCTTCACGGCGGATGGGTGGTTCATCACCGGAGATCATGCCTTTCTTGACGAGCGCAGTCGGCTCTATATCACGGGCCGGACCAACGACACTCTGCTCCTCAACGGGCTGACCATCTTCGCCGTGGAGGTTGAGTACAGCATTGAGCAGGCACGAATTCCAGGCCTCACACCGAGTTACACCTTGGTCTTTGCCCACCGGCCTCTTGGCGCTGTTACCGAGTCGTATTGTGTGGTGTACTTTCCCACCTACAGCCCGGACGACGATGAAGCTCGAGCTCAGATGACCGATGCCATTGAACGTATCGCCCAGTCTCGTGGTAAATGTCAAGCCCACCAGGATCCTTCCTCTTCCACGCCACTACTTTGAAAAAACCTCCCTTGGCAAGCTCTCCCGCGCCCATTTCAGGCGCCTCTTTGAGAACGGCACCCTCGACAGTGAACGAACCTTGCATACCGCTCGCTTGCAAGCCTACCGCCAGGCCCACCGACAGCCACCCTCGTCCCCAGCTGAAAAACCCATCTTGGATCTGGTGTGCACGCGCCTGGCTGTCGATCCACACGATGTCAGCGTCACCACCAACTTGTTCCAGCTCGGCCTCTCCTCCCTCGACTTCTATAACATCACTCAAGATATACATCGGACCTTTGACACTCACCTCACTCTTCCAGATCGGCTCGCTGATCCCACCATCTCCGGCCTCGCCTGCCACATATCGACCTCCGTCGGCACTACTATGAACGCAGGATATGACCCTGTGGTCCCCTTTCAACCACACGGTTCCAAAACTCCGCTCTGGCTCGTTCACCCAGCCTCAGGTAACGTCCCCATCTTTACAGCCCTCGCACGCGCCTTCCATGACCGTCCAATCTACGCCTTCCGGGCCCAGGGCACCCGACCTGGCGAACCTCTTTTCACTAGCATCACCGAGATGGCCGACACTTATGCCACCACTCTCCTCCGCTGTCAACCTCATGGCCCATATGCTCTGGCAGGGTACTTGCGCGGCAGCAGTGTCACGTTTGAGATCGCCAAACGGCTAGAAGCATCTGGCGCACAAGTCCAGTTTCTGGGGGCGTTAGATGGACCGCCGGATATCGCCCCACTGGTGGGACATCTAACGTGTTCGGAGGCACTGGTGATGATTGGGTACTTTTATGAGCTGGTTGAGGAGCGAAGATCTATTCAACTCATGTCGGAGCTGAGGGATCAACCAGGTGAGACTGCATTGGATGTTGTTCTTGGTGAGGCAGACCAACGGAGAGTCAAGGCGTTAGGGCTGGAGAAGGGAGAGTTGACGCATGTCACGGATGTGACGGCGGGGTTTTGTCGTGCTGCAGGCGGGTATGCGCCCGGCGGACAGGTTAGATGTCTGGTGGATATCTTTGCAGTGGAGCCATTGTTGACAGTGACTGATCAGAGAGAGCTCTGGGTGCGAGATTACTTAGGCAAATGGGCGAGTCTAAGTAAGCCGGGGATGTTGCTGCATCAGTGCGAAGGACGACATGCGGATATGTTGGGTCGAGAGTTTGTCAATTCCTTGGCGTTGATTTTGAGGCGGGTCCTATCCGAGAGAGGAGTATAGTCGGGCATTTTGTATTGCTATTCCCAAGTGTTGATCGTTTGTGTCTCCTTCATAGACCTTTCCAATGACATGCTACCAATCGTTGTCAGTTGTACACTGAATGATTCGATTAAGATGCAAATCTGAACCTAGAGACGCCTGCCGTGACAAATATGTATGGAAGTTTGATAATATCGGAGAGAATATATTCTACCTGCCTGGTGTTCCATCTTGTCTAACAGTTAAAATCAAATATAACAACGCCGAGAATGATGCCTATCCTTTTCATGTGCAATGTTGTTTACCACGCGCCCACAATGCCCGCGATCGGAATGTCAATTCCAGTGGTATACGAACTGGCGTCGCTCAGCAGATATACGTAGGCACCGCCAAGCTCGCGAGGGTCCGCCAGACGAGGCATGCCACCGTAGTACTGCATCTTCAGATCCCAATCCGGTGATTTCTCGACGTAATAGGTCATTGCAGTTCGGACGAAACCCGGTGAGATACTGTTGACGCGAATACCGTGTTGGCTCCATTCCATGGCGAGAGTGTGGCACATGTTGCGAACTGAAGAGGAAAAAGGAACATAGGTTAGCTGTCTGATCTTTAAATAAGGGTGGGAGCGAGTCCACTTACCGGCTGCCTTGGTGGCACCATACGGTGCAGAAGGCGCGGCCTGGAAAAAGTTCATCGTTAGCTCGCTGAATACGGATAGCATGTCTGGCAGGAGCGCGGTCTTACCCTGTTGGGTCGGTAGGAAGTCATGCTCGAGGTCATCACGATAGATCCCTTAATTCCGAGCTCGATGAACTTGCGAGCAGCAATCTGGGCGCAGAAGTAGGCACCAAAGACCTAATCAATGGCCGTTAGCATCATGGCATCACTCGCCACGAGCAAAAAGCAGTCACTCACATTGAGATTGAACAACTTCTCCAACTCAGGACGTTCAAACTTCAGCGCAGGCTGATGCTTGGTCATGCCAGCATTGGCCACCAAGCCATCGATACGGCCTGTCTCTTCGACAACCTTGTTGATAGCATTCTCCACGCTTTCCTCAGAGGTAACATCGGTCTGAATGTATTGCAAGTTGGGAAATCGCTTTTGCAGGGCCTCGAATTCTTCTCCGGGCTCCATCAAGTCGAGCGAGTACACCATCTTAGCGGCATTGGCAAGGCAAACCTCAGCAATACCCAGCCCAATTCCCCGATTGGCACCAGTAATAGCGACAACCTTTTGCGCCAGACTGATTTGCCAGCTGAAATCATTTGCAGGCATTGTGCTCGTGTAAGAAGTAGGCGTGTTGGCCTTTGTCGCGCTCGACGTAGCAGTCTCGGTGGCAGCAGGAGGCATGATGTGTAAGAATAAAGCTGGAGGGAGACGTGATATTGTGGAATGAGAATATTCAGGTGGAATGGAGAACCAAAGAAGGACTTTGCAGAGGCAGCGCGGCTTTAATAAATTTCTGAAACCCTCCAACTTCCCCGCATTGTCGTCATTATGTTCGGCCACTGCCCCTCCATGGACCGCATTGCGCGCGTCGTTTCAAGGATGCTTTTCCTCGCATGAAGCTCATGCAAGCGGGGCTCGGGTAGAGTCATGAACTTCGTGCCGAGTTGACTCGATGCGAACCCGTGGCAAGCATGGCGTCAAGGATCAGCCCATGGGAATCTCTAGACTAAGCCTATCTAGTGACTTTTTCTGGGGTCACACAGTGCGCCCAACAAGTTTAATGGGCGATTCTACCAATAGATGTTGTAAGGAATATGCCTTGCAGACTTAGCCACCAAAGTTCAGTTTTTCAACGCATTCCAATCGAGAGCAAATCGTAGATAAGAGAGAACTGGGGGAACTGAACCAATTAAATTGGCATCGAGGACAATACCTATCTGTAGATGAAAGCTAATCTCAAATTTATGTCTAAATGACGTGGAATCAAAATTCTACGAGTATTCCTAGTGTTCCCTGACTTGAGACAATTTACTTACCTCCTCGATAGAGTTCCCCAATCCGCGGATGCCAAGGGAGGCAACGGTTGGTCATCAAGCGAAACAAAAGCCGAAAACCTTCCGGTCTCGTAACGAGGCAGTCTCCACCCCCGTGAAACTTACACATGGCGAGAGGCGGAGAAGTCTCTCAGCACCGTCAGCAGCCGACGACGGCGTTCCTGGGGGTGGATTACCCCAGTCAAACAGGCTGCCGGCTCCTATCAACCGTGTGGGGTGACCATACTGGGGGAGACAAATTGCCTTGCCGTCATAGCTCATGGCACGAGACTGAGATTCTATACAAAGAGACATAAATATCCTCCACTGGAAGCATGCAAAGGAGCCACCATCTCGGCTTCTTCTCTCCAGATTCAAACTGAAGGCCGCAAACATGACTTCCACCGACATTGAAGGCCAATTCAAGCACGATATATCATCAAAGGAGATTGAGCATGCAAGCATTCATGACTCCTTCTCCCCAGAGGAGGAGAAGGCCCTCCTGAGGAAGATAGACTTGACCCTGTTGCCAACCATCTGGTTCATGTATCTGCTTTCTTACTTGGACCGTACCAAGTATGTTATACCCCTAGAAGCGTCATGTTGGGAATCCATTACTGACAATGACTCTTTTTATCGCAGCATTGGCAATGCGAAAATCTCTGGAATGCAGACAGACTTAAACCTGACCTCCAACCAATACTCGGTGGCGTTGGTAGTGTTCTTTGTGGGCTATGTGATTTTCGAGGTACCTAGCAAGTGAGTCGACCCTTTATACCCTCTTACCGACATGACAAGCATACTGATTCCTTTGCAGCCTTGTTCTAGGTCGCACACGCCCATCGATATTCCTCCCCACTATCATGATCATATGGGGAACTTTAACATGCGTCATGGCAGTCATCAAGGACTTCAAACACCTCGTGGTTCTCCGTGTCTTGATTGGGTGTGTCGAAGCTGGCTTCGCCCCCGGTGTTCTTCTTGTACTGTCGTCTTGGTACAAGCGAACTGAACAGTCTAAGAGATTTGGTGTTTATATCTCGGCCGCCATTCTTTCAGGTGCATTCGGCGGCCTGCTAGCCGCATTGATTGTGAAGCACCTCGAGGGTGTGCACGGCATTCGAGGCTGGAGATGGCTGTTCATCGTCGAGGGTGCCGCGACTATTGGCTGGGCATTGATCGCTCTGTTCATTCTGCCTGACTTCCCATCCACTTCAAGGCGTCTTTCTGAGCGCGAGAAGCACGTTGCGGTGGCCCGTCTAGCTACTGAGAATGTCACCGCCATTACTGCCGATGGTGAACAACTTAGCAACTGGGGGGCAATCAAGGTGTCCGTTAGTGACTGGCGCACTTGGGCGTTCGTGGTGGGCTACATGGTGAGCATATACCTTCCAAGCGCCTATTGACTAGCATCCATCGGACTCTAAACTTATTTTACCAGGTCATTGTTGGCTCAAGCACTCTCACTTACTTCTACCCAACACTCGTCAAGGGTCTCTTCGGCAATGCTTCGACGGAGAAGATCAATTTCCTTACCATCCCTATCTACGGGGTTGCCTTTGTCTGTACAGCCATCACTGCATACTTCAGCGACAAGATTCCAGGATGGCGAGGCCTGGTTATTGCTTGCTGGTTGACATTCTCGTTGATTTGCTCAATCATTGTCTGTGCAGTATACAATTTCACCGCTCGATACGTCTTGCTCGTCCTCATGGCTGCCGGACTATGGGCAACTAATGCCGGTACTCTGGCCTTTGCCTCGTCCGCATTTGCTGGGATGCATCCACAGGCGCGTGGTGTCAGTCTGGCTCTGGTGAACGCGCTTGGAAATCTAGCTCAAATCTACGGATCGGTATGTCCCCAGCTCCGCGATGTACCATTTCAAATGCTGACCAGAAACAGTATCTCTTCCCTGATTCAGATCGCCCCAAGTACATTAAGGGATTCTCTGTCATCTCTGCAATGTTGGTGGTGGGAATCATCGTCTTTAGCGGGCTGCACATTTGGTTCCGCCGCAACGCAAAGACTTTGGCTGAGCAGTGATTTGAGCCTCTGTTGGAAATATCGCGAGTTATTTGTACCAAATAGGGATATCATGATATTGGAATTCAAGCAGTCTTTGCTATGATCGGAAAACTAAATCACGAAATATTATGTATAATTTAGTCCAGACTTCTTTTCCGTGTTGTGTTTCTCATGCTCCCAACACTTAACATCATGATGCGTGTAACTAGCCATTTCACTTGACAGTGCTTTCCTCGAGGAAGAATAAGACTCGCACATTGAATAGAAAATATGTCATGACATGGAACGAACTCCCTTTATTTGCTGGTATTTGCAGACAACCGTTGCGTGATGCGTACTTTGTACTTGTCTCGGGGCTACCCGCAAAAGAAGACCGTAGATATAGATAGTCTCGCCACTACTGTATAGGTTGATCTTTGAAAATAAGGATGTCTGTATTATTGGTATCTAAATTCTTAAACCTTGCCACTGCTTCCCACGATATCCATCCAGCGCTCTATCTCCTTTGTTAGGACGTCGATTCCGGTATCCATCAACTCTGTAAGTGGCCGCGTAGCATTCGCCCGCAGATTGTCATGCCAGCAATCCAAAACCAACTTGTTCACATTGACCTTGGTCACTCCGGCCTTGACGCATGCTTGGGTCAGACTAGCATCGAAATCATTCGTTCCATGGAGCACGAGTCGTACACGACCATTCATGGCTTTGAAAACACCATGTAGACTTGTTATGATCAGGTTAGTCCTATAGTGAAAATATTGCCGTTTAGATTCGCCGTCAATATACACTCACCGGTCCATATCCAATTGAGGACCCTTAGGCCCGTAGTCTCCGTGAATGTTTCCCACACTGGGAGCTAGGAAGTCCACACCCGCTGCAATAAAATCCTCCACGTCTTCTGGATTGGTCAAGATGCCTAGACAGTGGCGTTAGGAAAGCGAATTCACCACCAATAGATGCCGAGTTGGAGCACTTTGTACCTTCCAGATCACCAGTATCCATGATCCCATCCTCACCTCCCTCAATTCGACCAGTCTCCGCTTCCACGGTGATTCCTCGCGCATGGCAATAATCGCGCAAGACTCGAGTCTTCACCAGATTCTCCTCCTTTTCATAATGGCTCATGTCGACCATAATGGAGTCAAATGGAAGATTGTCGGCAACATATTTGATCTGCTCATAGTCTTGCGCATGATCAAGGTGGACTGAGATGGGGACTGATGCGCTTTTGGCAGCGGCGGCAGCTGCAAAGACCAATGATGGTGTCTGTTTCAGGGACGAGGGGAAGAGTTGGATGATCAAAGGGGATCGTCGCTGCTCTGCGGCTCGGACAAATGCCGTGATATGCTCGACATTGTATCTAGTAATACGAGAAGTTGTCAGTTCCTTCACACTCGATTATGATCATGACAATCTTGATGATGACTCTGCTCCACTCACACGATCGCCGCCAGGACTCCATATCCGCCCTTCTCAGCAGCGGTCAAGATTCGATGCGTCTGATTGTTGTCTTGCCAGCTCATCTTGGTAGTAGGTAGGGAGTGCTCAATCTGCGATTCTGAAGCAGCAGAAGAAAGAGATCGGGGTCCAGGTTTATGAGGGTTCCTTGGAATTGTGTTTGACCGAGAATCAACACGACTGAAGGGCCTTGATCCGAACAGATATCGTACACGAGTGATGTTCGAGTCTAGAAGACTGCACACGAGTTGTATCGGTGCGTGTGTCTCAATTCAATTTCGCAACGGAGACCTGTTGGGGTCTCGTGTCTCGTCTCGGGGCACGAATTCCCCCGCAAAAGGAGAAACGCGGACTTCCGCCGAGTGATTCGGTTGAGCCAATCGACGCCACTCCAGCAGCCCGGAATGATTCAGGTTTCCCCAGTTCTCCAGTCTCTCGGACTTGGAGATTTCCAGTCTTGCCACTGGTCAAAATTGACCGAGGCTGGCCCACTATTCCCCCCCCGCTTTTCATCCCGCCCTCGCCTCTGAGATGAGCCTCGACGCGATCCTCTTCTTGACCTGCACGTTCACCTCGCGTGCCGTCTCTCTCTATCGCGTTGGCGTCAATGACAAAAGCACCTGGGCCACGGCCGAAGCGCAAATCCCGTGGTCGGGGCCTCCGCGCGACGACAGGCTGGTATGTACCCGATGCGAGGCTATCCAGCTTCTCGCGACCGATCCGATCGCTAATTTCATCCCAGCGTCGTCTGCAAAAGGCGGCATGTCAAATGTGATGAGGTACGAGTCTACACTCATCCCATTCCCCCTTCAACTGGACATCATTCGGTGATATTCTGGTGATCCTGTCGACCAACGCCGACCGTGTTATTGGTCCTGCCAAACATCATGTCTAATTCGAATCTCCATTATCGATGTAGGCTCGACCCCAGTGTGGTCCTTGTGCCAAGGGCCAGCGACCGTGTATTTACGCGCCTCAGAGTACCACTGACGCTGCCACAACTCCGACTCCTGCCCCTCCTCTCATCTCCACACCGCGACTTGACTCAAGGTCCTCCAGTGGACAAGGACAGTCGTCGCATAATGACACGGGCGAGCGACATGGTCCCCTACAATTCTTGATCGATGCCTGCCATCAAAAGCAGCCGATGGAGAACGAAATTTTGCCGCGCGAAAGCCACGAGACCACCGAGAGACATGAAAGATTGGATCTCTATCCAGAAATACGACAGCGACGGCAGTCGCAGCACCTGCCCGCTCCTATATCACCGGCTCCCATTATCCCTTCTGCCCATTCCCCTTATGGCTACGTCCCTTCTCCAGGAACGGAAAGCTCGGCATCTACTCGAGTAGCACCGCTCAGCTGGTTTGAGCTTTTGGCCACCGACGCTGCAAATGCCAACGATCGGTTCCTCCTGTCACCGCCACAACAATTCCCGCGGACTCATCGAGATCCAAGCAACCATGCAGACCATCACGATCATCTCGATCAATCTGGAGAAGACCCGCGTCACAGTTCAAACCTGCGGCCACGGACACTCAGGGAACGCGAAAGCTTTCATGCAGCGGCCTTTCGACGCGACCCCGAAATTGAGCAGCGACTTGTTTCCCAGCAGCCCACCGGAGATGCAGATTCGGTGATTTCAGATGGCCCATCCTCGTGGACGACATCTTCTCCGATCCAATTATCTAGACTTGAACATGAGCTGTTCTCCCATTTCGTGCGCGTATCGAGCAAGTGGCTAGACTTTTATGACCCGTTCCAGCACTTCGCCTCGGTGGTTCCTCATCTGGCTCTTCGAAATGTAGGATTGATGAAGGCATTGCTGGCTCTTTCTGCGAGGCACTTATCCCTTGAACTGGAACTGCGCGGGAAGGAAGTGAATTCGATCTTGGCAGAGCACGATGGCGCTTCTTCCGCTCAACGCAGTGACTCGATTCAATCTCATGCGATAGACCGCAACCTGGCGGTGCAATACTACTATGAAACCCTTCACTACCTCAACAGAGCTATGCAGCATCCGTCATATGCCCGCAGCCACGAAGTGATTGCAACTTCTCTCCTAATCAGTACATATGAGATGATTGACGGATCCAATCAGGATTGGGAACGCCACCTCAAAGGCGTCTTTTGGATCCAAAGATTTCAAGACAACGATGGAGAGTCTGGCGGGCTGCGATCGGCCGTCTGGTGGGCCTGGCTTCGACAAGATGTATGGGTGGCCATGAGGGAGCAACGGCGGGTGTTTAGCTTCTGGCAACCAAAAAGACCATTGTCTCTCTTGACGGCCCCCGAACTTGCTACTCGAGCCACCTACCTTCTTGGTCAATGCGTGAACTACGCGTCAAAGGAAGAGCAGGAGACATCTGATTTGACTCGGCGCCTTGAAAGGGGCAGCGAGCTGCTGTTCTTACTCCAAGAATGGTATGATTACCTACCTTCGGAATACAGTCCTCTTCCCTTGGAATCTGATACGGCTGTGTTCCCGCACATCTGGATTCATCCACCCAGTTATGCAGCTGCATTGCAAATCCACAGTCTGGCAAGAGTCTTGGTCATTCTTCACCGTCCTTCCTCTGGTGGTCTTGACGATTACCGAGCGGCGCAGAAATTGCTGACATTGTCTGTCAACACGATATGCGGGATTGCACGTACAGTTGACGAGTCGGATCAGGCGGCCAGTATCGTCTCTCTTCACTGTGTATTTGGCGGTAAGTGCATTCAAGACCCTGGTGGCTCGCTGATGGATCATTACTAATTGCTCTCTCCTTCACTTCTAGCCGGCATGTGTGTGTATACCCCACATGAACGATTGGCGTTATTGGATTTACTCGAGGCCTGCCAGAATCGAGTGCGCTGGCCCTCCAGATCTCTCAGGAAAGAACTTGAGCTGGAGTATGGAAAGGATGAATTTGCGAATCTGGCAGCATGATAGAGAGCGAGGCCAGAGCTAGGGTTGGTGAAACCTCCCCTGACGGATCCTAATACGCTAGAGAAAGGCAAGGGACCCTAGAATATGCTGGTCTTCCACCACCCCTCTTTATTGGGATTTGAACCTATTTCTCGACGATTACCTAGTTGGAGCTAGCTCCTCCGACTCATTAAGCGAGGCTATCGGACAGCTGGTCGGGGTCAAAGACCATAGATTCACGGTGTTGTTCGAACCCACCTGCCCTGACAGTCTGCTTCTCCGGCCCCCGGACTCCATCTATCAAATACACTACCTGATAGCGCATAGTCCACGCATCTAAGAGCTTGCTTGAATCTTGGATTTCAAAGATGCCTCTTTGAAAAAAAAAAAGAATTCAAGCCCTCGGTTCTTTACCATGTCTGTGAGAAAGAACTAATTTGGAGGATTCTCCGCCTTGATTGCCCTGACAATCTCTTCTCTCCTGGGGAGTCCTGGAGACCATGTCAAATACCCCCTCTTCGCCGTGGTTTTCCGCTCATTGTCAAACACGTCATATAAACCTCCTTTGTTTCTTCGTACGGTTCCCCTCTAGTGTGGGCCCTTCGGGAAGGTTTCTGCTTGGCTAGGCGATGTATATTAAATACATCATGTAGTATTAGAGGCTTGAGAATACAAGACCCATTAAATTAGGGGTTTGTGAGATTCTTGAGACCCTCACCGCCATCTTCGACGCATGCATGACAGATCTGTGTATAGAACCATCATCATCATCATCTGCCAATTGTAAATTTCGAGTGCTATTAAAAGTTAAATCAATTCACCAGACATAATCCCGCTGCCATAGACGTATCAAATTCCAATCTATCTCCACCGATGTTTCTTTAAATTGTCTGGGGTTTCTCCGTTTCATCCACTTGCCCCATGAGTCAGGCCGTGTGAATCATCGTCCAAATTATCAACACCAAAGCCCTGATCCTTACAAGCAAATGATAAACCACCTTTGCCCGTTCAGTTGCTTAGCTGCCGCCTTTGCTGCACCCTGTTTTCTGGGGTTTCTGAAGCTTAGTGTCGTCACTTCTTAGCATCGTCGTCTAGCGCCTTGTCCAACTCTTTCCGGTAGTCCTCTTGGGCCTTCCTCAGATCCTTCTGCAAGTCTTCCATATCTTTCTGCAGATCCTTCATCTTATGATGGGAGGGACCCTGCTGCATGTGCTGGGAAACGCGGTTGATCTTGTCTTGAAGCTCTTCAACTTCCTCCTGTCTTTTCATCACAGACTTTTTATTGTGATGCAGCTGATTCAGTGGATAGAATTGACTTGGCGGATATGGACCTTGCGGGGGATATTGTTGATATGGACCCGCTTGCGCATAGGGCTGCTGCGGGAATTGCTGCGGGTAGGGACCGCCCTGGGGAGGGAAGTTCTGTTGACTCTGATGTTGGTGCTTCTTGTAGGCGTCTTGAGCAATGGAACCAGCAATGGCACCACCGATGGTTCCGAGGAAGCCGTGGTTGGCCTTGTGGCCAGCGAAACCACCGACAGCGCCACCGGCAAGGGCACCGGCAAGACCACGCTCACCATCCTGGGCCTCAGCAGGGGCGGTCTGTTGCTGCTGCTCGTTGTAAGACTGAGGGTACTGATTTTGAGGGTCTGGGTACTGTTGCGGATATGATTGCTGATACCCTTGGGGAGGGCCCTGGGGAGGCGGAGGCCCAGACTGGCCATACCCATTTTGAGAGGGAGTTCCATAGTACTCTGAATTCATTATTGCTAGCAGGGATCGAGAAGGTTCAAAGTAGAATGTCGAAAAGTACCAGATGCTGAGTACTCCATCACACTCCCCAGCAGGGGACCAACAACCTTTAAATATGTAAATCCAAGAGCCTCGTCTAGCCCTAAATATCCACTAACCCTTTAAGGAAGACACTGCGAAGAAATACTCCACATCAATCTTCTGTCCCGCAGTGCCCATATTTATTTAGATATGATTGGCATTCATACTAAATTCTTGTTCGTCATTGGGCCACGTTTTAGCCCCCATGTATTAACACCCCCCTCATTTTGGCCCCCACGTCTGGCTTTGTGCCGATCCATGGCTGTATCTGTGTCTGTTTTTCTTTTCTTTCTTTTTATTTTTGGTTTTTCTTCGGGAATTCCGTTTCTATTACTTCTATCGAACAAGAGTCCCGAATCCGAGCTCCGATGGATTGTCTCTACGGGATATCAACTCCATAAATAGAAACCCCAGCCACGAATGCTCGCGTACATTTTCCAACTCATGAGTTTCTCTTTTCACTGAGTGCTACGTTTATTCGGCTAAGTCAATCTATACTGCCTTCGTGGTTTTTCCCCGCGCTGCTACGGAATAAACGTAGTCTCTTAATTGTTCAATGTATGCAAAGCTGTCGGAGGAAGCCATGATTCATGGCTGCGTCGGAGTTTATTTATCCTGGCTTGGTTCAAGGTTGTACCACCCTCTTCATGCTTATATCAACTGTTCCCTTTTAAAGAGAGAAAATACTAGCACTGCTTCCACTGTATCGGACTCAATTGGAGGACGCTAGGGTCGGTGGATAGAACTTCGAAATCTATATACATATAGTTTATATAAAAACAAGTGTCCCATGCCGCCTAGCCATGTAGATCATCCTAGCTAACTCATCCTGCGCGCGATCGTCACCAGTATTGATGAACCACCTTGGCGAGATCGGCAGCATCTACTAAGCTTCACATTCCTCCATGATCTCTCTTACCACAAGCCATTCTTGGCAGCCTTGTAACTTGCAACTTTGATTATCTAACCCGCTCCCTTTCTAGAAGCGCTATGACACTTCTACGGAAAATGGTCATGATCTCCCAATAGTCCCGGATATCACTCAGGATTTCTGGCCTCATATTCTCTGATATTTGACTAACGCAGCGGAAAGCAATAAATGACTCAAGGCATCACTACTCTACAAGATATATTCATTGCCAAATGTCGCTTTGGTCATTCGAATGTGTCATGATTGCAAATATCACCCCAAAAATTGAAGCGGAACCTTTCGTCCATCGGAAGATCCCTCGATTCATTTGCAAGCCACACTTATACCACTGGCCAACCAGAGGAGAAATCAATTTGGTTCCATCCAAACAGCTTTTGACTGTCTGCGTATCCGACTGTAGTATCGACGTAGTGATAGTAAAGAACGGGGCCAAGGCTGGGGTCGGTGAAAACTCCCCTATACGGACACAGTTAGCTGGGTTCATAGTTCCTACAGTAAGAGCTCCGCAACATACTGTCCACCGGGGCCGTATACAGTGCCGTGACTCTCCAGCACGGCTGTACCACCGCTACTCGTGCATGCCGTACCATGAGCATCGACCTAAACCATAATCGTACATTAGCATCATATTCAACATCATCTCGATAGATCCATGTCTTCACTTACAAAGCCACCTGTCGGCGAAGTTGACCGACAAACCATAATCTTGTATTCCTCTCCAGCTGCGGGCATGGAACTGTCATAGCCACAACAGGTGCCTGACGAGAAAAAGAGATAGTAGTAACTGCCATACTTGTACATGTAGGAACCTTCCTCTGAGTGACTTCCAGTCGCGTTGTATGCAATGTTGTATGAGGATGAAGCGACCTTGGTTGCAGCAGAATTCATCGGTGCTTGGTAGATGTCGCCCCAGAAAGAACCAAAGTTCATGTAGTATGTACCGTCAACGTCGATCAGGTTTCCGTCAATGGCATTGTATGGCTTGGATGAGGATGAAGCAATTCCGGTACTACCATGGTCGGTCCAAGAACCATATTCCATAGTTGCTGAGGTCGCCAGACCAATGGCAGAGGACTGCGATCCAAATGTTGACACGGAATAGTACACGTAGTAGAGATCATCAACAATATGCGCATCGGGAGCCTATTGAGGGATGGAACCGTACTCTTGTTAGCTCAAAATCACCCCGAGAAAAGCAACAAGATAAGGAAACCGCGAAGAATTAAATAATCTTACCCAAAGGTCAGTATTGCCAGCAAGATCGATGGAGGAGCCAGAGGGCAACATCGAGCCGATTGTAGTCCATGGACCCTTGATGGATGACGCACTGGCATAGGAAATTTCATTGCCAGTGGAGAATCGGAAGTAGAGACTATCAGATGTCCTCTGTATTAATGTGGGATCGTGAACATTACACGATCCTGAGCAACTGCCAGGGTTTGCATATCCCCGGACTAGAGCTGCAAAGAGCAGCACGGGTGTTGCGAGCCTAAGTACAGCCATTGTGGCAAAGGTGGAATCGGATGGTGATGCAGTACTTGATGAATCATTGTTTGTAGCAGGAAATGGCAAATTTTATAATTAAGTCATGAAGACTATTGTGAGATAACCATGAGACACGGAGACAAGGAGCAATTCGTGGAAGTGGGACTATACGACCACAGACGGCCGTGATACCTTACCCAAAACGGCACATCAGACGAAGATTGAGTAGGAGTGAATAGGGTTAAATCGCATGTGGGGTCTACCTTGTAGGGACGGAATCAGATCCAACAACCGGAAGGAATTATCTGGAAAATAAACACAAACAGGGACACAGCACCGACTGGTGGGAATTCCTCTACATCTGTGCGCCACCGCATGCGAATACATCAAGAGATCGGCAGAAGGTCCGGAGCAATGCGGGGGAGATTTTCTTCAGCCTACAGAAAGTGGACTGGGGTAATTGCCGAACTAGATCTTGTGACAGAAATGCCATGAATTCACATCTGTCCAGTGGCCGTATGTTTCAACATTTTTTCTTACGAAGGAATTTTCACGGATTTTCTTTCCAATGCATAATTGACGCCATGTACAGAATGAAGGGTCCTTCGATGTTTCAAGCTAATGGAACGCCACAGGTATCAGATTTCGCGGGTCATTTTAGTAGCCTCAAACGTAGTCTAAGAGATGATCAAGATAAGATAAATTGCGTATAACTAAATATAGGGCGCACAGTAAGTACAGAGGACTCAGTAATCCTTAGAGGGGGTGGAAAAGCCCTTCTACATAAGTTGAATCCTACCCAACAGACTAAGCAAAGATTTTTGTCAACCTCGTTGGAATATCCTGGAAGTCCACTCTGACTGGTACGTATTGCTTTATTTATAATTATAATTAACGCGTAATACCTAAGCGGTTTTAACAGATTTCATCATTCTTTGATCATTACATAGAGGAATTAGGAAAAGGTACTAAACAGATACTAAGAGATGTACCAACGGAGATGTTAATAGAGATATTAAAAGAGGTATGGATGGAAAGAGATAACAAAGGAGGTATTAAAAAGAGGTATAAAAACAGGTCGGTATTATTCTATATAAAAGGGAAGATCTTTAGTAGGAGTCGTTCACCTCGACACTGGATTATGAGAAGAATGTCTATAAATCGAAGAGAAAACTGCCCAAAGATTGTATAAAATGGATAATTCATGCGTTAATTTCTACCTCCTCTGAACTATAGCACGCTGAGTATAATGTGTGCTCCTCAAAGAAGACCAGCCATCACCCGTGTCAACGCCTCATCTTCAGCCTGAAACGCATCCAACGCATGAGGTACCCGCCCGTATTCAGGATGAGACATTTCCATTCCCATACCCACTCCACTTGCGACATGCGCGTCAGCATCAGGATCAAAATACAAACCACCTGCAATCTCAAAGAAGCTGCTCAGATCCTCACAGTCGTTGGATTCGAGATCTATAGCGGTGCCTGGGGACAACGGCCAAAGAGTTGCGGAAGAAGGTTGCGGGGTGGAATCGTCCTGTATTCGGTCGAGATGGGGAACCCGCTGGCTTGGTGGAGATTCCGTTGTAAGGGAGAGCGGCGTCGTGTCCAACAGACTGCGAGTCGCGAGAGAGGTGTGTTTTAGTGAAGCAGATGGACTCTCGCCCGTGTCGGTGGGCTTCCTTGCAAGGGTTGGCGTGCGGTGATGATTGCGAACTGGGGATGTGGGGCCTCGGGATTTGTGCCACTGGACATTCAGTTGGATTCGTTTGAGGCTGCGAATGATCTTTTGGAGACGCCGTGAGGTCCTAGTATGTGTTGCTGAGCGGCGCACCATATCAATGGCAGTGTAGAACTCGGGTCGGCATGTTTGGCTGTAACGGTAGGGTGCATGTAGAACGGCAAGGAACAACGCAGCAAGAGCGGATATCAAAAAGTAGTTGAATGGCTCTGGTCGCTGGAAGTAGATGTTTGAGACTCGACTGAAATAGTCCAGCATGTGTATAGTGCTCTTCGCTGTTTCCACAGCAATGGATGCCCCGGCCAGATCATCTGCGATACGTTCGCTACTCAGAAGATACTGCCGATACACAAGAATCCGAAGCTGATTAGCCTGGAGCGCAAGCAGCACCTGGAGCATCATATTCCTATCAGTGTGCTCAGATCTCGTAGTTGATCGCTGGCCGGCATCGAAGCGAAGCTCCCGTGGAATGGAGCGCACCCATTGTTGAACCTGCGCGTCCAACATGGCACATCCTTCTGAAGTAGCGGCTCGAGAACGATTGGACCAGCCAACGATGAGTCCCCATATCTTCGAACTGAGGCGAGCATAAGAAATCATGCAAGTAAGATACGGAGTCGAGTGACCAGGCTCCGGCAGATTGGTGTCCATGTCTGCGTCTTGGATCGCAAATGGTAGACCCGTTCCGCATGACCATTTACGATCCAAAACGTAGACAACCCAGAACAGACGACTTGCCCACAGCCATTCGAGCGCACCCGGGAATATTCCTCCTGTCCTTTGCCATGTCTCTTGCCGATGCAAGCCCAGCTCCATACTTCCCCGTGCTGCCATGCCTGTCAGTCGCCAAGCGATGACTTCGTCATCCCGGTATGAGTGGAAAATGGACTGCAGTGATCAGTGAGTCAGGTCGTTGTTGGTGACTGTTGCTGCCAAAATCAGGCTTGGGGGCAAAAGGAGACCGCGTACCAATAGAACAAGAATCAAAATTTCCTTCATGTCAACTTGAGCAATCTTCAGTCGACTGGCGAAACGATCCTCAACACAATCCGCCAGCTGGGCCGCCAGCTCGCTTTTACCATGCGACTCAACCAACAAAGCAGTTGCGAGCAATATGTTCAGCACCTGGATATCACGGGCGTGAAACCAGTCTCTGGCTGAGAGGGCAGCTGGCGTTGAACTGGAGTGATCCCCAAAGCGGGAGTGGCGAGAATGATGATATTCGACGACATACGTCCGAACACTAGCCAGATCAACGCAAGGGTAAATTGTGGCCACATTATCCTCGTAGACCTGCACTAGACGCAGGGTCTCTTCCAAACTCAACCCCTTCAGTGGATCTCTATTTGGCAATGGTTCGTTGTCGTTGGAGGGCACAGGACTTTGAAGAACCGGTGACAAGCTGGGTCCACAATCTCCAGGACGGTCGGTGTCTTTGTCACCATCATCATGAGGTTCCTCATCTAGTATATGAGGACGGTCCAGACCGAATTCGGCGCTCGTGGGACCGATGTAGGAGGGAGACTGTGGCGCATTCAAAATCCGATGTATACTCCCCGCTGCGACGCTGTTTGGCAATGCGGGCGATTTGGGACGGGAAGAGGATTCGACTCCTCTTAATCTTGTGGACAAAACTTGAATGTCTCGTTGAAGTGCCTCAATCTGCTTGTGAACCGTGTGGAACTGGATGGCGAGCCTGAAGCAAGACAAGGGTTAGTAAATGAAGTTGCTGATTGGCGAGTATTTGCGGGGGGAAGAAGATCGCAATGCCCCAGGTGGCTTGCTTGGACGGAATCCTCCGTATCCTAAAACCCTCGGAAACGAAAAGAGGCTGCGGAACCTTTCCTACCTGTCTTCTTGAGGGCTCTCGGTTACCGGGGTAGAAGCCGCTGGTTTGGAGATGACATTATAGACACATGAGACTTGATCACGCGTACAACGTGAACATTTCGTTCCGCCGCTGCATTTGAGCTTCCTCCGCTTGCACTCGTTACTGATATCATCAGCATGTACATCGCTGGTGAGAAAAGAAGAATTCACACTGACCAGGCAACCTGCGTGTACTTGGCCCTTTTCCGAGGCCGTTGTTCGGTTGAATCAACTGCGTCTCCTACCGTGTCAGAAGCCATGAGATGGACAGCCCGCGCTTACGCAGTAGTCGGTCTCGTATGGGATGAAGAAGAGGGAAGGAGATGTCGGAAGCTCGGAAACCGCACAAAACGAGGGAGTGGGGATTTTTGTGGAGAACCAAGAGATAGACAAAGTGCGATAAGGTAAGGCCAGGCAGAAATGAATGTCCAGTAATCTCGCCCCCGGAAAGTTGTTGGTATTATTCCGCTATTGAACCTTTAACTTTCTTTTTAAAGTTTACAAGAAACCGGGGTTGCAACATGGCTGACTTTGAGATTATTGGTGAGGTTGACGGTCACTGGGTCTTATGTATATTTACAAACCAGCCAAGCCTCGAACCTAGATGGATTTAATTTGCATCTCACAACTATAGATACATATAATTGAACCTCCAGAAATTCTACCAAATGACCAATCAAATGTTTCGAATTCAGAGCTGTGCGGGAGCTTTCTAATTTACAATGTGATGACAAAGCGGGGGAATAAGACGATGATGACCATGACAATGCTATACATGCACTCCTGCAATGATGAGAATAATAATGATGATCATGATGATAGATGTTCTATATGATACAATACGCCTGCAATATTCCTCCTATGTACAGGGAGCTACCTAAATATGCGCCTTGCGGCAACATTCCGAATCCGCCAGCCGGGAAGAGCCATTCTTGTTCGATGGCACATCGATCGAAGGGTTAGCCACAAAGAAGTCCGCCGGGCGGATCATCAATTGGAAAATCTCAACCGGCATGACGGGCCAATCTTCAACACGCGGGTTGTGTGTGATGCCAAAGGAGTTCCACACGACCACATCCGTGTCTGCCACCGCGTCACCTCGACGAACGGCATCAGCGACACCCTCAACCTCGAATTGACTTTGCAGGGTGTAGCGTCCACCGGCGTAGAGCTCTCCATCCCGATGCTTGGTGACCCAGACGTGATGTTGAGCGAATTGAGCGCGGCGGGCTTGAACGGACTCGGGGTCCGCGAGTAGTAGTTGCGTTGCCAAGGGAATGAATTTGTAACCGACCGGGTTCCCGCTGATGGGATTAGTCTTGTGAGGGTTGATCATCTTGATTGTGCGGTTATGCTCGGGTGCGGCATCAAGATATGTGGCTCGCTCAATGGTCTTCTTCGTGACTTGGTAAAGGTTGCCATGGGGGTTGGTGACGGCATTCATTGGGACGGGGTGAGACTCTTCGACCACGACAGAGTTGTTCGAGCCATCCACGGCTGGATCAATGCGCACACAGAAGATGTGCTGATGATTTTGCGCAAGAACACCGCCGCTCACGACATTACCATACTCGCTGACTTTGCCCGCATCAATGTTGACGACATTGAGAATACCAGTTGCTCTTGCCTCCACAGTGATGCCACCAGATTGATCAAACTTGTAGGCAAAGATGTACTCATAGTTGGCCAGGGTGATGATGAATTGGACTACAAGCTCTCGGTGACGCGTGACCACGGCGCGACCGGTGCGCCAGTTGGAGTGCTTCCAACCAATGCCGTTATCCTGCTCATGGAGACAGATGGCATTGGGCAACTTTTGCGCGGTACCATCGGCCTGTGTGATCACGGCATCAAAGTACTTGATCACACCGAGGCAGTCACAGCCCAAGGAAAGGTTGTTGGCCATGTTTCCACCACCACCGTCACCAAAGTCAAAGGCCTGCTTGCGATGGAATGGCGGACGAGGGTCGGCATATGGGACAGTCTGTGGGGGACGGAAAGAAGAAAGAGTTAGCTCATGACGCACTGAATGTCTTCAGGAGATGAAGAGAGGGAAAATCACACACCATTTCGCTGACCGCCAGACGATGCATCACGCTGCGCCCATCATACCAGACATCATGAATCGTTGCGCCTTCGCGGGGATTGAAAGCAACACGGAAGCGCCATTTCTGCCATTCCACCAACGACTCATTCGTCACGCGGAATGATGGGCCCTCGGGCTGCACGACGTTCAAAGGTTTGAGGTCCTTCCGAGTGCCCTCTGGGAGAAGCTCGGGAACGTATTCAGAGGGCTTGCAGTGACCAATGATATCCGTCTTGAAGGTTTGTTCTGTCAAACCGTCACCCTTGCCACCCGTTGCCGGTCGGTCTACCCGGATGATTTCTTGCGTGTGTGCATCCATGACGGGAATCACGGGCAGGGGGAAAGAATAAAAGTTAGAGTCTGGGTTGCCCGATCGTGTATCCCGAGCGAAGCAGAGACCTTGGAAGTAACGACGGTTCTCATCGGTATGATCCAAACCGCCATAGGGCCATGGCTCAATTACGACTTCGAATCCCTCTGGCAGCTTGAACTCGGCCAGGGCTGCCTGGAACAATGGTGAATTCATGCAGCGATCGACTAGAACATCGAATTCGCTCCTAATGGGCAGTGTGAGCACGATGAAGAGACAATTTTGACCGGATTCATGGTCACAGTTTGAGGATCACTTACAATGTCAAGCTGGCATGGTGTTGTTTGCCAACCACGGTATGCTTCACTCGTGATCGGGAAACCACGTCGACGACCGATTCATGGAACTGGGGAATGCGATCTGCTCCAATGACATCGTACTGACAAAGTGCCAGACGAGGTGGCCGAGGAGTGGTTGGGCTCAAGCGACCGGCATGTTCAAGAGCGAGGAACTCCACAAGCTGGGCCTTGGGCGGTTCCTGGAGAAAGATCTCTCGGAAATCAATCACCGTGTTCGGGTGCGCTGCCTTGACGATGTCCCGGGCGAGGTTGGTTTCGGCCTCGGAGAGGATGGCAAGCGGATGAATCATGGTGGTCTGTGTAGTTTTGGCGTTGGAGACCAGAGGAGGGGCATGCGGGGATTCTTAAGTAGCAGGTCGGTTGTCGGGGCAGTTGCGGTGTCCGTCGTTGCTTCCTGTTTTTGCCATGAGAAAGTGGACCCCCCCCCAAGTCCTCGGTACATTCCGACCGCATTCCGAGCTAACTCGCGATAATCACCGAAGCTCCACAGAAATGACCTTCCAAGACACCGCGCAAACGGGACGTTACAGAAGACCAAATAGACCCACTGGCTGGCTTGGCTGGCTTAGCTGGCAATATTTTGATGTAGCCAGTCATGTATCGTCTTTCATGGCAAGGAGTGGTTTATTCTGTATGCGGAATTTCCGGGGTTCAAAGATTCGTTATCCTTCAAGTGGGTCTCTGATAAGCACCAAAAGGCTCGGCATCATTTCCTTGGGTTTCCGACGTACCATTTCGAGATTAGAACTACGATCACCTTCACCCGTCGGGGCAATTGGCTATTTTCTGGACAAAGTGGGTTTCTTGATAATTCACACTGTATTAGTACCCTAGAGTTAAATTCAAATCACCGCAGCAAACTCAACTGAGCTACAGACATGATCTCCAACAGCGGGGACGTTCCGCGCCCGGCGCCGGGACAGAATGCGGGGAAGATAAGGGGTGGGGCATCCGGACAATCAAGAACGAGCCCTTGACCCTATCAACCTCGGGCGGCAGTCATATCAGGCATCATGATTGGCGATCAGGGAAAAGCCACACCCTCAATCGCGGAACCTGATATCGATGGAGCTGGGCTCACAAGGTCAATTCATCCTGCCTATCTCATCCTCCGCCCCTGACCTGTCCAGTCTTTATATATTTTCCCCAGAGACCCCCATCCCGAGATGCCCACTAGGCAGTCTGGGCATTTCTAGCTCATTCTGATTTTTCTTGAAGAATATTAATATATTCGACTCAAAACTGTCTTGAGTCGGTGAATACCCATGACTTCCATCTCTGACCTAGACACCAAGGTGGCTCCCGAGCAGCCCATCAGCGATGAGGAACAACTGGCCGCTCTGGGCCATGTCCAAGAACTCCGTCGAGAGTTCTCGCTATGGTCTATCGTGTGTCTTCAAATTTCCTTGATGGCCACTTGGGAGGCCCTGTCTTCCGTCGTTGCAACGGCCTTAACCAATGGCGGTGCTCCCTGTCTATTCTACAACTAGTGAGTAGCCCCATGGTGGAGAGGCTCCTGGCTCGAATTTTACTCACAACCCCCTGATGAAAAGTCTCATTGCACTTGTCGGTACCGTGTTTATTGTGCTCTCGCTGGGCGAGATTGCTTCCATCTACCCGACTGCTGGCGGTATGCTCCACTTCTCATTCAAGACTCCCTTTGCCTTCCCCCTTTTCTCGTCCAACGTCATCTCTTGTTCTTCCAAACTTGGCAATCAAGTCGAGTACTTACAAAGAATGCTCTAGGACAATATCACTGGGTTCATTGCCTCACCCCAGCATCGTACCGCGCCACAGCATCATGGTTCACCGGTTGGATCTCCATTGGAGGCCAATTGGTGCTCGCCGCATCTGCAGCCTTTGCCGCTGGACTGCAACTGCAAGCTCTCATCACGCTCAATAATCCCGACTCATACATTCCAGCACGATGGCAGGGGATGCTGTTTTACTGGCTAATCATCGCCTATTCGACGGCAATCAATATTTGGGGATCTAAGATCTTACCTCATACAAACACTGCTGCTGGTAAGAGTACTTCACATCGGGGTGAAAGGAACATGACATAACCGACAACTCTCAACTAGGAATCTTGCATGTCATTGGCTTCATTGCCATCGTAGCAGTACTTGGTGCCATGTCTTCGAAACACTCGGCCTCCTATGTCTTCACCGAATTTTCCAACACCAGTGGATGGACCAACGACGGAGTTTCATGGCTTGTGGGACTTCTGAGCACCGTCTATCCTTTCCTCGGGTATGAGTGTTCAAAATATCTGGAGAAGCTTGTGACAAGTGCACTAACAACCCGTTTCACAGATATGATGCTGCATGTCATCTGAGTGAAGAACTTCCCAAACCCTCTCGCAATGTGCCTTTGGCCATGGTGGGCAGCGTGGCCATCAACGGTCTCATCGGTCTGGTCTATGCGATTGTCCTCCTGTTTGCACTGGGTGATCTTGAGAGCCTCCTGACGTCCGACATTGGATTTCCCTTCATGCAGCTCTTCCTCAACGTCACGGGGTCACCGGCTGGCGCATCTATCTTGGCCTTGTGTATCACTCTGATTGCCGTGGCTGCCAATGCGGCTGGGTTGACCTCGACCAGTCGTACAGCATGGGCCTTTGCTCGCGATGCCGGCCTGCCGGCATCTGGATTCCTGTCCACAGTCAATCCGACCGTCAAGGTTCCCGTGCGGATGATCTTGGTGGTCTCCTTTTTGCAGATGCTGCTGGGCCTGATTTATTTGGGGAGTTCTACCGCTTTCAACGCGGTGCTGTCCATGGCCATTTTGGGCATGTATGCCTCGTATTTCTCCCCCATTTTGTTCATGCTGATCTATGGCCGGCGAACCTCCGCTCAGGTCGTTCGGGGTCTGGGAGCTGGAATGTTTAACCTCGGTACCCGATGGGGCCCTCTGATCAATGGAATTGCCTTGTTATGGTTGTTGTTAGCGATGGTCTTTAGTACCTTCCCCACGGTCGAACCCGTCACGCCGGACAATATGAATTATTGTGTTGTGGTGACGATGGGGTGGATGTTCATTGGCGGGGTATACTATTACTTGTTCGGCGGCAAGAAACGATTCACAGGTCCCGTGGTGGAGCTGGCCGAGGGACTCTGAGAGTGACACGTCAGGCGGTCTACACTACAGACTCGGAGCTATAGTAATAATGGAAATGTACCCGAAACTTACGAAGATCTCTTTCTTCTGATTCGAATTTTCAATCCACTCCACCTAAAGATTTAGTTTGGCACTTCCTCGGGAAAGGGCGGCTGCCCCGCCGAAGCATGAAGTGCGGGCAAATGAGCCAAGCAAAACGGGAGGGGCTCATAAATAGCCGAGAATCTGTGTTCACAATGGCAAGACAACGACGAAAAATAGAAATATCTACAGTCAAACCAAGGTCCAAAAGAGCGAACCTTGAACTCTCAAGCCATGGTGAACACAAAGACAATTCGCGTGCCCCACCTGGGAGGCATCGATGCAGCATATCAAATGCCTCGGGAGTATGATCCTGCAAAGCCGACCGTCGTCTTGGTGAATGCGTTTACCACATCTTCCGAACTTTACCGCGACCAATTTGATAACGTGGAATTGGCCGACAAGATAAATCTCGTTGCGATCGAGCTCCTGGGCCATGGACAGACACGCACGGCACGGGAACATTGGACGTACTGGGACACTGCGGAGATGAACCTGCAGGTATTGGATGCTCTTAACATTGACCATGCATTCGTTCTGGGAACCAGCCAGGGTGGTTGGGTCACGGTGCAAATGGCCTTGCTGCGACCTGAAAAGGTGAGTTTATGTCGTGCAATGGAATAATTGAATGACAACTGACCTATCCTTGCTTATAGATTCTGGGAATCATTCCGATGGGCACTTCCATGGACTGTGAATCGGAACGTACCCGCCAGCTGGATTGCTGGGATGGTCCGGCGATCGTATCGGGATTTGTGAAACAGTGGGCAAGCAGTGAGGCCACGTCCAACTTTGAACCTGACGATGGGTATTGCGATGCAGTCATCAACATTGGGTTCAACCAAGTGGCACCAGAGGTGCGGGAGTTCTGGCACAAGACGATCAAGTCCAACTATCAGGGCGAAGAGGGCCGTCGACGAATCCGCATGGCTGCGATTAATTTGGCAGAGCGTGGAGGATTGCATCTTCGACTCTCCGACATCCAGTGCCCGGTATTATGGTTGCATGTCAGTTGCCCTCAGATCTTTTGCTCAAATCCGTACTGATTCCGAACAGGGTACTAAAGATGCGGTTTATACCATCGCCAATGCGAAGGAAGAAATCCAACTCTTTACCCGTTCCCCATCCGCGACTTTGGTCCCGGTTGAGGGAGGAGCGCACTTCCTGAACGCGTCACACCCTCGAGAAGTGAACGCAGCCCTTTTGGAGTTTGTGAATCAGCACAAATGAGAGGCCAGAGGTATTTATAACTGTGACAATGTTGAGGTAGGCTTCCATGAATTGACGGGGTGTGGGCAAACCGTAGGAGATGCCTGCGAGCAGATGAAGTGGAAACCGTGGGAACACCAGTTGCTCCATGCCACCGTGATCGGATCATACTGGGCAAGCAGTGTTCTCTTCCCAACATTCTTGTATTTACCGAGGTAGAAACTGACAACAATGAACAGTGATATGGTGACTGAAGTCTTAGAACGGCATTGTATGTGTCCAGAAAAGCGTACCAAGGGTCCTGGCATGGTGTTCCTGGGTGGCTCTCCTCGTCTCACGAAAATATATCATGGTTAAGTCTAAAACAGCCGCCCTCAATGCACATCCAAGAGAATGGAAGCTTCGACATAAGAGTAAGCCCCCGGGACGACGCACAACGTGCATGACGCCGAAACCGGCAAAGAATGGCCGAGAGAGAATCGGCATGGGGGTCAACTTTATCTCCCAAACCGCATCCATGGGGCATACACTAGTGGCCCACATGGCGGTTCCTTGATGTATTGTACCGAGCCCGCACGGTTTGAAGATTGTCAGATCTCAATTTGACCTTTGGGCAGACAAATAGTATGGTGCTCATGGTATATGCCCTCCCAAGATGAAGGTTAAAATCCCCCGGATTTCCCATGATAACATACCTCAGTGTACATACACATGCTTCATATCAGCCGCAGGAGTGGCTGTCGCACAAACCGAGGATGACCAAGTCAGCTGGCAGTTTCCCAAGAGCTTGTCAATGTCAAGGGTCCGGATAATAATTGACTGGGATCCCAATTCCAAGTGCTCACGTATAATTGCGACTGGGCCACCAACCTTGTTACAGTGATAATGCACGAAAGCCGATTCCTGCTTGATTCGGGGTTGGTGACTGGCCCCTATGTGGCTAGTGACTCTTTCATTGGCTGACTTCCTCCCCACTTTCCCATGTCTTTTCAACTTAATCAGCGCCAATCAGCACGCCGCGTGGAGGAGTCAACCCTGCTGGGAGGTGCCGTTTCTTCTGTCCTCTCCCCAAGATCGATCCCCCTTTGGAACTCACCTGCCTCTTGAGGCTTGGACGCACGCCGCGTGCCAGACAAAAAAGAAAGCTTGGCCCAGAGCACGGATCGCGTGGACTGCGACGAATGGAACGATGGAGATAATGAAAGGGAAAAAGAACCCCCCTGGCAAATCGCCGAGGCTAGCACGAAGCTCTCGTCACGATATAAATGCAGGGAACCCCTCCCCCTCGGTGGCCCCCCGCTCGCGTGAGTGGTGACTTCTCTGCACATCGAGCCTCCTCCTGTCTGAGAACTGCAAAAGGGCCCCCTCCGTCGCACTGTACGGAGATCACCAAGTGCGACCATTGGTCACTGCAACTGCACTCCTCGCGCTGCAACATGGATGTAGAACGGTCTGCCGGCATTTTGGACGCGTCAGAGGCCACCGAGCTGGGCAAGAAAAAGCAAAGCTCGATTGCCGAAGACCGATCTATTGGCCATGGAGAGAATGACCTGCTTGGCGGGGAGAAGGTGGATGCGGTGCTAGCGGCCAAGATGGTCCTGGTGAACGATGTGAGTCGCATGCGCGAGCTACTCGGGTTCTTTTGCCATGTTCGTGGGCGCTTCAAACTAATTTCAGATTTTTTTTTGCGCCGCAACTAGGCTATTGATGAGATCGGATTCACGCCCCATCATTGGAAATTGTTCTGTCTCAACGGCTTCGGTTACGCCGTGGACTCTTTGATCCTGCTGATTCAGTCCATCATCTCCACTCAAGCCCAGAAGGAGTTTCACCCGGGATACTCGACTGGTCTCACCATTGCCGTCTATGTGGGCATGCTGGTGGGCGCCATCTTCTGGGGGTTTTCGGCGGATATCATCGGACGCCGCTTTGCCTTTAACGTGTCTCTGTTCGTCTCCTCCGTGTTCACCATTGTCGCGGGTGCCTCTCCCTCATGGATCACACTGGGTCTATTTGTTTGTTTGAGCGCCTTTGGATCTGGAGGAAATCTGGTCCTGGACACGACCGTGTTCCTCGAATATTTGCCCAGTCGGGATCAATGGTTGTTGACTCTGATGGCGGCATGGTGGGGTAAGTCTTGCATAATTCACTTGTATTTCAAATTCATTTGGTAAAATCGTCAACTGACTCTGACTTTCGGAATTTGACAGGTTTGGGTCAGTTGATTGCTGGTTTGTTTGCCTGGGGGTTCCTCCCAAACTATTCATGCAATGATGACACCAATTGTACGCGGGACAATAACCAGGGATGGCGTTACGTCTGGTATACATCTGGAGCGTTTGTCTTTGTTCTCTCAATTCTTCGAATCACCATCATTCGACTCGAGGAGACGCCGAAGTTCCTTTTGGCCGAGGGTAAAGACGCCGAAGCCGTTCGCGTGCTGCAAAACATTGCAACAAAGTACCAACGGCCGTGCAGTCTCACCCTAGCGCGTCTAGAAGCCTATGGCACAACCCAAGCCCGATCAACCACTGCCGTTGGTCTCTCCCAGCGTCTCATCTCGCCCAAGGAAGTGCTTCTCCATTTTCAGGGGCTGTATGCTACCCGGAGAATGGGATGGTCGACCACTCTGGTTTGGTTCTCCTGGCTCCTGATTGGCCTAGCATACCCTCTATACAATGTCTTTCTCCCCACATATTTGGCATCGAGAGGGGCCAGCTTTGGGGAATCCAGCCAATACATCACATGGCGTAACTATGCCATCAACAACACTTGTTCCATTTTTGGTCCGGTCGTGGCAGGCTTCATGTGTCGCTCTCGCTGGTTCTGGGGTCGACGGGGAACCATGATTATCGGTGCCTTGATCACTATGGTCTTCTTCTTCTGTTACACTCAAGTGCGGACCGCGAGCCAGAACCTTGGGTTCACCTGCGCCATCTCTTTCTGTCTAAACATCTACTACGGCACGCTTTACGCCTACACACCTGAGGTACGTCACTTGTATTGTCATCGAGCCTTGTGTGTTATTTTTTCCCCACCATGCTGACTCAATCAACCATGCAGGTATTTCCTTCTGCACACCGCGGAACGGGGAATGGAGTGGCTATCGGTCTCAATCGAATTATGGGCATTGTAAGCGCAGTGGTTGGACAAGCTGCTAATGTGAGTTTTGGATCCTCCTCCCTGTTTTGATTCGAGAGCATCAGACCGACCCTGACGGACAACAGACAAGCACATCAGTTCCCATCTTCATTTGTGCCGCACTCTATATCGTGATGGCCATCGTGGCGGCAGCATTCCCATTCGAACCATATGGCCGTCGCAGCAGCTGATCTTGTCCCTCCCACGCAATCATCCCAAGCCTGGTGTTTCACCACCACCACCACACATGTTCGAAATGCGACGTCTGTTCTTAGACGATGAATCTGGGTTGAAGATCGCGGGTACTCCTCTGCGCCATGGAATATCAATATTCCATTCGAGTACGGCGAATTTTCCCTGGTGTGCTAATTGTATTCCCCGCCATGCCGGAGGTAAATCCTGTGTGTGTCATTCATGATGTTGACGGGCCTGGAAAGTGCCATGAGAATTCATCACGATGGGTATGCTTTTTCCAGCAAGTGTGCCCAAGCCTTCATGAAGGGTGGAGGCTGTATTGACCAGGGGAGATTCTTGCCTTGAGAGGCTGGACGTGTTTTGCTTTGGCTGCAGGAGGTATGGACCGTCGACATAGAATGAAATCAGAGCAAGACCTTTCGGGAGCTTGATGATAATGGACTGATTGAGAATCCTTCTTATTCATTTCTGAAACCCATACCTTATTAGTGTGCTGTCCCAAACTCATCTCCTCGTATTGAACGAGTCCCATGGGGTATGCGGATGGAGGTCTATCTCTGGGTTCATGCGAGATGTTGCCGCTGTCTGTTTCAGTACAGTGCAAAGCCCAGGATTCAGTCGCTGTTCCTTCATCTGGTCCATGCAATTCAGCCTTGGCATAATTTATTGGTCCTCGTATTATTCTTCGTTGCTTTCGTATGCGGATCAACATCAAGTATCAAACCCAATATAGAATAGATAAGCTCATTGGCTATAGATCAATACATGCATTTTGATTACTCCATCTACCACAAGGTTTCCTCTATGGAACGTAGGGGAAAAGGGATAGAAGCATGACCAAATTCTAGTGCGTGGTAAGTTACCACTGCATATCTCGATATAACTACCCACACTCTGCCCGATTTCTTTTTCATTACTTAGGCCCATATACGTAACATTTTTCCTATACCAGGTGGGGCTTTCCTATTTTAGCTGCCGCCGCTTTTATGAGGGCGCTCACTTCATCCTTAGCCGCAAGCCCACCATCCGACTTACCTTAGTCGCACGCTCAAACTACCATTCCGTAAAGACCAACGGCCTAATCTCGACTCCCAAAAGATGGCAAACATACAATCCATCTAGCGAGCGTAATCAAAACGCCCGCCGAGGCAGACTAAAAATTCGACTATATCGTCTGTGCGCACAGGGCTGTTGACCAGAATGCCGCTATGGCCCAAGGCGACTATTATTACCTGCGTTGTAAGCGTCCCGTTCTGCGAGATGTATATGTATAGATAGATTTATGACTGACGGAAGGTAGACATGGACGGGCGCAACCCAAACCTTCACGGGTACATCACGCACGCCAAAAATGAATACATGCAAATCGGCCTGTTCCCATCCTTGGTCTCCCCCTCAGCAACCGAAGGAACACGTTTCTTCACATTCTCACCTCTCCTAAACGCAGGCGGCACAAAGTTTACGGTCCTAGAAAACATGCCCCTCCAATGCTGGGAAAAGTTTGCTTGGAACGCAGCGTGGAATTCGTTGGCAGCTGCCACGTTCCTGACTTCGCACGATTGGCTGAGCTCGAGTCCAGGGGCTATGCCCATGACCCGGAAGCTGATGACCTGTCATGGGGATTGATAGGAGATTGAGGAATGGGCGGAAGATGTAGCCTTTAGAAGATTTATTAATGACTTGAAATGTTAAGTTACAGATTCGGCTTTTATGCATTTCGGATCCCATAATGAGTCTTCGTTCAGGAGCATGGCTGGTGGTCCCCCTGATGGTTTTCCGGATGGCATTTTCCCTTCTCCGTCAGAGTCAGGATGTTTCCCAGGTGGACCGCCTCTGCCGTGGATGCGATCAGGACCATAGCGATAGCCAGGACCATAGCCGTAGCCAGGACCCGGCCCAGAACCCGGTCCATACCGTCCCGGCGTCTCAATAGAATCCATCGGCCACATCGGTATGAAGCAGACTTCATCCGATGCGCACCCATCCTTGCAATACGTCCACTGGTCGACCCAGCCAAGCCAGGCCATGAGTTCCTGCAGACCGGCTTTCCAGTAGTTTATTCTTTCATTGAATTTTGACGGAGGCTCGCCAGGTTGTGGAGTATTCTGTACATCGAAGTTATCGAACCATTCCTGATCAATCGTCAGCCCTACATCGACAACCCAAGCGCAGATATTGTCTAGCGTTTCTTCCACAGTAGATTTCAACAATGCTTCTTCCGGTGTGAGTTTCTCAGCGTAGTAATCGGGCGCTATAAGGCGGGTATATTGATATTTGCAGCGAGATAGGGTTAGCTGTCTGGTCGCCTGCGATGGCTGCAGCATGCACTGCGCATTCGGCGTAGCAGCATATTCATATTCAAAATAAGGCATCAAAAAGGAAATGTGTATGCTGTCTCAAACCCGAGAACCATTTTTTGAGTGCCGTTGAGTTTTTCATGTCTATGCTGGATGCTGCACCGAGAATCGAGTTCAACTGTTGTAGTCGAGGAGCGTATCGTTGCACAATGTCGTTGGAGACGGCAATCCAGTCCATCCCTGTGCAGTTGCCACTGTAAGGTTGAAGGCCGGTCAGGTTATGAAACCCGAGATTCTGTAAAACTCGTTCTGTAGCGACATTCATGGCCGAGGCATCAACCTCGCTGATATTCCGCAGCAAATGATATCGCCGACGTCTCATCAACTTCTCCAGTGCGGCTTTCCTGTCTTCGTCTTTCACCGGGCCCTCCCAAAGCCCATCAACCGTGATATTCAACTTCTCCCGCTCAGTAGCCACCCGCGCATCATGTTGCCGCTCAAATTTTACAGCATCGTAAAATGTCATAAACCCGCAGGCCAATGGCGCTACCCTCGATTCTCCTCGTCCAGCACCCATACCACTGGATCCGTAATGCCATGTTGCGCTCTCAAACCATCCCCACGTCTGACTAGCAAGGAATGCCTCTTAACCGCCTCGCCGCCAGCTAGGCGGCATAGGAGGTTGTTCGGGATCCCTGGAGTGGCCGGGCGGGGATGTCTCTATCGGGAGCGGATAATATGTGGCTGATGTATGCGTACCCTCTTCGTGCGCTACCTCAACGCCGACATTTTTGCTATCGTCCTCGGTTTTGTCACGTAACAACGGCGACGTAACATTAACCTTGGTCACTAATCTCATACTCGGACTCGAAAAATTGCACCAGATCATCTCGAACCCCGCATTCATCCTCACAATGCCCTCCACCCCCCATCCCGGTCCCCCTAACCCTTTGTCTGTCGCCCACCGACATAACCCCGACGCACGATCATACTCATTCTGCAACCCTCTGGACCACTTTCCATCATCTAACGGCGGGCCCGTCACATTCCCATAAATGAACAGCATCTGCGTATCCATCCGCCCCGTGCCCATCAACGTGGCAGACTCGCCGTCGAAATATAGACAGCCCACGGTTTTTTTGGTATGGTATGTTAGAATGTGGGAATTACGGCCTGAGCCCATTATGCCATAGGCCATTTCTCTGCCACTCTATTAGCATCTAGTATTCCATCTGGTCGAAATGAGAGAGAGTATTACATGTCACAAGCAACCCACTCTGGACTCTCAGGTAACCCCCCATCCTGCCGTCCATGGTACAAATTCGTATAAGCGGGGATTTGACATGGTATGATGGAGTGGCCGTTAGGGAAGAATGTATTAGGCCACTGCTGCAGTAACCCGTGCAGAGAGGAGAAGATGTGTGGCGCTGGGGACGTGAAGTTGAAGTTCCAGTTATTTTTAGAAGATCTTGCAGCTTGAGAGTCCGGTCTATCTTGAGTGTTTAACTGCATAGGAATCTGCTCATGGCATGCTACATGTTGAATGCATGACACCATGCCCAAGAGCAGCGGAAAGAGGAACAGCATGGCGTGTCTGTCTGTCTGTATATTTTTGCTCCGCGTATCAGAGAATTTTCCGTCTATATCGTATGATGTCGAGATCCTGTCACATATTCAATAGATAGTTACAAAATACTTACAAGCTTGAAAAGGTGTTGGTGTTGATGCTTTGACGTGAGGCCAAGCGAGGCCACGCGGCTGGGTTATCTCTAGCCAATCATGCGCTGCAAAATGCGGATAAGTAATCGACACCGCCTACTTCCTTGGGACCAGTCTGGAAGAGGATGGGAAGAGGGCAAGGTTAGGGTTCTTTAATCTCTAGCTGCAGTTTTTTTCCCTTCCTTTAAGGTTGTGTAACTGTTCATTGGTTGTCGTTACTACCTAGTGCTGGAAAGATTACTGTTTGTGTGGTATAGAAAGAGAAAATGTGAATCGTGCTACCGATTATCTCTCTCTCTCTCATTAATCTTATAAGGTAACTACTAGTCTCCATGAGTTGGAACGTCCTAGGATATAGTGGACTTTGAACGCGGTGCATAAAGTCTCTGTGCATATAGGAATATCGGATGAAGAAAGACTAGGTATAAGATAGTAAGATATCGGCTGATTAGACCTTTGAAGCAAGCATTCAGAGACGATAAAGCCGTATTTGTATGGTCATGACTTTATCGCTAGGTTTTGTCATTCGATGAATAGCATCAGCAGAAAATGGATACAAGACAAATAGCCAAAGAGAGGAAGCAGTTTCACCCTTGTTCGCATATTTTTACAGAGAAAAAGGACCCTAACCGATGTAAGAAACCTAAGCGTGACCGAACATGTCGTGCATGTATCGGCGCCTGGACGGCAAATAAAGAGTTTGTGCTATTTTAAGTTGCTACAAAGGAGAAAAGAATACGGTTACCCGTCGAGCCTGCTATGGGAGACGGTTCTCTTCACTTCTATGCAATATAGTAGATGTTCTGTTTACAGAAAGAAGAAGCGAGTTATGAATCTCCCCAGGGGGCTAAGGTTACACATGATCCTTATAATAAATGCATATCCTCGGTTGAGACTAATCCATCTTTAGGCGAGAATGTGTATGCTACAAAAAGCTAGGGATAAATTCTTCTAGGCATGGAATGGATGCTGCGGGTGTTGCCGCCGATAAGGCAGAATCTTACGTGGATCGTGAGAAGGGGTGAAGTTTTTCCCTAAACGATATATTTTCCAATAGAATTTTTATGCCAGGAAAAACAGTGATGCTTCTCACAATAGATGATTGTTGCTCAGCGAACAGCATAAAGTTGCGTAGCCTGCTAGCTGTTTTACAGGTACGCCAATGCGGACTAGCGGACGAGTGGACTAGCGGATGAGGGGACTAGCGGACGATGGGACTAGCGGGGTGGACAGTCCATAGCATGCACTGTACTCCGTACAGAGCAAGTGTAGGTAAAACGTTCATCTTTTGCCCCACTTTGGGTCGATAGAGTCAAGGAAATTCTGGGATCTTGCGTCTATTTCACTCTAGTCGGGAATCCTCAACACCTAGATCCCCCAGGTCCATGCGTTGTAACATGAAGCCGTGAAACCCTGTATCTCGTATAGTATTTTGGCGTAGCCTCGTTAGCCGTAAATTTCATTAGTGAACTAAGTTGTTGGATACCAAAACCCATAAAAGGAGGAAAGAAAGCCATCTTGTCAGCCTCTAAATTCATTACTTCTCTCCATGCACTTTTTGCATAATATCTCAGAACCCTTCACGCGCAGCATGCTAGCAGCGGCTATTCAACCCGGGAGCGTGGCCATCCCAACCAAGCCTTCGGTTCCCATTGCGTACTCCTTCGTTGAAGGTGCTCAACAGCTCCAAGGATCCAAGACCCTAGTGATATTCTGTAGCGGTCTTTGTGATCCGATGAGGGTCTGGTTTCAAACACTCGCAGCTATAGCCAAAAAGCGGGAGCAGAAGCCATGTCCTCCGATGCTCCTTTACGATCGCTTTGGTTCTGGCGCAACTGGTCACGATCCAACAGACCAAGGGAAAGGCGCAAAAGATACACACGATGCATTAGACGCTGTTAGCGATTTGCGACAGCTGCTCATCTGCATTGCACAGCAGCACTTAGCCATACCGCCAAGTGATATAGATGCCTTACAACTCGTGTTTGTGGCTCATTCAATGGGTGCCGTCATTTCGGAGCTCTACGCCAAGGCATACCCAAAAACCGTGGCTGCATTGCTAGTGCTCGACGGAGCACCTACAGATTCTGATGGGCAGAGCTGGTATCCAGACCCTGATGCGTCAAACTTTTCTCCGGCTACACTGCCTGAGGGGGTCACAGTCGAGCTCTTACGAACGGCAAGGAAGCAACAGCGAGAAAGTGTCTATAATCCAAACAACGTAAACGGTGAAAAATTACGATGGAGCAATGTTTCAGACTACGTCCCAAACGTCGGTGCTCCAAAACTACAGGGTCCAATAGATGGTACCCCTTTGCTCACAGTTATGGCACATGACCCGGTCCCATTTGCAAAGCAGGTAAAGCAGGTCAGTCCACCTATCGCAAATCACAACACCCTAGCCCTATGATAAACTTCTGAGTACTGACAGAGAGCAGATCACAGGTGCAGACGAGATAACGACTCTAAATTACAACTCGCCGAGTTGGCTCCAGTACCTCGAGAAATTTTCAAACCTTGTTCACCCGAACCTTTGTAAGGGTCCTATTATAACCAAAGGAAGCGGCCATTTCATACACTTACAACGGCCGGATCTTGTTGCTTTAGAGCTTGATGAGCTTCTCGATAAACTGTTCTGCTTATATGAGATGACACCCAGCAAGCTATAATGACCGGCAAGGTCACTGTCAGATTAAACAAGCCGGGGCCGTGCCCACAAATTGACACAGACCCGAGAAGCTACCAGGAGACCCAGACTCAATACGGGTTGCAGGAAACCGGAGGCATTCATTTGGCACCACGATATATAATTAATCATCGGAGCGAACCGTCTCGACTGCCACTCGAATACTCGATTAACTTGCCAAGGGACAGCTCAACCTTCCCCCTTGTTCATTTGCTCGCAGAGCTTCCTTCCAACACATCAATCCTACACTATATCGCGACTTTCATCGTTCTAATTCATCTGTATGCATACCTTTCTAGCTCGCTTTGACGATACACAAATTTTAGCTCACTTCGTAGCCCTTCGAGAGCACACACCGCTTCCCGTTGAGGGCTCTTCCACCCTGCACGAGATGCTGGCCCAAGTGACCGTTCCCAAGGGAATTAACTGGAATGCTGCCGACGACACCGTGTATTGGACTGTCTCGCCAACCTTTCGAGAGATCTGTCCAACGGTCGGTCAATGTGGAGAAACTCCTGAAGCATTGACCAAGCGTCACTCCACTCAGCAAGACCAAGGACCCACGAAATATTGGCAGGATGGGCGCAATGCCGGTGATAGTGCTCTGAAGTCTGCCTAGCCACCATTACACCAACGAAAAAGATCCAGAACGGGAGGCCAGGCACGGTCGAATATAAAATTCCTAGATCAGGACTAGACTCTCTTTGAGTGTGCCGGCGATGGCATCCTTGCAAGGAAAGACGTCAAATTGGCAATATGGGGCCAAGGAGTAACCAAGCATCGATCGACGCAGAGGCTTTCTAATATCGCCAGGGCCGAAATATCTTCGAGGTCACAGCTTTTCTGAATTAACAAGTCCAGCATAATTCATGAATATATTTCCTTCTTTGTAGGGTACCTTCATCCATTGTGGGTTAATGGCCTATTCTTGGGCTGTTAAGTAAGTATTGCGGGGTAGTGGTCAATCTAAATAAGGATAATAAAGTGAATCACCACTGGTTATACGTTTAGAGTAATGGGCAGGGGACACTTTTCGTTTTGTTCAGAATTAGTTGACGTCGTGACTTTGATCTACAAGCTAATAGCAATGATTAGGCATAACTGGGTTTTGATTTGCTGGGATGAGAGTGTTGTGATTCGAAGGAAAGATGATTCACAATCTTCTTTTAGATAGTATTCAAGAAGGTATATATACGTAACGTAATGCCTAAATTAATATCCACTCAATGTTGTCCTTTATGTGGAAAATGAACCGCGATAATCGACCGACCTACACTCGGATTAGACATAGGATCTTGTTCCTCGATGTTGCTATCCCTATCTACATAATAATATACGCTATTAGCGTCTACCTCTTTATCCTCGGCCTCCTTCTCATTTCTGATTCGAACTTACTTCATAGTCTCTAAGTAATGACCTATAAGTTCAAACTTAGCCGAGCACGGCCATTCCCGGGCAGATAAATCCTCGTGTCCGAAATATATGACCTGCCCCGGCTATTACAAGGATAGTTTTCATAGGCTATATGCTCTCCGTCGGACTTCCGTTAATATATCTAGAGTGATTGTATGTGTGTGCGTGTGTTTATGTACTCTTGCTATTAGGTCCTATCGTCTTTTCTTTATCTCGGCGAAGCACCGTCGTAAAATAGGTTTATTTCGACTATTCGGGCCTCTAAATATCTCTAAGATTTTCTCCTCTGTCATTAGCTCCTGACAGATCCTAGTGTATTGGGGGCTAATCCATATAGGACGAAGGGGACTAGATAGTAGCTTCCTCTAGACTGCGGCAACATCCTTAATGTCCATGGATATCCACATATCCTCTCCGCAAATTGCGGATATGGTATTCTACCCAATATCCTCAATCCTCAATTTTGCGGATATAGTATGCTACCTAATATCCTCTGGATATTTGAGGATATCTAGTGGATATGAAACTGGTCAAACATGCTAAGCCTCGTGACTTGTTTGAGCGTGCATTATTTATGCGGATTCCATTGTATTTTTCAAGTAATCATAGTGTAATCTTTGATTATTGAAGGTTTTAATTTGTAGATAGGATGTTATTATTTTCATTCTACATAGACTATCTTAAATTAATTTGAAATCTATCAGGTAACCTTAGTTGCTTCCGAATCCGCCCTAACCGTCCTTATATGCCCTGATATATTAGCATTTCTGGAAGCCTATTATCGTCATTATTAAATACCTTAGATACTCGTTTTCCTGGTCGTTTACATAGTTATTACTTATTTTAATTAGTCCTCCTACTATCTAAATTATCCTCGTAGTTTTCTATCCGTTATATATCCTTAATACCTAACTCTTGATCGTCCTCTTCGTTATTACTAATTAGCTTAAGGGTTTTAAGCTAGGGTATTAGTTTTCGAGCTTAATCTAATAATATAGCTTCTGTCAACATGTGGATGTTGTGGGGTCACATGATGAAGGACCCACTCATATAACCCCTCTCTACATATAGATCTTCTTCTATAAAGATCTAACAGATTGATCCTCAACGATCTCGCATATGATTGCCTACCTAAGCAAGAGACTCTCAACACTCTGATTCTGTTGATTTATCATGTGACCTTTTGCTATGTTTCTTGTGATATAAATACTGCTATGTTACCTAGTTAAATTGAATTAAGTTTATCATCCTTTGTGATCTCTCTTCTAGATCAGTGGTACTCTTCCATAATCGTGGTACTTCTCCTTCATAGAAGTGCGCACGACCGATAGACTCATAACCGTGTATTCAGACACTATATTGAGTATTTACCAATCCTTATGCACACTATCGTCTTGTGTGTATAACCACGACTTTATGGTCACCGCCTAGAGTCCGACAGTTATGAGCCCGACGCCTCTGCTCTAAACATTTAACCAATTCAATTCAATCTTCTTTTACTTTACTCTCACATCGCTTCACTTCCCACACAGAAGCGATGGATTCAACCACGCAACAAGCCACCTGGCTTCACTACCCACTAAAATCTCACGCACACTGGGTTCCATGGATCACTGCGGTCAAAGACCACGCACTAGCTAATAATGTGTGGAAATATGCCGATCCGGACCAATCCGCACCGATTACCCCGCCTCAGGAACCAGTTAAACCACAGATATCTGATGTGATCAGAAACCCTACCAACACATACACATCTAATCTTCCTGAACAGCCACTCAGGCTCATCGACCTTACGTCTGACCAATTAGCTATCTATAAGATACTACTAAGTGAATACGAATCGTCAAGATCAGACTACTTTCGCTACCTACGATCCATTGAATCTCTCAAGCAAGGTATTCGATCCTCTCTCACACCAGAAGGACGTCAAATCGTCAATGGCCTATCAGCACACGAAGCTATAGTGAAACTACGTGCTACCTTTGCCCTATCCGACCAATCGAAGAATCGTCAAATCCTACGCGATTGGGATGAGCTAAAACGACAAGCTCCACCAACCAAACTGTCTCAACTACCTACATGGGGTCAGAAGTGGATAATCAACCAATCAGAAGGCGAGAAAGCACGAATTGCCTACTTCCAAGAACCTCTCTCGCCAGTATACGATTTCCTAGAGACTATCCAACCTAGTGACCAGGGCTTCTACACCTTCTGGTACAATACAATCCTACAGGGTCTAAAGAGACCTACCCTGACCGAACTGGTTAATCAATTCGTCGATCAATACCGACCACCTACCACACCAATCAGCAGTGGTAGAAGACGACCTATCGCACATACGACCTACCAAGGACGTCAACCTGACGAATCAGACGAAGAAGGACCTACACAATCAACCAGAAGAAGGAAGTGCCCCTGTGGGGGTATACCTAACTCTGGTAACCACGATTTTGAGACGTGTCGCTATGTGAATCCTAAGGCAAGACCTAGGGGGTGGCAACCTGACCCAGAGGTCCAAGAGCGATTTGAAAAGCGATGCGATGAATCTAGAGGATTCAAGATAGCCTATCAACGTGCAATTCGACGTTACCAACCGGCTAATTCAACCAATTCGACTAATTCGACCAATTCGACCAATTCGACCAATTCGACCAATTCGACCAATTCGACTAATTCGACTAATTCGACTACTAGAGACGCTTTCTCTACCTATATACCAAAACAACAGGTTAAGACTCTCTTTCGAGAGGAAGATGGTGTTGCGATGAGCACAATCAGGATTCCTACCAAGAAGAACGACACCTGGTGCTATGATACCGGAGCATCAATTCATGTCACGAATAATAGGGACCTACTGTCAAACTATAGGCCCGTTGTGTCCTCTGTCATGGTTGGAAACACCGAAACCACTATCCTTGGTTATGGTGAACTGTCCGTCAAACCATCAGAATCTCTAGATGGAACCACTTTCCCTTTGAAACAAGTTGCCTATTGTCCTGGATTCCACATCAACCTAATCTCTGCAGAGAGAGCTGCTAGCGCAGGCATCTATCTGAATGGCAAGGATTGCCTACTAGAAGAGAAGGACGGAAGACCTATCTGCAAGCTTAACGCGAAATCAGGCATCTACCTAATTCGATGGGACAATTCAACCACTGACCGACCTACTGCCAACCACGCTCATGTTTCACCGACCTCTCACTTATCTCTTACTTCTGTCTCACACGATCAAGTTACACCTATCACTGAGCAATTCAGCAAGGTTGCCCTATCTTCTTCACACACCAAGAAGCAGCTAGATGGGACAGTCGACCTATGGCATAGACGACTAGGACACGTTAGCAAGGACGTCCTATCTCATCTACCAGAGCACTCATCAGGCATCACCATCAAAGATATATCTTCGCCTATCAACCACTGCGAGACATGCAAACTAGCTAATTCGCATCGTCAAATCTCTCGACGACCTATGCAGTACAATCGCCCTTTCGAATCTCTGCATTGGGATCTTATACACTTCGAACCATCCTTAGGCAGAACGACCTACCTATCTCACTCTGTGGACCCTATCACTAAATACCAACTGGCAGAAGATCTATCTACCAAGACCGATTCGACCCAATCTCTCTGCGACCAGATCGATTTCGTACAACACCAATTCAACCTACGCGTCCTCACTATCCATTCAGATGACGAGAGATCTCTATCTGAATTCTTCGATCAAGAAGCACAATCACGTGGTATCTATCTAGAAACCACACCGCCCTACCAACCTGACCAAAACGGCTACGCTGAGCGTTATGGCGCATTGATTTCAAAGATGGCTAGGCAGATGATTATCGATTCAAACCTACCAAGCTATCTCTGGCATGAAGCAGCTAGAACTGCCGTCTATATTCAAAACCGCCTACCTCACCGCACACTAAACTGGCAATCTCCACACGAAGCGCTTGCTACCTACCTCGGTGAAAACGCACCACATTGGCTACAGGCAAAGCCAGATCTCTCACACATTCGAATCTTTGGATGTAAAGCTTATGTACGCATTACTAAGCTACCTAGACTAGCTAAGCTAGCACCACGTGCTGCTATCGGCTATCTAGTAGGTTATGAAGCCTATAACATCTGGCGCATCTGGATACCTACCAAACGACGTGTAATTCGTGCACGAGACGTCCAATTCAACGAGGAAGAATCCTACAATCC